TGGGCAGATCAGCAATGAGAGGCATTTGCTACTATTTCAGAATTGGGTGGGTAATGTAAGTTTTGGGGTCTAATGCATATCCATATTGTTGTATGGTGGACCTGAAGACATTACCCTCGCACAGCGACTTCCGTGAGCCAGAGGCTATACAGAAAGTCGATATACTCGATGAATAAGGATACCAGTATCTTGTATTCATGGGTCAGCTAGTATATCTGAATGATTGTCGTCGTCAAGAACTGCTCCCGGAAGATTTCCATTCGATACATTTCCGGCTTGGGACAAGGGCGAAGAAAGGTGGAAAGAAAGCAGGGGTGTCAGAGCAGGGGGGGGAAGGGGGGCCCAACTCTCTTGGGCTCGGGGAGTCTGAGGGACCGGGTTTCCCATTAGGCAATGGTAAACACCCCGGTAACAGAAGGACACTAAGGACTTGGAAGGTGGTCGTGATTTGAGCTCGAGCACTACCTACCTAGGTAGTCAAGAGACCATGTCTGACAAACATATTCATAGGCCCCTAGAAATGGGAGTTGGAAATGTTCTTTGCAGGATGCAGTGCAGCGCATTGCCGTGCAGCGCATTGATTGTCTTTAGGCTTGATTAGTTCGCTATTAGCAAGTGACGGTGTAGGCCTCTACCAGCATCCGAGCACAGAAGAGAACCAATGACCACCCAATACCACGGTCATCAACGAGTTCGAGTTGCGTCAGATATGCATCAATTCTTTGTTGGAGGGAGGAGGGGTGAGCAGTTCACTTGGCCCAATGCGAGTCAAGTGCTGATCGACGCGCTAAGAGCCAGATCCAGGTCGAACGCCGGTCCACACATGGCGTGTCAATCACTGCCAGTGTCGTATTCAACTTGCGGCGGAGCTAAGCCTCAGACTGGTTTAGACTGGTGGGCGACGAATTCAAGAACTGCTTGCCACCAACTTGAAGCGGAGAAGAAGAGATTCAAGAACGAGGGCGAATGGATCATGGATCCTTGAGCATCCGAGATGATCAGAAACTGTCAGTGCCAGAAATCTTAGTGATGATACTTGTGGGATCAAGCTGTAATCATGACGAAGAAAAGGTAGATACTAGCACTCGATGATAATAATGAATGATGCTCATGTTCATGCTCATGTTCATGTTCATGGCAAGACGCCAGATTGATCCGTGGGACCACTGGCGGTGGCACCCAATGCTCAGGCGCGCCATCCATTTCCCGACATTATCGACCACAACGCGCCACCATCTCGGTTGGAGGATCCGTAAAGATTGGCACAACATCTGGCGTCTTCAACTCAAGTCCATCACATGAATTGAGAAGGAGGCTAGCAAGAGGGTGTTTGACTTTACGAGCGAGTATCCCGTACACATCCACGGGTCACACAGGCCAAAGACAAGTATAGCAACTCTTGTGTGCGAAACCTCAGTCAAGCACGCGAGGTTGGCACTGGCACTGGCACTCTTTGGCTGTTCCTGTTGCAAACTCATGGTGTTTGGTGCAACCCAGAGGCCAGAGCAGTGGTCCAGCGTGCACAGTGGAGCCTGAAGCCTGAAGCTTGAGCGTGCCGGTGCCAGTGCTGCTACTGCCACTGCTTGCAACATGGCCCCCCGGTCTGTGATCGCCGGCGCCGTTGGGCGTTCGGAGGGGAGCGTGTTTCGAATTCGCCCGCTCAACCACTAAACCCATGGCGCTGGCAATTGGAAATTAGCAGGGATCATCGGCCACGCAGCTTCTTAACTTTGTTCGCTGCTAGTTCAGTCCACTTTTTGTCGGCAATATACTCGTACCGTCCAGTCCGTAGACCCTCCAAACTGGTCGCAAATCACAGCATCACAAGCGGGGAGTGAGATACTATCCCATCCGCTGACGGACTATCCGCACTGGTACGAGTGACTCGGTATCCGTACAGACGATGCCATTTATGCTCGAGGCTTATCTACCGATCTGCATTGAGTGGTAGATGACGAGAAGGTTTTGGTTCGGATGTCGAGCTATACAGTGGTCAGTCACGGGTCCTTGGGTACGATAGGCATTCGTATTGGGGCTCTTGGGTAAAGAAGCCCCTAGGTCTGACCACCAATTTCCTTGATCTAGGCTTGTATTCTACACCTACCATCACTCACTCACCTGCCGGTGCCTATTGCCTATTCAAGTTGTTGGCTGCTCCTTTCACTTTCGTTTAATTCGTGTCTGTGATCGAGATTCGAGAAGGAGAAGCACACTGGCAGTTCAATCAATCATCCCGCCAATTTCGATACCGCACTCACCTTCACATCTGATCAATCGTCGATCATCACCCTGCATAAACTCGGCCCCCATCAAAGGTTCTCGAGGTGCCCGGTCACAATCACCATCAAGGTCACGGTCACGGTCCCTAGACTTTTCTTTCCTCTACCACTCTGACCACCACTAAATCCATACTCCACCCCTAACAGTCCAACACGCGACAAGCGCTCGTCTCTTTCGACCCTTTTTCCACGACGTGTCTCCATTCTGCTGTCCTTCACCCTTCCAACTTCCCTGCTGCATCTGGTACCTCACCAACCCTGCTTCCCGTCGGCGCCATGGCTGGCAAAAAGCGCACCGTCGCTTCGGACAAAACTCAACCAAAGTTACCACAAGGGAAAGCCCTTGCAAATCCGGGCGGCACCAATAGCCTGATCTCGAGCAATGTTCAACCGCATCAATCATACTCATCACTATATTCATACCAGCCGGCCTCACAATCCACCCTACCATCGTTGCCTGTGGGTGCCCCTGTCGCCCCGACTGGCCAACCCTCGACCGCTTCTTCTTCACCACCACTGCCTGGACAGTTATTTCAAGAGCACCCGCAGGTTCGAGCTCAGGCTCAGGCTCTGGCTCAGAGTCGTGTTCCTCATCCCCGTCGAGACGCTTTAGCTATTTCTGGCCCTGACCCTGGTCATCCCGAAGTCGTCGTCCAAGTGAGTTGAACCATTTCCTAAGGCTTTCCATTTTCGCCGTTAGCACACAATCCCACCCCTACTCCGTACTGCGGTCGTGATGTTGTCATTTCCAATACGGCATACTACCACCCTGGTCAGCCGTTGAAGCTTTTTTCGGTCGTTGGCTCGCGGTCCAATGTCCACACACTGCATCCCTGGATGACCCCGTTGGTCCTGGTCATTTCTCCTGCCTTCCAGGCCATCCCCTCCTGTCAGACTTCGCGGGCCATCGACGACCGGGTCCTGCTCCCGGCACGTCTCTAGGACCTGGTAGATGGTGGACATCCAACTTCAACGCTTGGACCAGCCAACAGCCAACAGCCATTAGATCCACCCATGATCCATCCGCCATCCACTGATCCACCCGAAAGACAAGCCCAAGTTCCAGGTTTCCAACTCCAGTTCCGTTGGCCTAAGCTCCCGCGCCTGGAGCTCCACTTGATTGCATACTGCCAGTTTCGAAAACTCGAATCCACTCATCACTGGTGGTCGGGGTCTGTTCAGTCTTCGAGTTACTGCATCTCGCTGCGCTTCATCAACCACAACCATCAAACCCTGCCTAGTCCCCCCCTCGGCTTTTCTGTATTATTCCACCTCTTGCAGTCGCCAAAACTTGTTCTCTTCGTCCATCGTCCACTCTCTTTGACTTGCACCTTATTGCGAGTCTTCCGTGCTCGTACATCTGCCTCCCTGTCCCTGCCTGGATTGCCGTTGGCCCTCTTTCCGTTATACTTGCACCGCCACGTCTGACGTTTCGTTTTTATTCCAACCTCCTCTCTCCAAACCCCAATGCTCCCTGTCAGCAGTTGCCCTTTTTGAATGCAAATAACATCAACTCATTTGCACTGGCACATTGGCAACTGCATCCAACCTTCTACTTAGAAGCGCATCTTCCCTTCAACCCCCGTTCCTTCACTACCCAGTCCTTCCCAATATCCGGCCCGCCACGCTGCGGCTACAGTCTAGTACATGGTATGCCCCAAGCTCCCTTGCCAGCATCCCCCCTCCCCCTGTCATCTATTCCCCAAGTCCAATCTTTTGTGGCTGCCTTACCCGTTTTTCACATGCCCGCATTGACCCCTCCAATGCAATTCATCTATCGTTTCAAATCCAACAAAATCAACCCTGGCACCGGCTTGCACATTTCAAGCCCGTTTTAAAGCCTTGCTCGTTCGCTGCATCCTGGCCCTTTCTGGGCCTCGACTTGTTGCGCAAAGTCTCGCTTTTGTTCACCTCTCCAATCCGACCCCAACCCTGGCCAATGAAACTCCCCTGCCTCGAAACCAGGAACGATCAATCTTATGATCCATTGTTGAGCTATCCAGTACGCGCGTTTCGCCTTTTGAGTGCCAGTTCATCAGTTCAGATCTGTCCATCTACCAATTGAGCACGACCCATTGCTGTCCCCTTGTTTGTTCCACTTTGTGCCTGGCTTGGTTCAAGCGAAAATGGTGGCACCGATCACCAATCCCTTCCCCCGGGCCTCCATTTCGTGAGATCCTCGCCGACAGATCAGGCTTGATCATTCTTCGCCTGTTCCTCTTTTATCCTTGCTGATCATCAAGCCTTTGTTCTTTGTTCCGACCTGTCATTCCTGCATAGCATAGCATAGCATTGTTGCTTGTTATTTCGTTGCGATCATTCCCTTCAATCCATCAAGGACTTGATACTGACGAATGGACCCTCAATGCAGCATCGCACAACACAACCCTACCAGAACGTTGCTCCTGTGCATCACATTCAGCCATCGCAGCCGCAAGCACAGTCGCGAACGCTAAGTAGCAGTCAACCGCAACAGCAACCATATCCATCGCCAAACGTTTATCCGCCACAATCAGGTCTTCAGTCGCCGTTTCTCAATCAACCTCCACAATTTCAACAACAACAGCAGGGACCGAACGACCCTCCAAACTTTTACACATCAAATCCCAGTCCTCGTAGTCAACACAGCGGCGGTGGACCGTACTATCCTACAGGTGAGTTGAAATCGCGAGTTTCCAACTGATTGGAGATTGACGCGGTGTTGAAGAAAAACAAGAATCCATGGCAGCCTCAACGATGCAGAGGCCTTATCCTCCAATTTACAACACTCCCCAGTCAAATTCCCCGGCTTCGGTAACTTCGCCTCAAACACATGATCATGGGAGACCAATGTATGGACAACCAACTTCGCAGCTAGGCCAACCACTTTATGGATATCCGCAGTATCCATCAATGAATCAGGTGCACCAGCCACCATATGCCTCTCACCATGCACAGACTCAGCAACATCAGATGAATTCTCAGCCAATGTTGCCCTATCAGTCCACGACTCCTCAGCTTTCCCAAGGTCAAGTTACTCCGCATCATTCGACAATCTCGAGCAGCCCAAGACTCAAGTCTGAAGTGAGTCAACAATACCAACAAGCGCCTCAAGCACGACCAGGGATGATTTCTCAGCAACAACAGCAACAACAGCAGCAGCAGCAGCAGCAACAGCAACAGGTTCAGCAACAACCACAGCAGCCCCAACAACATCAAGGACTTCCTCCAGCAAGTGTTGCTCTTCAGCAAGCCGCACAACAGCACGCCCAGCAAAACCAACAAAACCAGCAGAATCAACAAGCTCCTAATGCTCCTCCTAATTCAAATGCAGCTCCGGGACCAATTCCCGCGACGACTCCATTGGTTGTTCGTCAAGATGGTAACGGAGTCCAGTGGATTGCCTTTGAATATTCCAGAGATCGTGTTAAGATGGAGTATACAATTCGCTGTGATGTCGAATCTGTGGACGCCAATGCCTTGTCGCAAGAATTCAAATCCGAGAACTGTGTCTATCCACGTGCATGTGTGCCAAAAGAGCAGTACAAGGGAAATCGATTAGCTTACGAAACCGATTGCAATCAAGTTGGGTGGGCATTAGCTGAATTGAATGCCTGTCTTCGAGGAAAGAGAGGGTTGATTCAGCGAGCCGTCGATAGCTGGAGGAACAGCAATCAAGACCCACGATTGAGAAGCCGACGTGTGAGGCGACAAGCGAAGATGAACACCCGATCTAAATTATCGACTTCCACCTCGGGTCAGGCACCTGCGTCTGCTGGTTCCGTCTCAGCTGGGCTCCCTGGTCCAAACTCTATGGCAGCTCCGAGTGCAAGGCCCCCTGGTCCTCTATCAAATGCTCCGTCCCAGCTCCTTCATCACCACCAAGATGTCTCCCCAACCGGACAAGAGAATGTTGGAGGTACGTCTCAACCTGAACTTCCCACCTCGTATCTCAAGATCTTTCCTTCTCCTACCCTTACCAACATACCTATTTCCTCGTCCTCGGTCTTATTATAGCTACTGACATATTTGTAATTAGCTCAAAATTACAATACAGCTCCCCACGGTTACCGTCAACCTCCAGGACCACATCACATGGCGAGTCCTAACGATATTCGCCAAAGTCATGTATTCCCTGGTTATCAGACCTATCCTGCTGTCCCGACTTCACTGGCCCCTTCTATGCCCCCATCCATGCAAGGCAATCTACATCATCTTGGTCGTCCAGGCGGCAATGCGACCATGGTATCTAAAGACCATGAAGACAAAGACGAAGAAGATAACGCACTCTTTGGCGAACTTCCTGAAGGTAAACGACGAAAGTTTATCTTGGTCGAAGACACTCAGAAGAGCGCTCGTGTCCGAGTCAAGGTAACCCTAGATCAGATTGAAATGAGCGAGATTCCTGACTCTTATCGAAAACAAAACTCGGTTTACCCACGTGCCTACTACCCAGTCCAAATGCAAACTGGGCCCGAAACAACTCGTGGTGACCGCTTCGTGGAAGAGGGTGACGAGGTGGATGCTGGCCAACCAACAGTGGGCAAAACAATTGTTTCCGTATCGACGAGTGATGGTGAAGCCGATATTGGCGTGCCTCAGATTTCAAAGAGCAAACGCAGCCGTGAGCAGAAGCTCAACGAGTTAGGATACCGTATGGCTTGGGGACAAGGTCGAGTGTTCTCAGGTCGTCCCATCTTCCTTGCTCGAGCTTGTAAGTATATTTGTCTATCTCACTGTAATTGTCCTATCAGAACTGACTAGTCACATAGTGGATGCCTATAGGGGTAAGCAACGGAGTGCTCTTCTAGCAGCCGGGCAAGAGTCTTCCACCATTCCCGCTCATCTTGAGACACGACCTGGCAAGAGGAAGTGGCAAGAAAGAACAAGTAACGTCACTCAACCAATGACGCCGCCAACAGCAGCATCGAACTGAACGTTATCACTCGATTACTATTCCTCTTTCTCGAAATCATTGACGGGTGTTTTTCCAGCGATGCTGCTGAAGCGGTTTCGACCGTCGTTTGAATGTACAATATTTGTGGGTCAAAGCCCTGATGAACACGAAAATCCACGCCATAGGTCGAGAAACATTGATGTATTCAAATTATTGTTTGGTATACATACCCGGATACCACCAAGGCTCTGGAGAACTTGGTCTCCTAAGCCAACTAGCAAGTTGGCCTGGTGTGGTTCCGCTTGGAGTTCAACGACCCAGGTTGTCGAGGTGGGTCTTTTGGCGTGTGGAAAGGAGGACAGTGCGAGGATGCGGATATATCCTCTTCGCCAGGACACCCAGTTGATCATCTTGTACACATCACGATGGTTTGAAGATTATGGTTGGATATTGTGCGTTGCGGATACCCTTTTGCGAAATGGATGGAATTGGAAATGTCGACACCGCAATGTTGGAAAGTCCTGGTCTTTTTCCTTTCTGGCGACCTTCTTTTTCTTCGAATGCTACGAGTGGAATGGCCTGTCTGGGTTCACCTCACCATCCCGACGACCAATGAAATTATCATCATATACCTTTCGGCTGCTCCTGAGCGAACTCTTTTGGAAACTGGAATCATTTATTACGACGGCCTCTTCTTGTTTTTTCTTTCTTCTCTCGGATTAGCAGATGGATGGAACTGCCCCTATCTCCTATTCCCACTTTTACATTCTTCTGGAGGACCATTTTTTCTTCTTTCTTTCCAGCTCCCTCAACTCACCACACATCATGGTTGGAAGAGGGACAAAAGGAACATGGTATTAGTATCGACGGGCATGGAATGGTCACGAGGGCAATTTGGACATGAAATTGGGAAGGAATTGGCAGAAACTCAAGCGATGGATGGGACGAAAACAAAAACTAGGGACGAAATAACTTTTTCTTGACACGCACTCACACACCAACATACCATACCACAACATGAACAGACACACACGCAACCACTCATAATCACACTCAATACTCCTCATACTCTCTCACACACGATCAGAATGGACATTTTCGATTCTTAAAACGTTTCTTCATCTTGATGCCATCATTCACTCCTCTACAACTTTGCGTATTGAACCCGCTGCTAGCCCCCACCCCTTGATCCCTTGCCGCTCGCCCGCCTGCTCTGAGTGAGAGTTACATTGGCTCATCACACTGATTGTATGCTGTATACTGTACACTGCATCTTCCCACACGCGACTCGATGAGATGCAGAGCAACATAGTGCCAAGCCACATGAGGTTGTGTGAAGACAGCTAGGCAGGGGGTCTTCTCCAAGAAGACAATACAACACAAAACAAGACCGGTGATACATACGGATGAGAGCAGAATAACCCGAACTACTTAAGACGGGGATTGCTTTGAAGGGGCACGGATGGACGATGGAGTGCGTGGAGAGGAGTGGAGGGGAGGGCAGAGAGGGCTCTACGAGCATGAGCGAGCATGAGGATCATGACGCAACGGTGGGATAAATGATTACTGGTGTCGGTGCGCCGCCGTTGAGGTGTTGGTACTAGGTCAAGTCGGTTCGTACCTAGCTACCTACCTAGGTAACCTACCCAACGAAAGGTATGGTATGTGTATGTGGACTTTGGGACCGGAAGATACAGTACCTAAATACCTACTGGCTGGGATAGCTGGCAGGGCGTGGGCGTGGGCGTGGAATGGAAAGATACGTTAGGTACTTGACTAGTTGGATGGAGAAGATCGCCGTCCTTGTTTCGGTGTATGAATTGTTCTCTCTCTCTCTCTCTCTGTCCATCTCTCGGGGTCGGGCTGCTATAGATAATCTATAGCTGCCTTGTTGAGCGAGTGTATCCTTGCTACTTCTTAATGGGGTATCCAATTCATTGAGATCAAGAGATTGAACCAAAAAGAGTCATTGAAAAAACAAGGGAAGGAACTGAGTCGATCAAGCCCATGAATGATACTGATGTTCATTTCAGCCATGCTAGCTAGCATCTTATCCACCCTAGACAAAACCAATAATCCATTATAATAACTGCGCTTTATCTTCATCTTCGCTTGACATTCGTTGCTCATGTCCCTTTTTTGGTTAACGCCTGCTTGCGCCTAGATCATGCATGCTATTTGTAAGAATGCTGGTGAATGCATGGTAATACTATACAATTGCTATCCCAAATTTCCTCCAGTTACCCAATCCCCCCCCCCGTGCTGTTTGTCGAATTGGAACTGTCCCTGCCTCAATTCTCCAAATCATAGAGGCGTTTTCTGTCAATACAATGAGCTCGTTCATCGGTGACAAAACGATGCTGCTTCTCCCACTTTTTTGGTACCGAGCCTTGGTGAGACTTCCAAATTTGTGCGTCGAGTTGCCGAAGATTATAATTCATTGTTGATACATGATTTACCTGATAACATGGGCGAGTTTGAAGTTTAGGTCGACACTTCGATCTCTGTTGTGTGATGAGTGATATTTCGAAATTGGTGCTGGTATGCCGAGAAATATTCATCTCGCTGCAGTGTGGAAAAGATCGAATCGGTTATGTCGTAATGCTGGACTGGATTTTCTCCTCTCATACTGTCTTGCCACCACAGTCGGGAATTTGCAGGCCAGGCTTCAAGTTTCTTCCTGGATCCATCAAACCCCACTTGTCTTCCCAATTTTGGTCACCCTTGTTGTAGACAACTTTCCATGGCTCATCGAATGCCTCGAACCTATGAAGATGTTAGGGAAAAAAGAACTCAAATAGCTGCAAGCTTCTTACCAAAAGTAATCAGTGCCATTTTCCAATGCCTGGCAAACCCAGTGTTCCATAAAGGTGTTCATGCCGTCAACACTAGCAACGGCACCACTCTGACCTGCGGTACATGAACCATCGACACCACCACAGTCAGTTCCTCCACCACTGGGCCAGCCTGTTTCACTGATGACTTGCCCGACATTTGGCAGAGCGGAAGTAAGGACAACATCATGTCCCTGCCAGAAGTCCCATGTCCAACCAGCAGCAACGTCGGCAGTAACACCAGCGAAGAAAGGATGAATGTTTGACATGACATAATCAACGGCAGTGACAAGATTGGCATTCCAATTGTCTCCCAAATCCGAAGTGGCGACCGGCAGGTTGTAGCTTTTGTCAGAAAAGTTGGATTTGACTTCTTTCAGGATGTCGATCAGTTCAGCTTCCGATTGAGCCTTGTCCTCACCGGCGCGATACAAAGCCTCATTGCCGACAATGACACCTTTGAAGATTGAGAGGTCGGAGTGCGCTTTTGTGTCCTCGAGGATCTTGTACATTTGGTCTAATTGACGAGCGGAGGTGGTGGCGTTGGTATCTATCCAAACACCCATCCAAAGCTTCATGTCTTTCAGTTGAAGACGGTCGATGGCATGGAGGACCATCTCGGTTTGATTGCAGTCGGTTCCGTAAAGACGAACAACGTTTGTCAACTGGGCAAGGACAGCCATGTCACGAGTGACATTGTTCTGTGAAGGAGGATATGTCTCACATAAGGGATATTGTGTACCCCATGGAGTGTAGTCCATCCCTGGAAAGACCTTGTGAAGGTTTTTGTTGTTCATGAGCGCCTTGATTTCAGCCGAGTTGAGGTCGAGATCACCATTGGTTGCCGTATCATCACCAGCATTGTTAGTGCTAGAACTGCTGGAAGAGCCACCGCCATCCGAATTTCGAGTACCGAGGACACCGCCGACAATACCACCCACGATGGCGAGTACAATGACCAATCCGATGACGACGCCGACCCACCACCTCTGTTTCCGCTTTCCCTTGGTCTGACTTGCCAGCCAGGCGCTCTTTTCAGCTTGAGACCCGCCGACGGCATCGTAGGTGCCACTAGGAGTGTGATTCCTGCCCTTGCGGCCGAATAGTCCTCCTACCAGACCAGCACCTCCGGCGGCGGCAGCAGGGCCACCAAGACCTTTATTGTTTGAGTCGGGGCCGTTTCGGTGGGTAGCAAAGTCGTCACCATCATCGATGATGTTATTGGGGTTGATGCTGGCTTGATGCATGATGTTTGAGGAGTTCATGGAGGGAGCGTACGAAGTCTGGTAGGGAGAGTCCTGGTAGCCTGAGTAGGCCATGGGATGGTTGGGGTTGGAATGGTAGTCCTCAAGAGGAATACTTCTGCCAGAGAAGCGATCGGACCTGGGGCCAGGAGAACCGGTAGGAGTGATGGAGCCAGGAGTGGCAGCACCAGCGGCAAGAGCAAAGGAGGAATTGTAAGAATTGCGATCGGACACGGGAAGTCGCGATGGGGGTGGTTGTGGAGCATGAAAGTCACGATTGTAGTTGTCTCGAGGCCAGCCCTGGTTGTATGGAGAGTAAGAGTGAGGCATCTCTCGCACAGCATTCACACCACTGTCACGAGGGTGGCGATCTGCGACTCCTTGTGCGACACTGGTCAATCCTCCACCTTCTGCATGTTGGCCGAAATTGTCCATTCCTGTCGTGACCTCGGAGAAAGGTCGATTGTATTGCGATGTATGACCCGAATCCTCTCGCGCCAGCCTTGTCGGGCTTGCACGATGTGGAGGGGGTGGAGGAGGGAGGTTGTCGTCGGGACCGGGTATGGGAGCCGCTCTCCGGGAAGGGGAGTGATCGTTGAGCAGTCGAGTGTCTGGTGGGATGGGAGGCCTTTGAGGTGAGGAGGGTGGAGAGATCTGGTGGATATCGTACTGTGGAGGAGGAGAGACGATGTCTCGTGCAGGCGAATCTCTATAGTGTTGGTCGTAGTGGTATGGTTGAGGCTGGGAGGGAGGCAGAGGTTGTGACATATGGTCCTGTTCGTTTTCAAAAGAAAATTGCCTTCCCGGAGGCATCGTGAAGATGCTGCAGGCGTCCGGGGCGGCGAAGCACTTGGTTTGTAGAACGGTTGGGTGAAGTGATCAGGGATTGGGTTGACGGAGGACTGAGGGGCGGGATCGTAATGCGCAAAGAGGGTCGGCCAAGTCAGCCGCCGTGAAGTGAGTGTGTGAATGAAAATGGGGATTGTAGTCAGGCGTGCGTGGACCAAAGAGTGAGTGGTGTTGAGGAAGAAGTGTGAGGAGAGTGGGCTGGTGTTTGGTGTTTGGTGTTGAGGAGGCGCAGGAGAAGGATACGGAGTACGGAGTATTACTGCTCTGCTAAACCTCTACGGAAAAGTTGCGACTTGTCGAGCGGGATGGGATGGGGATGGGATATTCTTGGTTGCATGCATTGGTTGATCTGGGTAGGGAATAGTGCCAACCTAACCAACTAGTACCAGGGGGGCGCAGCCCGAGCAACCAGTCAGTACGACATGCGAACGCCTGAAACACGACATCTTGCAGGTACTTTGTAGACGAGAGCCCGTTGAGTCTCTCGTCAGCCACGGACCATTACAGGGACCTTTCTTCTTTTTTTGAATTATGATTAAACAGAGAAGAATGGAAATTGAACAAAAGAATCGACTCTTGTGGGAGCCATGAAGCACTGTCTCTCAACGGACTTCTAGGCACTCTTAGGTAGACCAAGTCCCTATCAATGCCTGTGATTCCGTCATAGACTCGTGGCCCATGGGGGAACAATTCACGGAGCCCTAGGCCCTGGCAGGGATCTTTGTTGGTTACCCAGGTGAAACAGCATCGGGGCGCCACCTGCAAGCAAGCTAAGGACAAGTCGATCACCATTTGCTTGGCTGAATCTTATTTGACCACAATATTGTACGACTATGATAAAAGTCCTCATTGTCTGTACAGTATAAGATATTGAGTTCCTTCATGTTCAGCGACGCAACTATACCTATGTACACCACACCCGGAGTATTCCAACCTGAGGATGAGCAGCCATGATTCCTTGCAGCTCTAACAAATGGCTTCGATCACGTGGTGTCGAGAAAGATCTCGGCAGGTGGAACTCCGTCTCTTCCAGCCAGGGGCATTGAAGGATCGGCTACGACCTTGGGCGAGTTGGACCTTGAACCTATCAATGTTAGCATGAAACATACGAATTATGCTTTGGGTTATCGGGTTTCTCGATTAAACATCTATCTCGTGGCTAGAAGCATACAGGAGATCGGTCCACTTTGTACCATCCAGGATACACAAGTGACTGTTCTGTTGATGCTATGGTGCATGACAAAACGACAAATCACATCATTCTTGCCTGGAACTCAAGATCGTCAAGATCATCCTAGAGATTGAACCATTCCACGCCGTGGTGGACACAGCTCCTCACCTTCAGGCTTGGTGCAGGTCTGATGAAACCACATCGGTCTAAGCATCCTTCTTGGTAGTGTTGATGGTTTCTGCCTTGGTGTCGACGTCCTTAGCCGTTGGTGAGTTCAATGTCATTTTGGCGAATCGCTCGTTAATAAGGCGGCGCTTGCGTGAACCATCGGCGTTGTCGAAGTCCTCATCAACGATTTCCGGCTTTGGCTTCTCATACTCTCGGCTTGGGCTCTCCAAGGAAAAGGACTCCAAGTTTCGCTTCATGGTCATGGCTTGTAATGGTAACAACCGGGCTCCAGACCGAGTCTGCATACCTTGTCCTTGAATTGGAGCACCACTCTCAGTACACAAACCGAGTGTGAAGAGCTTGTGTCTTGCCATGGACAGGAACCGAAACGTGACATAGGGTTGTTTGCCTTCATCAGCGTACACCAATTGCGAGGTTACTGCTGAACGTTTCTCCTTGGTGCCCTCTTCAAAACCAATGATGTGTGGTGTCCTTGTCCAGCGACTCATTGCTCTGACTCTTGACATCGCCCGCATACCTCATCGTTGAGTGTTTCCAGACATCGTAGCTGTAGACTCTACTTGCTCTAACTTCGATCGCCCGGATTACTGTTGCAGGCGCTAGAAGATCACCACCCAATCTGGTCTGCATCTCGATGAGATCACGGTCCGTGGAGTTCTTGGGAATGTCGTGCTCCTCCTGCTCGATCTCCATGCTTTGTCTAAACAAGTGCTCCAGTGGCGCAGATTTGAATTTCCATGGTGTGGTGACGCGACTTCCATGCTCGTTGGCCGACCAGCGCCCAGTGAAAGCATCACTGCTTCCCACCGACTTCACATATGAGCATTCCGGAAACTCATTGCCGTCCATATAGACCTTAAAGAACAGGCGACACTTGCCCTCATCGTTCCATTCACTATGCTTGCTTGGCAAATTGTATGAAGCACGGCCATTGACATTGGTGGCGTTTCGGACCGCGATTGCTCTGTACTCCGATGAGACTTTGATCCTGAATGGCTGATTGTCTTCACACATGATCTTTGTACTCAGTTGCTTAGTAGGTCCAGAGCTTCGAAGAGTTTGGGTATCAAACTCGGTAAATTGTTCACCCTCCGGCTTCTCGACAAACACAGAGATACCACGGAAGGACGGCATTTTAGTGATTCCTGGAGACGGGACGGTCTTTTGTAGCACAGTGATCAAGTGGTTGTTTTGGAATCTGACGAGATTCAAGCAGCTGAGTATTGTGATGAAATGTTTTGTGGGAAAGTCCAGTCGTTGAGATCACCATATATGGGTTGAGGCATGCATCGAGGCAGCCCATAGCTTGTATTTCTCATCCATAGCGATAGACAAAGGATCCGGTCAACATAAGATCCCATAATACCTAATTGCAGCACCTTTGTTCTAAACAAGGGTGTCGCATGTTGACAGCCATTCACAAAACCCCTGTTTCATTCTGTTGTAGTCAAGGATTCATTGTTGTAAACAGCAGGTCTGCTAGACACCTCATTGACTGGGTACCCCGATCTCATACCCAAGGAGGACTTCTGTAGAGGCTCCTTCCCATCCTCGATTACCGCCTGTAGATAGCATAAACCGACAGGCCGGATCGAGATAGAGGTGTGAGACCACCCCTGTGCGATGTCCAGGAACAATTAAGAACGGCACGGTCGACCTTGTCGTTTGGGATTCTTTGAGGTCGTAGAGTCGTAGAATATCATAAGATGCACAAATAAGATGACGCCCATTGGGCATAGCTTTCACAGATGTAACTGCACCACTTCCATTAGGGAATCGGAATACTCGTTCTGGCGCTTTCAATCCTTTCCGTAGGTCGTATTCCTCCACCGTGTTGTTTCTTCGTCCCGCGTAGATAAAATTTCCATCAGGAGACCAGCACGCACTCAAACACCATGGCGGTGTAGCCCGAGGTAGAATTCGTGCCACAGGGTTGGGTTGCCTCCGATCCCATACACGAATGGCTCCGTCAATCGATGTGGCAAGGAACGTCGAGTCCGATGTGGGAGGTGCATCCTCTTCTCGGTTGTTCTCGCCATTGATAGTCTCCTTTTCCAGATCTTCAGCATGTCCGAGTCCATTGGTCATTGGTTGTTCAGTGGCTTGTGAGACAGCGATTGCCTCTTCGTTGGAGCCTTGAGTGTCCTTCGGTTCTTGGCTCTCCTCTTCTGTAGCTGCCGCTTTCTCTGTTGCATCTTCCATGACTTGGTCGACCAATTCTTCTGGGTGTGGTGCGGCGGCCATAGCCCGGCTCATTTCATCTTCCTCTCCCCCAAAGACATCCCCGAGATCATCGCCATTGGTCATGTTGACAGCGCCGTCCCCAAATAAGTCATCATCCCCTCCATCCCCGAATAGTGAATCAGGCGTGGCGACTACTCCCTGCGAAGGCGCTCGGCTAGAAGATTCTGCTTTGATTCCATTCACAGCAGGTTTCACATCATTTGAAGAGAAGGTGCCGTTGGTAACGACCACTTCACCTAATTCGGCTGGCACAGGTACAGACGACAAGGGTCGACTTTCAATGGCCGAAATTTGACTAGCACTTGCGGCAAATGCAGTTCTAACTTGACCAGTTTCCAAATCCCAATCCAGAACAGTCTTATCCCAGCTACCCGAAAGAAGACTTCTTTCATCTGAAGATAGCGAAAGTACCGAAACTGCAGAGGTGTGCTTCTGTAGCAGGGCGATTTCTCGGCCTTCATCATGCCTGATGGACTGGAGTCTTATGGCTCCAGACGAAGTCCCGGACAGTAGCCAGAGAGCTTGGCTTTGACACGCAAGTGAGTAAACTGGAGATAAAGCCTGGTTTGCGACTGCTCTTGCGTCCATGTTCTCCCAATAAGTCATGAGGACACCAGCCTTGACCACACTATCCACGAAAGGATGGCGTTGGGCGACTGTAAGGGCGAGCTTGTTATTGACGGAGTCGACCCAATTGAATTTCCGAATGTAACCATCCGAGCCACCGGTGAAGACCCATCGCATGTCAGCGGTTGCACAGACAGCATTGATAGATGTACTCTGAGGAGCAGCAATGGTGGGCACGATGTCATACGTCGACGCCTCCAAGAATTCGGGGAGGATGTTAGATGGAGGGGCTATGCCACGTGAAGCATCACCATGCGCTGTAGATGGTTGCTGAGTGCCGTCTTGAGTGGCTGTTGGCTCACCAGATTCTTCATTATCAGAAGGCTGACTCCCTCCAGACTGGCTCTCAGCGTCATCTTCTTCATCGGCTTCTCCTTCAACGTCTCCATCTCCATCACCGTCAGGGTCTCCATCACCGTCACCATCGACATCGCCGTCTCCGTCTTGATCCCCATCAGCATCTGCATCTAGATCACCATCCGCGTCTTGATCCAAATCTCCATCGTCATTATCTCTCATGGTCTCATCGGCATCGTTGTCAGAACTACCATCTTGAGAGCCGAGTACATCACGATCCTCATCCTCATCAAACGTAGGCATTTTGCGTAGCAACTTGGTTACATGCTCGTGGTCCACGCCAGCTAACCAAATTGGTGGAGAGAGCCTGACGAACGAAAGACACTTTTTGGCTCAGGCTGTCCGAGGCCAAGAACTAACCAAGCTAGCTCTAAGTAGCTAGCGCTGGTGGTGAGGTCCTCTGGACATCGGGGTCGGATATACTTTATGCCGGGACCCTATATCGCAGACGAGGCTTTCCGAAATCTTAGACATCCTTCTCCCCACTCACTCTTCTAGTAGAAAGGGCATAACCCAATACATATCTGATGAACGACAATACCTCACAACCACAAACCGTCCCGTACGTATTCTTGTATGCCTCTTTGATTTGCCCATTTGGTGCCCCAGAAGACGGCAGATTGTGAGTACAGAACGACTTTCGTGCCGAACGAAGACTCTACTTTGTAGGTTGTTCAAGCAAAACTCATCTATTCTTAGAATATTGACGTTAGGTATGCTTCGCTGTCTCAATTTTCTTCCAAAGCTTGGTTTTACACCTGTTTCAGGCCTTGGTCCTGCATGAAACATTGTTTGCTGCTTTTGAATGCATCTGTTTTTGGAGCTTTGCCGCGATCGAGCAAACGATCTGCGAAAAGGCCAGAGTTTCCCAGGAATAGCATATGACACTCTTAACCAGTGGGAAGTCTCAAGGTGCCAAGCCGACACTTGTAGCATTCGCAAGTTGGGAGTCATCGTCTGCCAGTGGAGTGTTTGCCAATGTTCCCATCTTTCTTTGCATGACAACGCCACCAGGATCGCCCAGTCCCTTGCTGTCGTCCAAACACCGATCCGGGGCAAGACATCTCCTACAGCTCCTTGTTTGCTCTCCAATAACACTTTTCTTTCTCTGCAGCGGCGATGGCTTCAAAGCGAGGATCGCATCGGCATAAGAATGGACACAGATCTAACTTTGTTGATACTGGTACGTACATGGCAGCTGATGTGAGCTTTTGATTGACTTGTCTTGCTCTCTAGATCAAGACTTCTCGGCTAACAGCATGGACAACGGTGAATTGAACTCCTGGCTCTCCGAACGACTTCCCCATTCAAAGTACCCAAGCAGGTCAAATATCAACACAAACCCAAACATGAACATGAACAGTGACATTGAAGTCACCTTGTCCAAGGACATCCGAAACTACTTCAAGATGAATGAAGACAGCAGTCGGTCGTCGAAGGATAGCTGGCTTTCTTTACCCGAAATCCCTACATTCGAAGAGTTGTCGATTGATGAGACAGCTGTTCCTGCAAACAAGATTGACGGACCTTACAAGACCAAGGAAAGATACCTGAAGACACAATACGCATTGCTACGTGAAGATGCCCTTGGTTGTCTTCGGGATGCGTTGTTAGACTTCCAGAAAGATCCATCAATGATGGACACCCAGAAATTTTCAATTTACGACCAAGTCCACATTTCTGGCTTTACATTCTCCCGAAAAGGACTCGCAGCGCGAATCAAATTCTCTACGAATAGGGCAGGCAGTAAAATCTCGTGGTCAACGACGAAAAGACTGACCTCAGGCTCTCTTGTTGCTCTAGTTAGGGCAAAAGACTGTGAGACAATGACGGACCTTAGTGGAGTGCTGACGGCAATTGTGGCAGCACGACCTCTTGCGGGGGTCTTGAACCAGCCGCCTGAAATCGACATCTACTTCGCTCGTCCAGAAGATGTCCATCTCGATCCACAGGAAGAGTGGCTGATGATCGAGGCCAAGCAAGGCTACTTTGAAGCATACCGGCATACACTGCAGGCTTTGAAGAAGCTTCATAAAGAAAAATTCCCCTTGTCGGAGAACATCTGCCGCTTAGATGCCGAGAATGGACTCCCTGAATACATTCAGAGACAACCTATTCTCAATCTTGGCGCAGTTGCGAAGAACGATCAGAAGGACTCCTACTCCAGGGTTGATGTCAGTGACCCGATAAAGTGGCCACCCGCACCCAACACACTCGATGAATCTCAATGGCTGGCATTTCGAGAGATTCTTACTCAAAAGCTTGCCATCATTCAAGGGCCTCCGGGTACCGGCAAAACCCACATTTCGACTGTCGCCATTCAAACCCTGCTAGAAAATTCCAGCTCTCAGGATCCCCCCATCATTATTGCAGCTCAGACGAACCACGCGCTGGACCAATTACTTATCCATATTGCGCAATTCTGCCCTGACTACATTAGACTTGGTGGAAGAAGCACCAACTCGGAGGTTAAGAAACGTGCACTGTTTGAGATCCGACGCGGGGAAGTGATCAAGGTTGTGCCAGGTGGTATCATGGGAAAATCAAACAGTCAGCACGAGAAGCAGACAAAAATCTTACTTGGCATTCTTCAACCTCTGGCATCCAGACCTGGGAGTGATCCTTTTTGCACCGCAGATCAGACGAGCCCTCAGGTTCTCAGGGAGCTCGGTGTCTTGAATGATTTGCAGACCAAGTCTCTCGAGGATGGCGTCACAAACTGGGTTTCGGCAGACCATACTGTCAATCAGCCCTTGCAACTCTGGCTTGATACATCACTAGTCCCATTCGAATTCAGATACCGCGATGACAATTTTGGTTTCCCCGAAATCGAGGACGAGGATTTGGAGTTTGAGCAATTGAGAGAGGGCCAAGAGGACTCTGCGGGAGTAAACGACATGGAAGACATTGAAATGCTAAGAGGCGCTTGGCAAGAAATACACGATACACACACAGTCAAGCCAGCAATCTCAAACGACCTCAGAAAAGCAGAGGAACTGTTGGCCACTGAAAATGACTTGTGGAGAATCCCTCGACATCTTCGTGGACCAATGTACCAGATCATTCGATCAAGGGCACTCGGTGTCATTGCAGCCAGATTCCGAGAGGCAATGCAACGTTACAACGAGCTTGTTAAGGACATCTTGATTGGTAAATGGGAGATGGACTACGTCTTTCTCAAACGCACACGAATCATTGGCATGACGACGACCGGTTTAAGCAAATACAGAGCACTTATTGCTGCTCTCAAACCCCGGACTATCTTGATTGAGGAGGCTGCAGAGGTTCTGGAAGCTCCAGTCACAGTCGCGTGCGTTGAGTCACTTGAGCATCTCATCCTGGTAGGTGATCACCAGCAACTCCGAGGCCACTGTGCTGTGTCCGAATTGGAGAATGAGCCTTTCTTTCTGAATGTGTCATTGTTCGAGAGACTTGTGCGGAACAACATGCCGTACAAAACCCTCCTGTGCCAGCGGCGAATGGATCCCGAATTCAGAAGATTGCTATCCAGCATCTATCCAGCCCTCACAGATCATCCTTCCGTACTGAGTCGCTCTGTGAGTTCAACATCATGGGGGATGGGGACTGTCAAGTCTTTCTTCTTCAATCATCAATGGTCTGAATACAAAGATGCATCATTATCGACATACAACGAAGAAGAGGCAAAATTTATTGCAGGCTTTTACCGGTATTTACAGAAGAACGGCATTGTTCCCGCGAGAATCACTATCCTGACCTTCTACAACGGCCAACGCAAGCGCATTCTCCGAGAGATCAAGAACCTGTCTGACGTCACCGGAACCTACCACAATGTCAAAACAGTTGACTCGTATCAAGGTGAGGAAAATGACATTGTCATCCTCTCAATGGTTCGAAGTAACCCTGAGGGAAGTATTGGTTTTCTCGCTAACGACAATCGTGTGACGGTGGCATTGTCACGTGCGAAGTTTGGGTTCTACCTTTTTGGCAATGCCACAGTCCTCTGTAGAGGAAGCAAAAGTGGACTCTGGACGAACGTGGCCAACATGATGAGTGCCAGTCCAGTACGATTGCTTGAACAACTCCCACTCTTCTGTCAAAAGCATAAGCGAACTACCAATGTCGCGTACCCAGAACATTTCGAAGAATTGGAAGGGGGTTGTCTACAAGATTGCGGTGAGACGCTACAGTGTGGTCATATCTGTCCGCTTCGCTGCCATCCTTATTCGCATGATGATATAATGTGCTCTGAGCCATGTCAGGTTGTTCTTGGCTGTGGCCATGGCTGCGAAAAAGCCTGCTGCGAGGAATGCAACTGTCCCTGCGATGCATTTGCAGAAATTAAGCGTGCTGCACTAGTGAAATCCATGGAGGAAATGAAGGTTCAGTGGCAGGGTTACCGCAAAGACAACCATGGTTGGATTCCCCCAGCCAATGAGAGAAGTTCTTACTTACAGGTGCAACAGCAGGGACGCAGAGGCTGGAGTGAATTTGCTAATGGTGGAGTCCTGGCTGACGATCAGCGTCGTATTGACTCAACGCCTCTGTCCCTCCCTCAACATACGAAAATGGTTCAAACTTCACCACTGCTGGAGCAGACCGAAGGAGGACGAACTCGATTCACACACAATTACCGCCCTGAGCTTGTGGAACCCACTGTTGCAGCTGAGCAGCATGAAGTCAAACAGTTGCAGGCCTCATCAAGTCAAAAGGCAGCCACGAAATTGGACTCTGAAGACGTAACGACGCTTGATGATGCGGTGAAAAGTGCCGACAATGGTGTGGCTAAGCAAAATGAGCTCGAGAGGATGAAAACTCCATAGCATGGGAAGCAGTCTGCGAGATCGCGTTACCTGGACGATTTGGCGGAACTCGATGGTGGGTTGAAGAGTGCCAACAAGATTGAGGCAGTACGACACAGCGTGGAGAAAACCCAAGATCCACCCAAGAGAAGATCATCAGTCAAATCACATTTGGATTATTTGGCAGAGCTCGATGAGGGTCTGAAGAATAGTATGGTCCTGCAGACTGCTTTTGCGAGGATGCAAGCTCCAGACCGGAGGAGGGCATCGGGGAGGTCACATTTGGAGGATTTGGCGGAGCTTGATGAGACTATGAGGAATGTCGCTAATGGCGCGGCCATGCAGAATGGTCTCGACATGATGACGACTCCATCGGATGGGACAACTCGTGCGAGACCGATGAATATGGATGAGTTGCTCGATCGGTACTACCACAAACCTCGATCTTGAGTTGAAGCGATGTGTCAGTGTGCCGAGAACGCAGAAAGGTGTGTACCATGAACGGTGCCGTATTGTAGTGCGGCGAAAAGCAAAGTTCAGAGGACCTTGATAGTTGCCTAGATACGGTTCGATGACAATAACTCGAGCACATGATTCCAATGAAACTTAACTTCCCAACGCACTCCCACTCTGCCAGTAGTGGTCAAGGTCAAACCCCCAGCGGAATAAAAATCCAGACCTCTCCACTAACTCCCTTCACCCTCTCTCTCGTAAGCCTACGTGTCCCACCCGAGCACTCAGAATTTCCCACCCGACAATCTCGGCTGGGACTGCACTTGCACTTTTCCGAGGCCTTTCGCAGGTTCGACATAGTACACCATGTATGCTGACGCCAGCATCTACGATGACGGGATAAAAAACGAGAGATTTTATGCTACATGTGACGGCTACTACCATTCTCGCGTGCAGCTTGTAATCATTAGGCACATAGCAACAAACGAAGCCCAACAGGACGCTGGTAAAAAGACAGGAAAAAAGTGATCCCCACCCGAAATGCTTTCCTCTGTGCTCAGATATCGGCGCTTACAGACGTCATCCCGGATGGTCTTCTAGAACGCTGGAAATGCGCGGCGGGGTAGGTAGGGGAGCCTGGACATTTTTTTCGTGATTGGAGCTCGAACACGAGGAGTCGAACACGAGAAATGATAGTCGATGAGAAGGCGGCGAATGGGATGGACCTGGCGCATGCCTCAGGCTGCCTTGGATGTATTCGGTAGATGCCAACGCTTCAGAATGTGTTTGAATATATTATTACCGGCGGAGACTTTTGCTTCCAGTGTTGTTGAGAGCATCATGCCTTCATTCGATACTCAAATTCCACAGGTCATGCACGAATTCACTTCATTGGTGTTGGCCTAAGTAGTTTGCGAACTAGATCGTTGGTCATTACTTGCTAGCTCTTGGGCAAACGAGAGAGCTACCAGTTAGTGGCCATCGCATCATCAGTCAGCGCGCACTGTCCTGCCCGCCCGGTGCGTGGACTGGACCGGTTGCCCACCCGACATATGGTGGTTCGATCCATGTATCCGAGGGGCACGATGGGGGAGTCGGGGTGGATCTAGCCATCATTCTGGGGGGTTCTGAAGGTTTAATTTAAATATGAGTGACTACGACAGACCTCAGTTGATTTCAACTTCAAGTGTGTGTGTTTTTCTGCTTTCTTCTGCTTTCCAGTATTCCTCGACTACCACTACCTGAAGATTCAGGAAGATCTTGACGGACACATAATAACTCCACCAGACTCTCTGTCATCGATTGATATATAAAGGAACAGACGACGATGGCATCAGCAACCCAAGTCCAGTCCTTCCGCGAGCTGGTCGGCGTGCCACGCTCCACCGCATCGGCGCAGGACTCGACGTTGATCATCATCGACGCGCAGAACGAGTAAGTCCACGACCAACTCTCATAACCTTCTGTCACCCAAATCACAACCGCCCATGATTTAACACGACGAGAAATCGTTTAGATATGCAGAAGGATACCTGAAGACGGTGAACGTCGACCAGACGCGCAAAGCCATCGCCTCTCTTCTCGAGAAATACCGCGCCGGCGGCGACGGCAAGAACATCGTGCACGTCGCGCACAAGACGCCCGAGGGAACGCCCATCTTCACGCCCGGCACGAAGCTGGCCGCGGAATTCGACGAGCTGAAGCCCCGGGACGGCGAGAAGGTGATTTGGAAGGAGGCCGTGTCCAGCTTCCAGGGCACGGATCTGCACGAGTATTTGTCGGGACTGGGCGACAGAGGCAAGAAGACCGTGCTCACCGGCTATATGGCCCACGTGTGTGTCTCGACTGCCGCGAGAGTGGGCTCGGATCTGGGTTATGATATCGTGTTGGCGGCTGATGCTATTGGGGATCGTGATATTCCCGGCTTCACTGGGCCCGAGGTTACCAATGCTGTGCTCAAGGAGTTGGGCGATGCATTTGGCACGGTGCTGCAGAGCTCCGAGATTAAGTGATGTTGCTGCTAGACATGAAGGTTTTGAATTTCAACCGTCGATGACTCTGATTCGGGACTTTTTGAGCTTCGTGCTCCGCCTGCCAGTGACTTTCAAAGATGGCACTATGTGACTGACTGCTCTTGAATCGAGAGGGTGGAGACTTCTTCTGTGAGCTTCGTAAATTCACTTGAGGGTGATTCTTCATCTTCCACCGGCCAGTGAATGGCACAATCGCTAAAAGGATAATTGCTGGCATCAAGATCTGGCAACAAGAGAGACTGGTGCGATCGTCTAAATGATCCATAGAGATGATGGTTGATTAAATATTCCTCTTGTAGTCGTTTCTCTCCATCCCCAGGTCCTAAATCTTCGTCATAAACGGCGTGCCAGTCCGGATTTTCAGGATCTGGCACCCTGAAATTGAGCATCCAGTTGATGGAGTGCCCTTTTGGTGCCGTGCCATCATCACGGAGTGGCCATCTGTCCTGCAAGCGCACATTCAGCCATAGCCTGGGTTGATTGTACATGATCTGAAGTTCTACCCATCGTTCTGCACAGGGAGAGTAAGCAAAGCAAGTACCGTCAACAAGATCAAATCCCTGGGGATGTTCAACAGTAGTTATCCCAAGCGTCGCCAGGAATTCAATGTCTGACTCTACATAGAAGGGTTCCTGTGCATAGGAGCTCGGAACATGGCCTTGAACTTGGCCGATAAGCTCAACCGCACTTTGGAAGGCAGCAAGCTGATAGAACGAGACATCCTCACGACCCAGGGCTGTCGCAGAGAAGCTACCAGAGCCGAACATGACACACTTTGAGACGGCTCCTATGCCTTGACCTACCCATTCTTTGCTTAAAGTCGTCTTCAGGGCCGCATAACTCGTGGATTCTAGCCACTTTGACTCCAGACTGCGATATCTGGCAATCATCTTCTCGACGGAAACTCCCTGATTCGGATGCGGCGGCGCATGTAGTCTGGATTTAATGGTCACAAATTTACCATCGATGCCCCATTTAAAGTTTTGGATCCTCGAGTGTTCAGTCATAGGAAGTTTGGGAGGGAATGGGGCAGTTGATCTTGCGTCCGACGTGGTGGTGACTCGAGTCCAACCATCCTCGTCTATCAAATGCCTGCGCTTGTTTGGTGTGGCCCTCTTCTTTTTACTTGTGTGCGGCATTTTTTGGACGAGCCAATAAGCGCTCTAAGTAGCGGCTATATCGAAGGTGGTTCAGAGGGCAAAGAAGACCACAGAAGGAAACCTGGAGATTGGAATGTGGGCATTGGAAGGATCAGTCGACCAGTGGGTTATGTAGTCGGATAGGGAGCTGAGCGCAGCTCGGGGACGTAATCTGAATACTGAAGAAGAAGCGCATACCGCGAAGGCGGACGTTGTGAACTGTCACTTCAGCAATGGGACCTATCTAGGTACGTTAGACCAGAGATCTAGAAATATCCTCAGATAGAATTTCATGTCCGCAAGGCTGAGCTAAAAACTTGGCAGCATTTAGCTCAGCCTTGCCGGGACGACAACTCTCACTGCATGAAGTAGGTATATACAGTAGGTGCATATCTCCCGTGAACACCATTTTAGTGGCTACCTTACTAGGTATTCACTTATATATGAATGCTATATAGAAGCTCAAAGCCATTGCTTGTTCCCCCAGTGTGACAAGAATGAACCACCATGGCCTTTCTCAAGACTAGAATCATACAAGACTTTGAGTACCAGATCTGCTGATTCAGTTGGAGTCAATGGGCCTTTCCAGTCAGGAAATGCAACTTGCAAGTCTTTTACAATCTTGCTATTGTCATTACCGGTATTGACAATGCCAGGTGAAACAGCGAAGAACAAGATTCCCTGATCTTTGTATTTGGCATTGTACTTGTAAATTGCCATATTCGCTGCAGCCTTGCTGATCGAGTAAGGGGCAGCATCGACTACTCCATTGTTGACCAGATCAGGGTCGGCCATACCAGAGGAGATGAGGAGGACTTTCTTGGCGGAGCCTTTCTTGATCAGTGGTAAAAAGACGTTGGTTGTGTTGATTACTGCGAGCACATTGACCTTGAATGTTTCCAGAAGGTCATTCTCAAGCTTATCTGGGGTGTCTTCGTATTCATCAAGTGGTTTGGTTGCTGTCGCTTCGCCCATGGCCGCGGCATTGTTGATCAGATAGTCGAGTTGTCCACCGGCGATCTTGCTGACCTCATCTCGAGCAGCTAGAACTGACTTGCGGTCAGCGATGACGGCTTGAACGAAGGTAACATTCTTGTAGCCATCGCTGGCGAGCTTTTTATCGGCAGCCGCCTTATCGCGAACGAGTCCAATGATTGTGTTGTCTGGGTTTTTGGCCAAAACCTGGACGAACCCGTACTATTTCTTTGTTAGTAGGTATCTTCAAATGCAATCACTAGACTTACTCCAAGGCCCCGGTTTGCCCCGGTGATCAAGTAGCTAGCCATATTGTGAGTTTTTAATGTAGAGGAATGGAACGAGGTTTGTAATGCACTGATGTTAAGAAGGATGAGAGGGAGAAACGAGAAATGTCTTCAGGTACTGGTCTCCAGGGGTCTTATACATGATACAAGATGTTCAAATGGCGACTCATTTTAGTCAGCTTTTAGTCCATGACGGTCTGAAGAGTTCTTCATGGTGGAATCGGACGAGATCAGCCAGATGTCGTCCGTTGGAATGTATGGCCTTTTCAGAAATGGCTCACCTCAGCCATTTTTGAGAAAACGGACACAAAATGGGGATCCGGATGAAAAGCTCGGCATTTATTATGAATGGAATTAATATAATGTGCTATAAGCATTGGGTATTGGAAAGAGAAGTTGAATGTGAGAAATTGGGCAGTGTGAGTGTATAGGGATGTGGTGGTCAAAGGAGGAGTCATCTCAGTGGATAAGGCTCACTACCGAATTTGGGTTGGATGACAGTGGCTGCCGGATGAACTAAACGCCGAGAAGCGAAAGGGTACGAGTATGTGCCGACTCACCTGCCCATAAGACTCGAACTTGCCATGACTCGTGAAGAGCCGCCCTTATGTATTCTCTCGCTCTCGCTGTCGCTGTTCTTAGATGGTTAATAATCGCAATGATGCTAACCTAGCAGTCTTGAAATCTGTGGCCCTGGGTTAAGCTTTCAACCATCTAAATGAGTTCACAGTGAACCCTTATTCCCGCATATCCTTGTCTCAAGGTAGGACACTCACCGACCCTTCATCTTCCCAGCCGCTTAGTGGTTGACTCAATGACATGAACACAGTCATTGGGAGCACCCCAGAAACATGTCATTGAAATCTCGGAGTTCCATGGAGGGGCAGCTTGAGCGTGAGTGTTTCCTTGGGTCAAGAACGAGAAACCCTGTCACCGGGCTCTCCCCTGTCAGCGGCTACGGGTGCAGTGGTCTTAGGCTCGGGAGGGGGAGTCAAATGGGGAGCTTCGGCACCTAAGTGGCACTCTTTCGCACCCTACAATTGACAGTCAGCACTCAAGCAGGCGGTTGGCTTCTGGGCGCCATCGGCACCACAGCCTCCCCAATCATTGTCCAAGATGACAACGTGCAGCCGCCCGGATGGAGAAGGCATATCGCTTCCAGGCACCATGCAAGAACCCTCTCTACAAATCATATCGTCCATCACCACTTCGTCCTCCTCATCCCTGTTCGCTCAGTTCAACTCGCCGCTATCCTCTATCCCACTTTCCCTCATTCCTACCTCAAGCCATTCACATCATCTGCTCGTTTTCTTCGTGGCCAGTCACAGCGTTTCCATGCGTCTTACAAGCTTCGTCGGCGGTTGACCATGCGGTCTAATCAGGCCTGGCTTTCCACTGGCACATCTGCATACCGACCAACTGCTCTTAATGCCCAGTCAGTCCTCCACTGGCAACATGGTCACCTTGGTCATGTCCTCTTGTCCGTCGCTGCCGCATCTGCTTCTGCTCCAGTTCCAATTCTTACAGCATTGCAAGTCTTACTGTTGAGCCCTTGGGCAACAATTGTTCAGCACCACGCAACCACATCACCTCATCGATCCATGACCTGATCCATCTACTTGACCATTTATTCAACCCCATCTCCAGCTATATCCCCGTCCTCTTGAAGACCACTTCGTTGTGTATTCTTCCTTCTGCTCCGACTTTGCCCCAAGGGCCTGCCAATATGTTGCCCAGAAGCATATTTACCCTTCTTGCGGTCCTAAGTTTGGCATCTGCTCACATTGTCATCACCTACCCAGGATGGAGAGGTGATAATCTACATTCCGTTGGCACGGTAGAAGAGACAAATGGCCTGGGGACCTTCGACAATAATAATGAAACACTGTTTCCCTACGGCATGCAATGGATGTACCCTTGTAAGCCTCCTCTCCCCAATTTCCTTGATCGTTCGCAACTCTGGCTAACTTTGACTTTCTCAGGCGGTGGAATGCCAACTTCGCAAAACCGCACCAAATGGCCAATTCGGGGTGGTGGTGTCGCATTCCAACCAGGTTGGTTCACTGGTCACGGAACTGCTTTCATCTTTATCAACCTGGGTCTCGGTACAATCCCGCAAAACATGTCACTTTCCATGCTCAATGGTGTTCAAATTATCGGACCTTCCAGAGACCCCTATCCTGGCACCTTCTGCTTCCCGCAAGTCCCGCTCCCTGCGAACACAACGGTAAAAGTGGGCGACAATGCCACCATTCAAGTCATCGAGTTGGCTGTCCATGGTGCTGCACTGTATAGTTGTGTCGACATTACATTTGCTGAACCAGAAGATGTGGAACAACTCACTCCGGATAATTGCTTCAACTCTTCTCAGCTCAGCAGTGCGCTTGTCTTTACCACCACATCATTAACCGAAGAATCCGCAGCCAGTGGCCTATCAACAAACCCAATGACATATTTCACCACCATGGCAATCGTCCTACTTGGCTTGATGTTTCTGTGATGGTCGTGATTATCGTCTCAGGAGGATTCCTACCTGGACGAACTTCCGACTTCCCGTCCATGCGCTCCTAGCGTGATCCTTCAAGGGCGTGCCCCACGGGCATTTGATGCATGCAACCGAGCATCCTTCCTGCCCTTAACTCAACCTTATTCTTTTGCACATCATGCCGAAATCAGCCAGCCGGCTTCACGATGATTGTCATGGGAGATGCATTTTCGGATTGACATCAGAGCGTGCAAGTCAGGTTCCCAACCGGACGGGTACCTTCCGACGCTCTACAAGCCTCCATTGAACAAGTCTATCAGTTGGGCGCTCAAAGATATCACCTTATCACGATGGGCCAAGGGATCATACGAGAGATGTGGAATCCGCCGCAGTAGGCCGACACTCCCGTGAACACAAGACCACAGCCCAATAAAGCCATCCACCCGTCTGTCCAACGCGCAGAGAATTCCCATAATCGCACCACCAAATCATCTCCGCCATGGACTGCGATACAGACACCATGCTCGCATGCATGGTACAGTCAATACTGGCTGGCGGCCACCCCACAAGAGACAAGAGAGAAAGAGTCTCCCATCTCGAGGATTATCACCGCCGCCGGGACCCTGCAGGATCGACGTGGGAACCGGCCCTGGGCTGAGCGCTCACCAATTCCAACAATACATTACATAGACATCCAGCGGTGTTTATCCTTTCCATCCCATCCCAAGCCACGATAACATATATAGCATATCCGTCTTGACTTCACTTCTTCTCGACCGTTCCTCCCACCAAACCGAACCGGGGGTTACTTCACCACCACCGTTTATGTATTTATTTATTCATATTCATCATATATACCATACCTAGGTCCTTTAGCATAGCCAAGCACGTTTGAATCATACCTAGTTGGAACTGATATCGCAAAGATGTTGATTGATTTAAGAAAAACTAACTAGGAGCGAGCGCACTTATATGTTGTGAGCGAGCTACCTACCTTCACTGCCTGACAGTGCCAGAGGCAGTGTCACAGGCAGTGTCACGTGAATACCAGGTGAGTGAATCCAACTCCCCCCCTGACGTGAGGATCTCCGATCCTCACGTCGTCCATGAGCTCACCTAAAAAAAAAAAAGAATCCAGTTTAACTCAGTTGATACCCACTCTCTGTGTCAAATCCTGGTGCATAGGTCTTGCCAATGCCTTTGTCAATAAATCCGCAAGGTTGTCTTTCGTATCAACTCGACGGGTTTCGATCTCCTTTGTCTCCATGACCTTTTCTCGAACATAGTGATGTTTAACATCAATATGCTTCGACCTCGCATGGAACTCTGGGTTGTGTGTCAGTTTCAAAGCTGAGTTGTTGTCGATTAGAAGCGGGATTTGACCAATCGACAAGCCTCGAATCTTCAGATCATTTATGAAATTCCGAATCCAGACGGCTTCTCTCGCTGCTTCAGCGGCCGCGATGTATTCAGCGTCCATTGTCGACTGTGCCACAGTAGCCTGCCTCTTGGACGACCATGACACCGGAGCTCCTGCAATCGTAAAAACATAACCTGTTGTTGACTTTCTTGAGTCTTCGCAGTTTGCGAAGTCGCTGTCGACGTACCCAACCGGGTCCGTACCACCGTCACTTTTGAAGCGTAGACCCTTTTTCTTGGTTGCTGCCAGATACGCATATACTCGATGCACAGCATCCATGTGCTTTTGTGTTGGGTTTGAACAGAAACGAGCAAGGTATCCGACCACAAATGCAATGTCCGGTCTGGTCCCATTACTAGCATAATTGAGAGAGCCAACCTTTGACTGATACTCGGTCTTGAATGCTGGTTCCGCAACTGTCGTTGTCTCTTTCCGTAGTTTGATTTTCGGGTCCATAGGGGTTGCAGCAGGTGTAATGTCTTCCAAACCATAGCGCTGCAGGATCTGATTGATGTATTGTTCCTGATGAATGATAACATCGTTCCCGTCGCGTTCCACGTGCATACCTAGATAATATGAGCAAAGTCCCTCATCTGTCATATCGAACTCTTTGGATAGTTCCCGCTTTACCTCATTGACTTTCTCGATATTTGCTCCGGCGATAAGAATATCGTCCACCCATAGGCCCAAAATCAGTTCCATTTTGTCGTGAATGAAGATGCATGGGTCGTATCGGGATGTCCTCCAGCCCTGGGACAGGAGAGTGTCTCTGAATCTCTCGTACCAGGCACGAGGGGCTTGATTCAGTCCGTAGAGGGCCTTTTGTAGTTTCAGGACACAGCCCCGTGGGGTCCTCATTCCCGGTGGAGGCTTCATGTAAATGACTTGGCTGAGGCGGCCATTCAAAAAGGCTGTTTTTACGTCCATCTGATGCACCTTATACCCGAGGGCGGCACATAGGGCAAAAAGAACACGGTAGGATGATGGCTTGACGACGGCTGCGAACGTCTCAGTGTAGTCAATACCCTCTCGCTGCTGGAATCCTCTGGCGACCAAACGAGCCTTGTAGGTCTTGATCTTGCCGTGTTGATCCATCTTCCGCTTCCAAACCCATCTGGCGGTAATAGCCCTCGAGCTAGTCGGCAGTTCCACGACATCATAGACTCCATTTTTCTTCATACTGGCAAATTCTGTTTCCATCGCCTCTTTGAACTTCTCTGCATCTGGTGCCCGCATAGCCTCGGCATAACTTTGTGGATCTGGAAGTCGACTCATATCAGCATCCGCTAACATAATAGCTCGACCTCCGAAGGTTTTCACTCCTTTCTCAGTTGAGGCCCCATTCTGGCCGTCGGAGTCGGACTCGTTTTGGAATGCCTGGATATCGTCATCCGTATCTCCCGAATCGGATTCAGCTCCAGCATCCGAGTCATCTGATTCAAGGTCCCGAACCGCCTGACGCGCTTCCTCGCGACTTCGTCTCGTTCCACGGTCAGCAAGCCCAGACCAGTGATTGAGTATTCCAACGGCATCAGGTAGGCTCTCTGCCGCATTGTCATTGTGTATCCATAAGTATCTGGTAGGCAGGCCAGGTGCATCAGGGACACTGGCCACTCTCATCGTCACATCTCGAGTCCAGTCCCCAATGATGGACCCAAGCCGAATATCCATTTGTCTTGCTCGCCCCCAGGTGTGTAGGATCCCAGCAACTTGATCTTCACTCAGATTGTCAAAGCCTAGGCCTCCTGCCAGAGTCATATCAAGTATGTCATCGTCCTGCATCAGTTCCTGGAAGGCCTCTCCCAGCTCCTCTCTCGTAGGAGGTGGAAGGTCGGGGTATTGTGCCGCCCAGCTCCGCATAATTGCTTCCATACCGCACATGAGTCCCTCGGAGGGGGTAGGGATAATTCTTGGCCCGTTTGGGAAAGCATTTGCGAGTGCAGTCGCCTCCGCGTCCGTAGGGTCAATCCCTTGCTGGGTGGTAGGGAGTGTGCTTCGACGCCCAGATCTGCCATCATGACGATGGCTTCTGTTTTGGAATATCTTCCTGACTTCGTCTCGGTAGTTGGGGCGTAGCACAACAACGGGCCCGTCACTGTTTTCATTGACCATGTGTGTCGGGACAGTATATCTCTCGACCGCGCCGTTCCCTTTCTTGTATTTGCAGAAAAAGATCTTTTCATCAGGATCATGTGGAGATTTCCGCGTAACACAGTTAAGGCAAGGTCGTGACTGATCACAGTTTAGCTTTCTCGATTTGCATCGAGCACATTCATCTGGGTCGCTTTCTTCTGCAAGCAGCTCGTCCATGGTGAGCTTTGTGCCGGCTTTTATGGTTTCTGCGGCCATACCCCTATTTACGAGCCCCGTCTCGCTCTCATAGTAACAACCTCTAGGGTTGTTACCGACGTCGCAGAGGCGCTTGCAATTGTTGCATGGGACTTGCCTATCACATCCCCCGCTCCCTCGCGACCGGCATCCGTTACAGGGCTGTGGCATTCGTTCCGCCTTGTGTTTTTCCCAGTCTTCACGTGTCATGCAACGCCGGGCAGTCTGAGTAGAGTTGCACCGAGTGCACGGAAACTCGCCACTACACTTCCATGCTTTCTTCCAGCAACGGTAGCATTGTTTCTTCGGAGGTTCACGAGAGGCCTCTTCCTTCTGCCACATCGCGGCGGTTTCAGGTAGGATGTCAATGCACCTGGAACCACTCTTAACGCAAGCTGAGCATTTTCCTTCAGCGGTTGCTTTGTCACATCGCATCTGGCGTCTAGCGCAGAAATCACACTTCTCATTCCACGGTTGTGGTGGGGGTCGTGGTTTTGAGGCCTTCCCCTTGTTTTCTGGTTTCACCAATGCTCGCGTTTCCGGTCTTTGGTCAACGCATTTCAATTTGCGGCGTAAGCACGACGAGCATGGTCCCTTCTTTTCTTCGCGATCGCACACAAGCTCTAGGCGAAAACATTGATCACACTTTGAGTCGTTGGGGTAATAATTGCGCCCCTTCCTCGGTCTTGGTGGTCGCTTGCGGAGCTTCGGGTTCTCACTCTTCTTTGCCAGGGCGGCGAAGTACTTCGAGCGTACCACCTCCTCCTCTTCCTCGCTCTCCTCGCGGTCCGAGTCGCTTTCACAGCTATCGTCTCCGGAGCAGTGATCATGAGCAGGCAGGTCATGAGTCAAATCATCATTTTCTTCGTCATTTTCAGATGTTCCAGGGTCTTCCTCAGCTATGCTCCCTGTTTCTTCTTCCAAGAAATCATCGGAGTCCTCTTCGTTGTCATCCGCCGATGTATCAGACTCGTCATCAGTCGGGTCTCCGGATTCTTCATGGCCATCTTCAGCATCCGTCTGGGGAATTGGGATGCGTTGATTTCTGGAGGGTTCATCATGGAGATCATCGAGTCCTTGGCCATCTTCCACTCGAGCTGTACCGACCTTGAAAACTTTACCCTTCTCAGGAGAGTAGACGCGGTAGATGGATTCGCTTGCACACCCCATCCAGTATCCAGGCCACGCGCGGGGACTATGCAGCTTAGGCTTATTTCCCGTCTTTTCATGTGGCAGCGTCACGTATGCTCTGCTTCCCCAGATGCGCTCCGAGGAGAAGTCAGGTTGATTGTCATAGATCACTTCCCACGGGGTCTTCTTTTCTCGGCGACGTAGCGCGCGTGCAGGGGACCTATTCTTTAGCCATACCGCGTGCTCAATAGCTTCAGGCCAGAGCTTCTCCGGAACCTCACAGGTCCTAAGAAGTTCGGTCGCTCGTTCAGTGAGGATGGTAGTGATGCGCGCAGTAATATTAGGCTCCTGGATCATAGGAGCAGCCTTCTCACGGACAATCCTATTCACTCGTTCCGCAACACCGTTCTGGTAGTGTTCGTATGGCGTCGTGGGCTCCTGTCCTATACCATGCTTTTGCATCCATGTGCCAACCGGTCCACGATGGAATTCGCCGTCCATACGGTAGTTGCGAATTGTGATTCCTAGGGAGGTCTCAATCTGCTTGTGTAGCTGCCGAAATTTCTCACCCAGTTCGTGTTTTCCCTTCATTCTAGCAGCCCATGTCATTCGACTTGCGTCGTCTGTCATAAAAAGGAAGTATTTGGTTCCGTCCCATCCTTCAATGGAGTATGGTCCCCATACATCAGCATGTATCAGTCTTCCTGCCTCCGCGGCATGTCGTTTGGCCGGATCTCTAGGAATGCTGACTGTCCCTTTTGTAATGGCACATATCGGACAGATTGCTCTCAGTTTTGCCCGAACCATCTCATCTGTGATGGGTATACCTGTGCTACATTTAAGTAGATTTCTCATGTTTTGCCAACCAAGGTGTCCAAGTCTCCTATGCCACAGGAAGACTGGGTCATTCATGTCTGCAACTGCGGCCACCAGCTTCTTTGGTGTGTCTTGTGGCAAAACGCGAGCTCGATATAGTCCATCAACCTTGTCAGCAACGCCGACAACTCGGCCACCAACGGTAAAGGTCATGCCACGTTCATCGGCCTTCTGTTCTTCGATCTCGTCTCCGCCCAGTAGCAGCGATAGGGATAGTAGATTACATTTTCCATCAGGAGCAAAGGCAACTTGCTTAAGTGTCATTAGGCTGTGACCCCCGTCTGGCGTCAAGAACTTTAAGTCAACACTGCCTCCTCCAGAAATCTTGAGTTTTGCAGTGCCATCGGCAGTGCCGATGTCCAGATCGAACTTTTGGAAGTTTGTGAACCACTTCATATCATTGGCAATGTGCATATTGCACCCTGAGTCTACCAACCACGTGTCTGAGCGTTCAAATGCCCCAGCTGCGAGCGTATGCAGAGCATTCCTTCCTGTCACCCCCCCATCCTCTGAATGTATCCCCAGCGCAGTTTGTATGCATCCGACCTGCCCCCCCATATCTCGCCTCGCCCCATGTCCAGATTTCTCAGTCTCATGATAGCAATCATTTCGACGATCCTGGCACAGGGGGTCAGCTTGAACGGGATGTTGGCTAGGGTGTCTTCGCGTACCTTCAGCTTCGGCTAGGGTATTCTGGAACAAAGTGACATCGGAACCAGCAAGGGCGGCGGTGAACTCGGGTTTGGCGGGTTGCAATTTCAGCTTCTCCTTGAGCGACTTTGGCATAAGTTCAGGGTGTAGAAGCCAGCATTTATCCTCGGCGTGCCCAGGCTTGTTGCAGTTGGTGCACGTGACGTCGGATTTGACCGCAGCCTTTGTGGTTTGCTGGTCATCGGATTTGGCTTTGTCTGGTTCGGCATCTTTCTTCTTCTTGGAGTTGCGGGCAGCTTCGCGTTCTTTCTTCTCCTTATTGTATCCGTCGATCTTCTTTTCTTCAGCCAGAAGAGCCTTGTACAGGAACTTGACATCATGAGTGTCGATTCCGTTCTTGAGTCTATCGAACTCGTAATGACTGACAAAGGATCGAAAAGAGGGGGTCAGACCAGCGATAATGTTAGTCGCCATCTCATCGTCACCGTATGCGGAGTATCCAGCTTTCTTCAAGTCGACCTTGTGCTGGCGGTGTTGATTGAAAAATGCAGCCAGATTTTCGAAGTCGCTTAGCTTGAGGGTGGTAACTTTGCTGAGAATCTCTGAACGAACGTATGCCTCACTGACTTTGTATGTGTCCTTGATATAGGCGTATGCTGCGACAGGGTCTTCCGGGTCTTCCAACTCTTCTTCGAGTTCAAGGCTTATGGTCTCGGTGATCCAGTCTTCGATCAACTTCCGGGCCTTGAGGACCTTTTGCTTGTTTTCTTTGTACTCTTCCATATCAATCTTGAATTCGCTGAAGGCATCTCGGGTGTAGGTGGTTGCAGTGGTTGTGCTCACACCTGCGGCTGCGCCTGCGTCTGCATCTGTCTTTTCTTGTTTCTTCTTGGAGGCACTGCGTGTAAGAAGAGGTGCTTCGGATCCTGATTCAGGGTTGAGATAGTCGGCTTTGGTAGGTTTGTTCTTGATGATCTTCTCATCACCAGTGAGGATTTCGAGGACACCAGCGTTACGCGCGGCACGTTCAAAGACACGCGTCCACGGGATAACGTTGGTCTGACCTTCGAGTTTCTGACCTTGCTTTGGTCCCTCCATCTTGGAGTCTGCCATCCTGGCGTTCTGCTAACACCTATACTTTATCAGGCCAGTCAAGTTTACCAGTAACGGAAGCTCATAACCAGTTGGAACTGATATCGCAAAGATGTTGATTGATTTAAGAAAAACTAACTAGGAGCGAGCGCACTTATATGTTGTGAGCGAGCTACCTACCTTCACTGCCTGACAGTGCCAGAGGCAGTGTCACAGGCAGTGTCACGTGAATACCAGGTGAGTGAATCCAACTTACCTACCTACGGGTAGGTCAGTTGACACCAGACAATAAATATTCCGATATAGCAATTCTCAATCGTAATTATCTACTTCGCATGACTGTATTTCACTTCGACCTGAAGGATGTGAAAAGGACGGAACAATAATATACAAGTAGATGACCCGAGAGGTCCGATGTACGAGTTGAGTTGACTTGAGAAGAAAATTGTCATTCATCTACAGTAGATATGTAGGCACTTGAAGTCCTTAGATGGCACGACGGGTTTCCAACCAAGCACGACATTTGGCCATCCTCTTTTTCCGTCTATACACACATACACTGACACATCCGAGTAAATGCAAACAACATTGACCCAATTGCGCGCCAGCTTCATTAACGAAACCCTGTCCATCTGAAAACCCTCCCGACCCAAAAATGTCCCACACCTCAAAACTACAATCTTGAGCCGTGAATCATCTTCAAGTCAACGATCAACTCTCGTCCACCCTCATTGATCACCAATACTCTGACACTTCCGTGTCCTTGGTTATATGCACGCTCAATCTTCTCCAACAGGTTTCCCTGGTCAACCACGGGGATACCTTGCTTGACATCACCGGTTTCCGTCATTGCTACAATCTGTCCATCATCACGGATGTCCAAAACACGGTATTGCTTGAAGACGGGGCCGAGCATGGTCTGTACCACGACTGATGGCTGTGGGTTGCTGACGAACGAGGTCTCTTCATGTAATTGACGGGTGAAGAGGTCTACACCGAGATATCTGTACTGACCAGTCTGGGATGAGACTGTGATGCGGATGACCTGAGATGGTCGACCTTGCAGAAGGAGAATGTCACCAATGCGGATGAAGTGACATTGAATGGGGACGCCACCACGGCCGCTGAAGCGGGGCTCAACGTAACGAGTTGATGCGACAGGACCGCCACTGGTAGGACCAGTTATACGTTGTTCGCTGATGATGGTCTCTTCGTTTCGATCTCCGCCATGGTGATGATGGTGATGGGAGAAAGGGTGCATAATCTTGTCGGCAGCACGTTCCACTCCTCGGCGGAAGCTGTGGTATTGTCCGTCGTCGTCGTAGTAACCCATGTCTCTTTTTGGCTTTTCGAGTTGAACTTGTGTCTTCTCAACGGTGATGTTCTCTTGAACTGGTCTGCGACGTTCGTACTCTACGTCGTAGGTTGGCTGGAGACGGCGGCGATAGTCTCTTTCAGTGATGTCGATTTGAGATTCGTAGGATCGGTCGTAGGTCCTGTCTTGGGTTTGACGACGCTGGTAGTCAACGTCGATATGTTCTTCTGAGCCTCGACGGTCGATTTCGATATCAACGTTGGTGGACTTGTACTGTTCTGGGGCAGTACGATATCTGTGGAGAATGTGTCAGCCATACCGTGGTCGAATGGTGGTCAATGCATCATGGTCTGAGCATTTGAAGCACAGGGCAATCTGGGGTAGGATGTCAAACTTACTTCTCACGAGAAAGCTCTACCTCGGGATAACGATCACGCTCTTGATAGATGTGGACGTCTTGTTCGCGGCGTGGACGGTTATCCTTGTAGGTGATATCGACTTGCTCCTGGGAGAATCGAGTATCTTCCCGTCCGACGCGCGAGGAGTTGTTGGGTAATTGAACTTCCCCTTCTACCTTGGTGACGGTAGTTTCTTGTTTGGAAGCGTCACTCCTGTACGTTGACGGGAAGACACTGATTGGGATGGGAACGCGGGCGTCAAAGTCCAGATTGCCGGGCTTTAAGGCGCCTTAACTCTCTTCTCCCTTTCGGCAGTCGAGAGTCAAGACTGTCTTTTGGGGTGGGAAAGGGGTTTCTCTTGGGAATGGAAGAGAAAGGAGGAGAGACTGATTGGATCAATGCTGATGATAATGCAAGTGACGCTGGAAGGGAGGTAGATGCAAGAAGCAAAGCTCACGAAGAACAGAGATGTTTTTTGGCTTGGGGGGTTGAGTGATGTTGGGTATGACAGGAAATAAGAGGAAGAAGAGAAGAGCAGACGTGAGCATGGACCTTTTAAAAACAGTCGGCCAGGGGAGACCAGCAGGTCTTTTCTTGTCCCTCCACAGGGAAAGAGCGTGGTGGACATGGTGGATCGACAGTAGGAGCGACCCTGCAACCAATCAGTCGGCATCTCGGAAGGCACCACAAACAAACACTGACAACAATCGTGGTTGCCGTGGTGAAGACGCAGCTTCTAGGCTTCTTCGGGCCAAGCTCTGCGCGGAAACTGTCTCATCACGCCGATTCATGATCCGAGGCTGTTGCTTAATACTGCACAAACTCTGCAATTCTGGTCTATTTGAATTTCTAATTATTGTTTTGTTACAACATGTGGACATTAATTACCTAGGTCGTTGACTTGACTTGGTGTTTGACTACCCAACGAACTGTACGTACATACATCAGTCCAGCTGTGATCGTCTGTTGCAGAGGGCGTGCTGTGCTCCCACCCACATGCACCAGCCCGCAACTCCCCAACCACTCCCCAGCTCTCCCAGCCCAAGCAACATCGTGTATCTCATCCATTGGCCATTTATGGTCTATCTGCCCGACCTGTAGCCAGCAACATCCTAGATGACATGATGAGACGACCGATCGAGTGGTTTCATCCAGAGCATATGTCTCCAGCCTTCTCCTGTGAGTCCATCCGTGAATGCAAGCTCTGAGGGCTGGATTGTCCCTGTTCAGCTGGCTTGCGCCCAGACATGCTTGGAATTATGCACCAGGTGGCTTGGCGCAGATGCATGCATCCCTCCCCTCTCTCATCCACGAGCATACCTATGTAGGTAGGTAGGTAAGCATTGTACTATATCTATCATCCTATTGTTCTTGAATCGGTTGCAAAGTGCAGGCGAACATGTGTCAGATCTGCAGGATCAACATTCACCTCCCATAACAATTCTACGGGCTGCAAGTTCTATCATGTTCTACGAAGTATGCCAATCACGCCAATCAGGCATACAAACTTTTGATCTTCCGTGTCGTCTACAGCCCAACTTGAGCCCAATCAACCTCATCATGTCTTATCGATACTTTGACCTCATATGCAAAAGTCGCTCGGCCTGAGCTCGTGCGTTGACGCCTCGCTATGCTTGGATACTTTCTTACTGAACTGGGTTTTCCATGTATTCGCAGATCGCATTCCACTTAGTGCCTTGAAACACAATTCCATTCGTACTAAAGCATCAAATGTCAGCAAATCCTCTTCTCTTCCTGTTCGCAAACATCATGTGTGAAAACTTACCACCCGACCATCTTCATCCCCAGTATATACCACCTGTGGCATTGGGAGAATGCAACTAATGCCCGCAACGACATTCGCCCCATCATCGCGGGTACTATCCGCATGGTTGAGCTGCCGAATGAGTTCCAATTCAAACTTCCCTTCGCGAGCTACGCGGCTCCATACTCGCACCTGGCCACGTTTATGCCCGGTGAAGATAAGGTCTCTCTCAAGCCACTCATTGCCCGCCCCTTCGTAGCACGCACACGACACAACGCTCTCCTGCGACCGATCTCCAGAGTCCTGTCGTAGGAGCAGGTCGCCATTCAAGCTGTACATGCTGATTTCATGTCCATGGCAGAGGACGATATTGCCCGTCACGTCGTTGATTGCCGCACAGCTGACCTGCAATTCCTCGTCGAGTTTGCGCACGAATTCGCATCGGTTAAGGTCCCAGAGCATGATCTGGCCATCGGACGACGCTGAGAGCAGAGCGTTGAAAGACCTCGATAGTGCGAGCACGCCCACTGGTTTCCGATGCCCAAAGAGCGTTGCTCGAGGGTGCAATTCGACGGATTTTCCATGCTCGAGAACCGACCACACTGCCACTGTACAGTCAGTCCCGGCCGTCACTAAAGTCTTCGAGTCCGTGAACATGGCGCACGAGAGCTGTCCTATGTGCAGGTGTTCGAACAAGCCAATTTGTTTCCTGCTTTCTGCCGAATAAAATCGAACGCTATTGTCCGAGAACCCCCATTCCATATAAGTATCATAGTTGGGTGGAATGTTGATTCGGAAGGCTCCAGAGCACAAAAGCTTATCCGATTTCCACGAGTAACTCAACGAGGCAACCCGCTCCTCGGTTTCGACGAGAGTCGACGGTACCCGGGTCAGTGACTCGGCGGCAGTATCCAATCGCTTGTACTTGTGCCTGATTTGTTCTCTCGCCGGATGCCCCCTCCCAAATACCTGATATGGTGTCTGCCCAAAATTGTGAATGATACCAATGGTGGCGAGTCGTTCCACAGAATCTGTAATGGTGTCCAGGTCTTTGGCTCCTTGATATGAGAGGTAATGAAACACGTTAACAGCTTCCACAGCAGACTCTCCCTTCTGCTTGCTGCCAAATATCAGATCAATCCATTTGTGGAGGTTGCGGCTGACATGAGGGCTCTCCAGCGCTTCACGCTGCTTGGCAATGAATATTCGAGGATCGCCTTTGGCCCATGGTGGTAGCTCTACGTTACCGATCGACTTGTCCGAATTCTGTCTCGTACCAAAATCGAACTCATTGAGATTGACAAGAAATTCGGGAAGGTAGTAGAACTCTGGAGTGAGCTCACGTACGTCCGTCATGTTGATCCGTGACGCTGACTTCCACGCGCCCTCGATGGAGAAAAACATGCGATCTGGATGATCAAAGGTGCCGCCCTGTAACAATAGATATGACTTCACGAATGGCTGTAGGCGAATGAGATAGGAGGTGACAATCATCGCAGAGGAATAATGAGTGCCGTAATGAAAGGCTGGTGTGCTACTGTCGCCCATTTCCGCAAAAGTCTGATACCGTTCTCGAAACTCTCGTTCTCGCTCGGGTGTCTGACATCCCATTGGCTTGGATAAGTCACGGAATGTCCTTGGGTCTGTCAGGTCGAGTTCTTCACTGGTATAGTCGGCTATGACCCAAGGGAAAACTGGATATTGGGTCAGATCGTTGTACGTCCTTCCAGCCATTGTGTTGATCAACATGAGATAGTGGAAATTGGACATCTCCCCCCTTTGCCACTTTCGTGTTGCAGCCAACGTGCCAGATTGTTGATTGAAGACATTTGCAAACCTCGAGCTCAGCGTTTGCGGCTCATCATCAACACTGCGCAGAGTCTCGTAGCGCCAAGCAGTTTCCGTTGATGAGCCAGCCGACGCCGGCGGAGCGGATGCTTTATTGCTGATCAGATTGTGCAACTCATTTCGAAGTTGTGTTGACTTTACTGTTAGGAGATAGCTGCGTCCATCACTGAAGAATATTTCAGTGGCCACATCGCGGAAGAGGAACCGACGTTTGGACACGCTGATGATTTCGGACCACTTCCAGCTACGGCTGCCATGCTCGTCGTTCCTCGAAATATGCTTGCGCTCGGTAACATCACGACCAGAAAGCATGCGCACGTACGGGTCACGTTCTTCTAGCGGCGCTTGCCAGACATTGACAATCTCTCCGTCCGCGCGTTGGAAAAAATTATCAATGAGATAGATGTGGTCCTTCCCAAGAATGAGCAATCCTTCAACCGCTTCGAGGCCCAGAATTCGAGATATGTTGGCCACATGTTTTACCTGATCTCCACGATGAAGGCTTCGCATGACTTTTCTATTCTTGTCTTCAAAATCATCAATTTCGACGTTGGGATCTTCCACGAGCTCAAAGCTATCTTCGCCTTCTGTGACCTCATTGTCTTCTTCTGGCTTGTCTTTACCCTCTTCGATCTGAGGAAACGGTTCTGTCCCGTCATCTTTCTTCGGTGTGTCAAAGACAGGTGTAACACCACCGGGAGTAACTCCGATAGAATCAGGAGCCGATATCTTGGTGTTCTTCGTGTCCAATCTCAACTGTGGCATGTCAGAACCTTTGCGCCTGGGTTGATCGTCTTCTGCTTTCGAGAAATCTTCATGCAATCTCATACGCATGCGATTTCGGCCTTCAGTCTGGTCAAGACGCCATTTGTGAGCTTTATCCGTACTGAAAAGACCTGCTTGCCTGGTGGTGTCTCTCTGCATCCGGTTGAAACTGGTTTCTGTGTATTGTAGGTCGTCTTGTTGGTCTTGAAGGAGTCGCTGGTGCTTTAAGTATTCCGATGAATATATATTTGCTGTCCAATTTTCGAACGCTAATTCATGTCGACGGATGAGATCATCGTGGTCAGCTTCTTCACGCGCCCACTGCTTCACTTTTTCCCGACGACGAGAAATTCGTAGTCGGCCGTTATCCTCGGTGCGCTTGTTCTCCGTGGTCACGAAGGCGTTCCACTGCTTTGAAAGTGTCTGAAAGAAAAGAGCATCAAGGTCGTCGCGGTGCTCATCGACCCAGTGCAAAAAGGTTTCATTATCCAGTTCGACCACTTTCTCGAAACTCGAGGTTAGGTCCTTTTGCTGAGGCGTATCTGTTTGCCCAAATATTGCGGCCGCTTCGTCAGGTTTCTGTACCAAGATGATCCTCCAAAGATTAGCAGCCACTTGACGTACAGCATTGTCGGAGGAGACCAGATGTGCGTATAACAGATAGCATATTTGCTGCAGATTAGAAGACTGGGTTTCCTCCGAGGACAGGAGGACAGTTTGCCAGTAGGTCAGCCTCTCAAGGAACTTCAAAGACTCATCATCCTGAATCGAAGATAAGCTTAGTAACACAATGCGGAAAACAACCGCTCGAATGATGGTGATTGTTTGAGCACAGAGCCGAACTGGTTTCAGCTGGGAAATGTCAGGGCGTTGCAAATACTCTAGGATTGAACCAGCTAGATCAAGGACAGGATCTGCACCACCAATGAACCATCCCTCGAAAAGGGCCTCTTCAAAATGGGTGAAGAGGCGTGCCAAATTGATTAACACCCGTGGCTCCACCAATATTTTCTGGTTCAAGGCGATGTTGTTCGATAACTGGGAAATTGTGTTTCTCAGAATCCAGGTTTCGAAGTATGACTGGTGTTCAGCGAAGCCAGGCGGAGTTTTGAGGAAAAGACCAAGCCCAGGAAATTCTTTTCGTGCAAGGATCTGATCGAGAAAGATGGCAATGACTACTTCCAGTAAACTCTGAGTGATGGCATGCCCTTCATTGAGTGGGGGAACTTTTCCAAGCGCAGACGTTGACCCATTTGATAAGGGGACATCTAATTCTCTCCCATTTTGATGTGCTTGTTCCCTGCTCACCAGAACAAAGGAAGAACCTCTTCGCAGAGTTTTCCCTCGACTCTTGGGAGCACTTGTCTCGGTATCTGTAATGCGCACGATAGGGGGAGTTGTAGACAAGGGCTGAATCACAACATCTCCTCCATCGAAAGTTAGCATAGAATCCCGTGCATCAAGTTCAGTCTTCGCCTCAACGACATCAGAACCAACGACAACAGGGAAAAGTACTGTCAGTAAGTCTTGAATGTATGAAGAATTTGCAGCGTAGTCACGGAATTTTTGCGAGCGTGTATGCAAATCTGCCATAAACCTCACAACTGTATTGAAAGTTTCGACGTGCTGATCAGTGACTATTGTAAGAAGTGGATCAGGTGGCGCCATTGTTGACATGGAGAGGCGCTCAGGGGGCTGGTTTGCCGGCTCGACAAGGCGTGGAGCCAAGGTCGAACTTGCTTGATGTCTCTTTGAGGAGACTATAGTCTTCAGACCACTTTGTAGCATTCCTTTGATAGCCTCCAAAATTTCGGGATATACAACTGAGAGTTCTTTCCGTCCAGCGAAGAGATCTATGAAGCCGAATAGGTCGAAGTCTCTATCCAAGTCCAGATCGGCAACATCTAAGCCAAACAAGATTGCATAACACGCAGGCCACAAGGCGGGCAGGTGCCACCATCTCTTCAGACGATATGCCATGATGGTAAATCCAGAGGTTTTTGAGCCGTCTTTGAATTTCTTGACGTAACCATCGCCATGTACAATCAAAAGTCTTGCCAAGATCCTCATGGATAGAACAACAACCTCTGGAGATGTTTCGGAGAGAAGGTAAAGTAGCCACTTGTTTGTGACGGTTTTGGCAAATTTTTTGATGATGTTGTCATCGCCTTTCCGGCACAGTAGTTCAGAGTACAATCTCAAGACCTCGACGCCGATTTCAAAATGAGTTAGGCTGGTTGAAGGTTCGTCTTTCCCACTGTGGGATGATCCGTTGGATGAACTACGCTGTCGTGCATCTTTGCGTGTAGATTTGCGGAACTGCAATCCCGCATTGCGTTTGTTCACAGAGAAGGTGATGAAGAGCGCAAGCGATCGAAGATTCTCGGCAGACAATGATTGTGGCAAGAGGACTTTGAAGGCAGCCATATACATCGGCATGATAGCTCTCGAGACAGGTTCAGACTTCAGAGCTTCCATTAATCGCTTCAACACTCTCATCCTGGAGAGTCGCTTTAAATTGAACTGGCTGTGCTCGCTTTGCTCAGCAAAGACGAGGAATTGGTCGAAATACAGTTGCTGGGTGATGAGGGGCCCACATCTCCAGATGCTGCTGTCTGCTAGTAAGACTTTGTAGGCGAGTGGGTTGTTGATCACAGATTTGGAGGGCTCGTCAAAAACATAGCCGGTAAAAGCAAGAATAGACTTGAGGGCTCGGAGCATCATCCCGCTTCTATCCAGGCGGGAAGTAGGTATTGCGATTGTTGTCCTCACACCTTCCCCATTGCCCTGTGTCGGAGCCGCGAATTTGTCCTTCAACAGCATTGCTAAAATGGCATAGCCACTATCTCGTTCCATGACCTCGCTGTTTCTCCAACTATGGCGGACGGTTTCTAAAGTGATTTCAACCGCCAAAGCAACATCATCTGTAGTCCGCGCTCGGTGCAATAGGCCCAGACCAACGGCAGCACAGCCTCCAAGCCTCCAACTGGCATCATCCAAGGATTGAGGGACTGTTATGGTGGGCTCCCCCATGAGCATGAATGCACCTCTGGCTTGAATCAGGGCGTCGTTTATTGCTGGAACAGCGCCATTGATCGCCACTGCGTTAGACCCTGACCTTGTGTATGCCACAAGGTTCTTTGCAGCCAACTTTGACAGCGATTTCACCAATTGAGTCTCGTCAATCGCATTTCTATCATCATTATCGAGGACAGCAGCAGGCGATACGTTGATAAGAATCTTATCTTCCTTTATCAGGCTACTAGCCTTCTGTCGTATGGCGAGAATGAGGTCTGAGTGGTCTTCCTTGCCGGGATGTAGCATCTCATTCCGTAGGTTTAACGCAGCGGACGCCTCGTAGGTCTGAAATGAGCCTAGACAATCTTGAAAATTCCCGTGGTACTTAGGACCAAGATGATAAAAGACGGAAACCAAATCATCACTCATGACATCTTGGAACAGCACTGCAGATCCAAGCGACCATTTCGACTGGCATGTTGCTCTTGAGGAATCAGGAGACAAGTCCTGGGGAGTACCGAAAAAGGCTTGGATCTTGACGGTGCTTTGGTCACGTTCGGTTGGTGGTTGTGCTGGATAGTTTGCTTTTTGCTGCTCGACAAATTCACCGTCTACGAACAAAAAAGCCCTGGAAGAAGAAGTAGTTTTCGGTCGTCGGTGGACTATGCATATATGATACCACTTCTCCGGTTGAAAGGCCACAGATTTAAACCTAACACTGGGCCGATTGCCTTGGACTGCCGTCTGGAGAATGAGGTGGCATGAATCGCGTTCGAGATAAGCCAAGATGAAACAGGTCTGAGACCTGTCAAAGGCACCAAAGAGAGTGGTATGGGCCTGAGTGTCAAATGAATCAAAACGGGCCCAGAGACTAAGAGTGTATCCAGGAGTATCAAGGGGAGGGAACAGCCTTCCAAGAGTTGCAAGCTCTGTAGATGCGTAGCCCTGCTGGGACAAGTCAAACTGGACACTCGGGGGTTGGCGAGATACCGTTAGAGCCTCTAAAAGAAAAGAAGCTGCCTCGGAAGACTTGCTTGCTTGAGTGAAGAGGTAATGGGCATCATCCAAGCTGGAGACTCCTTCCTGGCATAAAAGGAGGGCAACCTGTTTAAAGGCAGCTCGATCGGCAGTAAGAAGTCTTTCGTCAAAAATCAATTTGATAACCGCTGTAAAAGCACCTGCAGTATGGGCAGAGACAATGTTCCGTCGAGAGGCAGAGAGAACTTGTTGAAGACTTGTGGGTAGAGTTACCCTTAGAATTCTCCGTGGCAGATTCCCAGCCTTTGCTGCCGATGACCATAACGTCAAGATTAATGTCAACAGCTCGGGGACTTCCAAGTCATCGACATTAGCGATTGACTTCTTCAGTGCACTGTGGGCAATAGCGAATCCGTCGTCAGATTTGGAAGTAGCATCTTCACGCGAGGCGGCATTCTCAGCAGCAACATAGAGATCATCGATCATTTCCACACCAGTAGCAGTAGCGAAGAGTATTCCGAAGAATCGTTCGAGAACGAGGTCCTTCCCTGCCTGTGGCCACGAGATGGCTATAAATTGTTCCAGTGTATTTTGCAGGGAGGACCAGCCACCATGTTCGACCTTTGTTCTGAAATATCTTTGATTTCCTTCGTGGCCTTCCAAGGCCGCACCAAGAACGACAAACCATTGGGAGAGGGTTTGCAAAAATGACCTGCCGTTGAGACTAGGGTCTTTTTGGGCACTGAAGATGTCAACCAGGGTGCGAAGCAAACGCAGCAGAGCCTGGAAGCCACCGGCTCTTCTAAAGCCACTATTGGCACCATGCAGTTGGCTGTCATCTTTGAGATAATGGCGTAGTTGTTGCAGGCAGGTCGACTGGTCTAGGCTATTCTGAAGGGCGTCATATGAACTGCGATCGACGGTGTCTAGGGTCTTGACGAGGATAGAAATGTCTTTGTCCTGTGGACGCAGGACATCAGCAGTGGACACTGCGCGCATGCGGGTGTTGGTGTTGAGGCCCATCTTGATCAAACCACCTCTTATTTCGACACGGGACCTCGAGTTTGGACTTGCACCACTGCATATGGAGGGCTGCAGCCAACGCGGACAAGGCTGATGCCACGTAGGTGATGGCAATCCTTGAACACGAGGCTTTTCAGCATTTGGGAGGTATTCGCGCGGTTGTCAGTGAAGGGAGATGGTCCGGTGGGATGAGGGTATTTTTGGCCCCCAGTGAGATAGAGCACTGTGCTGGAGGTAATGATAATGAGAAAGTGCACAACTTGAAGAGGGGGACCCTTTGGACGCCCCGTCAGATTTGGTGTGACTGTACAAGATGTAGTGTTATTACCCTCTGCTACATGGGTATGTGATATAATCTATTAGTACTGACAGTGCTCAGTCAGTAGATTGTGCTAGACTGCGGTGAATGAGAGCCTCGAACTCCTGCGCAAGGCCCGGATGTGCGCGTTGAATGCGGTGCGTCACTGGGCCTGTCGTTCCGCCGTGCTGGTTGGAGATTTAGTACTCAGTCTGGTGGTGCTTCTCCGCGTTGCCGTCAACATGCACTTGCTGATCTGACCTTTTGCCACTTGATATATTGTTTCTCTCTGAGGGTAGCAGTTGAGTCCAACGAAGCCCATGCTGCAGTTTTGCTCGTTTCTGGATAGAGCAAATACGCACTGACGTAGTTACTTCCAGGCTCCCAAAATCCAAGTCCCCCAGAGACTCAGTATTGCTTTGGACTATTGGAAGCTATAACGTCTACTAGTACGTGAGTTAAACCATTAGTCAGTATAATGACCTATGAGCGAAGGTGGTGGGCTGCTAATTCTCCGCTAGATCGGCGTGAGAGGGAACCGGAATAACCGTGTAACCGCAGTGGGCAAACCGCGGGCGCCTGAGCCACAGTGCAATACTGAGTGCCTGGAGGCTGGAGGGAGATGTCAGTGTGGGGGTGACTCGGGGGTGACTCGAGTCGGGTGTCCGGGCAACTGGCTGCAGGTCACGCCTGGCCATACCTAGGTGGGCTGGCTGATAAGTGACGAGCAGGTTTACAGATCTGGATCTATTCCCTGGGAAGAAGCAGAACTTGAAGTGGGAACACCATCGTTGACTCAGACTCCTCTTTAATGAGTGACAATGATTGACGCTGGAGGCAATCACTTGGTCTCTATTCAAGGCATACTCGTCCGGATAGTCAAGCCAGGTGGCTGCTAGGTCATGTGCTGCCTGTTTCCGGAGCGGGCAATAGTGGATGCAGGTGTTGGTGGGCAGTGGGTGGCGGTGTTCCTGAACCCAATTGCCCTCGGCTTGGTTAGTGCCCAGGTGGTGGTGAGTCTGTGACCGAGACTCCGTCCTTGGACGTGGACAATAGCGTCCCCAGAGTGACGCTTGACCCGCCTCAGAATGCATCATCTGCTCGTCCGCCTATCTGCGTCTGCGTCCTCATTATCTCTCTATCTGTCCTGCTCTATCATCATCCTTCTCCAACCCTTCCCCATCATCTCTTCCTTCTCATCTTCCCATCATATACTTGTCCTTTCTCATCCATCATCATCATCTTCTTGCTCTGCTCATTGATTCGGAGCAGTTCTTCTCATCCCTTCTACCAACTCTCCTGGTACTTGTCATCCCATCCAACCATGAAGAGCTTCCTCGGCCTCTCTTTACTCCCTCTGCTGGCAGCGGGCTCACCAGTCATCATCGATACCATTCACAAAGATGCTGCTCCTGTCATCTCCTCCTCAAATGCAAAGGAGATCCCTGACTCTTACATGGTCATCTTCAAGAAGCACGTTTCCCACGCTGCTGCTGAAGCTCACCACTCTTGGATCCAAGACCTACACTTGAACACCCAGACCTCCAAGCAAGAGCTAAGGAAACGCAGCACCATCTTCTCGTCTGATGATGATGTCTTTGAGGGTCTGCGACATACCTTCAACATTCCCGGTGGCTTTCTGGGCTATGCCGGTCATTTTGATCAAGATGTCATCGAGCAAGTCCGCAGGCACCCAGATGTGAGTAACCCAACCCGTTCTACCTTACCTCTCTTCCGAATCGGATCTGCAATTATCAAGTTGCAACCGCTTGTTTGTGCTACAAACCATCAACAGCCGTTGCATCTTGGTTTCCGCTTCTCCTACCCTCAATTCTCGTTTCCCGTCTGTCTGGCCTAGTGCTCACGTGCTTCTTTCCAGGTTGATTACATCGAGCGTGACTCAGAAGTTCACACCATGAAGGAGTCTCCTTCCCTCGAGAAGAATGCCCCATGGGGTCTTGCACGTATCTCTCATCGTGATGCCTTGGGCTTTGGAGATTTTAATAAATACCTCTATACCGAGAGTGGTGGTGAGGGTGTCGATGCCTACGTCATCGACACAGGCACCAACACTGAGCACGTTGACTTCGAGGGCCGTGCCAGCTGGGGAAAGACTATTCCACAAGGTGATGAAGACGTTGATGGAAATGGACACGGAACCCATTGCTCTGGTACTATTGCCGGCAAGAAATTCGGTGTTGCAAAGAAGGCCAACATCTACGCTGTCAAGGTTCTGAAGTCTAATGGATCCGGCACCATGTCTGATGTTGTCAAGGGTGTCGAGTGGGCTGCCAACGCGCATACTGACGCCATCTCCGCCGCTAAGAAGGGCAAGAAGAAGGGCTTCAAGGGTAGCGTCGCCAACATGAGCTTGGGTGGTGGCAAGTCTAGAGTCCTTGATCTCGCTGTCAATGCTGCCGTCGATGCTGGTCTTCACTTCGCTGTTGCAGCAGGAAACGACAATGCTGACTCTTGCAATTATTCGCCTGCTGCCGCTGAGAACGCCGTCACTGTTGGTGCCTCAACCCTCAGCGACGAGCGTGCCTATTTCTCCAACTTTGGCACTTGCAACGATATCTTTGCTCCTGGTCTCAATGTTCTCTCCACCTGGATCGGAAGCAAGTATGCTACCAACACCATTTCTGGAACCTCCATGGCTTCTCCCCATGTCGCTGGTCTCCTTGCATACTTCTTGTCTCTCCAACCCTCCAGCAGCTCCGCATACGCAGTCGCTGAGATCACACCCAAGAAACTGAAGGCCAACATCATCGCCGTTGCCACCGAAGGCGCTCTCACCAACGTCCCATCTGACACTGCCAACATCCTGATCTGGAACGGTGGTGGCAAGTCCAACTACACTGAGATCATCAATGATGGTGGTTACACCGTAGCCAATTCCGAGACTATCGGAGACTACCTCAGCGAGAAGGCGGCTGAGCTCAAGGCTGAGCTCAAGCAGATCGCTGCCGAGTTGGAGCTCCTCATCGAGAAATCTTGAGCTTATGATGCCGTCGGGCAGATCCCAGACATAAATACTCTTGGATTTGTTTTCCTTCTGCAACATTTGGCGATTTGACACATCGCAAGCATCTTACCTCTTCTGGGTTGCTTCAGCATTACGCTACGGTTTGGGAATTTGCTCGATCGCACATCGGATAGGGATTGTGTATATTTGGAAACTGGACCGTAGATGCTACACAGTGTTTGCTTTGTCAAGCGTTAGATGGCGAATTCAAATCCTGTGCGTAAGGAGCACTAACAAGACTAGTCTTACCTAGTACTACAACAAACTCGTGGATACCTCTCATGATTTATGTTCCTGATTCTTCGTCTGCTTCATATTCGTCAAAAATTTACAAAGGTTGTGATAGTAGTCGAGTGAAATGGCATGGACATAATCACAGATACGCACTCTCCAAACTCAGTCTTATTGCTCAAAAACCTAAAAATAACACCTATGTTCATATATAGGCCAGCTTTCCCTTTTTATGCCCAGAGTCCAGTAGAAGGTATCCCCACCGCTCACTTTCGTGAAGGGTAAGGGGATCTCCTCTCCTCCTACCTACATCACTCCCGACCTCTTAATAACGGACTCGTTTCGCTCTCCTCGTGCCCATCATCACCCCCCTTCGGAAGAGTCCTGTAGCCACCACCATCGACCTTCGCAACCCTCCAAGACCCCTTCTCCGCGGCCGCCGAGAAAAACTCCTGGTTCTCCTCGAACGTGCGATTCCCAGTTTCCGGACAGTACAGGTACGTGAGAACCCATGCGATGGCGTTGGTAGCCGCGAAGACGAGCAGCAGGAAATACTTGAGATTGTTGAATCCAATGGGCGTGAGCAGCGTGACCGCGAAGTTCGCCAGGCCCCAGATCACAACGGAGATCGCTGCGCCCTGGGCGCGTGCTGTCGATGGGAAGATCTCTGTCGGAATCAGCCAGGGGGGCACGAGCCAGCCGATGCCGAACACTGAGGTCGCGAGATATAAGACGATGATGCTGGGGATGCCTGTGGCGAGGCGCGGGATCGAAAGTTGCTGCCGGTTGGACGCGAGGCCACCCAGGACAGTCAGGAGCGCAAAGGATATGCTCAGCCACAGTGCACCTTGCAGCATGAGTCTGCGGCGGCCGACGCGGTCGATCAGCACCCATGCGAGCGTCATCATCATGAAGTAGAAGAGGTAGTTTCCAAGTGTGATATACTCACTCTCGGTGACACCGAAGCCGAGGAGCTCGAAGATTTGTGGGCCATAGACAGAGACCGCTCCATAGCCCGTCAGGGCCTGGTTGACTTGTCCCATGATGGTAATGATAGTAGGGTGAAATTGAGAGCCCGATGGCAGCAACATGTCTGCATAGCTGACGGACCCGGCCTCTTCCTCCTGTTTCTGTGCGTCGCGAAGCTCCTTGATTCGGTCGTCAACGGCGTCCTTCCCAAATACTCGTGCGATGGACTTTTTTGCTCGATCTTCATCACCGTTGAAAACGAGCCAACGAGGAGTCTCTGGGAGCAGATTTGCTCCCGCGAAAAGCAAAGCTGGGTATATCTGCATGGCGATGATGGGCGTCCGCCATGCCCATTGATCCCACTTGCCCAGTCGATGTGTGACAATAATATTAACAATAAAAGCCATGTTCAACCCGAAAATGTTGGCCTGAAATTCCTGAGCGAGAGCTGTACCTCGCTGGTCATCGGAAGAGAGCTCGCTGCTGTAAACCGGGACAACAGAATCAATGCCACCTGGAAACTCGCATCAGTTGATGAACTCTCCAAACCCGCCGAATACTACTGACCAACTCCTAGACCCATCACAATTCTGCCCACAAGCATTGTGGCCAGGGCAAGATTAGAGCTCTGGCCCATCTTACCAAAACCAGCAACGAACATAAGCAAATTCCCAGCACTGGCTGTTGCTAGACAGGCAAAGATTCCAGGCCGTCGGCCTTTGACGTCTGCAAATTTGGAGGCAAGTACTGCTCCTACCGCACAGCCAAGATAGTATATCGACACGATCACGCCAACAATTGGTGACTCTTCAGTGATCCCCATGGTGGAGAGGTACGACTTGTTCGTGTTGATCAGGGACATCATGCCTATTCTGCGAGTCAGTCTTGAAGGGTGAGCTTGCACGTACACACTGTATTTCCATGCATACCTTGATCATACCCATACAGGGCAATTGCCGTGGAGCTAAAGAGCACGACTTGCGTCTGCTTGTCCAAAACCTTTCGGACATTGAAGCCAACCATCTTGATCGTTGTAGGAGGGATTTAGGGTCCCAGAGAAGCAGCGCGAGATGTGTGGAGAGCAAATTGAAGAGCTATTTGTCCGTGGTCACTGCATCTCGTTTACCAAATTGATTAATTGAGCTCGCATATCCATCCGCATGAGGAACTTTTCAGTGAACAGTGTACCAGGAAATATTCTACAAGAATGTCATCAACAAAGTTGGGGACTGTGGACGGACACCGGCCAATACAATGATGTCAGTTGGCTTTCACCCACCATGCTTCTTCGATCCAATGTGGCTGAAGCATATCTCTCATGTATGTATCATATGCATGACATTCGTCTCTCTTTACATGGTACATGGACTCGCCATAATCCGCTAGACTTGGGAAACGGTTTATCTTCTAGGTTCTTGCAATGGGCTCTGGATATTCATTTGACGAGGAATATGTCATGATGTCATATTTCATGCACGGCCGGTAACTATTTCGTCGAGCTATCTGAGAAGATCTTCTTAGTCTGCTCTTGTCCTCCTACCTCTGTGGCTTGACTGTGAGGATCAAAGTATGGCCGTTCTGCCTGCGGTGTGACCCGTAGCATATGCCGGCGGGTCAAACCTTCGTGGACAGCAAAATCTCGAAGCGCGGAGCTGGGTAGGGGATCAGCTGGTCAGCATGCCGATGTGCCAGTGGTTCGGAACTTCAGAAAGGATACTCACTGTTGTGTCACACGATTATCATAAACTACGACATTTCTGGGCCCCCATCGAACTCGAATGTGCCAATTATGGCCATGTTCAATGTGGTTGTAAAGAAAGTTCAAAATCGTTGCTGTGATCTCCCATTAGTATCGACTGGTGCAGATCCTGGTTTTGCTCTCAGATATCCTGCTTACTATCTGGAACATACCGAAGGGTGCGCTGTTATTCGCTTGCTATCTTTCGTACGCTGGGGCCGCAGCTTAGCCCATAGTCATTGTGAGTTATTCCTATCACTGACTGTCATATTCGTATATTTGAGTTCGGTTTGATATCACTAACCTTGTGCTTGTGTCTCAGGCATGGGGCCATGAGCTTAATGGCGGATCCGAATCTGAGACAGCTCCTGGTAGCAACTGGCAATATCTTCATATATACTTTTTCTACTTTCATCCCTCGTGAGTGCCATCTTTCTACTTGACCCTAGACCCTAGACGCTCGTGACATGCTCGTCGTGTATCGGAACGTCGACTGAGACCAAGTGCTAGTTGTCCTCTTTCCAACTTACGACGCACCGCACTACAAGTACGGCTACCAGATCCTTATTCTCTTTGGGGGGATCGCAATTATAGGTGCCTTCATGTTGCAGTGGCAGGAGGGACACGACCGGTAAATCGCCCTTTGCCATTCCAAAATCCATTCCCCATCTTCTCCTCGTGATGCTGATCTGATCTTGCCAATCAGTAGAGCAAAAAACAGACCATCGTTCCACGATTCATCGGAAGAGGTAATCTTCCATACCAGCGAATCTGATGACCCGCAAAAGATAGTATCCACAGGTGTTGTGGGCAAGGGCTTTGAAGTGCTCGGCGAACCATCCCGGCTAATCTCCAGGTAGATCACAAGTCTTTGAGCTGAACATATACTCGTATGGTCTGGAATGGATGGTGTACTAGCGCCTTAGAAGACCCCTCTCAATCTTCCTTCAGACTTGAAGACAGTCCTGGATATATCTTTTTGGCCTCTTATCATGTGTACGGTACCAATGATGTTGATTAGCCTCATATATATATATATATATATCGACAACTCTACAGCCTTCTATGGTATCATCAGCAGTGATTTGTTCTGTATATGTATTCTTACAGAATTTGCATCTCTCTACACATTTACGCCGAACTGAGTAACAAGAAAAGAGGATACGGACCATGTAATCTCGGCAAATGGGGTCTCCCATCAACCTTTTTCTGCGTTCCTTTGTATCAGCCGGTCCCAGTAGCCAACATGTAAATCTGATTTTGCGAAGCATTCGAAGAAATTTGCTAACAAGTAGGAATTATGCCTTGGTAATCGTGGCTGGCGTTGTCCTGACGGACATCATTTGGTCTGCGTATCTGCGAGGACGTTTCCGAGGCCCAGTAGTGGAGATCATTGATGATACTGCTATCGACACAGCTCTTCTAGGTGTCCCCCGAAAGAGTACGAACACACATACATCAAGTAACGGCGGGACTTTGGCGAAGCTGAACAAGCTCTGATCGCATGATGTGAGAGCACGTTAGTACCCATTTCCAGCTTCATCAGCTGAACTGGATCAATACGAACATTTCTCTCAATCACGATACCATTGACTACGAATTATAACTACGGAACAACTTGTCACACTTGAAGCAGTTGCGGTTTGAGTCAAAAAGTATGGGCAGAAAGATGACTTTCGGTACTCCGAGACAAGGCTGGAGCTTTCCTTGAGCCATATATCTATTAACTTCAGCTAGCGTAAGAATGTGTTCTGCCCCGGGACCAACTAAGACTCGAGAGACATGAAGCCTCTGTGGACGATAACATTTCTGTGCTACTGATCAGCAGATACTCAAGTGTGGGACAATAGTTCCGTCTCCTCTCAGCAGTTACGATTTCTGCTAATCCCCCAAGCTGGAATTATGTGCACCCACAAGGCTGCATATGCTTGGAATAACTTGCGATTGGACGGCGGATCTGAGTCAGATGATCACAGCCACAAATGCGGAATCTCTCCATGCCCCAAGATTGAGATCGCGGCCACCCCCGCCTTTTGAAGTGCAGTTCGATTCGGCAGATGCTCGAAGCAGATTGTTACAGAATCACTGGGGTTGCAGTGTTTCTCTGTAGATTCCCTGTGGAAAGGTTTTCTGCAACTGACAGTCTGTCGCCAATCTCCAGCAACAGTGAGCATATTTCTCTTGCTACCATCGCTGGCCTGCCTCGCATAGTCACGAAATGCTCTCCTCGCAGCTTCTCGAGCTAAGTCCATCGTTTCTAGGCTGTGCAGCGATAGTTTTGCTGCTTTCGAAAGCCTTTTACAATAGGTATTGCCATGGCATCAATCATATCCCGGGACCTTTTTGGGCGAGCTGTACAGACCTCTGGCGACTATACCATGCGTGGACAAGAAGACCCGAACTAGCCCAGATAAGCCTACATGAGATATATGGGCCTATCGTGAGGATAGGCCCCAAGTCGATATCAGTCTCGGATCATCAAGCTGTGCTAGTCATTTACGCCCTGAATAGCGGCTTCCTAAAGTCGGATTTCTACCTTGTTCAACAGACGTTAGCGAAGGGAAGACGTTTGTTCACATTATTCACTTCCATTGACGAGAAATTTCATGCGAAGCTTCGGCGTACAGTCTCGAACGCGTATGCTATGAGTACACTTGTACAATTTGAACAGTATATCGACTCCACAACGACCGCATTTCTGGATCAGATGAAGCAGAGGTTCGTTGATCGACCTAGAATATCATGCAACTTCTCAACCTGGCTTCAGTGGTATGCCTTCGATGTCATTGGCGAGTTGACATTCTCAAAACCCTTGGGATTTATTGAACAGGGCAGAGACATTGAAGGCATCATTGGCAGTATTGAAAAGATGCTAGACTACGCTGCTGTAGTCGGACAGTGGCCGTTCCTAGACAATATTTTCCTCAAGAACCCAATTCGAATCATGCTGAGTAAGTATGGACTGATCAACGCAAACACATTCATGGTAGATTTCGCACGGAAGAGGCTCTCAGAGCGACTAGATACCGTCTCCGGCGTGGCCAAAAAGTCTCCTGACATGGACTCATACGTGCGGAACGACTTCCTCTCACGATTTTTGGCCGCGCATGAAAAAGACAGTGAATTTATTACCAATGACCGTGTCCTAGCCCTCACAGTCGCCAACATCTTCGCTGGCAGTGACACGACTGCCATATCCCTAAGAGCTGTGTTCTATTTTCTGCTAAAAAACCCCATCACCATGCAAAAACTCCTCGATGAGCTGTTTGAGCAGAGGCGGACTGGAAACTTCAAACGCAGTGACGGACTGGTTGACTGGAATGAGGTGCGGGAACTGCCTTACCTATCTGCTGTGATTCAGGAGGCACTTAGACGACATCCGGCAGTAGGGTTGACACTGGAGCGTGTCACTCCACCCCAGGGATCAACCGTCTGCGAACAATTCATACCTAGCGGAACGATCATCGGGTGTAATGCGTGGGCCATTCATCGGAATGCCAGAATCTTCGGCCCGCGTACCGACGAATTCCGCCCAGAACGCTGGATTGACTGTACCAAGGAACGAAGGAGACTAATGGATAATTCCCTGTTTACTTTTGGAGCTGGGTCGAGGACATGTATTGGAAAGAACATCTCGTTACTAGAAATGTACAAGTTTGTACCTGCGGTCCTGATGGCGTTCGAGGTAAGTGGTCGAATATTTGCATTGAAATTTCGAAGGTGAAATTGACTATCTACCAATAGATCTCGCTTCCGAATCAGAATTCAGAATGGACTCTACACAATGCCTGGTTTGTGAAACAAAGTGATTTCTTGGTCACTATGCGAGCACGGCCGTCAGGCTGAGGCCATCTTTTGACAAGTCAATGCGCCAAAACTAAGGGGAGCACTCTTGATGCAATGGTCACAACCAGTTCATACCGAACTCGCATAAGAAACATGAACATTTTATTCTGCACACAGATATTGGCACATTAGTCTTCGAGTCAGGATGGTCATCTTTAACCGGAGACATTCATCGCCACTAAGGTAGCCTTGTTCTTTGTCGTACAAACTGCGGTAACAAAGTGTACCAATATTCAGTATCAATGCGACCGACAACGCTCTGAACCATCAACCATAATACATCTACCACTGATCCACTATCGAAGCCGAGTAATTGTTCGCTAGAGCGTGAATAATATACCTAATGATTACAAGTCTCTGAGCTCGACAGGCGTTCTAGCGGACTGAAAGAGAACTTCAACCTTCCCATAGTTTGCTAGGGATTTAAAGTACTCTAAACTCTAGAATTGGCATTTTGACCTGATGCTAGTGTATTTGGGAATAAAAAAGTATCAAGTGTAGCACCTCAATACCTAGCTCTATGTGTGCTCCATGACTGCAGAATGGTCTGGAAACGACAGTGGTGTACCTAAATGAGCATCTAATATCCATTCAGAGAGTATGTGAAGGAGTTTTGCATGCACACGCTGCCACACTAATATGGCTTGGGCGTCGCAGCTACGCCCGTACCATAGATAGCGTTCGAGAGTCATTCGTACATCCGAGTACGTACGAACGGGGGCATCAAGCTCAGAGCCTCCAGCTTTCGACAATTCCATGACGAGCAATTGGTTCTCGAACCAAAATTGCAGATTGTCGTTTCCAGTGGCGATAGATCCTATGGCACCGATCATGCAGCACCAGGTACAGAGCTCAATCATTTCTTTGTCCTCAAGCCTGCTGAGAAGATTGTCAATGCCACTCTTCATGTCCTCTAGCACACTCCGCAGGGAGTACTGATGCACCACTCGAAAGATGACGCACATGTTAAATGCGAGCAGGGTTGACCGAACCAGGCCTGTTATGGAAGTGCCAAAGCACACAGGCATCTCTTTCATACTCTCGAGAAGCCGATAATGAATGAGGTTTCGATGTATGGACAGCTTTGATAGGTTGCAATCATCGGATCGACCACTTTGATAGACTTCAAACAGCAGGCATAGTGTGCGAAGATCGAGGATGAGTTCAACAATCTGCGGATCCAACTCAACACCCTCCACTAGGTTGCTTAGGCTCGGCTGAACTTCGCTTGCCTTGAGAACCACTTCTTCAATGTGGTGACCAAAAGCGGTGAACCTTGTTTCGGCATCCTGAACTGTCCTGTAGAGTTTACAAAGCGGCAGTGTTGGGTTGGTGAGATTGAGGGTAGATGATATTACGTCGAAGTACTGGACCAAACTAGCGAGTCCTCGGACCTCCAAGCAGTCTATGCCACATGCGCCGATGATGTTGACAAGGGCAACTCGATGTGATTCCACAAACGGCAGGCGGCTGTAGTCGTCCAACCACTGCAGGCTGCTGAAAGTGCCCAAAATGTTGTGCCTGTGGTCCCACTTCATGGTGCTGAGGCTGTCATCTATCTGCAGGAATAAGACTGCCATTATGAGTCCATCGCGTGGGCAGAAAGCTTGCTTTGAGAGTTCCGTCCGCAAAAGCTCCACGGTTTGGTGGTAGTAACTCAGCATAGCCAAGTCCAAAGTGCGTGTTCTTCTCCGGGTCTGAATGTGAAGAATGGCGGCCCACATCAAGGCGTTGAACAATACTGGTTCCTGCAATGCAATAGGCGCCCAGGCCTTTGCAACTGCATGCTTCTCTGCACCGGGATCAAACCCGGGCCAGAATATGTTTACCGAGTAGTGAAATACCTCCCGGGCCAGAGGGTCGGAAAGCTGAGTGATGCTTGCCCAAGGCTCTAGCTGAAGAGTGGTAAGCATGCCGCGCCACACTCCACCGGATAACATCTTGGCTTTCACTTTCAAACGGTCTTTGTCTCTGGCTTTGACGTACTCAATGATGTGCCGATTGATAACCTGCCTCCTGACTGGGTTCGAGACTTTGTCAGGCACAAAAAGAAGTTTCATTGCTCAAATGCTCAAAAATGTCAATTCCAGGCGTTTCTTGGCTAGTATTGTCCTTTTGTTTTCTAGCTGACATTGCGATCTCATATAACAGCGTACGATGGATACAACTTTACATCCACAACTATCTCGAACTATCTATAGCCGCATCAGGGGCAAAGTTTCAACCGAGAGCTAAAGAAATGTACGGTTTGTGGGTGTCAGACGGTCGGAAACTATCACCATTATACAAACAGGGCCAGGAAAATGCTGATCGGGCCGCTACAGACCATTGAATCCCGGGATAATGCCACCCCGTCATTATACGGTGCGAGCCATTTGGAATAACGGTTTAGATATACGAGAGTCTTATTTCCCATGTGGATAATGATCTATATGTATAGTGACTCAGACACGATCCACAAGGCAGGAAATACATCGACTCTTAAGATCAGTGGCATTGTCCACTTTGGGCTCACCAGGACGCTTTGTCGCCGCATATGCTGTCAAAAAGTTTTAGATACGGCAGCTAAGCAAACTTATTCTTTGGAGATCATGTCCTCCTGGGTTTCCTATTGGTAGGAAGTTCTTCAACACAGGTGGCTCAATTTCAGAAGTTTGAATGTATGGTTACTGAGCGACTGGCGCCATAGAAATTCAGGGGTCGTGGCCTTGCTGTGCCGAGGTGGGGCCGCCAGCGGCGGAGGTCCTCCGCCGAAAACCTCGCCCAGCTGCATATCTCGCAATACGCGCCATCCTAGCTAAAGCACGTAACTTAAAATCGTTACGCTTACGTAGATTGTTACATACTGCCTGCTGCATGGAATAAACGGAATTACTCATTGTCATTCCGACACAAAAATGAATGTTGTCCTGACGTAACGTCCGCGTGCTTGATATGGAAACGTTCGTGTGCTTGATATGGAAGCGGTGTAGACTTGAGTCTGACGGCTGCGAGATAACGGCTGTTGTCTACAGAGCAGAGCTTATTGACTACCTCCTTGTAATCATATTTCCAATATCGTTCACTATGTGCACTAGGGGAAAATGTGCTTGCAGTCCAGTTCCTGAAGATCTAGGAAAGATAGTGTAGCTCGCAGTATTGTTAGCATTCGAGATGGAGAGGCACAAAGTTATAGGAGCCCTCCAAAATGCATCAATGTGAGTCACTTTATATCTTTTATGTGTCGTTCTTTCAATTTTGTTTCAGTTACCTGCGTACAGCGCGTTGCAGTACTCTGAAATACCTCCTAGTCTACACAACCTCTTATCACAAAGTCTCAATCCACTTCCTAGTTTCGAGAATCTGACTTGCAAAGGCAGGCCAGCTGTGCTGTACCGACGCGTTCTTTCCCTCCGTCGACCAGCCGGCAGTTGCATCAGACCTGTACAAGAGAAGATCGGTATTAGTCTCATGATTCATGAACGAAAGAGCGAGCGAAGCCTTACAGCATCGTGATGTTGTACCCACTGTCAGGAGAATGTTAGCGGTGTGTCTAGTAATCCCGGGCTGTTCGAAGGTACTCACCGTTCGTTGGCTTCCCTTGCGGTTGTTTCAATGCAGGAATTGACCACTAAGCCTGCAAAGACTAGGTGGGTGATACTGTGCTGGCGAAGCAACCAGTCAAGATCAGTGTTCTCGAAGGAACTACCGGGCGCGTAGTCAGCGAGATGTTTTTGAGAGACGTTTAACTGAATACGAGTACAAGGGATAACAACCTCTGATTCCAGTGCTTTGAAATCACCGTGTCTCCTTTCTCGACGTTTGGCGCGAGACTTTTGAAAACTTCGGAACCGAAAGCACCCTCTTCGAAAGCCTGATTCTGCTGAATACTCTGCAGCATGGCATTTTGGTGTTCAAAGCCTGCATACTTGCCTTTGCGGTATTGCTGGTGGAGGGAGTAGAAGGTTGGGATGTTGTGCTTGCGTGCCGCATCAAGAACGGCTTCGAGATGCTCGATTGTGTTGGAATCTTTCAAAGATTCCGCCAGCCCTCCATATAGCTTGCCGTTGGGGTGCAGGAAGTCATTGTAGACATCAATAAGAACCAGTGCCGTTTTGGAAGCCATTATCGTATCTGAGAATGTGAAGAAGACGGGTTTGGGCTGTGTGTCGCGGCTGGTTCAGTTCAGAAGGATGAAGATTGAGATATTCCTTGAAAGTGATCTAGGGTGTAATCTGCTGGGCGGAGGTATTAAGTACTTTCGATGAGCCTTGGAAAGTTCGCCCATAATACTTCTCACATCAGTGTTACGTGCCATGGCTTCACTAAGACATCGCTGAGACTGGAAATCGAAAGTGACGGGCTTACTGAGCCAGCGTGGCAGTGGGCGGACTGCCTCCGCTGGGCTCTGTCTCCACTCATCCGCCACTTAACGACACATTGAGAAGGTGGATGAATGCTGAAGCATTTGGCAAGTAGTATCAAAGTCTCCTTAGTCACAACTTCTTGTCAACCTCATATGTGTCAGTGTGTCTTTTTGGAATTAGAGACATTCTTGTTGAAGAGCGAAGTCTTTGAATCGGCTTGTCCAAGTGCTTTGCTCACCGTTCTTCTTTTCTGGGTACAGGTATATTTGGTGCAATATCTATTTTAATCGTGACTTCTTTCATTCATTCTTGGTCCTTCGTAGCAGCATCAAGTACCCCCGCCCATACTTCAGAATAATGGTTCCTGAAGTGACTCTCCTGATGTCGTGGTATCCAGCCGAGGGACCTGCCTAGGTCACCATTGGCGCATATACTGTAAATAGGCAACAATCAGCATCATAGGTATGGTTCAAAAGTCTTTCACAGGCCAATCGGGCCCAAGCTGAATATAAGTAACTGACCTAGAAACAAACCCCAGCTCGATAACCATTTTGCTGTCACTCCAACCGAGCTTCTTGACAGCCTCGTCAATAGTCAATGAAACAAGCTCCTCGTTTCTGCTGACTTTCAACTCGACAGCCGCTTTCGAGATTCCTTTCGAGATATCATGATATGACTGAGAGCCAGAGGTTACGAAGAATACCCCTTTATTGCCGAATGGCACTGGCTTGTTAGTTAACAATTGGTCAAGAATCAATTCGCAGAAGGATCCGACGTCTTCAATATGAACATGGCTTTTGCGACCTTGCCCATTTCCCACGACACTCGTATAGCCGTCTCTCAAGGTTGCTTTCATCAAAGCCGGTATTTGTCCCGAAATAGTATTGAAGTCGCCAGTACCAATACCATAAAGAATTGGTAGGTATAAAATGTAAGTTCTGACATGCAACTCCTCACCTAGAGATAGCACTTTGAGATCAGTCGTCCTTTGAGGATAAGAAATATCATTTTCAAGAGACTGAAGGGTCGTGGTGATCCGTTCCGGATCACGATCTGAAAAGGGGATTTTGGGATGGCTTGTGTGGAGATTCAAGACAGGGCTATCTGCGAGGCTCGATGTCCCTGATATCTGTAGCCAAGCAATGTCACTCGACGGTAAGCAACAGTCAGATGCCATCAAGATCTTACATGAATATAGTATACATCCGACCCTAGTTGCTTCTTCCGCTCAGCTAGGCCCAGAATCAGCGACTGTGCGCAGCCTGTATGAAAGCCCGAAGCGGTGTGTATGACGACTGAGTGAGGTGTCAAGATCAGCTGGAGTGATTACGGAAGGTGGTTGGTTCTAAGATGATGGGTTGAACATACCATCATGCTCGGCAGCTGTTTGTCGTATGACTCCATCGTCATCAAATCCCGCGAACATCAAGACACGGACGCCTTTACTCTCCAGTAGATGGGCTTGTTGCCTTCTGCGTACGAGCACCGAAATCGATAAAGCGCTAATGCCAGTATTCTTTGATGCTAACAGAGTTGACAGTACTGTGCCACCACTGGCGAATGAGCATGATTAGTAGAGTAGTCGTCTTGGGAGACCATTTTGGTTAGTTTGGAGACCAAGCCCAGGCAGACTCACACATAACCAGTTGCACCAGTAAGGAGGATCTTCTGAACCATGCTTGCTAACTACGTGATTCTGATCTTGAAGGATTGGTGTTGCAAGAGTTCGAGATTGCAGACCATAGAGTCTGGATTGAGCGGATACTGTCGAGGTTGAATTGATTCAGCCAGGTGAGATGACGTGAGGGGAAGAGACATTGCACCAAAAGGTTGCGGTATACTACGGATGACTTGAATATACAATATGAAGACCAGAAAAAACACTGGTTGATTGGACTTTCTGCACACTGGTAATATTTGATACATTAAATTCTGTTGCGTGCCCTGGCCAAACAGTCCATCACGGAGCCACAGCGAGTTCGGCCTCTTTCTCCTGTTTCTGCTTTTCACGCTCACGCTTCTTTTCTAACAGACGGCTGAGTTTCTTCGCTGTGTTGAACACACCATTCGTACCCGAGCCACAAGCTGCACAAGAAGGGTCTTTCCGATATCTTTTGAGAGCACAGGCCTCGCAGAAATAGTGTCCGCATTTTGTGATGATTGGGCTTGTGTAGGATTTTTTGCAAATGATGCAGGCAAACGGAATACTCTCAAGCAGAGCTTCGTCGTCATCATCATCTTGTGTGGACTGTCCACCCCTGTTTGCGGATGCGACTGTAGTCCCAGACAACTTTTTACCTTTCGTAGTGATCTCCCAATCCCGATCTAATTGCCATCCATGCTTATAGTCTTCGCGAGCGTGCAGATACTTGCAATTATCACCAAATCCACAAAAACCCGTCTGTTTATAATCCTTGCACACATCTGGTGCAAAATCTGTAACGGTGATTGTCCTGACGTTGCTCGATGCTTTCAGTGGTCCCACTTGCTTTCCAGCGCGGTCGGGGTTCTTTTGTATGAATGACTGGTAGTTTGCGGCGCCCTTGTATGTGCCATCTGCAGTAACCCCATCTATCGAATCCCCAGCAAGAGTTCCACCGGGTTTCTGCTTGCCAGAATCTTCAAACCAATTTGAGATCTTGGTGGCGTCATCCTGGTTCGACGGTGCAACGATGGCAGTCGCAGGCTCAGTTTCTGAAGGACCGGTACGGACTTTATTATTCTGTGTTGAAGAGGCGACTAGACCTCCAGTCTTTCTCCTCCGCTTTATCTGTCTGCCCTCCTCATCTTCCGAGGAAGTGAAGCCCGAGTCAGAGTCGCTCTTTGGATGTGTTGCCTCTCTTTTCCGGATGATGGATTTTGATTTGTTTTGTCGCTTTTTGAATGACACCGGGGCCAAGGTCTGGACTGGCTCTTCGTTGTCCATGACGATGAATCTGTGGAACTCACGGACGGGAGAAAGACGAGAAAGAAACGCAGAGATGGACTGTGTTATTGAGAGTGCTTTCTGTGCCAGTGCCACAATTTGGAGAAACCATCGAAGCTGCGGGACGGCCTCGGAATTGTCGCATGCTTTGATAAGCCAAGGCTCTGACGGGAGATCGACAGCGCTAATGAAGTAGCCAGCCTCGGTCTTTCTATTCATCCGGCCCAGGAAGGTTTGCCGACATGTCCCAATATGCGTGCGGAGTTGGAGATGTGAGTTGCGACTTTCGAGTTCAAGAAGATCCAGACCGGCATGCATATCTCTCAGCGTTGACCTAGTCATACACCGTTCTTTCCTTTATGTCTTTCGGGTATAGAGTTGCATTTCTTGCCATTTCCTATTCTCCTTAAACCTGTGGTCCGCCGCATGACCATGGTTGATCAACAAGACAAAAGCCAGCGAACTGGTGAACCAGATCATCAGCCTCAAGCAACTGCAGGGTCTACTCCGAATAACGACGCAAGAGAGCGACAGAAGATAGTCGACCTCAAAGTCACCCATATTCTGCTTTCTGTCTTCTTCCTCTGGCTTGCGTATGCTACTCTGGACTGATTGTGGATTTGGGCTGACAGACTTCTAGTATTGTGCATGTTATTGGCGTCCTCTTTTTTGCAAAAGGCTTTCTTCTTACCCGGCTGGTGCTGGACAATCGGTCGGAATGTGGTGTACTACCTAATGGCGAACAACCAGAAGCTTCCACTGGATGCTGGCATCCGAAAACATTTGACCGAGCAGTGGTCCTAGTCATTGACGCTCTCCGATACGATTTCACTATTCCTTCTCATCGCTCGTCAATCGAGCCCCAGCCGAAATATTATTTGAACAACTTGCCCATCTTGCATAAAACGGCGGTTTCTTCTCCTGCGAATGCGTTCCTCCTACCATTCATCGCTGATCCTCCCACGACTACTCTGCAGAGACTGAAAGGATTGACGACAGGTACTTTGCCTACATTCATAGACATTGGCTCCAACTTCGCAGGTACAGCGATTGAGGAGGATAACATTATCTCTCATCTGAAGGATGCTGGAAAGACGGTGGTCCATCTTGGGGATGACACATGGCATGCATTGTTTCCTGGGTATTTCGATCCCAATATGACGCGCCCGTACGACTCCTTTAATGTTTGGGATCTTCACACCGTGGACAATGGTGTTATAGAGCACATCATCCCGCTCCTAGCAAGTCCGCCAGGTGAATGGGATGTGATTTTTGGCCATTTCCTTGGTGTTGATCATGCCGGACATCGTTATGGACCAGATCATCAAGCCATGGCAGAGAAGCTCAATCAGATGAACGGTGTCTTGCAGCAGATCATCAGTAAGATAGATGATGACACACTCCTCGTTGTCTTAGGCGACCACGGAATGGACCCGAAGGGTGACCATGGTGGAGAGTCTGACGACGAAGTAGAAGCGGCCTTGTGGATGTATTCTAAGAAACCCCGATTCGGCAGGATAGATGCATCAGCTCTATTACCGCCAGCTACTGCCAAAGAACGACCTGTGGGTCAGATTGATCTTGTTTCAACCATGTCTCTACTTCTCGGTCTGCCTATTCCCTTTAACAACCTTGGCAAACCAATTGTTGAGGCGTTCGCTGGTCCTGGAAAACCTGACTGGAAAACTCTCACCAATGTTCACCAACTGGCGCAAAGTCAAATTGCAAGATACCAGGACCATTATTCAAGGTCACGGGATCTTGGACTTGAGAATGTTGTCCACAAGCATCAATCACAACTCCTCGAAATCGCAAACCGTGCAGCATCTGCAGGGCAATGGAAAGATGCGTACGAGGCCTACTCCGAGTGGCAGCACGAAACGATCTCCATGTACAGAAAGCTTTGGGCGAACTTCAACCTTACAGACATGCTTCTCGGCGTCGTCATCTCATCCCTGGCTCTAGTCTCTTTGTTTCTATTCTCTCGGTTCTCAAGAGGTGACAGTTCAAGCCTTACGGCTGGCCTCCTCAGAGTGTCAACTCTTGGTTCGGTTTTGGGAGCAGCATCCGGAGTCTCACTACCATTCCTACTACCCTCACACTTTTCTACTTATGGCGGTATTTTTTTCGGCGCCAGCATCAGCGGCATTGCAAGTGCGGCAATTTGGGCGTACCGCAACCAGCTGATTGGAGGCGTTCTAAAACCTTCTATTTGGGGAGGCATGGCTGCAATTTTTTGTCTAGCCCAATGCGCAGGGTTTGCCTCTAATTCATACACGATTCACGAAGACACGATTCTCCTTTTCTTTCTGACATCCTTTGGCATCATTTCACTGATGTCCTCCTTGCGCCAGGCTTCTAAGAGCGACCGCGTCTTAGGGACTTATCAATCGGTGGTTTTCATTTTCCTCACCAGACTCGCTTCTTTCTCGCGGCTATGTCGCGAAGAACAGATGCCAGGCTGTCGATCAACCTTTTACGCTTCCTCAAATTCTTCCACTTCTGCTCCATGGCATTTGTTGATACCTTTCACAGTTGCCCTTGTCCTGCCCGAGATAATAAAATCATTCTACAACACAACGGCATCGTATGCAGCCTCAGCAGGCTTTTGGATCGGATTCACCTTCCGGATGGGACTGGTCCTTGTTGCCGCATATTGGACTATCGATGCCGCCGATAATGGTGACTGGCTTCAAGAAAACTTCTCTTCCTCCTCATTAAAGACTGCCGGCATTGTGCTCGCACGTTCTGCCCTGGCAGTCGCCATACCAATAGGCATTGGCACTTTTGTCTGGGCAAAACCATGCATTGACATAGAGATCGCAGAGTCTGTGCAATCTTTGGCCGTTGGCTCAACGAAGACGAATCCAGCTCGTCCTCAAGTGACTATCTATGGATACGCCAATGTCTACGGGACGCGATATTTCCTCCTTGTACCAGTGCTGGTACTGACCATCACTCTCCTTCTACCACCAATGGGTCAATTCAGCATGGCAATCCTGACATGGCAGATCCTGTGCCTGCTCGAAATCCTGGACACCAACAACCTGACAATCACCTCACGGTATAAGTCGTCTATCGGACCCATCGTGCTCGCCATGCTGGGCAGCTACCACTTCTTCAAAACTGGACACCAAGCAACCCTCGCATCTATCCAGTGGAACAGCGCGTTCGTCCCACTCCGCACAATCCGATACCCTTGGTCGCCGGTGCTCGTCATGCTCAATACATTTGGAGCACAGATCCTCTGCGCGGCCGCGGTACCTCTAACGGTGCTGTGGAAGCGACCGGTGGGTAGATCCACAGGCCTGAGCCGAGGCATCTGGAATGACGTGCTAACTGCATGTCTGACACACCTGCTGTACTATGCGGCCATCGCGTTGGCTACGACCCTGTGGGCCGGTCACCTCCGGCGGCATCTCATGCTGTACCGCGTGTTTATGCCGCGCTACTTGATGGCGAACGGCGTTTTGGTGATAGTGGACTTCGTGCTGCTAACAGTGGCGCTTGCTGGTGTACGGGTCACCGGTTTGAGCGTAGGAGAAGTCTTTGGGTACTAGCTCAGCCAAGTGGCCCGTTTATCCTTACCCGGCTCATTAGGAGTCGTTGGTGGTGGTGTGCTCTGTAACAACAATACAAAAGCTTTGCTTGTGTAGTATCCGTCCACCAGGTTATTCCAATTTTTGAGAGCATATCTCAACAGAGTTCTTCAAATCGTAGAACCGTATTTCGTGTAGTTTCGTGATTGCGGGCGTCCACCCACCTCGTAAGAGGTCACTTGAAACATAAAGTTGCCCCCAAGATTAGACGACACCACAGTGTTTCTCAACTCCCTACCCGCCTCGATGGAAGTTGGATCTGATCAGCAAGCCAGCGATCTTCGATTTCATCGGCCATGATATCAAACTTGGCGGAGCTGAGGGCGCCGACACCATCAGCATCCGGGCTCGCCAGCCAAGACCACATGATCTTGAGAACCACGTCTCTCGAATCAGGGCTCGCCATCATCATGAGCTCGACGAACTCGTAGACCTCCTCGACGTCGAAGACGGCTTTGGTAAACTCGTCGCGCCCCTCCGAGTCCGCAGCATAGTGGGCCAGCATGATCAGGAGCAGCAGACACGGCAGCTTGGCGCCGAAACACTGCAGGATGAAGTTGCTCGACTCGTTGCTCGACTCGGTGCATTCGATCAGCACGCGCAGATACGTGCTGCTCGTGCTCTCGCTGTGGCGGAACGCGTACATGGCGCTGTTGATGGCGAAGAGCATCGAAAGGTAGAATTTGTATTCTTCGGGCGTGGGCTTGCCAAGCGGGAGTTCAATGTACTCGAACAAAGCGGGTTTGTGGAACGCGCGTGTGCGGCGGTCGAGGTAGTCGAGACCCGGAAGGTCCTGGTCGCCGAGAAACTCTCGTCCGGTACGCATCGCGTTGGAGGGTGCTCGGGCTCTTTGACGCTCTCGCAGCGTGTGGTTCCACTCCTGCAGCTGTCGGAGCCTCTCCATGATGGTCACCAGTCTTCTCAAGAGATATTCGCGAGAGTCGTATAGTCCTTGCAGACCGATTTCGATCAGGGCATTCACAATCATCAGGTTTTGCGGATAGACCATGTTTTTAATGGCAGTGATTCCACCCTTCATGAGTAGGAAATCCTTGAGCGCCTTGGTGTGCAGGTCTGCCTGGTGGGTGTTTCCCATTCGCTTTTCGATTGTCGCTGCCATGGAAATGATGAGCATGAAATTATCCATCTTCACTACATCTGCACCAGGTTTCAGCCCGTTCATTTCAGCCCTCATCAGCTGATAGATTTTACTCCGGCGCGACAAGATCGAGAGCTGTCTTGCCGAATTTGTCGGTTGGAAGCTCGTGAGTGTAGTCTCCATGCCCATGAGGCACCAGAGAAGATTGATCTCGAACCGTTCCACTCCTACCATACTGCCCTCATGGAGCGATTTCGCAATGGGACCCGCTGTCGTCGTCCCGTACGTGTCTTGTGGCATCTTTGTCAGGTCTAGGTGGTAATGAATTGTTAGGAGGCTACGAGCAGATAGTACGAAGTGTGCTGTGGGATGACTTTACATAAATGCAATAAATTCTGGTCTGGCACCGATAGCTCAGTCGCTGGACGAACAAAAGGATCTAAGCTGCTTTTGTTGATAGGCCTCAATACGCTGACCGAGGGCAGCTGCGGTCTGGCCCGTGGCGAATCTTTTTGGTCGGATTCGCCATTTTTCTTGGAGACGAATTTTACTGACGGCTTCGCCTTCTTCCTACCTGGCACATTAAGCCTGAATTTGATATTCAGAGGTTTGGGGGTCGGTTCTATGTTTTTATATGTCAACAACGACTGGGCTTTCTGATCGACAAGCTTTCTCAGGGATCGAGTGAAGTGGGCACTTGGACACCAGACGACGGACGATCGCACAAGGAAAAAAGCAACGAGTTGTGGTATAGGTCTGGAACTCACCAGGCGAGGATGTCGTCGAGGACCGCGGTGAGGTCTCACTCGGTGGAGAATTTTCCTTCCCATCATATTTCAGAGCGCTATTGGCTAGGGCCTCGTGTTGATGACGAGATAGAGCATGTGAGGCCAAAGCCGCGTGAGATCTAGCCTGTGTCCGGGCGCGTTCTCGCTCCTTGACATCCTCAGAAACCGAACCAGTCGAGTTCACAAAGAGGAACTTGTTCGCCTTCATATTGAGGGGTTGCTATAACATTTGTAAAGTCTTACTAAGTATGTTGAAAGGAGGAGCGAGGACTCCGTAGAGGTCCACGAAACTTTCATTTAAGCAATAACGATGGGGTTCGTGGTCAACTTAAATTTTGGCCCCTCGGCCCCTCTTCTTACCTCTAGGCTCTTGGTGGACTCTGGCATCCTCGGCGTTTACTGGACGGTTTCCCTGCCAGCGTGTGATCGGATGTACTCGTAAGGCGGTCTAGCTACGGGATTAGCTAGCCGGGAGAGGTCGCGGCTCATCAATCCTGGGAAGGGGCGAGTGGGTCCTAGCTGAATCATGCCTGACTCAAGATCGCCAGTATTGAGTCTCGAGATGCTCGGACATACTGTGTAAGTAGGGGGTGATTTGGGTATATGATTCGGGACTAACACAGTGCTGCCATTCCAAGATATATCACATACTCTCCCAATTCTGGGTTAAAGGGCAGACTTCCAAACTTACCTCGAGATCTGTAGATGGCACGGCGATCGACCGACGCTCGGTGCTTACTACTTTTTCCCACCGTTTAGCGATATTCGCCACCGATAAAGTGCTGGGCTGTGTGGTTGGATCTTTTTCCACAGTGAATCATGGTCTGACATTTTGACGTCCTGGCATCATAAGCTCTACTGCTCAGAATTGACGGATACTCCGCCATTGGCTCATCACGCCAAAATCTGTGTCTACCTTCTGACTAGGAGCCGACACGGTGTCAACTAAGTACAGCCGAGGTGTGTGTATATATTTATCACCACATGATTCGTGTTTACGGTTCAACACGCATGGCACGATCGGCACTGTAGGTGGCATGGGCGTAGTATGGCAATCAGTCGTCTGTGCCCAGCCTTACTGGAGAGGGAGCCGTTGAACGTAGAAATGTTTGTATTTCCGATAAGCAGGTACTAGAATTTATTTGAAAATAGGGGAAGCAGATTGCTTTTGGCCGAGGCCTTCCTCAGCGAAGCTGAATTTACCAACTCTTTCGTCGCTGCTCTTGGGCTTTTAATCGTAAGATCACCCAGCGTAGATAATGTCTTAACATTGAAAGGTATTCCGTTTCTACAGCAGGCAGTGGACCATAATTTTTCGGACGTAAGTGGTTGGCTGAGGGTTTAGTTCGTAGGTGAACAGTTTAACTAGAAATGCCAAATCGTGCCCCACAAGCCCTAGCACCACTAGCGCTTCCGGCGGTCGTTGATGTCAAAGGTGATGACTCCATCATAGATATCTTCGACGCGGTTGTCATCCCGACGCAGCGTGATGGCTCGCAGCTTGCGCTCGGAATGTTGCAGCAAAAAGTAATGGACAAGATTACCCAACGCAAAGCGGCAACGGAGAAAAGGCAATAGTCGTTTGAATATCCGTTTGGGCAGGATCGTCAAATCCCCAATTGTTTCATCGTTGTCAAAGCCATGCTAAAATTCAAGGATCTGAGTCCGCGTTGGGCAAGACTCAATCCTGTCCACAATGCAATCACATGGACATGTATCATGACGGTTTAGAAGGTGAGCCTTCCTCTTTTGAGTCGCGTTTCCGCTCCAATTGGAGCGATGTCGAAGTATTTGTTACTTGGCCCTGAAACTTTTGGCGGATTCGGTATCTAATCATGACCTTTCCTGTGATAGGCCATGCATGATACTGGTTGCCTCGGTCTTGCAGCTCAGCATGGCAAACTTCGAGCAGCATGAACTCGTTGTCGGTGCACTGTCCAAGATAAACCCCGTCCTCCAAGTGTACAGAAATCAGTACTCCAATCAAGAACACCATACCGTACATCTGAGGACGTCGAAAACTTTATTGCCACGAGAAATCAAGTGGGAAATCATGAGCCACTCATAACGGAAGATGACGGGTTCAATGCTGTCCATGGAAAAGGACTCAAATCCGTTGTCAAGTGCTACAGTTTCATTCTGTCAGGCGGTGGCTTCGAACATTGATGGCGGATTGGATCCTGATGCGAATGAAAGCATCGTCAAAGAATTCGACACAGATATTTTGGTCGAGAAAAGGGACGGCGTTCCCCAGTTCGCGCACTATTCTGTTCTCACGTAAGTACGCTAGGCCTACAAAGAAGAAGCACCCTCACCAAACAGAATTGCAATTTGGAGTTGGCCAATATTTGTTCCACGCCTCCGCTTTCCTTTGTGGCGTCCAGATAAAATCGAAGGGAAGCACATAAGCGACGGACAAGTCTGGAACTCAAGACCTCATTCTCTGTGCAGCCATATTCCGGGGAAAGCACATCGAAACGGCGCGAGATTACCAAGACTTTAATGCAAGTATTGGTATGCTGCTTTGGGACTTCTTGTTGAGGCATGAAGGTAAGCCTTTGCTCATGTCATGGCTTGCTTTTGTTTCGGACAAATTGTCGGATTGTTTTGCATACCTCGAAGAACATGGTTGCGGCGATGCATGGCAAGCTGGTTGCGAAGGATCGCCTTCAATCACTTGCTTGCGTTTGCGGACCTTCTCATTATGCCCGAGAGCTCTTGCAGGGCCGATATATCAGCGATTTGGTACAGAATTCGCGAGGACCCAATGTAAGAGCCACTTTGAAAACAAAACTACGTTGGATTCGGCGAGGTCTAGACTCAATGTACGATTCTATCCAGTCCATCTTAACCCATTCCTGAAACCCAAGCCTGGGGCAACTAAACGAGTTTCTGGGGGAGCACCCCCATTTTCGAGCCCTCAGGCTGCACAATACCAACTGAAGCAACTCCCTTTTCATTACTAATGCACATTCCATTTCTGGTTCGTTCGTTGTTTCCGGATTTAGGGATCTCTATAGAAGCTCGAAAAGGAGAGACTGACTCAAAATTATCAGAATCACGGAGAACCAAAGTTTCGTACCCACTCGGGTTAATGCAACGAAGCACCAATGATCCTCCCTTCCATAAGGGAGGCTGCAGCTTAGCAGCTCAACAGCATGGAGGTCACAACATGCTTGGTGAAACTCGGAGTGCGAGTACCCATGATCATCGTTGGAAAATGTCATATCTTATTGGGGCGGTAGGCCAAATACTACTTTTGCAGATGAAGGCTCAGGTTGAAGGGGTTTATATCAGCAATGCTCTCCTTTTCTGCCTCTTGACTTTGATTGATTCGTCCACCTTATCCCTACCACATATAATTCTTCGTCTATCTTGCGGTGTACCCACCGTCAATGACAATATCTGTGCCGGTGGTGTACGAGCTGGCATCAGAGGCAAGGTAGACGTAGGCACCCTTCAGCTCGGTGGCCTTGGCGTCACGGCCAAGAGGGATCATGCTATGCCAGAGCTCTTGGATGTCCTTGGCCACGAAGTCAGACAGGCCGGTGTCGATATATCCGGGTGAGATGGAGTTAACACGTGCGAAGTCGCGCCATTCGTTGGCCAGCGATCGTGACAGGTGGATGCAGCCGGCTTTGGCGACGTTGTAGGATGTCTGTTTTGTAGGGGGGCATAGGTTAGTAAACTGTGCTCATTTCTAGATATTTGGAAATGCGGCCTGGGCAATGCAATGGGGTTCAAACTGTGTAGACTGATCCAACATACCTGTTCTTGAGGGAAGTTGGCGATGTGGCCGGACATGGAGGCAGTGATGATGAAGCTGCCAGTCTTTCTTTCTCTGAAATGCAGACCAACGGCTCTCGCACAGTGGTAGACACCGGTCAAATCGGTCTGGATGACCTCATTCCACTTCTCCACGGGAGCATCGAGAATACCGCTGTCGGCGGTCCGGCCGGCATTGGCGATAAAGACATCGACCTTGCCAAAGTCCTTGATCACATCGGCGACCAACTTCTCCACTTCAGCGTAGTCGCCGACGTTGGCCTTGTATGCCTTAGCTTTGACACCATACTTCTCGGACAGCTCTTTGGCGTTCTTCTCGCCGCCCTGTGGCCGCGAAGAGTATGTGATGGCGACGTCCGCACCAAATTCTGCGCAGCCACGGGCTGCTTCTGTGCCGATACCGGTTGGGCCGGATGCTCCAGTGACGATGACGACCTTGCCCTTGAGGGAGAAGAGGTCTTTGAGCGAGTCGCCTTTGGGAGCTGGGATAGGCATTTTGGTTGTGTTGGTGAGGTTGGTTCAAGTCTGAGTACTAAGTATAAATGGTGAGTTCAACAAAACGTTCTCCAGGAACTATAACTTTTTGGATAGAATCGGTATTAAAATGAGTAGAGAAAAGAAAAATCCAACAGATCAGCAGCGTAGAGTTTTTATTATTCCAGGACCCTGCGGGATTGCAACACCACTATTGATTGACGTGTTTTATGCAGCGTTCGTGCTCCTTACACATCATGGTGGGGTGAGAGCTGTCTCCATTCGGGCCCGCGATGACGTACAAAAGATAGGATGGAGGGGAGCACCCAGGGAAGTACAAGCATGGTGTGCCCATGGTCCTCGATTCATTAGTGCACCGTCCAATGCACCCAGGTACCCAGTTCCTCAGACCCTCACGACAGCATACCATAGGCAACCTTGAACGCCTCGAGAAGCACAAACCAAAAGTCTAGGCTTTACTCTATTCAGAATCGGGAAAACACGAATCCTCAAACCAGTTCCACTCGTGACAGGCCGTTTTCTTGACTCAGCCATTGAGGTCCCTCCCGTGGTGACTAATCCTTCGAAGCGTACCTAATGAGTGCTAATGGGTGCTAATGGGTCCATGTTGGAGGTCCATCGAGGTCGTGGACCTGTCGGGGCCTAAGTCAAGAGATCTGCGGATTACTAAAGAAGTCACGAGCAAGTCATCAGCGATGGAACAGTCGCCCAACCGGGTCAAGCGAGGCACGCGCGAGGACCTTATTCCGTAAAGCGTGTTTTCGGTACCCTTGTCTTCAAGATGACCCCTCGCATCAGTTGAGTGAAATGCTAATGAGAGCGGGGAAAATTCACGGCCCTGCGAGGTGCTAACTAGCTAGCATTGCGGCATCCTTTCTTGGGAATTGACTTCTAGTGGACATCGAGGAGTAGATTTCCAAGGCCCAAGCAAGAGTGTCAATGTTCTCGTTCGATGCTCGGCGAACATGTGCTGAAGACACCTTCTGCAGGGAAGTCAGAAAAATCGCACTGGGCGGAGTGGCCTAAATTCCATTGAGCGCTTTCTAGGTACTCAAGTACACCCGATTCAGTTTACTCGATAAGATTAGTGCCTCATATAACGAGGCTGGCTTTTTGGCTACATGTGTCATATATGAATTAGTATCTCACACTTCTGAAGATGTCATCCACCATATGTTCTGCCAACTTCCAAGTCCTGCGTTGCAACCGATTTCTCCGTCCTCTCGGTAGCGATTCTACGAAGTCTTCGAAAAGGATTCGCAGCTCGATCTTGAGATTCCATGCTCGACATTGGATTCCTTCCTGGTATGGGTTTGACCAGGTTCTGTGTATTCACGACTGAATGCTTTGAAGCCCGAGGGTGCAGGATAGAACTTGCCGATGGTCGTATGCTGGGATTCACTGTTTCGTCATGAGCTGAGTCGTGCTGGTTGACATTCGTCCGCCTCTTCCTCAAGATGTTCCACTTCCAGCTAAAGCGCTGGGTGATATCGACTTGGTTCCTCTCACTGCCTACATCCGTCAACTGCTGGCCCTGCCCATTTTGACGCCTCTTGATGTGATATTTGTTCAGCCTTCGCTCAACCCACCATGCCTTCAAATCGCCGACAACGAAGGCGAATAGGATCAGTGGGACGCTAACGCCTAAGCCTATTCCTAGAATATACTTCAAAACCCATCTGAGATGAAGTTCTCCCCCATCAGCGTTCTGGGGCCGTGGAAATTCGATGATATTGATCGTGAATAAACTCGCCAAGAAACTTAGAGGCAGGAAGACAATGGTTACGACAGTGAAGACCATGATGGTTTGCCCCTGTCTAGTTGCTTCTTGAGCTTGATATCGCTGAAATCGTGCTTCGACGGCGTTGGCATGTTTCTGTTTCAGATCGAGTACCTGAGTTAAATCGTCATTCACACTTTTGGCTTGTCGATTCATGCGGGTAACGTCAAGGATATCAGCTTCCACATTTCTTTGCTGCTCACCTAGCTTACCATACAGATCGAGACGCTGATTGTAGGGGATCATCTTTGAAGTCCGAAACTCATCTTCCATACTCTTCAAGACCTGTTTTTGCTGACGAAGAACATTTGCAATAATTTCAAGCTCGTCTTGGATGTCCTTGCACTCAACTAGCAAAGCGGCTTCTTCATCTATGTTAAGCAGTTTGTTGACAAATTCTTCTGCATCGAGATCGGATTCGCCCCTGCGATTTTGACCTGGAGTTGCCCCAACATCATCTTCGGCGATGTATAGCTCTTGCTCTGAGGCGTATGCCTCCTGGGCATCGATGAGTTGCTGTTCATAGATCGCGCTGTTTTTCCCGTGTGCTCTCAACCAGTGTGCTGCCACTACTGAGTCGCTCTTGAATCGCCGAAACAACGCTGTTTCCTTGCGCGTCAAGAGCCCAATACTCAATTCGAACATCTCGGCAAATAATAATTCATCATTTCCCCATTGATGGCGATCAAAGATGCCACAGCATCTTTCTGTGATGAGTGTTGCAAGCTCATAAACATTCCGAACAGGGGGCCGTGTGGTCGAGTTGATGTCTTCGACAACTCCGTCAAATAGATTGAGCGGGTCACGCCGCGGTTGGCCCCATCTTTCTGGGAAGCAAGTTATCAGGAGATCACCAATGGTGAAAAGCCAAAGCTGGTCGACCATGTAGACCTTCAGTTCTTGATGGTTATTGTCACAGTATCGATACACAACTTGATCTACATCCTGAGGTTCGGTGTCGGTGCTGTGATGCTTGAACTGATCCAAAGTACGTCGCGGATGGAGATCAGTAGAACGTGACACTGGGTAACCATGAATGAGGAGAACATCCTTAGGAATATGCCATATTTCATTGTCGTCGAGTGAAATGGTGTTTCCAGGTGGTGCTTTAATGGATTCCGTTAGTGATCTCCTGTTTTCATCCGTCTCCCAGTGCAAGTATGGCAAGAACAAAACCACCATATCCTCTTCTTGTGTCGCTTGGGCCTGAGCCTGGGGCTGCAAATGGGACTGGGAGTTGGAAGGAGGCTGTTGAGTAGGAGGCTCCCGTGTCGGCGGTCGATACGAACTCTGGAGCGCTGCATTGAGTTCTCCACGATTCGAATGAGACGATCTTCGAGATGCAGCGGAGGCAACATCCATAGGCCTTCTTGAACCTAAACCAACTCGTTTGCATGATGGCCGCATGAATCGTGAATGGACTTTAGCACCTCGATGCTGCTGGCGTCCGAGGAGCCTTAAGATCGATCTTAAAGCTGAGAGGTCTTTTGATTTTCCTTCTAAGAAATGTTTGGTCAAGAGAGCCTCGAGCCAGGAAATGTTGTTCGCTGGTAGATGGATCCAGCGGAAATCGGGCTTTTTGGTTTCGATATTCTCGAAGACAGTCGGAATCGCAAACTTTTCTGAATCCTTCACCTTGGCATATAGGATCTGCCAAACAGTATGCTTGTCCACTTTACTTCTCAGCCCTGTGGGTTGTTTCTCGTCAATAAAGAAGCTGACCACTGCCGCTCTAAACCGTTCACAGGCTTTTCGTGCTGTGCGATCGTTTGGTCCCTCCAGTACGTGAGGACGAAGTTCATCCACAATATTCCAATGCCCATTTTGAGCCGCTCGAATGAGAGGTGTACTGTCGAAGCTGTCTTTTGTGTTCTTGTAAACATGTGGCACTTTCAATATCCTCTGAACTGCAGCCAGCTTCCCATTCTCAGCTGCCCAATGCAAAGCCGTCATGCCAGAGGACGTTCGAGCATTGACATTGGCACTTTGACTGTGCGTCAACAAAGCATCAATGGCCGCCTCAGAACCAGCTTCCGCGGCCATGAGCAGTGGTGTCCAAGCGCCGTCACTTCTTGCTTCTATGTTTGCGCCAGAATTGAGGAGAAGTTTGATCATCGCTGGTTGGTCGTTCTTGGCAGCGAGATGGAGTGCGGTGTGACCCTGATCATTGGTATCGGTGATATTTGCAAGTTTCGTGCCTTTGCTGGGCAGTAATACACCTGCCAGCTGAGTTGAACCCTTTGCTGCTGCCCAGAGAAGTGGAGTTCGACTATCGTTGTCGCGCTGTTGAAGATTTTTCACTTGAGCCAAGATTATCGACAACATATCTGAATTCCATTTCACGGTCGGAGGAACTTCGGACGCCATTCGATGAAGAATGTTCTTACCATTGTTGTCTATCGCGTCTGGATCTGCGCCTCGCTCCAACAGCGTAGTAACGATGTCAGCCTGACCCCGAAGGGCCGCCGCCATGAAGGGAGTCCTCCCATCAGCGTCCCTGAAGTCGATATCGCTGTTATAATCAAGGAGGAGATTGATGATGGTGTTTCGCGTCTTGTTCTTCTGACTTCTAATCGAGCGATGAATGGGCCCATTGCCAGCAGTAACATCGGTCTTTGCGCCTGCCTCAAGGAGAAGCTTGACGGCCACGTCATTTCCATGGCCGATTGCCCTTCCGAGAAGCTCACGCAGGTCATTTACATCGGTACTCTGAACAACATGAGGATCTTCGAGAAGAGTTTTCAGATCTGCGGTCTCTTCAGGTTTGATTGCCTTTGAAAGCGCGACTCGTACTTGGCGAGGATCGAGTCTAACACCTTCCTGGCGCGACATGTGGTACTAGGACGTCAAGACTTGCATAACGCGACGCTATAGAAATTTCGCGCCATTCCCTATCTCGAGGAAATGTAGACAAGTAGGAAGCAAGGTAGCAGAATCTTGTTGCGTTTCTGTTCTGGTCCATTTACCTAATGTAGGTAAGCAAGAACAAATCGAGTTCGCGAATAAACTGGTAATCTATACCAAATCGGTAAACCTCTTCCAACGGCTATAGAAGCTTGTAATGCTCTATCTTACTCCTATGTAATGATGTGTAAGATAGCAGGTAGTATAATAACGAAATCCCTTTCATAATGATAGTAATTGAAGATATAAATAAGATTAAAAGTCTTTCAGTTTAGGTGAGGATTGTGGCTACTCGAGTGCAGCCTTGTGTTTTTACTGTAACTTTCAGAGTTCGACTTAGGTAGATTTCGGGTAAACTTCCCGCCGCTTTTGAGGTGGTCCTTCTCACTCCGCCAAGATCGCTCCCCTGGTAAGTTCGTATATCGCACCCTCCTTGAGCGACCCTTCCTCAGTTGTCTCGCGAGCCCAACTTACGGTCTCCGGCACCACGAAGCCATCACCGGGAATCAGTAACAGTCTATTTTCAGAAATAGACAGGGATAAATCCAACCCTTCGAAAACGATATGCGACTTTGACTGCACTACCTTGACCATGGCGCCTCAAAGGTCTGGAGGCGCTATCCTTGTGGTTTTCCCCAAACTGCCACAGGGAGAGAAGATGTTGTCCTGCACATCTCCATCTCTTCTCTTGCGTTCTAGTAATTTCAACCAAATTTGACGCTATCGCCGTGCCTGTTCAATTACTCACAGGTTCTCTCTATACAACATGCCAGAGCCTCCACCACGACGTATCGGTCTGCTTTGTGTCGTCTGTGTAACCGTAAAATCCTTTGCTCGGAATCCAGCTTTATCCTTGGCTCTCGGATCGCCGCCAGCATCAAGGACGTGTTTGAGCTTGGTCCCCAAGAATCAGCGAGCATGATTGACTAAGTGGCCTTCGGGATGGATGGAGGGAAACAGCTTTTAAGGGGGCGATTTCCTGGACGACCATGAAAAGTCTTTCATCTCTATCTGTACCGTAAATTGGCTTCAACGGATTTGACAACCATCCTCAATGTTACCATGGATAACTCAAAGTCAACGGCAACATTAACTGGAGACGCCGATATACCTCCGGACCATAAAGCATTTGTTGGGTAGCTCAAGACCTTTGAGCTCCCGTCCGTCGTGGGGATGGATGAGGAGGCTGTCATCCTCGGAAAGGCATTGATTGATTCCTGGAGAAAGGATGACATCTTGCAAATCACGATGACACCAGAAGAGGGAGATTTGCTTCGACAGAGTTACGAAATCTCCAAAGCTTTCTTCGAACTTCCCCATGCCGAGAAGTCAAAGTATGTGGATGATCAGAGTTATGCTGGCTACATTGCATCTGGGGAGGAGATTACTGATGGTATTGCCGATTACTCAGAAATCTTCACGGTTTTCAAGGATCTCCCTGCGACCGACACGAGAGTGCGAGATAAGTGGCCTTGCCACGGGCCGTGTCCTTGGCCCAGCCCTGAGTATGAGCACGTGATGAAGCAACTTATGGGTCTTCTGGGACAATCGGGCAGGAAATTACTCAAACTGGTCGGCCTAGGCTTAGGACTCAAAGACCCTGATGCTTTGGTTCACCTAACCAAGGATGGTTGGCACCACATGCATGTTCTCCGGTTCCCCCAGGTTGATCGAACGAACGGTAATGACAAGGCTGGGCGTGGAATCGGCTCACACACGGACTACGGACTCCTTGTCATCGCAAGTCAGACTGACGTAGGCGGTCTCTTTGTACGACCGCCGGTTCATGGAGAAGACAATATCGAGAATTGGGAGAAGAGCGCTGCCGGGTTGCACGAAGACGATGATAAATGGATATTCGTCCCACCAGTCGAGAACACCTTGACTGTCTTCCCTGGTAGCAGATCCCTATATCCCGAAATTCGGTCCCGTCGAGTTAATTTGTGGCATAGGTGACATGATGCAGTTCTTTACTTCTGGATCACTACTTCTGGATTCCTTACCTCCACCCCACACAAGGTGGGGCTCAACACCAGGGAGCGATTCGCCTTTGCTTACTTTCACGAGCCCTATTTCTCGGCCAACATCACCCTATTCCGGAACTGCAAGAAAGCATTCATTACGGCACGCACATCACGAATATGGGCTTGAGGAGCTATCCCGGGCGGATTACCACACAGAGGATCGAGAAGGAGCATCGTATGCAAATACTAGCAGGCTTGAGAAGTATGGCTGGAACCTTAACGTCTATTCGTAGATAGCCCATGTCAGCTAGTACATGGACATTGAGGCAGGAAGAGAGTTGGGAATTGGGAAGAGTTTCTTCAAGTTCAATACGAGGTATAGACGTCAAAAGCGGCGGCGCGCCCAGTCTTCACTATACCCAAAATGGCAGTATGGCCTACAGGGGTCGGCGGCGCCCAAGGCACCAACGTCGTGAAGTTTGGAACCAAGTCCTGGGCTTCAAGGGGTCCATCCACCAATGAATTCACTCTCCGTCCAGCCTGGGAATGATACTTCGTACACCTTCAAACTACCTGCAGGAGCTGAATGGGAAATCTCGTCCACTTGATTCTGGCCACGTCAATGCAAACCAGGGAGCCAGCTGCTGTACTCTGGGGTGCGCAAGAGAACACGAGGCTTGCGGCATCTTTCATGCATGATCTGTGAAGTTTCATGATATCATACGATCAACAAATACTAAGGTGCTGTAGGACTGTAGCAGCGGCTAACCTATCGAGCCGAGTACTGGCGTTGACCGGTCTGCGCTTCCCTGGCCCATCATACTGCTTTCAGGTAGATGCGTATCGTTACAAGCCTAGTATTACAATGGTGGGTTTAAGGCGATTTAGGAGAAACAGGTGGACTATGATTCATCTCTTGTAGTCTCGTCACCTATCTATCGTCTGAAAATGCCATCTAACCTGAAGACAGGAATGCATCATGTTTAGACCCAGCTGCGGCGTTTCCTTTCATCGTTTCGAATCGAAGCACTGGCAGTTAGTCAGTGAACGCGAAGCTTTCTTACTTGACTGTCGATAGCTTGAGTGCCGCATCGTGTCCGAGCTACTGAAACCACACATGAGCATGAATGCCTGCCCTGCGCTGCGTGGAGGAGACGGTGATAGTCAGAATATAGCTCTTCAGGCATATAAGACTAAGTTCTGGCGATATCTGGGTAGTCGCCCGCTGACAGGCGCAAATGCATGGGATGGGCCTGAATCACTGGGGGAAAAGAGAGTGCGGATCGAGTTTCATATGACGCTCTCCTCTTATTGTCGGATTGCAGCCGATAGTCGCTGGTGCGTCCTCGAGTTTCTCCCGGATGCAAATCGGAGTCATGAGGCGTGAGAGCATGCTCGTGAATGAGGTCGCAACGAGGCTGCCCGTCTGTCTCTCCTTTTGTGAGCATTTTTGTCGGGGATCCATCTTCAGATGAGCCTGAGGCGCATTGCTCAGGGCTGATCCATTTGTCAAGCAGTGCAACCGGGCTTTCTGCTGTGCTGCTGCTGCTGCTGCGGCCGACCTTGATCTCCCGCCTGGTCGCAACGAAATGTTGACCAGGAATTGATGTTCTTTCTTCAGGTGTCAATAATGCATCAAACACGCATATAAGCCGGTATGAACCCTCAATCGCGTTATTGGTATCCTCATTTCGCGGCGTCATCAGCCGCTCTCTCCTTGCCCTGCACGCTCTCTTCGCCGAGGACTTTAGCACTGCCCATAAACAAAGCCCCAACATAGCCGCCGAGGAATCGCATGTCCTGCGCCTGCACAGCTGTCATGCGCACGAGGTTCTCCGTGTCAGCGAGATGTGCATTGAGCTGGGCAAGCTGCGCGTGGAGATGAGCATACTGGCGTGTCTTGTTCGTCGACGTGGCGTTGAAGGAGGTCACGGATGACGGGCGTGAGAGCGGTTGTTTGGTGTTCGTACTGCTGCTAGCCATCTCAAGGAGTGAGGTCGCTTCCACTGGCCTTTGATGGGGGCCCTGTAGCAGGTGTCGTGTCTCCAGTTGTAGACGTGTGAAGGTCGTAAGGCGACGCGATTAGCACTGGATACTACTCACGTCACGTGGTGGTGCTGACTCATCACACGCGGAGATTCTGCGCATTCGCAGCCGAGCTGGGACAGTATATCTATCTATCTGTACTGAAATACGGCGAGACGAAAGTATGAGGGACTCAGTTGACTTCGAATACTTATTCCAGCAAGATGGAGGAGGCTGTGGTCGTCAACATTGCTTGCATTGATTAATTATCCGTGTCTGCTACTCTCTCCATTGCTGAGTCTTTCTCACCTGCCCCCACCTTTCATATACCATGTTTGCACTGGTATATTTACCGTTCGAGCCCTATCGTATTCGTGCCTGAATGCAAAGTGTACGCCCATGTATGCAATACAAGAATTCATTCTCCAATGAATATTGAATTGAGTGATTTCGTGTTTGAACCCCGCCATGTCCTCCAAGGCAGACTCCGTCGTGATACACAATCTGGATCTGCGCTACAAGTGAGACAGTCATCCACCACCGCGCAAGGTATGTACTCGAAGTGAAAAAAACGAACAGCTGCTCTGTTCCATGCGTTTGTGTGCCGTCCTCCCAAAAACTCATCTCGTTGCTTTTCACCGTGTTGCGAGCCATTCCATGACTACCAGGTCGTAAGATTCCGCAGAAGCTAATCATTAAAGTATATGTGAACAAGGTACAATCGAAGATATATGCGATACTGTGTGGCAACCGAAGACTCCGTGATTATCAACCGTAAGCGCTCCTGAGTGCCGCGTGTACTGGTAGGGCGCGGAGCACCAAGGCCTTCGACAGGGTCCTAATGCGTTGCCAGCATGTGGCGGGGTGCGAAACTGCTGGTGCTGCTATGTGCAGATGGTTCCGACTCGATGTGTGCGCTTCCACTACTGTCAGCGCTACCCGCGCTAGCACTTGCACTTCCAGTCAGACTTTTTACAGGAGCTTTGGGTGGTGGGAGTGGTTTGCTCACCCCGGCCTGTTCTACCTGATGTGGATGTATCATGTTGCCCTGACCTGGAGGGTATCGTGGAACTGGAGCTGGCATGCCACCGGGTGGTGAGGGCCTACCATTGCGTGGAGGCCCTTGCTGAGCATATGGATCATTCGGAGGAGATGGCCGACCAGGCATCCTACCGGCAGGCCCGAATGGATTTCCAGGCGAACGACTGGTTCGACGACTGGGAGGGCCTGGATAAGGTCCACCATTGATACCCATCTCTTGTAGGCGACTTGCTGTCAATGAATTTGCTCGAGACTCATCTGCCATCTCTTTTCGGTCCACGTTTCCATATCGATTCGATGAGAAGCCCATCATAGGGTTGTCCAAGATATTGGCCCCCAAAATCGGCATATCCGATAATATTTGCGTACTTGTTCGGTGTTGCCTATTCATGCCTGGGCGAGGATAGCCGCCTTGTTGTCGCATGGCTGGTCCATTTGAAAAGGCGTCCTTACGCAGTTGATTTTGACTGTTCGTCCTTTTGGTCCGTCGGGAAGTAACACTCATCATGTCAAAATTGTCAGGATCAATCGATGGTGGAGGTGGTCCGCGCGCAGTCATAGGATCAAAGTAATCGTCATCGTCATCGTCGTCGTCAAAATCCTGGTGGCGGTTGTTTGACGGCCTTCTGACATTGCCACGAGATCTCATCGCCATCTCTTGCTGCTTCAGTTGCAGTTCCCTTTCTCGCAGCATCAATTCCCTTTCCCGCATAGATGGGCCCTGAGGACCCCCATTGTCACCGAAACTGGCTGGATCGGCACCATCGCCTAGTTCATCATAGAGGACCACATGACTGAACTCATCAAGATTTGTGTCATCGTATGATGGGCGCCTCTGCATCTGACTCGGTCCTCGAGGGGGGTAGCTGTTGGGAGGTCCGCGGAATCCATTCACCGGAGGAGGCCCTCGTCTTCCAGGAGGGCCCATTGGGGGGCCCATGGGGGGACCCATGTTGGGCCCACGCATAGGTCGAGGTGGTCCAGGTGGTCCACTGATCGACCCATTTTGTTGACGAGGTGGACCGCCGTTGGACAAAGACATATTTCGGGGAGGTGGCTGCACAACGGATGGTGATGGAGGAATAGCAGATTGAGCTGCAGCTTGTGGTCGATCCTTGTTGACCATATTGACATGGCGTAACATAGTATACAAGGTTTCGATTCGAGGCACTGGAATATTAACTGATTTGGCTAACTGTACGGGTGTTCCGAGATATGTTTCCACCTCCATGGGACGTCGAGAAGTAAAATCTTGGTACATTGTGCTGGGATCCTGTGTTGCGGTAATCATCGACGAGATGATATTCTCTGTGAAGTCGGAGGGGAATTTGCATTCCTGTGCACGTGCCAGATCAAGCAGCTCTTCAATCACCTTTGAGATCATATCGTGTACGCCAGGGAGTCGTATCAGATCGGAGAGGATGGGGGTTTCAAATAGGACACTGATGGGGTGAAAAGCAATGGGCCTAGTCTCGAGGTTAGTTTGGAAAAGCTCTGGTATCCATAAGAAAAGAGCACCTACCCAATCATTCTATCGTACTGTTGCTGCTTGATGTTGTCAGATACTTTGCAGTCTACCTGTGCCGTGGTCAAAGTCATGGCCAAGGCTTCGGACATGTCTCTTTGAATCGACTCAGGAATGGCAGAATTTTTGCTGGCAGGTCCCACCCATATTTCTGTAGACCCGGTATGTTCAAATTCGCTGGATCCGAGCTGTGTCAGATCTGCGCCAGAGACAAGTGAAAGGACGACATTCGTGGGGAACCTTTCCTCCAGTTGTTTTTCGACGCCGAGTGTGTTTGTCGTGTTCACGAGGATGCAGGTATGTTGAGGTGTGACGACGGACTGAATTATGTCTGCGAGGTTGTAAACATCGGGCAGCGCTTTCACGCATAGTAAAACGTAATCAAAGGCCGCTTGCTGGTTCGCTGCTTCTTCGGGGCTCTGAACGACTGTGGAAGTGTTAGCTGCGCTCAGATTAGACATGGAAATATTTTGCTTACCATAACGCGGCTTGAAGCGTTCATTGCCGAACAGCTGTGACCTGGGAGACTGTTAGGATGGCTTTCACACGGATACACGCCACTGCGACACCTACTTGAAAGATACACCATATTGTGCGACTGCCTGGTAGTTGGCTTTCCAGACCAGTGTCACGTCGCAGGCGTTTGTGGCCTGTAGTCTCCAAGATAGAAATGCCGAAACTGCATTACCGCCCACTATACAACAACGTCTTAGCTCGCGATTCATGTCGTAGTGTGCCAGGGTGAAGCAAAGGAAGGGAGAGAGGCCGGGTGACGAGTGTTCATAGAGATGAGGTTGGCGGGCATGCTCACCAGAAAGAATCCGCAGACGCGGCGGAGAAGGAGCCATGTTATGGAAGAGGGCCAATCCGCGTCGAGCCGGTCAAGGTAAGGCGTGCTCTCACCTCAGCAGGCACGACCTGCTAGGGTATGGATAAAGACCACTGGTCGGTACAGCTGGAAGTGTCCAAAAAAGCCGAGGGTTCAACAGAATTATCTTTTTTTCGACCTTCTCGGATCCAAGTAGACCCAAGTAAAAGGAATGAGGTGAGCAATCCCCAATTAGAAAGAATGATAAAATGTAGCAATTATCTCGGCGACATAGACTGAGTGAACGAGGGACAAGAGATGGGTTGAGAGAGAAGAAGGTTGAACGTTGGTGTTGTTGGTGGTGGGCGGAGAGGTCCTCGACACGCAAACAAGCAAAGGCGAGGGAGAAGGAGGAGGTCGGCTTTCGGGATGCAGGCTATTACAGGGGTAAAGCCATGGAAAGCAGTGCGATGGCTGAGGCGTGAAGACTACCAGATAAACGAGCGTCGGCGTGGATACGGAGTAGCGAGGGTGAAAGAGGAGGACAAGTAGGACAAGAGAGGTGAAAAGAAACAATGGTGAGGTGAGGATGTGGTGGTGGCTGCGGTGATGAAAGGGAGACGCAGACTCGGAGTGGAAGAAGACGATGCTGAGAGCGAGTCTGGGTTCGGGTGCGGGTACCGTATGTGGGTGGTGCACAGTACGTGTGCTTTGGTTAGGCGGGCGCGAGGAGCGAGGATCAGGACCACCAGAGAACCACCACTGGACTGCTAAAGTTGTGATGCGCAACACAACCTGAAGGCGAAACAGGCGAGACAACGAGACAAGGACGGGAACTCTCAATGGTACCGCCGTTAGTAGGGCAGAGGCAGTGGGGAGCAGGGAGCCCGGACTGAATTGGGTGAAGGTCAACGCCCGAAGGCCACATGCCCATGCCCCTACAAAATCTAATAGTCGCTAACGAGTACGGAGTGAGTCCCTAGGTGCATCAGTTATGCTTATCGCTGTCGCGTCCTGGCTTCCGAGCCCGAGGCAGTGCCCAGCACGCACCACTCGGGGGTGGGAACTAGGCACAACTACGGATACCTACTAGGCCAACTACCGTCGATGGGCCGTTATGCCCTTCCAGAAGTGCCACCAAGCTGGGCCCGAAACTGCTAGCTCGGAAATCATCAAGTTTACCTACGATCAAAGGTGTTTGGTGGGCTTTCAGGCTACTAATTAGACAAGGTCAAATCCAGGGAGTCAGGGACTATCACCAAGTTCGCATACGAGTAGTCCGTTGACTTGATACCCTTGAAATGCACTTTAGGGGACATCATTTGGCGTGGTTACAGAGTGCAGGATACATGAATCTGTAAACACTTCCGTAAAATCTGGAGATCACTGCAGTTCGAACTTCGAACAGAGTATCCGTATCCACATCTGGTCGGCACCTGCATGGGAAAAAACCCTACTCTGTTTCCAATACCCATATCCTTGCTCAGCTCAACCAAGGGCATGCACACCAATCACAACTTCTATCCCCATAAGATGGTGGGAATTGGTATCTCCGGCAAAAGTGAATCTGCAGTGTATGGGGGATTTGCAGATAAAACAGTTCTGCATAAAATACTGTTCATCGTGATCAGGGGCTGCATCCTCGAAAATCTCCAAGCTTGAATCAGAAACCTGTTGGATGCAGTGGCTTGTTCGGCTTTTGGATTGGGATAATTTTTGAAACCTGTCGCTTCAATGGCTATCAACCCGTAGTCATTTCCTGAATCAGATGTTCGACAACCACAAGAGAAAGCAGCGTTCTAACTTCCAAGTAGTAAGACTCGAAACGAGAAGAGCAATTGCGCCAGAGCCTCTCAAATTTGTGTATTAGCTTCTGATAGGCCTGAGCCTCTGGCACAAAAACGGTCGGACATGGCTTTCAACTTGTTAGCTTTCAGGCCATTGCGGTAGCTCGAATCTGTGCTTGCTCACGGAGTCCGCGAGCGACGACTGCCTACTTCACCCCGTTATGCTTCTGTACTCGGTATGATTTCACTGCGCATCAGCCGTCAAGCTCAGATTGATGAGTACCATCTGCTCCACCCTCTCGCTTGGCAGCCATTTTAACGCGGCTCGTGAAAGTTGATCTATTCGTAGCCCAGTAACGGAGGGCATCGTCGGAATCAACGTGGTCCGCATGCGCGCCTAATCAAAGCCGTTGTGGGCATTTTGATGGCATCCCTCAGCTGAGCTGCGCTGCCAGCACAGAGTCCTGTCTGTTGGCATGTCTGCGCTCTGTCAAATACGAAGGTTTAGGGGTCAGGCTGCCCTTATTGGATATGCCATCGCTCGGACTCGAATAAACAAAGACTTCAGCAACTTGCAGTTATTCACCACGTACTTAGCTTACGTACTGAAGCGGGTGCATGAACTGGACCCTGTCTACTTCGTAATACCCCTCGCTTATCATGGGCAAGCCAGAGTGACACCGACAGTCGGGAAACGTGGATGCCCTAGTACGCTCGGGAACAATGACAACACGGCTCTTGAGTCTTTGAATGCGCAAAATCTTCTCCAAAAGAATCAACGCATCGCAAAACCCCTTTCAGTCGTTGGCACACAGAATGGTGATGGCGATCAATGGACCTCTCTGGCAACGACGAATCAGTGACGCAGTACTCGTACTGATGAAAGCCTTGTACAAAGCGCAATAGGTGCATGCGAGGCAGGGCATGGAGTTGCAGTTCAGGCACAAGTAACGAGAGACGAGATGAGCTAGCGAAGCACGGTTGCCCCTAACCCCTGCCAGGAACAAAAATGAACTAACAGTCTGAGACTTGCATAACTCTATTTTTGACTCAACATTTGCCATTCAGGGAGCTCTACTCTGTTTCAGCAGCCGCGACTTGGTTGATAAGTCTTGAGAAAGAGAAAAAGCCCAATACATTCTACACAAGGCCTTGAACAGCTTGAAAATAGTCCCAACACGTTCGATTTCGAACGGAGCAGAACAGACAACAAGATATTGTTCTGATTGTTTGGTGTTGTTTCACCCGGAAGGCTTTGGCCCCGGCCTAATCGATGATGATAATGATGCATGGAGGTGGAGATTCCGAGATTAAATAGACGACCGGTCCACACTTTATTACTGTATCCGCCACTGCAGTGACTCTGCTCGGACAGGCCTTACTCCCGTTAAGCAATTGCGCCAGCGGCGGCCACTAGAGATCCAGACTGTCCGAGTCATCACAGAGCTTTGGACTCGGTTTCCCAGCGGAACTGGCCTTGGATTTTCTCGCAGGCAAACTATATCTCGCATGCCAGAGCGCTCTAACGAATATAGAAAAACCCGACGTCAATCTCTCCGGCAGGGGTCCAGGACGTCAAAGACATTGTCTTTCATCATAGGAAATCAGGTCTGTACGGACAGTATTTACACCTGGGATGATCCCATGCAAGAATGCTGGAGCTTGTAGATGCCGAGCACTCTATTCTGGATCTCCTATCTTATAAGCGAGTACTTCTCATTCATCCGGAACATCCGCTATTAGAAACCACATCAAAGCGATTCAAGACGACCAGCTTCCATGGACCAAAGAGGAATGGTCAAGAGCGAAAATAGCCATGGCAATCTACATTACAGGGCATGGCCCTTGGACCTCTGTCGCTTGAAAACGCATTTCGTTGCCCGCTGCTCCATTGCGCTAACCACAAGCTGCAGATCATCGAGTCCCTTCAGCCACTTGTGGATCAGGCTAAGAAATTACATTTCCAACTTTTTTTGGGAACAAAAACATTGCGAAATGAATTGTTAAACAAACGATCATACACGACGAGCACGAGCAATCAATACCGTGAGTCTGTGCTATCGCTCGGGGGCCTATTTTCGTTGACCCTTTGCTGAGTAGAGGTGTTTGACGCCCTCGATGACTTATCAAACTGCGTCCATCTTACTTACCGAGTACACTGCAATTTGGTGCCCCCTATCAATTCCTCGGTAGACTGGAAAATATCTCCGGGACACAATATGTGGGCCGAAGCTGATAAAAATACTCACAAACAGAACCGTCCGGGGACTGTGTCGCGAGTCGCGACGGAGGACGCACCCAGTCTGCCAGCCAGCAACTGCCGGTATCAATTTAGGGAAGGCATTCTCGCTTTGAAAACGTGCGAGGTGGATGATCTCATCAAACGGATAAGTACTCCGTCTAGGGGGGTCCTGGAGCCAGGGGCCATTATTACGAAATTCAATCAGCAAAGCAATCCCATCCCTATGGACCCTATGCTTGGGGATTGTCTATATCCGTATGCACTCAATTTCCATCACAATTACTCCCTATAGCCCGCCGCAGATGAGATGCCCATCCATAGGCGAACTTCTGAATGTCATCAGTACCTATGGGGGAAGGGGCCATGAGACCTCGAGAAATACCTCAAGACATTTTCATCCGAAAACCAAAGGAATCAACATCTGTTTCCTCCTATTCTCGAGACGGTATTTCATCTCGATCCTCTAATCCACTGGCAATAGAACAGTCGGCCTTCTGACACCTCAACAGAAATGATCGTCATCAAAAGTGTTTTCGTTTAGGCTCTTGGCGAACTTATTTAAGTGGCTGTGTTGTGTGTGGCTTTAAGCTGTACTAACACAGTGTCCAGATCAAAGGGCTCTGATTTATGAATTGTGACACGTAAGACTTGACAGACGCGCTCTCCTCGGATCTTGGTCACGTGCCGCTTCCGGCATGATTTTATCTATGTGCACCAGCGGCTCGGATCGAACGTGGATTCCCAAGCCTTCAAGGAAATCCCCTCTTCGAATGTTTTGTGCAGATCGTCGAAGTGCATAACTTTTTTTGGTTTGCTTATGGATGGTAACTACAGTGGCAGTGAAAGTCAACATGTCTGTGCTTTCAGAAAATGAGCAATCCTAACAGGACGTGTACATCGAGGCACAGTTTTGACTCTCACTCGTCTCACAGGTTCACAACCGCAGTGCTGAGGCAGGTCTTTTGTCATTTCACGAATCACAATGCGACCTAAGTAGACGTGGTAACCGGGGCATCCGACGGTTATGCAGGTGAATGTGTAATGGTGAGTAAGCCGTCTTCAGCGCAACCAGCCACTCCGATGGGTTCAAGTTGGGGACTATTATCCAACATGAATGTGCATTTCGTGGACTGCTGAGCACAGCGAGCAGTAGAGCCCCGATCAAAGGATGCCATACACTATGCAAAGCAGCTGCGGTTTTGTCTCCTACAATTATAAATTTCGAGGACATGATACAATGCGTGGTTGAGGCTCTGCTGTCAGTCCTTGATAAAGGACGGCCAATGTCCTTGTACAAAAGACGGAGTAGGAATTTACCTAGGTACCTATGAAGTGACCTTGCGGACGATGCTTCTTGCAGTGCTTGGTCATCTTTTGAACAAGTGTAAGCAGTGGCAGGCAGTACTCCGTACTCCGTACGAGATCGTCCTAGGAAAGTCTGTTGTACAGTGGCTGGGGGTGATCTGGCTGAATAGGGAAAACGGCGGCCAGCATAACGCGTGGGAAAAGACAATGAGAGGTTGCTCGGACCCGGCACGCGGCGGTCCAAGCATGACCTAAGCCCGGATGTGCAGCACTTGGCCTCTCAGAGAGTCATAGGGGGGACTATCAGGCCCCCTTTGCGGTTCGACTGGCCTTCTACGACTAACTTCTAAGCAGGCGTGCAACCCCTCGCAAAGCACCCTCGCAAAGCCGGCCTTCGGCGTGTCGATTGAGGAAAAGGCCACCACTGCTCTTTGATCCCCCCTGCATCTAATCCGTTTCAGTCCTCATGGGATGTCTTTCATGTCTTGAATGAATGAATGCTCTTCTCTGGCTGTCCCAACTTACGCCTCGTCCTCATTGTCGCCTCGATCTCGCCGTTATCATTATTCTCAACACCAAACAAAGTCACCGTCTTCCCGAGCAGGGGCACCGCCATCGAACCCGGAGATAATCTGGAACGCGCTCGCGAAAGCCCCGAAGGCGCCGCCCGCCCACAGTCGTAGCTTAAACCCTGCTTACGCGAAACCTCCTTCCGCAAGGACCAGAACTCGTCTACAGTGCACAGGCAGGCAAAGCAACTTTCCCCAATTGCCCTTCATTGACTTTTATCCACACCTACACCAACCCTCGACATTCTCTCAATTAGTTTCATTTTCATCTCCATACTGCACGATCATTCCCTCGCTCTTTTCTTCACCAGCACCGCTGCTCTCTGCGCTTTCCACGACACCAAGAATGCATGCCCTTCGGTATTGCTGACGTGAGCCGAATCTTCCGAGCCACCCTCAGATTCAGCCTCCCCATCCAGTCTATTCCCAGCATTCATCCTACCTTCGGAGTACTGACTTGGAAAGTCGTGAAAGCTGGAAACCTCAGGTGTGCTCTGTTGTTGAGCTGATTTCCCTTGTGTCAAGCCAGTCCGAGGTGGCCACCCCTAGGACCCCCTTTCACCATGGCGCAGGTACAATTTCAAGATGACACCAACGTGTCAAAGCCAGTCAAGAGAATGCGATGGGCTACAACAAGAAAGCCTGGCCGCAGCGGCTCGAAAAAGAGGATGTCTTTGCTCCAGAGGGTGCCCAAAGTGCACGTATCGGCATACGAGGAGAAGCCTTCAGGCCCTGACAACCAGGCTCATATTTCTGATGAGAGCCCCATGGGCCAACAGCAAGAACCCGAAGAGCCCGAATCACGGACAATCTACTTCAACATGCCACTGCCTCCCGAGGCAAGGAATGAGGAAGGGCATGTCAAGGCCGTATATGCAAGGAATAAAATCCGGACTGCGAAGTACACCCCACTCAGTTTCGTTCCCAAGAATCTGTGGTTCCAGTTCCACAACATCGCCAACGTATACTTTTTCTTCATCATCATTCTGAGTGTGAGTCTTACCGACCGCCGATTACCGTGCTTCTCTAACAAGGAGGTAGATTTTCTCGATATTCGGCGCCTCAAATCCAGGCCTGGGTTCCGTCCCTCTCATCTTTATCTTGACTGTAACCTCGATCAAAGACGCCGTAGAGGATTTTCGAAGAACTGTGCTGGACACGGAGCTCAATAATTCACCTGTGTATCGCCTACTCGATTGGGACAATGTCAATTCTTCAGCAGACGATGTTGGTTGGTGGAGAAATTTCAAAAAGGCCTGCACACGGTCTGTGGTCAACACCTATCGTGCCATCAAGCGTATTGGACAAAAGAAATCCAAACGGTCAGAAAAGAGTTCGGGAAAGCCTGGGCTTGAGCGGCACGGCTCCAGTGCAACGAGAGCTTCTGCACGAGCCTCCGTCTACTCGCAGCGAACTTCTTTCCACTCAACCCGCAGCCAGACCGATAATGATATTGCACTGACTCCTGTTCCTTCGCCGGGCTATCGATCAAGCCATCCCGAGAATGGCGAGCTTTCCGCTGCAGAAGCTCCAGGCAGCGCATTCTCTTACCAGACGGCCGAGGACTCAACCTTTCCGGGAGAAAATGCCCCATTCGCGCAGGCAAATCAAGAAAGCTCCAAACGCAAAAGCACTTTTGCGCCTAATAAAGATTACGGCAATATCATGAATCCCCACAAAGACATTCCGGAGCGGGCACGCTTCAAGAAAGATTATTGGAAGAATGTTCAAGTTGGAGATTTTGTTCGCATCTACAACGATGAACAGCTCCCTGCAGATATTGTGGTACTCTCAACATCGGATCCGGATGGTGCTTGCTACGTTGAGACCAAAAATCTTGATGGAGAGACAAATCTGAAAGTTCGCCATGCCCTTCAAGCCAGCCGCAAAGTCAAGCACGCACGGGATTGCGAGAGGGCCGACTTTATTATTGAGTCTGAAGCACCTCACCCAAATCTGTATTCTTATAGTGCTGTCGCGAGATGGCAACAGGCCGACCCTAAGGACCCCAATAAACCAACCCGCGAGATGGCCGAACCCATAACCATCAATAACCTCCTTCTGCGTGGATGCAGTCTGAAAAATACTGAGTGGGCTCTCGGAATTGTGGTCTTTACTGGTAGTGAGTCGAAGATTATGCTTAACGCCGGCGTTACCCCTTCCAAGCGTGCAAGAATGGCTCGTGAGCTGAATTGGAACGTCATCTACAACTTCATCATTCTGTTCTTCATGTGTCTGGTTTCTGGTATCGTTCAGGGTGTGACGTGGGCAGAAGGAACGAACTCACTTGACTTTTTCGAATTCGGCTCTATCGGAGGTAGTCCTCCACTTGACGGTTTCATCACCTTCTGGTCTGCGGTCATCTTGTTCCAGAATTTGGTTCCAATCTCTCTTTACATTACCCTCGAGATTGTCCGTTCCATTCAAGCTTTCTTCATCTGGTCAGACGTCCATATGTACTACGATAAGCTTGATTACCCGTGTACTCCCAAAAGCTGGAACATTTCAGACGATCTTGGCCAAATTGAGTACATTTTCTCGGACAAAACTGGCACCTTGACGCAGAATGTTATGGAATTCAAGAAATGCACCATCAACGGCATACCGTATGGTGAGGCTTACACAGAAGCTGAAGCTGGTATGCGTCGCCGACAGGGCGTTGATGTTGAAGCTGAAGGGGCTCGGATCCGACAAGAAATTGCAGAGGCTCGAGTTGACATGCTGAAACAGCTTCGTGAGATGCACGACAACCCGTATCTTCATGATGACGATTTGACCTTCATCGCACCCAATTTTGTGGCAGACTTGACTGGAAGGTCAGGCGAAGCACAAGCACGTGCCAATGAACACTTCATGGTGGCCCTTGCACTTTGTCACACAGTAATCACAGAAACCACCCCTGGAGACCCACCCAAGATCGAGTTCAAGGCACAGTCGCCCGATGAGGCCGCGCTCGTTGCAACTGCTCGCGATGTAGGCTTCACTGTTCTCGGTCGCACCAACGAGGATCTCCACGTCAATGTTCTTGGCGAAGATCGCACCTATCGAATTTTGAATACCCTCGAGTTCAATTCAACTCGTAAGCGTATGAGTGCCATCGTTCGAATGCCAGATGGAAAGATTATGTTGTTCTGCAAAGGTGCTGACAGCATGATCTATTCTCGATTAGCCCGCGGAGAACAGCAAGCCCTCCGTAAGAGTACGGCAGAGAACCTCGAGATGTTCGCCCGTGAAGGTTTGCGTACACTTTGTGTAGCTGAGAGGGAGCTTGACGAAGAGTTTTACCAGGAATGGAACAAGGAGCAAGAATTTGCTGCTCAGGCACTCACCGACAGAGAAGACCGTCTGGAGGAGGTTGCTGACCGAATTGAACGTGACCTTACTCTGATCGGTGGTACTGCGATCGAAGATCGTCTTCAAGATGGGGTTCCAGATACTATTGCCCTTCTTGGCCAAGCTGGTATCAAGCTGTGGGTTTTAACAGGTGACAAGGTCGAGACTGCCATCAACATCGGCTTTTCCTGCAATCTTCTTTCCAATGAGATGGATTTGATTCTATTTGACATGCCAGAGGGAAAGGTGGAGGATGCTGCCAAACTATTGGACCAGCATCTACAGACTTTCGGCCTCACAGGATCCGAAGAAGAATTGGCAGCTGCTCGCCTGATTCATGAACCGCCAGCCGCAACTCACGCCCTCATCATTGACGGCGAGTCCTTGAAATTGGTTCTGCATGATGATCTGAGACAGCGATTCCTGCTGCTTTGCAAGCAGTGTAAATCCGTTCTCTGCTGTCGGGTGAGTCCGGCACAAAAAGCCGCGGTAGTACAGCTTGTGCGCCACGGCCTCGATATCATGGCTCTGTCAATTGGTGATGGTGCCAATGATGTTGCCATGATTCAAGAAGCCGATGTTGGTGTGGGTATTGTTGGTGAAGAGGGACGACAGGCAGCCATGTCGTCGGATTATGCTATTGGACAGTTCCGATTCCTTCAACGACTAGTTCTTGTTCACGGTCGCTGGTCATATCGCCGACTGGCTGAATCCATGGCCAATTTCTTTTACAAGGTTTGTCAACCATGTTTTCTTTCACGCATCTCGTACTAATAAACCGTGTTACAGAATCTCGTGTGGACGTTTGCCCTCTTCTGGTATCAGATCTACAATAGCTTCGACATTACGTATCTGTTCGACTACACCTATATTCTACTTGTCAATCTGGTCTTTACCTCCTTCCCCGTTGGCCTGATGGGTTTTCTAGATCAAGACGTCAGCGACAAGGTTTCCCTCGCGGTGCCGCAGTTGTATCGAAGGGGCATGGAGAGGAAAGAGTGGACACAAACCAAGTTCTGGTAAGGAATTGTGCGATTGCTTTCACATTGCTAGTCTAACATTGTTGCAGGCTGTACATGGTCGATGGTCTATACCAGTCCGCTGTATGTTTCTTCATGTCCTACCTACTATTCCAACCAGCAACCTTCGAGTTGCCAAATGGACGCGGTATTTCTGATCGAAATCGTATGGGTGTCTACGTTGCTTGTACAGCCATTGTGGTCATCAACGCTTACATCTTGATGAACACATACAAGTGGGATTGGATTATGGTCCTGGTCACCAGCGTCAGTGTCCTCCTCATCTTTGCCTGGACTGGAATCTACTCTTCATTCGAATCATCATTCCAGTTCTACAAGGCAGGCGCAGAAGTCTACGGAGCACTGACATTCTGGGCTGTGCTCCTTCTTACTGTGGTCATCTGCCTTCTACCTCGTTTTACCGCCAAGTATTTCCAAAAGAATTACCGCCCATATGACATCGATGTGGTTCGTGAACAGGTTCGACAGGGGAAGTTCAAGTATCTGGATGAGTACGACGCGTACGTACCACCAAAACTGACAGATGTGTCGGGTACCTCTTCGGAACAACCCGATGAACAGCCTGCTGAGGCCGAGAACCGCAAGAATCATGCCCGATATTCAAGCATGGCTGAATCCCAACGACCAATCTATCCACCATCCGAAGCACCCACGCGTCATCCACACAGCCAGAATGGAAGCGATGGAACTGACAGGACGAAACCATCCCTTGATATGGCAAGGTACCAAGGGCAAGCCTCCACACCTGATAAGCTGAAACAAAGGCGACCTTCCTTGGAACGTGTACGTTCCTCATTTGAGCGCCAGCGACAATCTTTTGACAGATTACGACCCAGTTATGAGGGCAGTCGTGATTTCACCAGCGCAGCTCTACTGCAGCGCATGGAATCCAGCTATTCTCAGTCTAACTACTCGCAGGCAACTGGTGCACTATCACAACAAAACACGCGCAAGGCCCAGGATGCTGGGGATGAGCTTCAATAGGAGTGCTCTCATACGCCATTCCTGTTGGATGCGTCTTATGATTCTCATGTCTCTCTCTACTTTATATGAAGCTTATGGCATCTGGTAATGGCCTAGTTGGCGATTGCCGGCCCGGAATTCGTGGAGTTACAAATCATTTAGCGGATTGGAGAGCTTGTATATACTTTCTGAAAGACTATTGTGAAAAGAGGTGGAGAAGCAAAGCGCGACTCGGAATGGTGGGAACTCGTCGAACCCGGTTGGAACCCCTCCTCGACTAGTCAACCTCCGAGTCGAGTACCGCAGTATTATTATTTATGGCAAGATTGAGTTTTAATGGCAGGCAGCAAAAGCGGCTGATGAGTTAATACTGCAGCGCATGCATTCAGTGAGACCGCCTCTATCTATCCTTAGTTGTTCAATTCTGGAATCTTGTTACCGTGCTCAATCTCGCCTGTGTTGTGCTTTCGGAGGTGAGCATTTAGAACTGGGATAAGCCGGATTGAGTACTGTTGTCATTTCTTTTCTCGCCTCACGAGTTCTCTGGCCACCTGGGCACCTAAGTCAACCTAGAAGTTATGAGAGTTGTAGTTTATTCAGACTGCCTTGACCACCAAATGCTTCATGGCTAGTGCCAAGACATGTCGTTAAGTGGCTGCTTCACGGGGAAGGCGATTCACGCGACTTGACGCGCGCCGTTCCTTCTCAGGCCAGTGGCTGCGGAGAAATAATCTGCAGATCGAGAATCAAACCGTGGTAATCAACACCACCCACCAACATTACTCCAACTCACTCTACGACTCTGGTTTGTACACCAGGTCGTTCATGATCTTGTGACTCTCCATCTCTGATAAACAAACGTTTCTAGTCAACGGCCCTTTCAAATTCACCTTCGGGTGCGGGAAGGCGGCCTCACTCTCAGAATGAATGTCACCCCTCCCTTGTTCCCCAAAGTTCCTTTAATTGCGACGGGACTTCCTCACGCCTGCGCTGTGCTGCGCTCTTACTGCAGCCATGGCTGAATTCATAAGTATCCTGCAGTACGTCCTTCCTCGTTTCGTCTTCACAAAGTTGATTTCTACTAACAGAAGACAGAGAAATAAAACTCCTTCCCGAAGACGTGCACCTCTTCTGCCCAAAGAAGAACGACACAGATCCAGACCGGTTCGAAGACTTGCACAGTCTCAAGGTCGACCTGAATACAACCTCCGACCCAGACCGACAACAACGAATCGAAGAGACTGCGCAACGTAAGAGGAAGTTCATTTCATCTCTACAACTACTAGCCTACGATGGCCAAGAATCCGAGCAATATCAGCGTTTCATCTGGGACAAAATCGATGAGGCTCTTGGGAAATGTGACATCTGCATTCGTGAGTACTATGTCGGCAAAGCTGAGTTCATCAACACTCTAAGACAAGACTATGTCGAGGATGAAATCAAGACGTTTTTTGATATTATCAATCGTCGAGACATCACCCGCATCATAGAAGGTCTTTCCAACATGGAGAAGGCTTTGATTTCGGTACCTGAGAAACAGAGAGGCTTTCGGGACCTGCAGCAGAAGGATATCCATGCCCTCTTTGAGGCTCTCGTCAGTGAGCCATTCCTCCAAGACGAAGAACAGGTTCAGAAACATTTTGATGAGCCTTTCAAACTGATTCAGGCGAGGAAACCGCTTAAGATGCGAGAAATCCTTCCTGGTGCGGTTCGCTTTCTCTTTGATTCAAAGCCACTCAGACTCTCTTGGGCCACATCCGTGGTTTGGTCGAAAATCAATAGATGTCCTACTGACCTTGAGTGGGACTGGGCCATAAAGGATCAGTTGAAATTGAAGCTGGAGCACGCGGCCGATCCAGCCGACATTGCTCGGCTCTGGAGTGGATTGAAACTCATTGTGAGCAAGCTTGATGAGAACATGATTACCCATAAACTCTTCGATCTACAGCCTTCAGTGGCCACCACGGGGCTGAACCATCTAGCCAAGCGAACGCAGGCAATCCCATTCATCGTCCAAACCTGGAAACTCATTTTGGAAAAGGCTCCGGATGCTTTCTGGCAAGGAATGCAGTCGGTGCCCTCACACACGATTGTTGAACAAGTCTTCTCAAGTCCACATTTCAACAAGTGTCTCCAAGAATCTATCAATCAACCTGAACTACCAGAGTTGGACGTGCTATCCTGGATACCTTCATTCCTCAGATCTCACAAGCCTGCAAACCGTCTGCCTGCCTCGCAGACCCTTGTCTACCAGCTATTCGAGAGAGTCGACGATATCAACCTGAGCCTTCCAGTCAGAACTGCTTGCTTTGAAATGGCCGTGAAAGTTCTTCTAGAAACCATTGTTGTCTTTTCTGACAACGAGAAGAATAGGCAGGCTGTTGAGCGGTTGGTTCTGTCAGACACCCTCAGTTTGATCGGGCACAGAATTGATCAGATACTGAAGCCAAAAGACTTGTCATTGGCAAACTCACCATCGACTGCTACTAAGGATAATATTATGAGTATTATCCGGAACGCTGTCGCTCTTGAGTGCCAATGTTTAAAGTCAGATTTTGAGATACTGTCGAGAAAAGAATCTCTGCCGCACGGGTCTAGCTCTTACACACCTGAGATATGGGTGTCAATCATTGCCAACCTGAGAGACGATGACACTGCACTATCCTCTGCCGCATTGCTCGGTACCATGTCTTTACCCGGGCTCGAGCAGTTCCGAGTGAAGACTGGAGACCCGCTTTCAAAGGAAAAGACGACATTCAACCTGATCTTTACAAAACTCACTGGAATGGTGGCCAAAGTGCTTGAGCGAATTACTGAGTTTAGCCCTACGCACCTCGATACTCTGTTCAGAGCACAGAATACCAGCATGGCTTTGATTGCAGCGTTATTCTCGTCAGACGAAAGCACTTACCAGGCTGCAATTGAGCTGATCAAGAATATCAGCGGCGAGTCTGGCAGAAAGGAGGCTCTAGCGCATCTCATCGATGCATTCCTCGGTACAACGATCTATGGGCTATGTTGGACATATCGAAGGATAGCCAATTTCAAGACTTTCACCTCGGTTCCTCGAATGCTCAAGAACGGCATGGAAATTCTTGATGTTTTGTGCAATCCCACTGACGGTCAATTGAGACGAAGCAACATCTCTAACAGAGATGCTTCTGCAGTCTCGAACTACTGGTCCTATCAATGGATTGCTCTTCGGGTGATTTTCAGCCAGGCAGAACGGTGGTCCATCGAGGCCCATAGCAAGGAAGCGATGATGGAGGTATGCCGCGATACAATGCAGTATGCACGCCAGTTGTTCGATCAGTACGCTGTGTTTGCGAGTGTTCTGATTGCTGCAAAGCCTGACAGGGAAAAGGAGATCCCTATGCAATTATTGGATCCGGGTGATGCACAGTTGGGATCTCCTCTTCAAGCACTTGATGCCATGTCCAAATGGTTAAGACTTCGTGATGAATATCTTGCCGACACCTTGGTCTCTCTCATCGAACGTATGCTGGATCAGTTAAAACGCCATCAGGCAGTCGCAACCGATAATGATGGACTTGCATATGTTCAAGAAGTCGCCACAAAATCTTCCATCAAGACCATCCTCTCCCCCTCTCAGAAGGCTCGGCTTGTACGAGCATTGGAACAATACTATGGCCGGCAGATAGAGAAGCCAGTTGCTAAGAAACAAGCGACGCTGAACATCAAAGACTGGACTGACTCTGCTGCTGTGTCTCAGTCAAGAGTTTCGTCCAAGGCTAATAGTGCAGACGAATTTGGGGATGACGATATTCCAGATGATGAGCTGATTGAGATGACAAGCAGGGCCGCAGACCCTCGTAAGTCGACAAATGCACCAATCGAGCGAAAGACCATCAAGCCTCTTGTGACCAAGTCGCTCAAGCCTGTCAAACCAAAAGCGCCCTCCCTTTCTGCTGTCGAGCAAGCAGCAAACAGATCCGAACAGGCGAAAGCCTTTATCGAAAATCGGAAGCGAGAGGAGGCAGCTCGCAAGCTGCGAGACAAAGAAGCTGCTCTAAGACTCCGAGGGCAGACTGGCGTTGGCCAGCAAACAAGTGGCCAGGGATCCGGTATGGCAGGCCTCGGAGTGCAGGGCAAGGACCATTCCTTGGGACGAAGTGATTTGATGGTTTCCGATGATAGTGTCTCGGATTCTGACTCTGATGAAGATGAGCTCTTCGGGCCTAGTCGACGGGGACCAACCGTGCGCACTCAAGGTGGCCGGCGTTCAGTAATTCCACAAGGCCCAGTGCGCGTCAAAAGAGCCATGCAAACACAGAGAGATATGAGATCACGCCTAGCTCCCGACCTGGACGATCTCCATAAAACTATCCTAAGTTGGGACTTCTTTGCAGAGACCGAACTCCCACCCAATTCGACCAAAGATGACTACACACTGGTGTCCAGCACTTTCAGATCCGCCGAAGACTACCAGAAGACCTTCGAACCATTATTATTGCTCGAAGGATGGCAACAATTCAGATCTGCTCGTGAAGAAGGTAATTTCAAACCATTTGAGATCAAGATTTCCAATTCCTTGATTGTCGATAGCTTCTTGGAGCTCAACTCGGAAATGCCGTTCTCGGAGGGCAGGGATCTTGGTGTCAGCGCAACGGATATCGTGCTTCTATCAAAATCGAAAACCCCTGACCGCGACCCCAATGAGCCTCACTGTCTGGCCCGGGTGAAGGAGATCACCCGGAAGAAAGGTGCCATCCAGATCGTCTACAAAATCAGCGCTTCCAACAACTCCTTACGCCCTTTTCTCAACAACAAGGCAAGTATCTACGGTGTTTCAGTCAACTCACTTGCAACTCTAGAGCGAGAATATGGTGCTTTGAAGGCTTTGCCATACTACTATCTGAGCGATTACATCGTCAAAGCCGAGCCTTCAGGCATGCTCGAATACTCGGAACAGGAGTTACTTCCCCTGACTTCCACGTATAATGTCAACCTTGCACAAGCCAAGGCTGTCAAGTCCGCTCTCGATAACGACGCATTCACTCTTGTCCAAGGACCTCCCGGATCGGGAAAGACCAAGACTATCTGTGCTCTCGTCGGTGCCATGTTGACCGCTCCTGGCAAGCGACCCAAGAGCTACACCTCCCGGGTGAACACTTCTGGTGGCATCTCTGACACTGTACCAAACAAAATCCTGATTTGTGCGCCCAGTAACGCAGCAGTTGACGAACTAGTTATAAGACTCAAGGAAGGTGTCACATTGATGGATGGCACACAGGAGAACCTCCCTGTCGTCCGTCTGGGGCGTTCTGAAGCCATAAACAGTCAGGTCAAGGATGTCACCCTGGAGGAGCTGGTGAACGCCAAGCTCAACTTGAATGCACCTCAAGACCCCAGAGAAGATATTCACTCGGTAATGAAGGAGCACAAAGCTGTATCCGAGAGCCTTCACGAACTTCGAAATAAGATCAATAGTCAACGTGCAGAAGGTAAAACAGTGGAGTCAGCGGATGAACAGTTGATGGACATGATGAAACGCAAACAAGGTGGCTTGTCGACACAGATTGACAAGATGAGAGAGAAACAGAACACTGCTTCGCGCGATTCAGAATTGAATCGAAGAAGAGCTCAGCAAGAAGTCTTGAACAATGCGAAGGTACTCTGCGCCACTCTCAGTGGTAGTGGTCACGAACTATTCCAGGGTCTCAGTATTGACTTCGATACTGTTATCATTGACGAGGCCGCCCAGTCAATCGAGCTTTCAGCACTTATCCCACTGAAGTACAATTGTGCCAAGTGCATCCTAGTTGGTGATCCGAAACAGCTTCCACCAACTGTTCTTTCAAGGCAAGCAGCGAAGTTTCAATACGAGCAAAGTTTGTTTGCACGAATGGAGAAGAATCACCAAAAGGATGTTCATCTACTGGATACCCAGTATCGTATGCATCCAGATATCAGTCTCTTCCCCAGCAAGGCCTTTTATGATAGCCGACTCAAGGATGGCCCGAATATGGCTCAGCTTCGCAGACGACCATGGCATAACAGCGAAATTCTTGCGCCCTACCGGTTCTTTGACGTTCAAGGAATGAGTCATTCGAGCACGAAAGGCCATTCGCTGGTCAATGTTGCCGAGCTTAATGTTGCTATGCAGCTCTACGACCGGTTGACGACCGATGTTCACAAATATGACTTTTCAGGGAAGATTGGTATCATCACTCCGTATAAAGGACAACTCCGAGAGCTCAGACTACGTTTCCAGCAACGTTACGGCGAAAGTATCCTCTCAAAGATTGAATTCAATACCACTGATGCATTTCAGGGTCGAGAATGTGAAATCATTATCTTTTCCTGCGTCAGAGCATCTACTCAGGGTATTGGTTTCTTGAAGGATATTCGCCGCATGAATGTCGGTTTGACTCGAGCCAAATCGTCTCTTTGGATTCTAGGCAACTCAGAGGCATTGATTCAAGGAGAATTCTGGCGAGCTTTGGTGGAAGATGCCAGAACTAGGCAGGCTTACACTGAAGGTGACATCATGAGTCTTCTGCGTCGTCCCCTTCTCACAGACGACATGATGAAGGATGACCTCGAGATGATGGACGTAGATGCAACTGTTCCCAAGCCAGAAAGTGAGGGGCCCGCAAAGCGCAATAGCGAGCTCATGTCAGGTGTGACAGAATCTTCAACCGCGATCTCAAGAGTTACCAAAAAGGAATCCACTTCTCGCACGTCGTCAGGTCGTAGCACGCCACTGGCTTCAAGACCGAGCAGCGCTCTTTCTCGGAATTCATCTACCACTTCTTCAGTCACGAAACCGGAGCGCCGAGAGTCTAACAAAGTCGAATCATTGCGAGATAATTCAAAGAAAGACAACAAAAAGAGCGACTCTTTGCCTTCACCTGGGAATCATGAAGCCGAAGTGGGTCCTCAACCAGTTACCAGCCAATATGACATTGGCGTTTATGGTCCATCAGGGGGCTCCAATGGGCTCAATACCCAGGGCAACTGCGTCATCTGCGGATCTTATGCTCATTATAGCTTCAATTGTGATCATCCAGAGGCTTTCAAGGCTGCAATTGGGACATGCCTTCGATGCCATCTGCCAGGCCACTTAGTTGGTAGCTGTTCCGATCCACGATGCATAGAATGCGGTGAAGTGGGACATCAAACCAAGGATTGCAAAGCTTTGGATAAATACAAATTGACGCGTGATCAGCAGGAGACTGTCAAGAGAGAAGAGATTAAGTGGGGTCGGATTCGTGATAAGGAACGCGAGCGCCGAGCTCAGAAGCAGCTTGGTGAACATGGAGCAACAGTCCCAGTTGTCAAGAGCAGCATTCCCCAAGGGCCAGCTGCATTGACCCAAGCGAAGAGAAAGCAAGAGGAGGGGATGCGAGATCAGAACAAAAATAAAGTTCCTCGCGTGGACAGCAGTAATTCCAATGATCGCCTACCAAGACCACGCACCTCAAATGCTCTCCAACCTAATGCTATTCCACCTCACCCTCGCTCCGGCATACGTCCGCCAGAAAATGCTCCTGCTGGACCAGGTCTTCCCAGACAGCCACCAAATGGTCCAAATGGCAGACCTGGAATGCCGCCAGGACCTACAGGACCACCAATTATCCGTCGCAAGAAAGCCAACGCCGATGCTATGTTTGTCACGAAAAAGCGTTGAAGAAGAAAACGGGTATGACCTGACACTTACAACTGTGAACAGATGCATTGAAAGTATTTTCAGCGTAGACTCGTGGAGCCTGCTACTGGGTCAGATATGCTTCATTCAGTAGATGCAAGGGTTATTGGTAGAAAACAAGCATACAGCAGCGCAGTTTCACCCTCAGTCTTGGAAAGAAAGGAAAATTCGGTCTCCCTCCAACCAATGGTTGGTACATCCGTGCAGAAAGACAGCTTAAAAGGCAGAACCAGGAGTGGGTGCCATCACATTGGTACTGGGATGTAGATATCGAGCCTTGCTTAGTTATCTTCCTACCTGATGTGGTCAACGCTCTCAAATGAAACACGACTTCAGTGATATAACGTGGGTCACAGCGTAGAGTGAGAGAAGTTTCCTATTATATTCGCCGCGAACTTGGAGTCTGCGTCACCTCCCCCGTAGGTGCCAAGAGCAATACTTGAGATTTTGAGGACTGATACAATCATCTAGGGACCACGCAAGTGTCTCACGAATGAATAGGTACTCTCTGGAGGACTCAACTGGACGGGAAAGGAATGGAATGAAATGCAATGTTTAAGTGCAAGCTCTTTCATGATTATATAGTCTCAATGAATAATAGGTATCTGGTTCCAGGAACTAAGTAGTCTATTTTGGCTGCCTGGTACAGCAACGGTACTTATGTAGCACAAGAAAGAAAAAGTGGTCTTCGACAGTGTGGTAGGTAGTAGGGAAACAGGTATAGGCATCGATATAAGTATGCCTCGCGTCATGAGTGCGGTCATTGAAGTTCGTACATTCAAATTTCATTAGCATCGTATGTCCGCATAATATTTGCCTTTGCCTCTGCGACAGCAACGACCTCGGGCTATCATCTCCAGAGCTGTCTTGAGAGACGTTGACCACCATGCCCTTGTCAATAGACAAGGCGATGTGATAAAGATGGACATTCCCATGTATCACTTTTGTCCGCTCGCTAGAAATGCATGAACTGGTCGATCGCACGATCCATTTGCTCGGTACTGGTCAGCACATGGTTGACGCTGAGTCTCGTGGCGTTGCGCTGGTTTTCGACTTCGCTGTCGAAGGAGTCGTCGCTTTTGATCCGGAGCCTTGCGGGCCTGCCACCGCCGCTGCGGCGCGAGGAGTGCCGGTCTTGCGCAATCTGTGTCAACGTTCGATATTTCAGTCCGCTGTCTTTGCTGAGCGTGTGGTGGTGCTGGGGGTGGTCGTTGCTGAGGTCTAGGTAATCGCGAGCTTGGGTCGAGAAGCTGAGAAGGCTCATCTCTTCAGGCAGCTTTCCGCGTGGGATGATTTGAGCCACTGGCGGCGGTTGGTGGAGGGACATGTTGGTGATGGAGGCTTTGCCTTGACTGGTTGGTTTCTCGCGCGTGGTTGGCCGTGGTTCCAGGCGGCTGCTACCGTCTGGTTTGGGACAGTCGACCTTTGTGGTGGCTGGCTTGAAGGGCTTGATGATGTTGACAGTCGGACTGTGGTCGTAATCTAAGGGGTCGGTCATTGAGGCGTCGTCTGCAGATGCTTTTGTCGCATCGGTGGTGTTTGCGCTAGCCGATCCTGAGGCTGTACTATGGGCACCTGGACTATTTGGTCTCTGACAGCGAGCCTTGGAAGCAAATTGACCCTTCTTGTCGATAGGAGAGCCTAAGCTGATCTTGGACGCCCTAATGGTTCTGGTGTCGCTTGTCCTTTGGTTAGTGTTGCGACGAGAGGCTCTGTGGGTCTCTTCAGGGGTTGAGTAGTCCGTCAAAGTTGAGAGTCCAGATGGGTCTTTCACACCTCGGGCACGATTCATCGGAGCAATCACTCTAATCATCATCTGAATCTGATCAGCTTGGTTGCGAAGTCTCTCCTCCTGCTTCACGATTGTAGATCGGTAATAGTCGAGGGCCTGCTCCAGAGTTTTAACATGACCAATGTCATTACTGTTCCACCTTCTTCTCTTGTTTCTGCGATTCATGGTTTGCTTTGAGGACTTCGCATTCAATGATGGTACAACGGTATTAGACTCATCACTGGAGCTGCTCAAATTCCTATTGACACTTCTCATGGGCCTCTTATGCTTCTTGACTCCAGTGTGACTCGACTTTCCAGATGCTGAGACCTGACTTTTGAGGCTGTAGATACTGGCACGATTTCGGATGTTCTTTAAAGGACTTCCATGGATGGAAGCTGCATCCTTCAGGTTCGATGGGCATCTTGAGTGCTTCATCTTCTGCTGTGGGCTCGCGCTGCAACTGTTGAGACTGCCAATACTTGGAGCAGGGCTCATGGTTCCTGCCTTGAAGCGAGTAGTAACAGGGTCTGTATCGACAACTATAAAGATGTTGCTTTGTGAGAGTATTTGGCGAGGACGAGAGGACGGATGATAGTTGGAGCTAGCCTTGGATAATTGGCGACTGTGAATGTTATGCATCACCTGATGATGCTGCGCTCTAGAATTCCCGCGAGAGAGCATTGGACTAATCAAACTTGTAGGTCTTGATTCGGGGACTTCAGGAAATTGGTCAAGTTCGTCATAAGAGGGTTTATGCACCGGTGAATGGGTGACAGTGTTGTTCTTAACATCCTCAGAGGATGACTGTTTCTGTAGCAAAGGGATAACTTGCCCTGAAGAATCCGGCAGGTTGATATCAGACTTCGAAGAGGCTAAGTCCCGCAGTCGCTTCTCTTTGACCTTTTCGGCACGCGGACCAGATATGTTGTGCTTCATATATGATCGTGTTGAACTTGAGGAACCGTCGGATGTCAGTGATACCGCCGAAGGTATGTTCCTCATAGCCATGAGTTTGAGGCTCAATATATCGGTCTGATTGGAAGGCGTATGGACAAGATTTTCCACGTTATGAGAGGTCCTAGCAACAGAGTCGGAAGGTTCAATGGAACCCAGTGTATGAATTGTCGATATAGAACTTCTCGGATTGACGTGGGCTGCCAGCTTGCGAGAATGCCCTCGCAAAGTATCAATTGAAAGGCGTGGGAGACCAATGCTTGCTTCTTGGGGCAAGGCTGGAAGAGGACGTTCTGGTGGGATACTCGGTGGTCCATCTGATTTGGGCTCTGATAATCTATGGAAGTGCAAATGACCGTGGCTTCTTGACGGCTGCGAAGGCTGGCGGGTCTGGACTTGCGCTTCTATCTTGGTCAGGGTGTCTGTGCTCATTGCCGACATTGGGCTTTTCATAGAATGACGTGAAGATGCGGATGAAGGGATTCGAACAATAGGCTCAGCCAAGGATCTGTTCCTGCTATCTCCAGTAGGTGGACCTGTACTTCCAAACTTGTGTAATGGGATATCGGAACGGGGTGACCTCTTTCTTTGCGGTAATGTTGCAAATGATAGATCGTCCTTCATCAGATGCACGGCAGACGATTGTGCGCCATGTGCATGAAAATGGGGTGTGGAGCTGGATGTTATTGTTATATGAGGTACATGAGGTACCAGCTCAGGGCTATTTGGGCATGCTGTGACTGGCTCCGCTGCAAGGGCTGCCTGTATGGTTATTTTCTCATAGGGGTTTCCCTCCTGGGCACAATTCTTGTGACTCAATGCTGCCTGCTCAGCGATTCGTAATGAGGAGCTGCTTGTCTCCAAGGTCGGGACCAAAAGCCAATCTCGGTTAAAGTCCATGTTCTTGAGAATGTCCATACATTCTTTGGAGAATCTGCTATCTTTTTCCGGGTCATGCAGTGAGAGGACAGGGGATGGTGGCACTTGTCGAACTGAGTTCTCCTTTTGGGCGCCCTCATCTTGATGAACAAAACTGCCTTGGGTCGCGCTCGGTCTGGTTGTATTTCGCTTCACAGAAGAGGCTCGTCGTCTATGCTTTGCTTTAAATCCAATTCCTGCTATTGCTGGTACTGGGATCCGAGTGCCCCTGCGGCCGATCGCCCTGTCTCGAGACTTTGTTGGCGTAGCTCGCCGGCTCTGGGGATAGAGATCATGCTTGGGAAGTGTTGTTCCACGTGTGGTTGTCAGTATTGTTGCTTTGACATTTTCCCAATACTTCGACGCCACATGTGGGCACAAGTTAGATTCCTGGGGGTTAGGGCTGTTGTCATCGAGGTATCCATGGTTTTCTGGCTCCTCTATCCTCGGAAGCATAGCTGGGAGCCGTTTAAGCTCGGCCCGTTGTTGTTCGAACGATTCTTCACGCTTGGAAAGCATGCGATCATCGGGTTCTTGCGCAGTGTTCAGCTCCTGTTGCAGTCTCTCTTTTGGTGGTGGTGTTGGCGGAGGTGGACCGGGGCCATATTTCTTGGCCCAACGTCGTGATTGTTGAAATTGAGGGAGCCTCGACGCGGTATTCTGAGGTACCAATGACGGAATTCCGTCATGTTTGCGAATTGTTGGACTGGGGCAAGATTCTCCATCCCCACGAGTGCACGGCCGGTGACTTTCAATCGAGATTTTTGGTAGCTTCGGTAATGATTTATTCGCTGACCTGAGATGTGATTCGGTTGACATGATGGTGTCAGGTGGAATGGTGCTACTGGCAAAGCATATCTTGCTCTGTTGTTAGAAGGGTAGTCCAGCAGGGTGGCACAGGTCCTTGCAGATTGCTTTCGTGGTATGGAGTACTCTATGGGTCACATGGAAGGAAAAGAGTCTCACGTCAACATAAAATCTCGAAATGGTCCGTGGGAGAGAGCATTCCTGATTTATCTTCCGCCATGGAATGCGCAAAACCCCCGTTTGGACAATTAAGTCTACCGAAAGTGCTAGACAGGTTTCTGCGCATCATGAGCCTGTGGAAGACCTTCTCCACAGCAGCCGTCGCCTTTCAACGAAGAAATCTGTCAGATACTGACATGTTCAAAGAGGCTGGGTCAAGCAAGGGACTTCCTAGAAACAGAAACAGGAGGGGTAGTGTGTGACAGGTCGCATCAGAGTAGCCCCAGAAAGGATGAGGTCACATAACGTACAAGGGAGTCATGAAATAAGGTTCTTGACAGCTGGTAGTGAACAGTGAGTTCTCTGACAGCCGGTAGGCAACTGTGGCGACTTGACGGATGCTAGGGAAGGACGCAGAGACATCCGAGTTATGGTTGGCGATCTGTTCAGGAGCAGGAGCCTCGTATTTCAGTCGCATGACTTCCAAAGGGGGGTTCTGAACTGATCAGCAAGCACTGGGAGCAGCTGTAGGACCTGTGCAAGGGAGCCTTGATGCCCTCGTTTATCTGGAGTATATGATTAGATGCGAGTGAGATCTCTACCTCAGTAGGTTAGGCAGGGAAGCGACATCCGAAGTTGATCTGGTAGGTGTCCACCACATAGCGGAGTATTAACTCACGGCGCATTCGGTGGGTGGGCATCGTTTCATTAGCTTACAAAGGTGCATCGGGGAAGATCCGGCTCGCCGGGAGGCAAGGGCGAAGCCGAGTTTTGAGTTACAAAGAGCCAGTAGAAGTAGCAACAATTGAAGGGCGATGGCAGCGTGAAGGAGATGAGATGCGCTTGCGCTTGCGCTCTCCCATCACTCAAAGAATCCATTGCGCCTTCAGAGAGTCGATTACGCGCAAAGGGTGGACCTTCGTATCCGGGGATTGGGGCGTTTGGCTTGTCGACTCAGGCTTTCAAAATCCATGGATAGTAGAGACAAGATGATGATTCGCGAGGTGCATTTTGACATGATGTTGGAGCCGGCGATCATGCCCGATATGGCCTCTCGCTTCAGAAGGCTTGCATGGCCAAGCGATGGGCCAACGATGACGGGCCTTGGCCTCCACATTTGCTACAAATAGTCCTCGTAACAGATGTTGTGCGACCCGCTAGCTATGTCGGACTTTCCCTTTGTTTTAACTTTCTAGTTGACGGCTCAAAAATGTCGACTCGACCAGGAATGACTTGATGACGGTGGTCTACTGGCCGCCATCAAAGATCGGTCCTCCTCATACTCCAACATTGATGCTCAATCTGGCAATGGATGGTCTTCTGGTTCTCTAGTCCCATCAGGGATATCGAGAGGTCACTCGATATCATGGTCAGCGAAAGAACACAGCAATCCACGACAAGGGTCAAGCACGTCTAATGAATTGATGGAAGTAAGAGGCGCCAACCCTTGCCATCCCGGGGTGTATCTGATGTGCCCCCTCTTCACCCAGATCCTTGAGGCAAGATTTGCAGGCTCCCTCGAAGCCTTCGACCTCAGGTGCGGCTCCGCAACATGTGGATGTTGCCACAGGACCAAACATGGGGCATTAGTTTGCCATCAATTACGCGAGAGAACATGAGCTCACTCAATTCCAGTGCTTGTCAAAAAGTTGTTCACTTGTCCTCTGTCAATGCCAACTCCAAACATATCCCCTGTCACTTGTTGTTTAGCACATTAGCGCTCCCTGCCAGGCTTCCACCTCTCCGTTGAGTGACCTAGAAAATTGAGATTTCAGCTCACTCCGTCTAGCCGGTATCTTGTCGGTCGTAAACCTTATCCACAGAAGGAGAACTATCTCAGAGATAGATACGAATTAGACGGCATAGGGTCCATGATCCCAATAATTCTATGCCTGCATTTTGAGTACGTCGTAAAATGTCAGCATCGATTAGACTAGCATGAGAAGCCAACCAGGCGCAACGCGAGACATACCCAACCTGCTGGTAGTGCCTTTCGAATCTGCTGTCGGTAAAAATCGAGGTGAATTATCCTTCGTAATTACTCACAACCAGCTCTGCGACCGTGATCTCAATCTATTCCCCTTATTCCCAGTATCCCAGTATTGCTTCTTTGTGAATCATCTTCCTCCATCACGTCCCACGGGTTCGCAATGTCATGAACCCCAAGTGCATGTAAGCACGCGAGAGCAGGCATTTAGCACATGGCCGAAGATCGCGGAGATTCTCAACGGCAACCGAATCTTGATCGTTGAGAAATTGTTCCTGGATCCCTGCCCGGCTCGAAACTCGGATGTCTGTGCCCCGGATTGATTTACCGTCAATAAAATGTATTCCGACTACAAAATGGTGCTGGCACCCGCCCCTTTCTGAACAACTCTGCTCCTCTCAGGAGTATTACACTGGGCTGTCATTATCTTTTTGTTCAAGAAACCTGGAGCCTGTAGGAGAACAACTGTCATGGCAAGCCTGTTTGCAAGACTGCTTTCCTCTCCATGCGAGATTCCAAGGCACCGGGGCGCAACCTGAGCAAGATGTGGTTACTATTTCTTAAATCGTAAGGAGGTGGCGCCTCAACCTCCTGCATTCAAATCGAAATAAGTATTATGGAAATGACATTACTTGTTCCACTCAACAGCCTAAAAGTCAAACACTGGAGGGATGTGACGATCCCCGTGCTTACAGAAAGCAGTAACTACGGAGTAGATGTCCCAGTCCGCGATGTAGCAATGTCCACCCACACTCGTAAATGAATCATGGTTCTATGTGTTCGTCGACAATAATGTGGTCAAAAAAGAGATTATTTCTAGACATGGAGAGGATATCCCGTCACGCTCAAGCGAGGTATTTCGTCGGGCCTTGAAAGGGCCGAAGATGCCTAACGCAGAATGACAAGGACCCCTTCCTATTTGGATCCGTGCCTTGATTACCTTATGAAGTACGAGGCACAACGGCGGTAGCCTCCTTGGCTCTACGATGGAAGCGAGCCCCAGAAATCCCGAAAGGACCCGGGACGGGGACATTTAGGCTGTGGCCAGGCATCACATCATAACGGCTAGGGTCATCCTAGTGGGTTGGGATCTGCACCTTTCCTAGGTAAGCATGTACCTCGTATTGCCTATGACCATCCGTGGGCATCACCACCAGCGAGTCCTATTCGAATCTGGAAACTATCTCTTAAAGACGACCGCCCGAGTCTTACAACGTACAAGAGAGGAAGTTATAGACTGACTAGATTGATTACTTAGTTGTCCTGTAGCCACAACTGTGGATGACACAGCACAATTGACTTGAGACCTTAGATTATGCGAACTTCGGATTCTCAGATTGCCGATACTATCAATTGACTAAAGTAAATCCATCGCAATGGCGAGTCTTGACTCTTCACATCCCATAAACACCATCGCTTAGCATTTGCCTATTTGGATAGTCATATTGTGACCTGGAAATCAGGGTATTGCAAAATCTTTCGTGGGGCCTAGAAGTGCATAAAGTGCCCCTTATTCAGGGTCTAAAAAAAGTCTGCTCCGTTACGCCACTGATGCCTATCAAACCCGAGAGAATCTCCAATATCGCCGCAATAATATGCACAATGCTCTATTTCAAATTGGTGTTCAAGAAATCCGTAATCACAGTGTAAGCACCCGTAGCATTCTTGTGGAAATTGAAGTTGTGCGAGGCATTAGGATGCAAGTAAGGTACGAAAGGCTTCGCGTTGCGGTAGAAAGTGCTGGCCGGCTCGTCGTAGATCCCGGGGCAAAAGCCATCGCATACAATATAATCCTGAATACCTGTGATGGTCAGGACTGGGCCGGTGAAGCCGCTCGCGTCCAGGTCGCCTTTATTATCCTTTCCGTTGAGAATGGTGAGAAATTCGGCGATCGCAAAGGCCTGTTTCTGCGATTCGGCGAAATCGGCCGTGGGCTCGTCGTAGAAAGGACTCTTGAAGTATCTGCGCACGCAGAACTCAGTTAGCAGCTGTGACATTGTTGCCTCAAAGGTGATATGATCTCCCTTAAGACTCACGTATTGATTTGAGCGAATTTGTCCACCCAGGTCACGTATCCATTGTCGAGATCACCGAAATGAAGAGGGTTTTGCTGTGCGGCAACTCGGGGTACGAAAGACCGGACAAGGCCATTGGCGTTGACTCCAGTTGTGTTAAGACCTATGGCGGTGAGAATAACAGCGTCGGCGATCTCTGGACTCGATCCAATAGCAGCGTGTGTCACATATGATCCAAATGAAAATCCCATAACCACGAGTTTTCCGGGTTTGCCGACCCCTGGGGTGAAATCGCCAGATTTGACAAGAGTGGTTAGCTCTTTTAGTAAGCCAACCTGTGTGCTGAGTTGATTCTCGTAGCCCGAGACACTGTAAGGAATATTGTCAGTCATTTTGTGACTTGGATCCGCGTGGTGAGGTGAGCAAAGGTGACAAGGCATAACTCACTTTTCTGAATCTCCGGTGCCCAGGCGATCGTAGAAAAACACTGAGTATCCTTGCGCGATGGCATGTTGGACAAAGTTGTACTCCGCAGGCTTGTAAGGAGAATTCCTGCACGTCGAGTTAGTTTCGACGGCTCTAGATATGTGTACGGAAGGCTTCGTTACCAATGGCTTCGTGCTTGCCCAATGCCATGGGTGGCAAGTATAACAGTCTTCTCTTTACCATTTGGAGATTTGGGTGTACAAAACGAAGCAGCGATCTGCCTCGTTACCGTCTCTTTCTTTGTCCCTGCTGCAATACTGCCAAGGTTGGCTGTCGCTCTGGTGGTGGCGACGGCAAGAAAGTCTACCAAATCAAAATCGTCCTCCCACTTGGGAAAGTTGAAAACCACATTCTCAGATTCGAACGTGACAGGAACGTAGAACTCTGTACACACGGCTTGGGGTGGGTAGTACGCCTGTGTGAGAGCAGACGCATTCGCTGTAGGGCACACGCATGACCCTGGAACCGATTCCAGCCCACAGGCTATGGCGGCGCCCATGCCGAAAGAACGACTCATGTGCATGATGACCGAATTGTAATAGTAACGAACTTCTCAAGAGAGTGAAAGCAGATACCAGATGCAAAATACAACGAAAAGGAAGTCGAATCCGTCGTCTCCGGAGCTTGAGTTGTACTGCTGATTCGTGAACAAGATAGCCATTACTCTGACAGGAGTTCTCTTCTTCCTTATATGAATGCCAAGTTGAATCTCCTACCTTGGGTTGTGTCGATGGTCATGGTCTCATTGTATCATAGCCAGCATCAGGCATAGTGATGTTGAGGACTCTGCCTCAATCTCGCGGCTTGAAACCTGACATAATTTAGCATCGAGTCACAACTGCAAGGCTAGCAGTCGGACAAGGTTTAGAAGTCAAGAACATATGCCTGAAAGATGCAGAGCGTCTGTTGCTAATTTGACTACCTTGGTACGAAGTACTGTGGCATCGTGGCATTTGGCGACCTTGCAGATGGGCGAGCGCTTGGCCATTCGTGCGCTCATTAGAATTCTGTGAGTCTGTATCATTCGTTCGCTTATTCACATGCTTCTTTGGGTTAGAGTGAATTTGAGATGGGGCCAGAAAAACCCCTCCACTTCGTTTCAGCGGGTCAAGGACGCCAAACGTAAGCATCTCGGTTGGACCTGACTCATGGCTACATACGGAGTGTGTAGCAAAGGGATGAGTAGTGTTCAATGATGTTCAGCATATGCGGCTGCAATGCTAAGCATCGTCCGAGCCCCTGGTGGGGAAAAAGAACAAGGAAGTCTGAAGCCACCGTGGTAGGAATTGAATATGATTAGCTTCACGAGGAGTTGTAAGAGATTTGTCAGGGGTTTACCGGAGTCAACAACCCAACTCCGCGACACAACGACATACGGTAACTCGGGTATATCTTTATGAATAGGGAATATGATCATTGATGCTCGATAGTGCACCGAAACGAAACCAAAGGACAGATGGTCGGGCATTGCTGGATATTTGGCATCTCATGCAGTCTAAAGAGAAGCCGGCCATTAGGCTCGGCCGCCACGAGCATGCCAAGTTGACCAATTCTTGATTTGGCTCCATGGGGCGAGACGCAATCATCTCGATGTTCATTCTTTACTGGACAATGTTCTCCCAGAATCCCTACCTCTGTAATGCCACTAACCTCAACTTGATTCAGCTTGACCCTTCGGCAAAAGGTCAAAAGAATGCAAGGTAACTCTATTCTCAGCCACAGCTTTTAGTGGCTATGCCTATGGAACCTAAACGGCCAACCTGCATCGCAAAAAACCGATGTACATGCTTCACATGGGTCATCCACTGAGCCTCAAGCATACCGCTATGATTCCAAAAACCCGAGGATAGCCACAGGACCTATCATGACTATGGTCCCAGGGCTATCTTCCAAGTGTTCTCCAGCCCTACAAAGCTTTGCTTTCATTAAACCTCGTGTTATACGGCGGTTCATTCTAGGATCGAGCTACTCCCAGATTATGACATACTCCTGGGAAGGGTTAGCCGGTCCACAATAGATTGTTAATCAATATAAAGTATATATGATCCCTCTTTGTGGGAGCAATGACCGACGCGCATCTCGCAGATTAATAAACTAGTATCTGCAACAATGGTCGGTGTACCTGGTCGAAGCAAAGGTTGTCACACGTGTCTGAAGAGACGCGTCAAGTGTGGTAAGTCCAATCTCAATTCCATTCGAACAAGGATACAATCATTCTACAGTCGACCAATGGCTAATCACCGTGGCGGCCTAGATGAATCAAAACCAACCTGTAAGCGTTGTGACAAAGCCGGCTATACGTGTGCGGGATACGAGAGGAAACTCGAATTGCGATTCCACTCCTTCTCCAACGAGGCCGAGCAACAGACGACAGCAGGAGTATCAAAGACAACCAAGGAACCCCCACCGTGCCACCAGAGGATCCCGAAATCGTTGGTCCTAAGTTCCAACGATGACCCGGAAGATTTTGTGCCCTCAGACATGAGTCTGGTGGCTTTCAGGGAGGATATCCAGTTTGCCTATCTCTTCGACAACTTTGTGTGGAGCAGCTATGGGACGCCCTGGCTTCAACTGTCCGCCGAGGGTAAGATTGACTCCTTATCCCTGGAGGCATGCCGAGCGTTCTCCCTCAGCATATTTGGGAAGCATCACCATCAACCCGACATAGAAGTAAGTGGTGCAATCCACTACGACAAGGCGGTTCGGGCGCTCTCTTCCCGTTTGTCGAATGTGGGGGCCCCAGGCAGCGAAGACCTAATCATTCCAATAATGATCCTCCTCATGCAATCTGTATGTCAGGAGGTTACGCTAAAGATGCGTTGTCTCCGTCGCTAACCTATGAGCAGTCAACCACTCCCGACCCTCAAGCAGCGGCCTTCCACCTCCAAGGCCTGCTCAGACTGATACAAATCTGCGGCCCGAGAAAATTTTCCACTAGTATGCTGCGAAACGCCTTTGAATCTTGCCGAGCGACTTTGGTAAGGTCACACGCAGCGTCCATTACTCACTGCGGGCACCCCGGACTAATCGTGTTGGCAGGTCACAGTTGCCCTGATCACAAAGACCAGGACCTTCCTGGAGCAGCCAATCTGGCTGACCGAGCCCTGGTTCGAAATCGGCGCCTCCAATAAAAGCTTCCAAAACCAACTGGTCGACGTTCTGGTCTACATTCCCGGATTCCTTCAAGATCAAGCACACCTCGAGCAAGTCCAATCGGCCGAACTCAAGGGCGATTTAATCCGACGCATCGAGTTCCAGATCGAAAGGATCTATCAGTGGCGATGGCGATGGGAAGCATCCAATAGCAACGCCGTCTGGGAGGCGGACCCGGAAATGCTCCCGGCCGAATATCTATCGACGCACTTCCGACCCATTCGAAGCTTCCTGGTCTTCTCATCCTCCGCCCAGGCCACAGAAGTATCCCTCTACAACGCCGTTCTCCTCTGTCTCCTGGGCCTACTGTGGACACTAAAACCAACCGACGACAGGACACCCTCACCACCCACGACACCCACCACGCCTCTAAACCTCCCCGGCGACGTCGAGTTCCTGACGCAGCCCGCCGTCGAGATCTGTCGCGCTTTTGAATACCAGCTCATGCACGTCAAAAACAGCCGGGACTCGGCGCTATTCTGGCTGTTCCCGCTCGGACTGGCCAGCCGCGTGCTCGAGGACGATAGCAATATGATGCTGTGGATCAAGACCATGCTCGAGACGTCACAGGTCACCCGGGGTTACGGCACCGGCAGCAATGCCTACGGCTTTGGCTTCTACAAGTTCCCCAAGATCAGACGGAGGCGCGTTTACCAGCCCCTCATACAGCCCCAGTACTCGAGCGAGACTCTCAAGCAGTATTCAAGTGGGTCTTCTACGACGAGCGATGAGTGATGCTCGTGGGTGTGCAAGGTGGGCGGGCATCAGTGCCATAACGAGAGGTAAATTTCTTTCTGTACGTTTTCTTTGGCATGATGGTGACACGAGCTGGTCTTGTTGGCGCTCTCCGTCTGTAACAGTATAACGAGCCATGTTACCGATGACGAACAAGTTGTGGATACCTAGGTAGCATTACTAATTCATCTTGGGGGAATACCGGAGCAAAGGAGATGTTCTCAATCATTGTTCCAATCAAAGCAATACTTCATTTGAGCTATTTCGAATATACTAAGATTCGACACACCTTTATCCACCGGAAACGCCACCCTTCAAGTACGTGAAGTCCTTTCGCAGTAAATTGCTTCATGAGCTGCTTAAGCAGCACCTGCGGCGTAGACTGGCTCGGGCTCCTGGGCTTCAGCGGCCATCATGTTGCGAATGCCCTGAGTTAGGTCGACACCGACGCGTTCTTTCGACAAGAGATCCACAAGCAATGCGCTGGGCTTGCTATCTCGGTGAGGCTCATATGCACTCTGACCCTGGCGGTACTTTTGAACATTGTCCATGTACATGTCGAACAAATACGATGAATCAAGAGGGCCACCCTTTGCCTCGGGGTGAAACTGAGTCGAGAAGATAGGGCGAGTAGCATGAATGAGGCCTATAATAGTCAGTATAGCTGTCATGAAAGGCAAAATTCTAGAAATACTTACCCTCGTTAGAGTTATCATTCAAGTTGATAAAGTATGGTTTCCAGTCGCTTGGAAGAGTAGAGGCATCGACAGCATATCCATGGTTTTGACTAGTGATATGGCATTTGCCAGTGGTCAAGTCCAGAGCTGGAATATTGTGAGCCCGGTTACCATACTTCAGCTTAATGGTTCGAGCCCCAGAGGCGAGAGCCAGCAATTGATGTCCAAGACAGATGCCAAATATCGGGATTTGGGACGTCTCCATCAACTTGCGAAGATGATAGACGGTATCTTGGCAATGAGTTGGATCTCCAGGTCCATTGGAGATGAAGACACCGTCAAAGTGATGAGCAACCTTGTGGATCGGGTAATCAAAGGGAAAGCAAGTGACGCTTGCACCTCGACTGACCAAGCTGCGGAGGATGTTCTCTTTCACACCGCAGTCAATGACCGCAACATGGGCCGTGGGCGAGGCTGCACTGACATGGAATGGCGCCTTGGTGCTGACTTTGCGGACCAAGTTGATCTGTTCTGGGTCAACAAAAGCCTCGTCTTCGTCCTGGTCGTACTCTTCTCCGATGCTGATTCGAGCAAGACTTGAACCTTGTTCTCGCAAATAGGTAACAATGGCTCGAGTGTCGACACCGGTAATGGCTGGGACGCCTTCTCTGGCGCACCACTCGCTCAAACTTTCGACAGCGGTCCAGTGGGAATATTTCTCTGCCACATCTGCGACGACCACACCAACAGCCTGGATGTTGGGACTCTCAAAATATTTGTAAAGCCCGTGTTCGTCTCTATCGCTGGACGGTACACCGTAGTTTCCAATGAGGGGCTGGGTGAAGACCAAGATCTGGCCTCGATAAGATGGATCGGTGAGTGACTCAGGATAGCCAACTAGCGAGGTGGTGAATACAGCTTCACCTGAGATGTTGCTTCGAGCTCCAAATGAGGTGCCATGGAAAATTGGGCCATTTCGGATCGTGAGGGTAGCTCTTTCGTGGGCAGGACGGGCCGGGGTGGAGGGTTTGTGGATGGGAATCTGTTGCTGTCTAGGAGTATTGTTCGAGATAGTTGCCAGAGCCCGCGACTGCAAGGCTGAAACGCTCTTGAAGCTCGGGGCCGATTTTTTCAACGCTCGGAAAAGCATATTTTCTGTGTATGTGTTTTTATCTTCTTCGTCTTCTTGAGTTGACCGCTAGTTTGCCTGAGCTTTCCACAAATGATCTATACGGCAATTAGAGGCATTCACAAAGGACGAGGGCATTAGAAAGTACCACTGATGTAATCCTATAAGATGAAAAGTTAGCATACAAAATCAACGAAGACTCCCATGACGTGTTATCTGTTGTCATACGAGCAACAAGTCCTTATCAGTGGAGAGGCGAGTAGACAAGACCTTACCTGAGAAGTGAAGGTGCTTGGGAAGCACATGAACGCGATGAAACACAATGCCCTTCCAGGAGCAGCAGTAGATGGCGAAAGGTTTTCAACGTCCTCGAGTCTTTGTTGGATGTAAAGGGAATAGCTAAAAGAAGTTTTGCAATCGATCGGTGTGGATATGGGCAAGAGTTATTGGAGGGGATGACTGGGCGAGTTGGGGAGAAGAAAAAAAGAGGTGACAGAGGCGGGACAATAATTGGGCCTTGGCGTCATCGGTCCACATCTGCACGTGACTGAAGAAAATCCACACTACACACTGTCCAGTCCTAAGAATCAATGTCGAAGTCTGCAAAATTCTTGGTGGATTACCTAGGTACCTACTAAATCTTTCAATTCTATTCTGTTCCTGGTCAAATGATTGTAGAGCAATTCATGTTAAGTACGTTAAGTACAGGTTGAGGTGTTCCAGTTAGTTGCCGAAAGCGATATCCCTAGGAGACAACAAAGTGTCAAAGATAAACAGCCATGCAGCCAATGATTAAGAATTTAATTCCATACAATGGCCAATCAATTGGATGATAGTCGCATCCGATAGCCTCCGATTAGCAAATCTAGTGGCGCGATCGCTATCGGCGCGATTGCGTATCCGACAAGGCTGTAGACTTTTCGCAAGGCTCCATTCTTATTAATTAGCATTGAGGGAAGATTCTGCTGGAAACCAGTAAACTACACCGACTCCTTAAAGTTGAGTTTAGTTTCAACTCATCTTGATCATAGGAGTCGACTTCGACTTCAGCTCCGCTAAGTAATCCTGTAAATAAAGCCAGAGGATATATGCAACCTTCACGCATACTCTTACGTGGTCGGTTAAATGATACAAAAGTACCCTCTATCTATTTTTAGTATGTAGATACCTGGAGTCGAAGAGGAGTCGAAGTACTAGAAAGAGACTCCCCTTTACGCTGATTCTTGTGATCCATTTTGATATGCTTCACGTTAGTAGTGCCGTGAGACTATCTATGCTGTACGTATCTCTCATCTGTGGTTGCTACTTGATTGCCTTCGAACTTGATTTTTTCGTAAGCTACAAGAATCTAAACTTCACTAGGCTACGTTACTACCTCGCTTTCAGGCCGCAACACTCACTGCTAGCCTTGGTAAGTCTAGGTAGGTAGACTCCATGTTCTTGATCAATTTGGTCGGAACGTTGCCCACAAGCTTCCATGGCGACGCCAAATCGACACTTTGCTCCTTGGCCGCACTTGTACTGACAGTAGCAGCTTGCTTTTGGAGTGCAGAATTAACTGTGCTGATGTCTTGTGCCTCAAGTTGCGACCGATTTTGATCCCATTGTAGAGTTGTCGCCACCTGATTGAGCAGCGAATCGACCAAATCTTGTGTCTTCTTCGTGTCCAACTTCAACCAGGCAGAGCTCGTATCTTCCCACCGTTTCTTATTGGTTTCCGCTTTCTCTGTCTGAGTGAGTTCCCTCGGCAAAAACTTTGCTTGAGTTGGTCGACTCGTTGGTACAAACCAGTCTGTGCCACCGAGTTTGGTTCTGAAGTCCCGAATTCCAAACCTCGCAGCTGCTGTTGCTTTGAATTTGGGAATGAACCCAGGCCATTCGGGTCGCGGACAGAGTTCAGGTGGGGGAGCAGACAGTCCGACAGACATAAACATATCAACAGTCGCTGAGTTCCCATCAAGCAGTGTGCTGGGTCGTTGATTCTTAGAGGGGTCCTGTGAACTATCATAACTGCCCCACACCGCTTTCGCCATTGGTTTAGCCTGTAGAGTGAAGATTCGCCATTTGTAAATTGGAGTGGGATCGAGGACATTCTCGGAAATGATACGTGCAACTCTAATGGTGAGGGTAGAATGCGTGTTCTTGCCTTGGTCTTGAGTGAGCTGCATTGGTTTAGAGCAGATACTTGAAATCGGTGCTGGAGCCATCTCGGTAGCGGACGATTTACCAGCGCTCAAGTTGGCGTTGTCAGGACGTCTTGGTGTCTTAGCGTCCTCTGTTACGAGGATTGCATCATTAATGGCAAAATCAGTCGCTATACGGAATTGGAAACTCCCTCCTTTAACAAACCATTTGGTACCTGCACCGGTACTCTTTGGTTGTCCGCCTGATGTGTCTGGATCTTGGGGCATCGGAAAGTTCCCGTTTTCTAGTATAAACTTGAAGGCTGCACCTGTCTGCGTATCCACCACCCTTGTCGGGGTGTGCACTAAAGCACCATTGGCGGAAGAAAGATTATCGTCTTTTTGTGTGGATTCAACATCAATCCATGAGAAAAGAGGACTTTCGTGGGCGAGGGATGGGTCAGAGCTAGAATCTGGGCCTGGCTTATGGACCAGAAGGAAGAATTGGTAAATATCCAGTGGAACAGGAGGGCTCGGCGAGGCACCGAAGTCGACGTCAAAGCCGAAAAGATAAAAATCAACACTAAAACAAGAGGAATCGGGGTTAGCTAAGAGGTTACTCCCACCTTTGTGCGGCTATACTTACTGTGCAACGCCTCCAAATTCTGGTCCTTCAATATGCAGTTGAGCACCCACTGAGGCATGAATGTGTATGTGGATAAATAGGATATCAATGTTGAAATTTATGCCAATAGAAACAGCAAAGTCCACGGTATAGTGCAAGGGGTGGAAGTTGATGAAGGCGTCAAACGAGTAGTCCATCCAGGCTTCGATGGGTCCAAATGAAAGACTTGCATGCATCATAGCACCACCCATTACACATTTCGGAGTTACTGCAAAGTAAGCTTCGCCGGTGATGGAAATGATATCGATATTGAAAGAAATGCCGAGGCGAGTAGGGACTGGATACCAGGCCGGAGGTGTATAGGCACGATGATAGCCTCCAATTGAGAATACCCAATCGCCAGAGTGATCACTAGGCTGAAGTAGTGTGATTAGTTGGAATCGACCTCATTGTGCAGCTATGGTTGGGGTTTTCACTTACCGGAAACCAGTATACTAGCGCAAAGCCTCCGTAAAGATGACACTGCGGCACCAAAAGATAGGACGTTGGGGCCAAAGATGCCTCTACCCTGAAATATCCATCTGCAAAATTCATCTCTGCAAGCATACCGATTTCAACATAAACAATCGCAGCGCCTTTCGGGGCATCAGGAGGCATTGTAGCAATAGCATCCGCGTAGATACTTGCAACTAGGCCCGAGTCTCGGAACGCAAGCATTACCACGGCGGTGATGTTCAAAATATCGAATGCAGTGACTGACATTCCGGCAGCAAACCAATATGAATTCAGCTTTGGCTGCACCCAGACCGTCCCATTTGCTTTGGGATCAGGCTCTGTCATCTTTCGAAGAATTGCCATGGGGTCGTTGCCAGCCCCGTCGGTGCTTCCATCGTCGATAAAAGGAAACTGGGTGATTGAGTTCACGTCTGGTGAAGTGACATATGAGTTGTACCCTAACCCTAAACGAACCCCTGAGATGGTCGCAAATTCGAGAGTTATGAGTGGACCATCCAACTTGGCGAAGAGGAATATAGATTTGTATTGATTCTGACCCACTGTGACGATCGCATACTCTCCAAGCCCGACAAAAGTGTAAGGTGGGAAGTTAACGCCAATACCTCCCAGAAAGATGTTTTCTGATCCTGTGGCGGTCTGAATTACCTTGTGTTCAAAGCCACCCGCAATCAACAGAGGAGGTTTGTTGAAGGATATCGCCATTCCAGAAAGGACGACTCCTATATCGTCAAGAGCCTTTTCTAAGTTGTTCAACGTAATGTCTCCAGAAAGGCCTACAGTAATGCCAAAACCAAGAAGGCTGAACACGATTGGACCCATCGTGAAGGTTGCATTTAGCGTCAGGACAAGAGACTTCTCCCCGGATTGCTCCTTGTACTGTACTGTGATAGCATCCACTGCAAGAGGTCCGAGTTTGAATGTGAGAGAGCCCTTGGCAGGTGGGCTCGGGGTGGGTTCATCCGTTTTGGTAGTCACGTCTTTCACCATTGGCTTGAGAGCGTGATTGCTTGAGAGTACTGCCTTTTGTTGAGTTGAAGTCTCTTGCTGCTGCTGCGGTGATTTTGAAGTGTCATCCTTGGATGATGACGTATTGAATATGTGGTCAACAACTATTTCACCTCCGTTTATGACCATGAAATGGTGTCCAGATTGGAGCACAACAGGGTTGGTGGACGGGCTTGGGCTTGTTGTTTTCTCACCTCCCGCTCGGGGTGGGTTGTCCTTGTTGGAACCCTGTTTCGTGGCCGCTTTCACAAGTAGTTTGTCCTTGTTCAGTAGGAAGTCTGAGCTATTGATCACATCAATCTCATCCCTTGTGAGGCCTTGAGTGGTATTGCTTCCTGAAGTATTCGCTGCAGTATTGCTGACCCAGACATACTCAAGCTGATCAAACGGTTGGGGTAGGCGGTCAAGCAATGGTATGTTGTCCTTGATCGGCAGTTTGTCGACGGCGAAACGCAGTAAGCGTTTAGTTGGCTGGGGTATGGTGTTCTTATCCCCGGGAAGATCTGCAATCTGGACGAAGGACATGGTAAATACTCCAATGGCAAACTGGAAGACAAAGACGATTTTGTAATCCTGGTTGTCACTTGCTTGGGCAGATCTTGTCCCAGCTGCGGCTGGACTGGCCTGAGACGCGGAGCTTGAGGATGCAGGGAATTTTCCAGCTTTCAGTGACACAGGGGCTCGACCGTTTGTTCCGTCAGCTTTTGGGATAGGAATGTTGCTAACGAACGACGGGAGAGAGCCAGAGGCATCGTCTAGAAATGAGTTCGCAATTGAACCAATTGTGGCATCACCAGACGAAGAGCCAAGATCGCATTCGAACTGCCAGCTCGACTGAGATCCCGTAGGGACAGAAAGAACCATTGGACCGTCTGCATTTTTCAGAGCATCGGCGATCTTGGAAGAGGATGCATCATCAGCTTGACTTGTGATATACTGGTAAAAAAGTCGCAAATCCAGCCCACCAAATGTTATCACGCCGGAGAAAAGAAAGGCAGCAGAGGCTCCTCCTTTGGTATGTGTCCAGAGAAGATCCAAGGATGCAATATTCAACTTCCCGAGCATATCCACCGCTGCGCCTTGACTGTCCGCATCGAAGAATGAATAGAGCAGGCCAGCGGAAAGATTTTCAACAGAGCCGTGAAGTTCCCAGCCTTGTTCATCATAGATTACAGCAAGTGCCATCTCTGCCGGAGGATATGACTTACCTGCAGGTGAATTGAGAGTGAAATATGTAAACAACGAACAAGACAACGAGTGCTGTTGCTTCTCGAGAGAGACATCTAGTTCGTCCCAGGTAAATCCGGAGGGTACAGCTGCCTTCTCTGCTCCATCAGCGCCGCCTGTTGATACACCAGAGACCTTTGCTATTTGTACTGCTCGCGCAAAAAGGCGTAAAACAGAAGCACCAGCCTGCTTCGATTGGGTGTACGAGACGGAGGCGGCGATGACAGCATATGGTAGGTACGAAGGAATCGTGACAGAGAAATACTTGCTGAGATCCCAGAACCTAGCAGGAACTGTGCCAGAAGGCGCAAGAATCGATTGGCTCGGCACATAATTTGGGAGAAGCATATCATTATCGATTGAGTAAAAGCCTTGCAGTATTAGGCCTCCAGAGAATGCTGAGGATGATGTGTCATAGCCGAGATAGATGCCTGGACCCCCGCTCGGTAGAGTCACAGATGCAATGATCTGCCATTGTCCTGCACCAGGCCGCTTTGTGTAGCGCACCTTTAATAGGTTTATGTCCTCAAGGATTCCTGCAGAGGACTTTGGCGCAATGTCTTTGCCTGATAGAGAAGAGACAAGTCCTGTCAGATCAGACCATAACGATGCCGGTAGTGTCCCTTCGCTTGGGGTCGCCAGAAGTGAGATATCACATCCCGCTGGGCCGAATGTGATCCATAAAGCGAAATTCCCGACTGCTAATCTCCAAGAGACTTGATATTTAGTAGTAACCTTCCATTTGGGCGTGGTACCACTCGTGCCAACAGAAGGGCTGTTGCTGTTTCCAGATGAGGTTGGGCCTGTGGCACCAGGTGTCGTAAATTGTACGCCTCTTGAAGTTCGTTGAATGAAGAGTGATATAGCCTGCAGCGAGTCTAGTGAGATAGGCAGGCCGATGTTGTCCTTGAGAGCATCCAATTTAGAAGTTTCAGGAGTAAATGTTAAAGTAGTATCGATGCGCATAGTATTGTCGCCCGGTGTCAGCCACATCGCATTTCGCCTCTCCTCCACACTGGGCGCGGTGTCCAGATCCTCGCTGAGACGAAAGCCGATGGGGTCACCTCCTAGAAAGACGTTGACGGCTTTATCGAAGGCATTTGCATCTCCATCGGACACGCCCAGTCTGGTGGGCGACATTCCTGTGGCCGTCAAAATATCCTTTAACCCAGTCGCGCGGAAGGTTGCATCCTTTTTGAGACCAAGGAGTATGCTTTCTGTGCCAGCAGGTAGACTGAGTGGGCCAAACCTCGTTGCATTGTCACTGGTTTCAAACGTCCTTGAGAATAATCTCGTGTTGACACATCGTAAACTGGAAGGCACGCCAGACCCTGCCGCTGCTGGGTCGAGGAAGGCCTGTACATTGACATCCGGATGTTTTAAGAAACTCTGCCATTTTTGTATGTCGGTATCTGAAATCGTGAAAGACATCCCAGGTCAATCATAGAACGGTATTCCCTGCCTCAGGGGAAAAGTGATAGGAGCCCGTTAGGTGGTGGACAATAACATCAGAGTTATTGCCCACTGAATTGGACCGTGATGCTCACCGTCGATAACGCTTATCATCTGGAATCGGGTCATTTTCGACGGGAACTGAGGAAATAGCTAGCATGCCGTTGGATCGTGGCAGGACCATCGACACCACACCGTGCGGACGTACATTCCAGCCAGCTGGGAGAGGCTGGTTTATTGCGCCTGGATGCGAAGCGGTACAGCCAGCCATAGTTAGAACCACCGAACGACGTGCATGCCCGTGCACAGATGTACGCAGGCACAGCTAGGGCACGTGGTAATCGCCGAAACCCCTTACCCTGCGACATGATGGTGTTGAGGAGACGAGCAGCCCAGCCAGCCACAACCACACCAAACTCCGCCGTCAGGGTACCGAGTGTTATCTGTGGACCGTGGGCAGTAGAACTTGGGGAGCGACAGGTTCAACCGCAGTGTGCTGCGTCAACCAGCCAGCTTCGCCTGAGGAACTGTTCTCTTTGGGATGAGGGGCGCACGCTGCACTTGCACCGAAGCACCAATTCACATGAGAAAAGCTAGGCATTCCATTCCCTGGCAATTGTGCAGGAGCACTCCCCAGGTCCTCTCTGTCTCGTCTACGGTCATTTCCTGAGCCTCTTCAGCATATGGGTTTTGTTAAGGCTGAGAGAACCTACCCAACAATCCTGTCGTGTGCAGGACGAGAATGACGGCCATACATTACTCTGCGGACCAGTACACTTGATCAATGTCCCGTCGGTTATTCGATCGAGATAAAGAAGATACAGCTAAATGGCAACCGCCAGGATTAACGGGCATACGGTTACGCCCCATTCTCAGTGCCAAGGTGGCCATCAATTCAAGGAAGATGCGTCCCAGAGCAATTATATTCTCGTCCAGGCATCTGATCGGATTAAACCCGAAGAATCAGATCGATTGCGCAACCTGGGAGCAGAAATCTTGCAATACATTGATAATGACACTTACGTCTGCCACTACAAGCCAACAAGTCTACAAGACATTCGGGCTCTCCCCTTCATCAAATATGCAAATGTCTACCATGAGGACTTGGTTGTTCATCCGAACCTCGAGCAACACCTCGAAGAAAATCTCAATTTACCCTCGGGCTCGGAGACTCTGGGAGAGACACCGCTGGAAACCGTTGTGTGCTATATCCGTGTCCACCACTCCGACTGTCTCAACCGTGCAGCAGAAGACATCTCACGCCTAGCGTCTATTGATGCCGATGGAATTGTGATAGAAGGGGCGTCTTTACTCAAGGCTCGACTACCGGTGGACCGTTTAAAGGCCATCGCAGCGCTCGACGAAGTCGCAAGCGTCGAAGCCGATGGAGAAGCTAGGGTCGCGCTATGTGAGGCTCCACTGGTACTTTCGAAGCCGGAGAACATGCACATTCAAGGTATTGGTGCAACTTGCGTGGATCTTGGAGTACAAGCCGAAGATCTCGACGGGCGTGATCAGATCGTCGCAGTTGTGGACTCGGGGCTTGATCAGGGCGAACAAAAGTACATGGACCCCAACTCCCAGGACAAAGTCCATGAGGTCTTCAAAGACAAAGTAGAAGGTTGGTCCTCGGCTTTTGGGACTGATCAGGCAGTGGACGAGAACGGCCACGGAACGGCTGTAGCCGGGTGCATTGTGACGACCTACAAGTCGCTCGATTTCGGAGTGATATCTGGAACCGCAAAGGGGGCACGCGTTATTGTCAAGAAAGTGTTTAATGCATCAGGAATACTTGAGAACAGTGGTGCGTTCCCATGGAGGGACACGTTGTCGTCCTTCCTCAAAGATGACCCAAAAAGGGACAAACCTTTACCGCGTATCACGAATTTATCCATTCAGGACGAAGTTTCAGCACCTGTTTCAGATTATCCAGGCAAGGCTGAGGTGTTGGATAGGCTTGTTTTCGAGAACCCAGACTGGGTGTTTGTTATTGCAGCAGGGAACCACGGATTGAGCAGCAAGGATCCCCAGATTACAGGTCTTGCGGTTGCCAAAAATGCGATCTGCGTTGGCGCGACCGAGAATCCACTCCCAATGACCTTTACCTCAATGAGAAGCCGAAGATATGAGCCAAAAAATGGTAGAAAAGGGAACCAAAACAAAATCGCCCTATTCAGTAGTCGGGGTCCAACATCTCTTGGTCGGATCAAGCCAGACGTCGTTGCTCCGGGACAGATCATATACACCACGAAATCCACAACACCGAATTTAGGAATGATTTCAGTTACGCCTGTTGATCCAAAAGATCTAAAAGACCCTCATTTCTGGTTTGTTGAAGGAACCAGCTTCGCTGCCCCTCTGGTTGCAGGATGCTGTGCTGTGCTCAGGCAAATCTATTGTGCGAGACTTGGCTGCTATCCCTCTGCTGCTATGGTGAAAGCTCTTCTCATCCACGGTGCTGTTGATACACAACTGGCCCAAGGCTTCAAACCTAGGACAATTCCTGAGTGGCCTACTGCTACGTCCAAAGACCAGGGATTTGGGAGAGTCAACATCCCCTCGTCCCTACTGCCGCTTATTGACCAGAAGAAAGACGAGAACGGGGAACCTGTCGGTAATGGCGGTGTATTTGACTCCTTTTCTTTCCCTGCTGATGCTTTTGCCGCAAAGCAAGAGTATGATGCCATGAGCCCAGACGAGCAGAAGCAGCTGAAAGATGCTAGAAATGATTTTGGTCTGAGTATGAATCCCGATTCGAACAATTGGACCCTTGAACTGCAGGTCAAAGACGCGAAGAACACCAAAATCACCGTAACTATGGTGTACACTGACCCCCCAGGACAAGGTGTCGTTAACATTCTCAATCTAGAACTACGATTTAGGGGCAAAGATGCAGTTGAGACCCGCGACTTTCGCCTAGGAAACCCAGACGCCGGTGATCCATCGGTGGTGAATACAAGCACCCGTCGGCCAAGGAGTCGTAACAACGTGCAGAAAGTCGTTTGGCGGAATGCTCCACCTGGGCCATACAGAGTTCAAATAAAGCTGGATCATCTGGAGGAGGCGCAGACACCAGACAAGGTGCAACACTTCGCCGTCTGTTGGGATGTTACCTATGAGCAGCAACCACAGGAAGAAAAGAAGGGAAACGAATAGTGGAAAAGGACAGATTCTGACTCATTCACTCCTTCAAAACAAGATATATTCTCTAGTCCCACCCAGTATTGAAGTCTCGCGTCACAAAATGAGCTATTCGTCTCAACTGCCGAATTCGCTCCAAGACTTATCATCCGGAATTTGTCTCTTCAACAGCACATATGGCATTGGATGCCTGATCGGCTCGCCATCAGGATATGCTGTAGTCTTATACCATTCTGTAATCTGAATTTCTACCCGTCCCATCGAGTCATCGTTCTTGCCATCGATGTTGACATTGGACGGAATCGACACCCTAGAGATAGGTGCCTCCGCTAGTCTAAACCCCACGTCGTTCGTCCTCGCATCATTTGTCGTGATGGCGTAATTGTCATCTGCCGACCTAGGCCTAAGTTCAATATGCATGAGTCCATTGCCGCCTTCACGCCTAGGACCATTGAAGAACAGAAATGGAATGAAGCGCTGATTCGACAGCATCCGCACCCCTGGTCCATAATAATCTCCCTCGAGCAGTGGTTCTTTCCCAGGTGTGGTGTTCGACAGTGCTGGGCCGCCTGGCTTGCTCGAGCTGTTTGGCGCAGTTGGGATATCCACGTCAATGCGGAGCAGATTTTGAGCCATGGGCGCCGTCTTCCGAATGGAGAAGATGAGATCGAAGAAATAGACGTTGCGATCGGGTATGTAGTCGTCTCTCGAAAACCGCGTTGTATTCCGAGGCAGTTGAGGAGGCTTCTTGTAGTCTGCGTAGATAGCAATCGACGTGAATAGAGCGCTTGACGTTAGAGGAGAACCCGGAATCTTCATAAACCCGTCAAAAGTACGTGAAGTAGGTACCGGCTCCAGGCGTGTTTGTTGGTCTGGTGGCTTTAAAGACTTTGCTGCGTCTGGGTTCTGTGTTGGAGCCGGTCTGGGCGCAGGTATTGGCATTGGTATTGTCGTAGGTGTGGACTTCTGATCTTGAGATACTGGTAGGGCCCGATCTTTGATGCTGTCTGAGAAGGCCTTTTCGGCAGCATCCAAAGACGTGATACCGGAATCAAAGACATAAAGTTGTCGCGGTGGCCTTCGATTATGCACTGTGGGCTGAACTTTGCCCGTAGGCTCAATCCAAAAGTAGTAGCTTGGGTCATTCAATTCGAGGCCCAACTCGCAAGAATTGGCGATTTTGTCTCTGTATTGAAAGCCTTTACTGTCTGGGCCAAAGGCAAGAGCGGCGTTTATGTCTGTCGCAAGCGTATTAACCCTCAAGACCCGAGTCTCGAAGTTTAGCCAGGTTGCTGGACTGTACTTTGGGTTTAGCAATTTTTCTGGCCATTCATCGTCGTGTGTGTTTCCAAATGGATAGTCCGGAGTTGCCATAGAGGGATCCTTTTTCGGATCTGTGGTCCCCCACAGTGGTTTGTCCGTTGTATACAAAGTTCTCAGGTCGAACTCAACAAGATCCTTGATGCCTTTGTCACGGGAGCCTTTTCTGACATAGGAACCCAAGCTAAATCTCTGCTGGTGAGGCGGCTGCGCAAGAACGATACTCTCGAGATCTTGAGGGTCGCGATCCAGGAGGCACAGCAATGTCTCATTATCCCACTTCGTCCAGCGGCAGACTGGAGCCCGATTGTCCGCCAACTTAGCCCCCTTGTCGTCTTTAATTGCCTGCCATGTCACTGTGATACGTAGATCCGGCATTGCTTTGATGAGCTGGGATCGAATCACGAAGCCATAACAAGGAACCTGAGGTGGATATCCTGCACGCTTCACATCATCTGAAAGGTATTTGTTCAAGATATTCTTGATCTCTCTTCGAGTAGTGTCGTCGTCACTCTCAAGGTGATTGGCTACAGACAAAGCTCCGTCGATCAAGCAATCCAGCCAGAAGTCGTCGATGTGGAAAAATCGAAGAGACTCAGGCGGAAGAAACACTGGTTCTGGCAAGAGATATTGTGGTGGGATGCCACCTAGATTTAACTTCTCACAGATCCATGAAAGAATCACTGCCCAGTCAGTGTTATTACCTTTCTGCTTGTTGAATTCATTATAAACCTCGGCAAATGGTCCACTTCCCGCAGAAGCATTAGCTACAGCATTTTCTCTCATGTTCGCAAGCAGTAGTGGTTTCAGAGCAGGGTCTTGCAAAATTGGCACGGGAGGCTTGTCACTCCCAGTGATGATGCGGTTTGGAGAGCCCGTTGACCCTTGGGACATGGTCTTCAATGTGGATACAGTGCTCAGAATTGCGTCCAGAGCAGTCCCACTCGAAGGCAAGTTGTTTGCTGTCATTTGGGTTTGTCCTACGCTGGCGTTATGGACAACAGACCGAAACCTCATCAATGCAGAGCTGAACGTCGTGTCAGATATCGCCAGGATTTTCCCCAGCTGCCACGCTGATGAATAACTCAAATCCATTAGACCCGTCTCGGGGTCCAGGATCTGATAACCCTGAGAAGTGTTGGAGCAGTCGGGGAGACCATTAACGATAGGATGTGGCACAGGTCCAGGTACCAGAGGACCTCTGCTGAAAGCAGCAGTTTGCTCTCCAGATTGAGTTCGCCAGCGTGAAAGGGTGTAGCCTTGGTTCAACCTGTCGCTCATTATTCGTGAAGTCTGAATATTCACGTCGACCTTTAGGTTTTGGTCTACGCAGAGCATTTGCTGATTATTGACCAGATTCCGGACTGTATCCACGAAATTGACAGGGTTTGGTGGTAGAGCAGTATAAATCCACGAAAATAAAGATACCATGCCAATGCGGCCTGAATCATCCATTCCCATATCTTGCAGGGTGGAATCGACATGCTCAACGGAGACTAGATGACAGATCTGGGTCTGAGGTTTGTCGATGTCAAACGCTCCAAGTCTTGAGGAAACAACGATTGAATACAGCCCCTCTTCTTCCACACCAGCATCCGGAAAACCAACAGTGTTAATATGCCTAACATGCGCAAGATACTTGTGTGCTTCCAGCGCCGTCAAGTCGACCTTTGTAGAATTTCCTTTAGCACCATTGGCCATTGTGGAATCAGACTCGGTAGTTTGACTGTCTGTCTTGGTGGCTTCAGCATAAGCAAAGATTTCCTTGAACTTGTGCTTTGTGGGAAAGATTATGTCGACACTGCTGGTCATGCTTTGTAGCTCCCCAAAGAGAGAAGAATCTGCCTCGTATTTGACCCTAGAAGATGATGGCAGGTTCAAATATTGTTGCACAGTCATGGAGAAAGTGCCTTTAGGATTTTGCTTCAAGAGGTCTTCAGGCTGAGGGTTCTTGAACAAACCGGTGGAGGACAAGTCATCCACTTTGTTCAAGTGAAGGTCTTCAGCGTCAAACACCACAAGAGCTATCCAAGGGACTATCGAGCGAAACACTTGTATCGGAACCTGATTTTGGTCTTTGAGTGGCTTATTGTCCTTATCCAAAACTTCGTGGGGACCATCGATGGGGTCACTCATCCTTTCAGTGACGCCTGCCGCGATCTCCCAGGGGTAGTGAGGGTCATTGAGTACTATATGGGGCAAAACCCTGCCTTCATCCTGATGCCCATCCGGGGGATAGTAGCTATTGATCAAACCGGGGTCCAGGGTGAATCTGGGTACAACAACCTCGAATTCCTGTGGAGCATGCGTACCCTTGATATCACGGACTTTTGTATTCTTAATGGTCAGTGTCTGTTGACCCCAGCCTTGACTGGCTGCGGTGGCAGATGTGATCTTCTGTTCAGCAGTGATTTGGTAATTTCCAGCTACAAGGCTAGGCTTGTAGTAACTGTACAACCTCATCTCATCGGGACCAAGATCTGGCGGGTCGGTAACTTCTTTCTCCCTTTTCTGTATCACCTTCTGCATATTCCGCACTGACAATGCTCTTGCAGACATTTTGGAGAACCAGTCTTGGTGCAAGCGGTTGCTTGATCATTCCAATACTTGAATATCTTCTGCCTGGAAAACAGCCGTGGACCTTGCTACCTAATGATGTTAAAACAGAATCTTCCTGGCAATATTCAGCCTGACAACCCCTAGTTGAAGCGAGATCTGCTTGTCGGATGATCCTCGTCACATGACAAGCTATTTCTGGATGTGCAACGCTCGCTTTTCGAATCATTGAGCTTGTGAATGAGGAGTAAAGGTGGCTCATTTTTTTGTGATAGCAGAATGACTGTTCATCCTGGTCGTTCTGAAATGTACATGCTTGTCTACATTCTGCGTCTGTTGAAATGCTTATTCCACCAGCTATGGGGAAAGAAGCAATGCCTGAAGCTTGACTTCAGCTGCCACACCTGAAAAACGACTCCGAAAAGGCTTCGCCTACTTGTAACTTGCCGGGATATCTTAGCGAATATGCAAATGAGTTGGGGCGTCCCCGCACCTGAGCTGAAATTCCCAAAGGTGCCGCTGAGATGGGAGAGCTGAAAAATTCTTAATTGGAGGCTGCACATGTTATGTTCATGGACATGACGTTGACATTGCGACAATTGCCAGTGGCCGAAGCACTCTTATCTTATCCAACCGGCTGGCTACTTTTAGACTTCACTCAAGCTATGCTAACAGAAATCGTGGGAGGCATGGCTTTTGATTTCCTTCACTACTCCAATATCGTCCAATCAGGTATATCCCAAGTCCTTGCCGCCATGGTGGCTGTTGCAGCAGCAAATGCCCAAGCGCATGTCATGTAAACGCTCAAGCCCATGCCCTGATACCAGGGCCCATGAAATCCATTGGCATTGCTGTCTTCCGCTTGACCAGTCCCAAAGGCACTTGAAGCAAAATCAGAATTGTTTGGTGAAGACTGTATGAATCCCATGACCGCATAAAACTGTGAAATCAAAACCAATACTGCACCGATAAGGAGGAAGACAATGGTGAGCAAATTGACTACTGAGACCGCACTTTTAAGAGGACCCGTTCTGCCGGACTGTGTCGGTTCTTCGGAGGGGTGTTGTGCAGGGTAGTCAGTAACTGTTTTTGGTCTGGTTTCGCACGAACTTGGATCAACGACTGGAGCTTTGGGCGACTTCGTGCTAGACATCATCTGGAAAGCCGCCAAAATCACCATAAATATTGCGAGGAGAGCACCCAAAGAGATGAACACCGTGCCAGATATCGCGAAGTCGCCAGCGAGGTGGACCTGTTGGCAGAGCCGAGCATCACCCCTGTTTCGGAGAGCAGTGGTATCAGAGCTGTTCGTAGTGGTGTTCAGTGTAGTAGGAAGCTCGCAGCTTGTGCGACCCCAGCCATATGGTCTATAGTGGTTACAGGATGGAGCGTAAGACACCAAGATCGAATGCTTAACGTCTTGATCATCCGTATACTCCTTGAAGGTTGGGGTTGCGGTACAAATTCTAAAAGGACTCCTGTAAGATGTATAGTTCGGATGTTTCCAATCCTCCGGCACTGAACTGTCGTAATGATCTCTCTGAGCCCATTTGTTCGAAGTGATGCCCAGGAGAACAAAAACAAAAGCCAGAACGGCAAACGAAAAGGCTGCAAAGATTGCAATAGAACGGCCAGGGCGTGAAAACATTGTAGGCAGTTGGATAAGCCTAATTGTCACAGGACACAAGAAGTCAGGAGCACACTGAGAATATTGGATGATGTTGGACGAGGCGTCAATATTATCAATGTGTTTGTCAGAAGTTGATTAAGGGATAGATTCGAATTGACGGACTGTGAGTGATCTAGAAGGGCAGTCCCTCGGCCTTAGAGTTTGAGAGGGGAGCAAGCCTCCTCCTTGTCAGACTTCGCAGCTTAGAAAATGGCTGGCTGATAAAAAACGCCGAGTAAGCATCATCAGCTGGGGAACTCGGTTAGCCTATCCTCGTCCTTTGCCGCTGTCCTGCATGGTGCAAACACCGATGGCTTTCAGCTCCTCAACTTTGCGAACATTCGCGACCTGTTCAACCATCTCAGACAGCAAGCACTACTCCTGTTTCTGAACGCTACAGCTGGCACCGCATCGCCTAGCTGTGAGTGGGGGATATGGAGCCTCGAGGAGTGCCGTTGAGTCGTGGAAGCACAATGTCCACCAAAATCATTCTATGGCACAAAAACAATTTGACGTCAGGGCAAGCTCTACCATCATTTATATCTTCGGATGGCATTGCTTGATCTTTTGTGTTACTTACTTAAGCATAAATTAGATCGGGGCACTGTGATATAACAATTTCAAAATCGATGCAACAACGAGGTAGGCTTTTTTAACATGGCTGAAGATACGATCAACAATATCTGCATTCCTATCCACTTGGATGCGTTTGTCTTGTCACCGGGGAGCTGTGATGGACAAAGCTCCATTGCACCTTTCACCCAGCCAAATTACACGTCTCTTCGTCTTGACAGCCATCTCATCCAACACGATGTGGTGGATCACGTTGACTTTCACTCATCTTCCCCAGCCTGGATGAACCCTCGCATTGCGGACCTCGGACGGCCACCTGGCGATACACCTACCAATGCCAACTTTACCAACAAACGGCAGAATCGTATGGGAGTGCATCTCTCATGGTCACTCCCCCGATTTTATCGCAGTGCCACAGCAAGTGGGAAACGGCCTAGGACATCAGATAAACCTGAGGATAGTCCCAATCCAAATCCTATATTCCAACAACTTCCCAATCGCTGGCTAGTAATCAGGAGAGTCAACAACTGGACTAAAGCATGCCCATTAGATGAGTGGCAGTCCTGGGTTATAGAGAGTGATGCAGTCCAGAAGATTACTGAAATCACAGATCCCAACATTGACATCGAAAGCGAGCTGGCTCCATTTGTGGACTATCACAATGATACAAATAGCAAGCAACCGTCCAGCTCCCGGGACAAGATCGCTCTTGGGCAGAATGACCCGCAACTTTTCGCCTCCCAGACAGAGATATTCCTAGGCCAGAAATTCAATCTTCAAGACTGGACAGAATCAAAGGCAAACCGCCACTTGAAAAGCTTCACGGTCATGAGCTCCTCAAATCCACTTTTCGCGGACAACGCACTTCACAATATCAATGTTCTCTCACTCATCGACAACTTTCAATTCAAAGACGGCCAAAATACCAAATACCTCGACAAGGTCGAATGTGATTATTTTGTTCTTGGATGGCATGCTGATGCAACCTCCGATCCACTGAATTCTATAGCGCCTAAGTCACCTAAAGACCTTGCTTCGCGGCTCTCAAACATGCTCATGACCTTGAGCCCACAGCTGGCGGACGATGATGCAATAGCAAGATCTCCAGACCCCAGAAGAACACTCCTCCACGGTGCCATCTATGGAGTTGCGTACGATTACAACTACAACCCAAATGCACCTCCGCCTGATCCGAAAGATCCAAATGCGAAGCCACTCATCGTCAACCTTGCCAACAAAAGTGCTCATAAATTCACTGATGATTTTGACATGGAACCGCTCTCGGTCGGGACCACGCCTCTGGACGGGATATTGACTTTCCTGCAGGCCCACCAAGCTAGTTCTGAGGCAACATTTGGTCAGGATACGAAAACAACTGTTGACTTGCTTCTGAGCATTTCTCAGCTGCTTTACGCCACTGGAGACAACTACGATTCGAGGATCCAGGCTCAAGACCTGATCGCGCAGCAAAACTTTTCCAGAACAGATGGCGGTTTGAGCTGGATATTCAATGCTCCCACGCAGCCCGGAAACCCTCCGGTGTTCCCGAACAGTACCACACAAACGCAGCTGGCGCATCTCAACGAGGCTCAGTCAAGGTTGGACACAGCTCAGCGAAAGTGCAAATCATTGCAATGGCAGCTTTTTGCGGAATGGTGGAAGTTTTCAAGCCTCTCCATTTCAACAAGTATGGGCAAAACCGAGCTAGAAAACACGTTGCGCCCGATCAGGACGCGCGTGAAGCAGTTAGTGGACTTGATCACGGCGACAAACAAGTATATTACTTCGCTGACCGACTTCCTGAAACCAAGCCAAAATGTTGCGATGTACAAGCAAACTGCCAAAGAACCATATCGAGGCAGACTTGATCCGACTTTATGTATAGCCGGTCTGGAGTCGGGCTGGCCGAAAGATTGGGATAAAAGCCTCCCAATACGTCTTCATCAAGAGCTCGCCAAAGATGACAGTACTGCAGATACTATCTTCGGCAACAAAACTTCAAACCCGATACCGATTGACAGAGATCTCCACATAACTGCACGAAGAATTTTGACAGAGTGCGTACGGAATTCGAAGACGCACAATGGCTCAACTAAGAGCGATGGAACGTTTGACCCGCCCAATGTGACTGGATTCCAGAATTGGGGCAATCGAATTCCCTTTGTGCCACTGTTTATCGAGTGGGAAGGCTTATATTATCATGTTGGACCAATGAAAGATAAATGGGACATTGAATTGCGTCCTACCGCTATCGGACATCATCACCCTACTGTTCGCTATACTCCCAAGGAGGTATTGTCCGACAATGCGCAGAACCATGAGGATTTCAGAACGGTCAGTGGAAGAGTATTGGTCCTTCCACAGCCTGTCTTCAGTCTGCAAGCGCTAGTCAAACAAGTCATCGATGATGCATCGAACAATAGCGGTTTGACTGATACGGACAAGGCCATTATACGAGATCATATTCAAAAGATTCAATTTGTGTCAGCACCTTTGTCTGGTCTGACGAATCACCTTTTGACGAGAGTCGAGGGAGCGCACGTCAAGCCCAATGTGAGGACTCAGGACGCAAAAGATCCAGCTTCAAGAACTGTGCAACCTCTTGCAGCGGCCTTTCAGCCAACCATCAATATTAACGGAGCAGAACTCCAGCTTATCGACGCAGAGAGCGCTCTTACGCCTTATGGCGACTTCTTCCCCTTCAATACCGGAGAATATCCTGGTGTACCCTTCAAACCGGTCACTCATGGCCAGATGATTCTGACTAAGTTGAACATTGTTGATAAATTTGGGCAAGCAATATGTATGCCCAAGGTGCGTCGACGGAGGCGACAACCGGCACAACTCCCGACATCAAACATTTATCCTTGTCTCAGTGACTATCTATCTCCAGATGCCGTTGAGAGTCCAGACGGCAGCGCAAAGGTTCTGAATACGGTGCTACCTGATCCTAAGCACGCCCAACTCGTGCCTGGACAGTGGCCACCATGTCAGTACATACAGCTTCCACCTGGCATCAATCAAGATGCCAAGATCAATGGCTCCTTTCTGGTCCGTGACACCCTTGACGTCGTCTCGAAGGAATATACTCCTTGGCGCGAGGCTACCGACTATGACCCCATGATCTGGGGCTGGATCATCATCAACTATGCTGATAATGGTCTTCAACTCTTCCTTGGCGATGGTACTTTCTATGCTGAGATCCGTCGTGGAGGTGTTGAAGGTACAAATGTCTCTCCAAAATGGCTCCCATTTGAGAAACGGAAGACTGGTGATGAACCCCAGAATGCTGAAGAAGAACAGCTTTACGAACTGCTGCAAAAGTTGCGAGACCCCCAGTATTTCCAGTTGTTTGCTGATATGATCAATGGGTCCATCGTGAACATGCCGTTCCCGCCTTCGGATTACAGCGCATATGCCAATGCCATCATCGGAAAACCACTCGCACTCGTCAACGTTGGCTGGAGTCTGGAACTTGCAGAACCTGCCATCAAATCACAGAATAGTCTTGGTAACCGACCGCAGTGGGAAGGCAACGTCAATAACAATGCCAAAAGTACCCAACCAACAAATGAGAGCTGGGAGACGCGAATTAACCAGTGGAATGCAGAGATCTCCAACGACTTCGAAGGCAGCGAAATCAGCCAGTACCAGTTCGCACTCAAGATTGGGGATATTGAGCGAAACTATGACGGTGTGGTGGGATATTGGTACGCCGATAATACCCAAAAATCATCTGTTTCTCACTGGGAGACGACGTACACATACTTCTATGTCACCTGGGATAATCTACTTGCAGGTACATCTCTGCACCTTCCAGGAACGACTCGACCCTCGACCTATACTGTTGTGACCGGTGATACTTTCCAGTCAATCGCGACATCTCTCAAAGTCACCGCAGCGGCTCTTAAGAGTGCGAATCCACAGATTCCGGAGCCAACTGCTCCAAGTAAAGATGGAAAGACCAACACTTTCCAGGCTATCCAGCCTTCAAACTTCCTGCAACTGTCACCATACTACATTGATCCCCTCGCATTTACTTCAAGCATCAGTCTAACTGTCCCCCAGATTTCGACGGTGGCGGCACCTGATCCCTCAATTTCTTTCCTTGCTGCGCGAGCTTCAAAATATACGGTCACACCAATGTTGTTGGATCCATACACATCTATACATGGGTACAGTCCCGTTCTGCCCACCAAAATACTCACTCTACCTCCATTCGCCATCCAACAGGCCTTTCAGAAGATGCATGCATTTTTCCATCTTGGTCCCTTGCTTCTCACTAGTGATGTGCCGCCTACTATCCAGTTAGCAAAGAACCCTCCATCGCTGCAACCACCAACAACTCCAACGCTTGTCAGTCCAGCTACACCAGTAGTCAATCCGACCCCACCAACACTTGTATCAACGACCCCGCTCAACGTCGTCAATATCCCTGTGTCTGGCCGAAAGGGGACGTGGAGCTGGTTTCAGCCTTATGCTACAAACGATGATGCACAGCTGAAACCCGAGTATGTAGAGATGCCAGTGGAAGAGGATCAGGGTAATAAGAAGTTTGTGAAAGGTCCTTACACATTCATTGAGGGGTATCTGCAACTTCTTGGTAGCCTTGCACAGAAGCAAGCCGTACAGAAGGCCGTCAACGGTTAGACAGCATAAGACGAATCTGGATAATATTGCACGGGTGCGGATCATAGCTCTAGTTACTCGGTATGTAAGGGTGGCGGAGGTTGGAAAATCAAGGCTTGTGCGGACCTTGATAGCTCGACAAGGCTATGTTGAATGAAAAGGAACGGCCACATAGATGTAGTGGAATCACTGGTTTATGTTGCATACCGCTTTCCAAAAAGCCTCCCCCTTCAGCACCATTTAATGCTAGCATTTCTGTATGTTTTATATGGTGAGTGATGAATTGCAAGCTGGAAAACGATGTGGTGGTTGGATGAAAGATCTTGAGTGGCGTCGCCGCTTTATGAACCCACATACTATGTACCTGGTCGTCAGCCTTAGATGCGCTAGCAACTAGCCTCCCGAGGAGCCGCTACTAGCGCGGATGAGCGAAATCACGTGCTTTCGAAAGTTCATCGCCAAGACCGCGCTGAGGATGACTCAACCACTGGCACTACTAGCATCATCTTTTGATTTCCATCTGATCTATCCATAAATTCTTTTGTGTATCATGATTTTTCCATCATGGTCACTTACACATCTACAGAAAAGCAGCAATGACTGAAAAATCAAAGACCACTCTCACAAGCCTTCCGTTTCCTCCCATCACTGCTTCACATATCCTGAACTGCTCTTTTCATACGTGGCATCCGCTGTTCAGGTCTCTAACCCCCAAATCTAGACTGGTTCCCTTGACACAGCCTTTCCTGGACTATCTCCGTGCTGATGGCATTGTCTTGCCTCCAGAAGCCAATGCTGATGACAGTGGATATGAGGACGAGGAAGAAGAAAACGAGAACATAGATCCTTCCGACCAATGGCTCAGTGTCCATGAATCTATTCGCGAAACTATTGAGACTCTTGGGGGCAAAGTCCTACCGAAGTTGAACTGGTCAGCACCAAAAGACGCCACATGGATTTCGGCAACAAACGACATGGAATGTCGCACACCTAATGATGTTTACTTATTGCTCAAATCCAGCGATTTTATCACGCACGACCTTGAACAAGCGTTCGATGGATGCGTGGACCAAGCCGAAATTCCATATCACTTGGTTCTGCGAAAATCTTTTAATCTCAATCCCTCACTCGAATTTCGATGTTTTGTCCGGAACAAACGATTGATAGCAATCAGTCAGCGTGAGATGAATTACTTCGAATTTCTCTTCGATTTGAGGGATTCCTTCAGAGCGAAAATACAGGAATTTGTTGAGAGGATATCTGACTTTCCTGAGTCGAACTTCGTCTTCGATGTCTATATACCACCACCACATGAGAAATTATGGCTGATCGACATTAATCCATGGGCTCCAAGGACTGACCCTCTACTGTTCTCCTGGCTCGAAATACTGCAATTACCGGAACCAGAAGCAGGTACAATATTCGATCCAGAGTTCAGATTGGTACAGCGAGATGATCCAGAGGCTTATCAGTTTGCGTCTACCAAATACAGTGCACATAAGCTACCGAGAGAAGTTGTTGACGCCAGTATGGCTCCTGGTGGCATGAAAAGTATGATGGAGGAATGGAATAAAGTCATGAATAAGGAGCTTGGTGACTCGTCAGACGATGAAGGTCCCTGAAGAGTTCATCCTGACAATGATCATCGACATTCTGTGACAGGCACGGTTGTGGCATAAGGCATACGGGCGCTATCGCTGTGGATGTGCATTGCAATCCTTCAGAGCAGAGATTGGTTATGACGCCGGGAGGCCCGCTCGTCTCTCCGCAGGTCCAGCTATCTAGCATCAGTGCATACAGATGTCAGCACCGCGCAACAGTCTCGACCTACCACGTCTTTTAATCACTTGTCTGAGGGTGATTCTATGATTATGCAAGTCTGACCCACGACATCATCGCTACGACCAGTTCGAGAGACTTCATTTTGAAAGATGAGAAGGCCGACCACGACCATGAAGCTGACGCGCGTGACTGAGCAGAATCATTCTGAATAGCAGCCTTGCCAGGAAATCATCGAGGATCAAGCGCCGACGGCGCGTAGTCGTATATGGGCATCTCAGGCTAATTTGCACACTTAGAATATATCATATATGTAGAGTTAATGAAATCAAAGACCCAAAACAGGATTGTTGGCCTATCTGGCTATCTGGAGGCAATGCTCACCAAGGCCTAACTCAAAGTGATCGGAGGGACGGAGGAGCACCGGTATCTTTTTTTAGGTTTCGCTCCAAACGATACTCCAAACATTTGCCCCTTGGACTTTCGAGTCCTCCCTCATCTACCTTCCACGTGTTCTTATAAAGGTTTCACCATGATCGCGATTCGGAAATTCAGTAAGAACTTGGATCCTGCACCCCGCATCCGCCTGTAAACGCTGGAATCCCTGTGCATTTAGAATCGACCACACGCACAGACTGAGCAAAAACGTCAAGCAGCTTATCTCAGGCGCCACCAACTCGGAGTTTTCTGTCAACCATGCTTTCAATATCAGCTTTCAGAACTGCAATTTATCCTAGGTACCGCATTAATGAGCTCGTCTCGTCCGGGCGCCTGGCTACGCGCCATAGGTGCCAAGTATGTGACTGCTCGCAAAGGCTACAAAGGTCAGCCCTTCTCCTTCGCGAGCAACAATTACCTTGAACCATCAGTTTGAACCCGAAACATGATCCCCCTCAAATGCGCGGTAGATTCTTTTACTGATTCTAAACAGCTTTGGAAAATCTAGACGACAGCACGATCGAATTAAGGACCATTGGTTCGACACATGTGCAAGATGATCATTATCCTACCCAGGAAGAACTCGAAGTTTTACCACGAATTTCTGATGTTATTTCATGGCGCGTCTACACAGTGGCCTTCGTTGAGCTATGCGAGCGATTCTCCTACTATGGCACAGTTATTCTGTTCCAGAATTTTGTGCAACGGAAACTCCAAACTCCCACAGGCAAGGCTCTGAACCCTGGTGGTGATGTCAACAACAACCCTGGTGCTTTGGGCCAGGGACAGCAAATCGCTACCGGAATGAGTACATTCTTTTCCTTCTGGTGTTATGTCACCCCATTGATGGGAGCTTGGCTAGCTGACACCTATCTTGGAAGGTAGTTATCAATTTCCCACCATGATCAGTTGAACGTTCTAACATGCAAAGGTTTAACACAATCATGATTTCCATTGGATGTGCTCTTGTTGGTCATGGAGTCTTGGTTCTGGCCGCTAACCCATCCGTCCTGGAGAATTCCCAGATCGCCTTTGCGGCATTCATCGTTGCCATTCTCATATTCGGCTTGGGTACAGGGGGATTCAAACCAAACATTTCACCACTCATCGCTGAGCAGATTGTTGGGGACAAACTTCGGGTCGAGCTTAATCAAAAGGGCGAACGCGTCATTATTGATCCAGCCCAAACCTCAGCCAGAGTCTACAACTGGTTTTATCTTTTCATCAATATCGGAGCTTTGATCGGGCAGATCTCGATGTCGTACGCCGCACTTTATGTCGGTTACTATCTTGCATTTCTTCTTCCGACAATATTGTTTCTCTTCTGTCCCGTGGTACTACTCGTCTTCAAGAGCCACTATCACCTAACTCCGCCTCAAGGTTCAGTTCTTGGGCCTGCCGTAAAACTCCTTCTCTACGCCACGAAAGGCTGTTGGAATTGGAATCCAATCAAGACGGTCCGCAACATGCGGAGTGCGAATTTCTGGGATCAAGTTCGACCATCTCAAATCCCGGCTGCTGAACGTCCTGACTGGATGCAGTTCGATGACGTGTATGTCGATGAAGTCCGCCGCGGTTTCAAGGCTTGTACCGTATTTCTTTGGTACCCCTTGTACTGGGTTACCTACAATCAGCTTAACAACAACTTGACCTCTCAGGCCAATGTCATGCAGCACAAGGGCGTTCCCCCTGAGATTGTCAGTAATCTCGATCCACTGACTCTCATCATCCTCATCCCTATCTGCGATCTTGTCATTTTCCCAGCACTGCAGAAACGAGGAATTAACTTCACACCAATTAAGAAGATCACTCTAGGATTTTGGACCGGAGCTGCCGCGATGGTGTATGCCTGCTTCATCCAAAATTATATCTATAGTCACAACGAATGTGGGAGATATCCGAGCGAGGGCTTACCGGATGGAAGCGACTGTCCGGCAGCTGACATTTCCATCTGGTATCAAACGCCCATTTACGTCCTCATCGCAATCAGCGAGATTCTTGCCGCCATCACCAGCTTGAACTATGCCTTCACAAAGGCGCCGAAGAACATGCGTTCCATGGTACAGGCATTTGCGCTTTTCATGACGGCAATTGCGAACGCAATTGGGGAGGCACTGCTGGGTCTCTCCACCGATCCTCTTTTGGTTTGGAACTATGCGATCATGGCCATTATTGCATTCGTGGCAGGTGGGCTCTTCTGGATCTCTCATCGTCATCTCGACGCCGAAGAAGACATGCTGAATCAGTTGCCAACGGGCAGAATGGCGCCCAAAGAGCAACTGACGGGGCAGGGTCAAGGTCTGGATTCGGAAGATAACAGCATCGCAACTCGTGCTAACATGCGTTCTGCTGCTCGAAGTGCAGGGAAGCATGGCCGGGTTAGCAGCGGAGGAAGCAGGAAATGATTAAACCATACTTTTCGCGTGAAGGTCACGACTGGCGCAAAGCTCGGATGTGCAACCCCATCCTTCTCCATTTCTCACTCCGTCCTTACATGCCTTTGGTTGACTGTTGTGGCTGGCTTGTTAGCATTGGGCGTTAGATCAGGAAAATGGTAGACTGTGCGATCTTTTATGTCCAGAAGATTTGCCATGTTATTAAATACTAACTATCACTATCCGATTATGACGATGAACGCCCAAATAAGTAAAAATGGCAGTTCTCGAAGTTTCCCAACCACAATCATCGCTGCAAAGGATAAGATGCTGATCACTTCCCACAAAATTAGAAATACAGTTCAGCGGAAAGTCGCTGTTTTTCCGTCTCCTTTCTCGACGTCGACGGGATGCACATCGTCGAAGCATTAGGATGCAACATCATGTTGTTTTGCGACACAACGGAACTGGTCTCCGTCATGTGCTGATGGTCGAGTGATATTATTGGCTCTGCGAATATTGGCGTTGGTAGAGACGCAGAGGACGATGCAGAAGAGGTGCTCTTCTTCGCACTTCGGGACCACCAGTGATCATGGTGATTGGCATCGACTGGCCGCTCTTTGGTTAACTTGTTTCGTGATTTTTTCGAATATGCGTTATTCATGTCGTTGTCGTGCGGTTCGGGCGAGAAGTTCAACTTCCTGTCGCCGAGATATTTGTCTAGCCGAGAAATGAAGAATGGGTCTTTGTGCTTGGGGCTGGTGATCGAGATCTATGGATCACAGTTGAAGGAAAGGGACTGTAGAGGTGCCTTGTGCAAAGCTGGTAGAGTCTTTGATGGCTCAAGTGGTCTGGAGCTGCGTCGGATTAATCAATGAACTCATGAGATCTCGCCTTGCATATATGCGACCTATGCTTTAAAAATGCGTGTGCATTCATTCTATTCCAACTATTAGCCTGAAACAGCTACAGCATGAATACTCAAAGCCCAGCTCTCAAGATGGTCCATTCTGAGGCTCTTCGTGTCAGGGCGCGCAACCGACCAATTGCAAGCAGGCGAGCAGCTCCCTGCCCAGGGCTCAGCCACTCGCATCGGCTACAAAAAAGCATAATGGTCATAGGCGTTGCCAGTCCAGCCAACGAGAATTGCCCTTTAGGCCTGAGGTTTTTAATCCTTACTTAAAAATGGAACTCGAGTTTTGTTACGGTAGTATTATTCCGCATGTAACTATGCTACAAAGTCGCATGGTCGCATCATCAAAGTGATTTGGTATGTGTGGTGCGCTGGGATCATAATCTAGTTAGTGATGGGACATCTGCTTCCACTTTTCATCGATAGACTGACACCCGGGGGCATCGCACGGTTGCACAACGCAGGCTGCTCAATGATGAGGAGAGTACGGATAGATTGCATGCACTGACTAAGTAACTATACATCTACAGAGCTATCATTCAATACAAACTTTATCACGACGTATTATAGATAGCTTCTGGGTGAAAAGGTGCGGCGCTCCTGCCCAAGGAATTCTGGTATAGACTGGATGACAGGGCGCAATTCGATTTGTCTTTATCTCATTCACCGCCATGCAATGGAAAAGCCATTGAGGTTGCTGTTCATATGCTGCTGGTTGAAGCCTAGATCGCATGATGGGCATAATGGTCTGAGCACCCTTCAGGCTTGATAGGCACTGTGCAGTAATGATTACGTGGAATCGTCGCGGCCACATCATTTTGATCTCCTACACGAGCCCAGGATCGTACTTGTCTGCCCCCAGGAGCAGTCCCGTGAAATTTGGAGCTCTGTCAAATTTCAATTTAATAGACAATACGATATCGGCAGCTGTGATTCCACTAGTAGCTTTACTTGTTTTGGATTAACTATCTATGCATCTAGAAAGATGGCCATTCGAAAGCTCAGAAAAGTTGCACAACCACTGGGGTGTATATGCAACGCCACGAAGCCCACAGACACTCACATACTAATGATTTATTGTCCGGAAGTGGCAGATGCAAGAGATAATAAATGGACTAGTAGCGAGTCGTTCTTCTAACATTCGTACTTGTACTGGCATGTAAGTGAAGTATATAGAATAATACGAACTAGTTCGATAATCAACGGGAATCGTTAAAGTGAATCCTTGCTTCGGCAGAGCCGATCGGCGAAGGGTGACTTGGGCACTTCTTTCTGTGGTGGAGTCCATCGAGTCGCTTAGCAGAATCATTGTGTCATGAGGTTTTCTAAGACACCCATACCGAGTAGTCTGAAAAGGATGAACCGACACACACGTAGATTCCGCTGAGAAACGATGTCCTAATAATAATGTCTTTTCGGAAGCGGAAGAATGGCATACATCGAAGAGATCAAAGTTGAAGGGCATGACATATTCTTAAATGCTTTGATTGCCTCGGGCTCGGTAGTGACAGTTAGTGGCTGGACCCTGAACATTTTACGTGAACCAGGCGTCAAATGGTCCCCTTGGTGTGCATGGGTGTCGTTCCTGGTGTGCTTGGGCAGCCAACGGTTATGGTAGAGATTCAACTCCTGCCCGCTTCCGCTAGCGACTCAAGCCTATCTGGGACTCGATCTTGGTACACATCCATCAGCCTCCCGGGAAGGACTTCCCTAGTCAACTCTTTACCAGGGTCAGCATTTCTTGGAGTGGTCTCGACCAAGTCCGAAAATTGACCTCCATCACCATGGATGGCTTGCTTGTCCGCGAATGTGGCTTTCTAACCTTCTTACAAAGTCACATACGCCTCTCTGGAGGCGCTTTGGTCTGTGCCACCAACTAAGCAAAGATAAAGCTGCTATTCTTTCCCTCAGATAATTCTTTCCCATCGCGGCCGACTTTTGGTCATCGGGTGGCAGCTTCATGCCGGCCCTAAGATGAATATCACCGATCCCCGGATTGGTTCAGGGAGGGATAATAACACATCTCCAGGGTTTTCGCGCATTGCTTCTGGGACAAACTCACCATCGGTGACCGGCCTCTTATCGACCATAATACCGGTCGGAATCTGGACTGCGGTCTCTGTACTCATCTTCCTCGTTCTGCGCCGCAGGTGCCATCGAGTTTATGCACCGAGAGCACTGCTGAAAAGTCTTGAACCACAGTAAGTTAATTGTAGAAGTCGCTTGTTAATTGGTAGCGAAAATATCCCATGGCTGCCATGCTAACACTACGTTAGCGAGAGGAGCGCACTCCTCCCAACAGGATGGTTCAACTGGTACACCTCGTTTTATCGAGTTCCGGACAGATTTGTTCTTAATCATTCGTCTATTGATGGCTATCTTTTTCTCCGATTCCTGCGAGTACTGGCGGTGATCTGCATCGTGGGAATACTTCTGCTATGGCCAACTCTTATCCCATTGCACATCACTGGTGGCGCGGGAAACAAAGCATTGGACGCTTTGACCATGGGTAACGTGGTCAGCGGGAGACGTCTTTACGCGCATGCTGCACTCGCCTGGGCTTACTTTGGTATGGGCACTCCTGAGACGATCGAAGTGTCAATAACATTGACGACCTGGTTCTAGCTTTCATCTTATACATGGTCTCGCGAGAATGCGTATATTTCATCAATCTTCGACAGGCGTACCTCCTGTCGGATTTCTACGCCAATCGATTATCGTCCCGCACGGTATTATATCTGAACGTTCCACGACAGTACCTCGACGAGGATAGGCTTCGATGGGTACTTGGTAAATCTGTTAAAAGGATATGGATCCCCCAAATCACCGACGAGTTGGACAGGCTGATCAAAGAACGAGATCAGACAGCATTACGACTGGAACAGGCAGAATTCGCTCTTATTCGAATGGCAAACATTGCTAGGACTCGAGCGTTAAAGAAGCACAAGAGTGATGGCGTAGAAAAAGTACAGCACCCTCCGTTTGACTTCGAGTCTACTGCAAAGGGTGGTCCTCCCGAGACGAAAGCCATCCAGTTTATGGAAAGCCCGGACTCACCATCAAGCGCGTCTACGTCAGCTCGTGAGCCAACTCTGCCTGATGTGGCGGGATCAGTTGCTGCCCAGTGGATATCGCATAGCTCTCGTCCACGCCATCGACCCATCGCCAATGCTTTGAGAAGCGTTGATACTATCAAATTTTCACGAACCCAGATCAAGAAGCTCAACTCCAAGATTCGACATGAGCGGCAGGCGCAATTGTTCAAAACGGACAATTTCATGCCCGCTGTATTCGTGGAGTTTGAGACTCTTACGGATGCTCAAGATGCCTTTCAGACCCTGACCCACCATCGCCCGCTCCACATGGCACATCGCTACCTCGGTGTCCGACCTTATGAAATCATATGGAGCTCACTCTCGATGTCCTGGTGGGAGACGATCCTACGAAAATTTTCCATTCAAGCATTCATCTGTGCTCTGATCATATTCTGGGCGTTGCCTTGTGCGGCAGTTGGTTTTATTTCCAACATCCAATCCCTATCAGAATCAGTTAGCTTTCTGAGCTGGCTGCAAAAGCTCCCTAGTGCCATCAAGGGTGTTCTCAGCGGAGTGCTTCCCGCGCTTGCATTGTCTTTTTTGATGAGCATCGTGCCAGGGATTTTGAGATGTAAGACACAGGCCGCTCCTTTTTCCTTTAAACCCAGCTAATAGCAGCCATAGTCCTCGCTCGGTTGGCTGGATTACCAACTCTCACTAAGATTGAGCTTTTTGTCCAGAACGCATATTTCGCCTTCCAAGTCGTCCAAGTCTTCCTGATAACAACCTTGACCTCTGCCGCCTCTGCTGCCCTTGGTGAATTACTACAAGATCCAACGCTTGTGAAGAATCTCCTCGCACAGAATTTACCAAAGGCTTCCAACTTCTACCTCAACTACTTCCTTCTTCAAGGTCTCTTCTTTGGATCTGCCCATCTGGTCCAGGTCTTCAACCTATTCAAATTCCATGTTTTCCAGCGCTTCGCCAAAGATGCCAGGAAAACTTATGTCAAATGGCATCGGCTTGAAAAGATTCATTGGGGAGGAGTGTATCCTGTGTACACCAATCTTGGGGTGATTAGTAAGTTGTAGCTTGATAGTCGGCATGAGGAATTTGAGCTGATGAAACTTTAACAGCGATCACTTACTCCTTGATTGCACCAGTCATCCTCGGATTCGCGCTTCTCGGTGTTGCTTTCCTGCATGCTGTGTGGCGATACAACCTCATCTATGTCTATGATTCGGAAATAGATACTCGTGGGTTGGTCTACCCTCGAGCATTGATGCAATTACTTTTAGGGCTTTACTTTGCTGAGGTCTGTCTCTTCGGCTTATTCTCGCTCCGAGGAGCTTTTGGTCCGGTTGTAATGATAGCCGCTTTATTGGTGATAACTGGACTGGTACACCATTCATTAATTAATGCACTGGGGCCCCTTCTTTGGAGCCTACCAAAGAGTCTTACCGTGGAACGAGATCAACCGATGCGGACTCCGGGTCTGGCTGGACCTGGATACGACGCTGAAGATCCTGAACGTTTTGGTCGCCCTGAGCGGCAAAATAATGATATACAGGAGCAAGATTCGGACGACGAGGTACAACATGAAATTGGAGCTGACAGGGCTGTGGAAGGTCTTGACGGTGTTGCAGACACGCTTAAGGGGGGTTTTAAGGTTTCAATGAAGAAGAGGATCGATGCAAGTCTTCCAGAGCTCAACGTGGGACTTGGTGCGCTCGCCTCTTTCTGGAGACGATGGCTGTCGCCGGAACCCAATACAAAATCGAATTTCTTACTTCGGTTTCTTCATCCAGAGGTGTACTCCGACTACACTGTGCTGAGGCGAATGGTGCCCACGGATTTGCCAGAGCCAAAATACCCGGAAGAACTTGAGAAGGACATCTACTATCCGCCGTCACACTTTGCGAAGCCACCGTGTCTATGGATACCGCGAGACCCGGCCGGCGTGAGTCGACAAGAAGTCGCGCACACCGAAAAGGCGATCCCCATGACTGATGAACATGTGAGCATGGATGAACATGGACGACTGAAGATCGATCTGGAAACCAGTCGACTTGTCTTCGACATTGATCGACTGAGATATTGATCGACTGAGATATTGATCGACTGAGATATTGATCGACTGAGATATTGATCTCAGGATCATGTGGAAGAATAGGTTACAATTTTGATGTATGTATAGTAACGAGATACCCATACCTGAGTTTTAAGTCAAGAGAAAGTAATGGAGTTTTTGGAGCCGCGGTGAATATCGATCTCATACCAATTGCCGTTTCACTTTCACCCGGGTGCGCTTCTGCACACCTTCCTTAGGCAAGTAACAATAGCCTTCCAAGGCGTCTAGGCATGGTCAGGGGCACGTTGCGCCAGGGATGGGCAGCCTGAGGCATCCGGAAGTTCGCTTGGGAAGTCGATGGCCCCCGGAGACTCAGGTTTATCCGTAGTTGACTCTTGGCGTGGAGTTGGGGGACAACTTTCTCAGTAACTCACTAGTAACCATCAGAATCCCAGTGAATCGTGAATGCGACTGCCCTCGCACTGGCAACATTTCTCGTTGTTCAAGTTGTCATTCACGTCAAGTGCTGCGCGCCCTCCGCGCTCGATTTTGCTCACACTCAATTTTTGACCTGAGCATCTACTTCGTTTTCAGGCTGACATTGTCACTTTCCTCTGCCTCCAATACTGTTGTCCTCAAAATCCCCTCCCGATACGAACCCGCCATGCCTTGAATAAAGTCCGTCTTTCCACACGTTCCAACATAATCTACTTTCTTTGATCACCAGGGCGTCAATATGGCAACAACAGCCATCAGGAATGGCAGTACAACTGTTGCCGGAGGCATCAATCCATCCTCCCGCTTCGCTGACATTCCTGCGGCCCTCGATATTCCCGTCTCAGGCGGCGTTGAGGCCGATGAAGCAGTCGAGGTCAACTTGGAGGATCTCGAAGACCCAACTGAGCTCATTCAGCTTCTTGAAAATGAGAAAGCTGCGAAGAATCTCTGGATCACAATCTCCCTTGCCTATGCCAAACAAGCACAGATCGACCATGCAATGGAAATTCTGCACAAGGGCCTGAGTTCGCTGGCAAGGAGTGGCCCCAAGGAGCGCCTAAGTCTTCTCACATGTGTGGCCTGGCTGGACCTTCTGAAGAGCAGGCAGGCCCCTCGTGTTCTTCCCGAGGTACAACAACCCTCAGACTTCAAAACGAAAGACAGCTATCTCAAAGAAGCAACATCGACCATCAACGAAGCCCTCCGCATCAACCCTGCGTTCCCTCCCCTGTACCTCACCCAAGGCGTTCTTTCCCTCCTACGAGCCTCCCTACAGTCGTCGACCAAAGCGGGCGCCGACGCTGAAAGAGCAGAGTCTCTGAAACAGGCTTTAAAGTCCTTTGATGATGCGCTGAGACTATCTGAGGGCCGAAATTTGATGGCAAAGATGGGCCGAGCAAGAACACTATACCTCCAAAGACAATTTCCGCAGGCTCTGCAAACATATCAAGATGTCCTCACCAAAATGCCAGGTCTCACTGACCCAGATCCTAGAATTGGAATTGGCTGCTGTCTGTGGCAGCTGGGTTTTCGAGCGCGAGCCCAAGCAGCTTGGGAGCGCTCACTTGCCTTGAACCCAGATTCCAAGGTGGCGAACGCACTTCTTGGGGTGTACTACCTAGCGGAGAGCGCCAAATATCCTGCTGGAGATCCCGAATTCAATCGACTGTATAAGAAAGCAATGACCGAACACACCAGGAAAGCATACAGTATTGATAAGAGCTTCCCGCTGAGTTGCGCTACATTTGCAAGTTATTTCCTTCTCACCGGTCGTTTTGACACTATGGAACCGTTGGCACGCAAAGCTATCGAGCAAACAGATATCAATGCTATTGCGAGTGATGGTTGGTATCTTCTTGCTCGCAAGGAACACAACAAAGGCGACCTTACCAAGGCGATCGATGCATACAATAAAGCAGATCAAGCACGTGGTGGGCTAGATCGAGGCTATTTTCCCGCCAAATTTGGCTTGATTCAGATCATGGTTCAAACCGGGGATATTCAAGGTGCCAAATTTCGACTAGAATCCATTGGGCAGCTCAGCCGACACACAGAGGCCATGACTCTACTGGGTACGATCTATGCTGAGGAGACCTTTTCAGCTCCAAGCTCTGTAACAAAGGAGGAAAAAGCCGCAACCGCACGAAAAGCCATTTCTTTACTGGAAAGCGTCAGAAAGAGTTGGAACGACGAAAAATCACGCGCCAAACCTGATGAGTCGGTCCTCCTCTATCTTGCACGCCTTTACGAACTAGAGAACTCGGTTGAGAGTCTGAAATGCCTGCAAACAGTCGAGATCATGCAATTGGAGAAAATTCCAGACGAAGACAAGCCTCCACAGCCAGATGGGGAGGAGCCAGATCTTGCGTTAATCCGTGAAAACTTGCCACCTCAACTTCTCAACAATATCGCCTGTTTCCTTTATGGTGCGGAGTCCTTCTCGAATGCTCGTGAGACATTCCAGATTGCTCTCAATGCCTGTGTCAAACTCACTGAGAAGCAAGAAGCAGAGAAGAAGGCAGTTGAGGAAGATAAGATTAGTGCAGAGGATGTCGACAACAGTGATACAGACGCACTTGTCACCACGATATCATACAACCTCGCAAGAACATACGAAGCTCTAGGTCTCGTGCCAGAAGCACAAAAGGTCTACGAAGGCCTTCTTGCTAGACATCCAGACTATACCGATGCTTCGGCTCGTCTTGCATATATCGCACTAGAAGAGTCGCCGCGAGATGAAGGACCTAGGAAGGTGCACCAGGTCTACCAGAACAACCATGCTAACACTGAAGTCCGTGCGCTGATGGGATGGTATCATCATAGTGCGAAGAAGAAGACCAATAACCTTGCTGAAGACACCGAAAACAGACATTATAAGCATACCTTGCAGAACTACGACAAGCATGATCTTTATTCTCTCACAGGAATGGGAAATGTTCACCTGATAATTGCTCGGGACATGCCTCGAAACAACGATGCTGAAAAAGAGAAGCGGACTAAGATGTATGCCAAAGCATATGAGTTCTTCGACAAAGCTCTTCAGCTGGACCCAAAGAATGCATACGCCGCTCAAGGTATTGCAATTGCCCTATGTGATGACAAGAAAGCTTATTCGGACGCACTCCAAATATTCACGAAAGTAAAGGACACCGTGCGAAACGCATCAATTCACACCAATCTTGGGCACGTATTCACCGAGCTCCGTCAGTTCTCACGCGGTGTTGAACATTACGAGTTGGCCCTCAGGGCTGAAGGACGAGGCGACAATACACAATTACTCGCATGCTTATCAAGGGCACAATTGTCAAAGGGAAAGGCAGATCGATCAATAAGCGCTCTGAATACTGCTCTCGAATACATGCAACGCGCCTTGAAGACTCAACCCGACTCTCCACATCTCCAATTCAATGTAGCTTTCATTCAGTTCCAGATTGCACAACACGTTAACCAAGCTAAAGAAACAGATCGTACGCTTGAAGATGTGGACCTTGCAATCGCTGGTCTGGAAGAGGCCATTGAAACGTTCGAGCAAGTTGCTAGACACAAGCAACCACCGTACCCCAAATCCGCTCTAGAACAGCGAGCGGCCATGGGCAAGAACACCATGAGAAATCAGCTCGAAAGAGCTCGGGCGAAACAAGCGACATGGGAGACTGAAAATGCCACCAAGTTGAAAGAAGCCAAAGAGAGACGCCAAGAAGAGCTCCACAGACGTGAAGAAGCGGCTCGTAAACGGAAAGAGGAAGAAGCAGACCGTGCGCGGAAGATCGCAGAGGACAGACGCAGAATCGTGGAAGAGACTGAGCGCATTGCTGAAAATCTACGGGCAGAAGCTGCTGCTCGTGAGGCTGCCGAATACACAGATGATGAAGAAACGGGCGAACGTGTGAAGAGGAAACCCAAGAAAGGTGGCTCTAAACGCAAGAAGCGACACGATGAAGACGGCTTCATCGAGGATGATGGCGATGGCTTCGACGGACGGTCTGAGCGTAGCGTTTCAAGGACACCCCTTTCAGGATCGGATAATGAAGGTGGTGGAGCCTCGGAGAAACCGAAAAAGAAGAGGAGAAAGTTGGAGAGAAGAGGTGAGAAGAAGGAGAAGAAACCGCCGAGAGAGAACAGCAAATTCAAATCTGCAGCTGTGGTTGTTGATTCAGATTCGGACAACGAGTTCGATGCTGCTGAAACTCCGGAGCCTGTGGCAGATACTCCTGGCAGTGATGTGGCAGACGCAGCAGATAGGGATGAAGAGATGGGAGATTCCAGGCCATCTAGAGTCGACGAAGACGAGGATGAAGTCAAACCAAGACAACCCACCCGGCAGCGGAAACAGCCAAGACTGATCGCCGACGATGACGATGACGACGATGAAGACGAAGCTGGGGCTGCTGAGAGAAACGGCACTGCATCAACATCGAGGAATCGAGTTGTCAGTGACGACGACGATGAGTGACACTCACGATGGACTCGACTCGGTCGTTCATTTACTGATATCAAAGTGACCTTCATTTCTGGTTGTTAACGCAATTTGATGCAGGACATGACATGGGTTTCTCGCGGCAAAGACGTGAAGCCCTTCAGGCTACTGCAGCACGTCAAATTCCTGGCTGATGCTCTTCTCATTTTCTATAGTTGCATTCTTGGATGGCCGATTTGAAGCCCAAACCATCAATCATTCATCCCTCGTATTGTTTGGTTTGTTGACCTCATCTTTCCAAGATCCCCCATGTTTCTCGCGTGCGGGGGCCGCCTCTGTTTCCTGCTCTGCATTTCATGTCAAGAACGGCTCTAAGAATTCTATAATACTCGGCAGCACCTTCATGTTCTCATGTGCAACCCCATCGACCACCACAAACGAAGAAGGTATTCCTGCCCCCAGGAATTCATGATAAAGGCTTTCCAACGCCTCTTTGCGATTCGGCAATTGAAAGGAACCCACGGCCTGAGAAAGTGGATCCGACATAGCATTCCTCATCCTTAGCCACTGCAAAAGCCCTCCACCAACATTCTCAACATCATCCCCTCCCACAATCAACTGCACATGCTGCACCTCCTTCAACTTATCGACATTCACCTCCAATCCCCCAAAAACGTCTCCGACTCCTTGTATTCCCCTCGGCCACTCCACCACAGGATCCAACCGAGTTACCACGCCTGGCGCACCCACACTGACGGCGCTGATGCGCTGGGGATGCAAGTAGAAGAAACGCAAGGCAAACTGTCCGCCACCAGAAAACCCCACGAGAAAGACCTTCTCCGTTGCCACCCCCGGCCACCGCGCCGCCACCTCATCCAGCATGGCCAGCAGAATCAAATCATACCGGATGCCGCGGTACGCGAGGAACTTGTAGTTGTGGGCCTCGTTCGGATCGCCGCCCACGCCGGTCGGGAACAAGGGCGCCAGGATCGCAGACCCCGTGCGGTCGGCGAGCGAGACCAGTGACTCTCGTGCACGCTCCGCCCGTCGTCCGCTGCCGTGGATCGTCACGATCAGTGGGAGTTTGCGGCTCGTTATGCTGGGGAGCTCGTAGTGCTGCTTCGGCACGTACATGCAGTACGATGCTTGGGCGCGTGGCTCGAACGTCGACGCTATGAATGGTGTCCGGTCGATCAATTGCGCCGCTCGCCAGTGTTCTGCTGGGATGTCGCTCGTGCCCAGGAGCCGTGTCGTCGCCATGGTTTTTGTTGCGCGCCTGGGGGTTTTGTGGCAAGATTATTGTTGGTCACTGTTTCACCACAGATGTATGTATCCCAGACTATGGGAGCTTTCAACCCTCACTGTGCGATGGTAGCAAGGATATATGTCTCGAGCCGTAAGTTACAGCTTTTCAGCTGGGTTTAGAAGTGAATATATTTGTGTTCAAAATAACTTTAGATTGAATAAAATGTCTCTTATCATATATGTATGTACAATGAATGCTATTGTTTCCCATGTCGTGTCTAGATATATACAATGGTCGTGGTTAGTCGTCAAAATATATGCAGGTAAGTAGTAATCCGCCGATATGCATGCTTCAAATGTTAAAGTCTTTTCGGAATAAACTTTTTGAAGTCGGGAGCGCGCCTCGCACGGCCAAGCGATTGTCGCTCATCCGATGGGCTCTGGCCTTATCACGATTTGTGTTCTTCCTGATCATCAGTTTATGTGTAGTCGAACACATAGAAAATTCTCGAGGCCGAGTTTGGGAAATTGTAATGGTGCTTTGTGGTTATGTCGTCGAGCGCCAAAATCGACTCGAGCTGAAGGTGATACCCTGTTGGCCCCGCGACCCACCGTCAGATTTCGGCAACCTTTCATTATGGATCCATCATTCATGCCTAGGCTAATTCAAGCACAGGTTGCTAGCATCGGACTTGTAATACTCGGGACTCCCGGTACTAAAACTTCTTCCGCCAATTAATCATTGAGAAAGCCATGACATAGGCCTTTGCTGGCCAGGACGCAGGCTCAATCGTGAACTGGAACGGTCGTCAAATTGTCGTCTGCCGTGTCGTAGATACGCCGCTGTGCCGCTGATAGCCCCTTCCTGCTCATACTGAAAGCCGCGCATCAGGCTAGGTAGAATCTCCAGGCCCGAGCTGACAGTGTCTCCACGATCGGGGATCGGCACTTCTCGCTGGGATTTCTTCGATTCCTTCTTGAGGTCCCACTCTGCCCTGATAGCAGCAGCAGTGTCGCGATCAAGAGGTACGGTGTAGTTTGGTGCATCGATCGTTCCTTGTTCGGGACCTCCACCATCAGGGCCATGGATGGGAACTTTCCTCATCGCTGAGAGAAGCGCGCACATGAACTTAGACCGTCGATAGATCTTGAGCCGATCATCGGCCCAGTTTGATTTGTGTCTTATCTCGATTCGGAGGTCTAGTTGCTTCATATCGCCGAGGGATAGCAATTGAATATCAATGTCTGATTGGTAGTCGCGACTGTTCTCCGGGGCTCGCACAAACTCTTCCAATTCAATGCGGAGAAGTTCGAGGGCCTTGAATTCTGTTCCGGGGTCGACTGAGAATTGGTACCGCTCCTTCATGGCCTTTGAGCGGGATATGTTGTCAATGAATAATGTGCTGAGGACAGAATTTGATACTTGGACCACTCCGTCTGTGTCTATCCTGCGGAAGACTGTGTAAAGTAGTGAGATGCGAACGACTTCGAACTCCTGATCTTTCATATTGATCCTGTCTCCAACATCAAAGGGATGCTTGACGAATACCTGAATGCACGATGCGTTAAACTCGCCGACAGTCTGTCCGAATGAGAAGGCGGATGCCGAAGCCAAAGTGATGATAGTCTTGAGGTTCTCCACAACGAAGCTGCTAAAGAAAGAAGTATAGACCATGATGACAACAGCCAGGACGATGACTGAAAGGACTCTGTCGAGGGTCCGAATCGCATCGCGAATATTAGAAGCTGATTTCCAGATGTCTTTGCGCTGTCGTGAGATACTGGTAACGAGCATCACCATCTCATCCATGGACACACTGCCATTCCCGTCACGATCGAGTTGTGCAAAGATCCATGCGGCTTCTTTCTCCGAACCGAAGCCGAAGACTTCTGCAAGTACATTGGGACAAATGGCTTTTCGTCCTTCGGCAGTGAGACAGATGAAAATACGCCTGGCTAGTGCTTCTGCGCCAGCCTTTCGTTCCAACGCAGCATCAACAATCGCATGTGTTGCCGTCGGTCTCAGAATTTGACTGCCGGTTAGATCACTTGCCATGTACCCCAGTGCAGAAACCAGCTTCTGTCCAAAGTAATGGAGATTCATAAAGATTCGTCGTGTTGATCGGTCCGCAGCATTCTCTTTCAACAAGTGTTGTACATTTGTCGTGTCGTGGATGTCATAGTCTTCGTCCAATGTTTCTTCGGAGCGATCTGGTATCTGTCGCAAGGATGATTCATACAACAAGTCAATCGCACGCACTGTGGCCTTGATATCCTTGATCTTATCCCTGAATTGTTGGCTGTGGTAGTTGGCACTGATCAGTTGCATAAGAATCTTCTCGCCCAGGACAATGGCCGAACTCCCAATCGAAGCCCTGATAACTTTGTTCAGGTTGATTATCCATTGGATGCTTTGACGCTCGCGGTGGTAGAACACATCGTCGAAGTGATGAACAATTGGGAACCAACATAATGCCATCAACGTCCAGATGAAGATCGACATTGGAATCTCCACAGCTCGAAGCACCTTAGCATATTTACGAATGCCCGTGCTGATGATACCACAAAAGGCTTGAAACAGTGCAGGAACCGCTGCAGCTACGAGCTTGGCCATCCAGAGAGACACCCACATAATCTCAATGTAGGCGAAAAGACCAGCCAAGGACATTCCTTCGGCCGTGACATCGCTGTATTTCGTTGCGAACAGAATGAGCGGAATGGCCAGAATGGCACCGACTGGGAGGATATAGATGCAATATCGCAACACGGGATTCTCGAGGACTTTGTACAGTGCTTTGCCTGTTGGCGTGAGTCGGTCCTCATAGTCCTCACTTATGGACAATGGCCGCCTCTGACTCGGGTGGATGAGTGGTGAACACACTGTATCGGGAGAACCTGGTGATTGGCGCGAGCTTCTCGTGGCGCTTGTGGCGTATTTTTCGTTATTAGATGAGGGCGGATCAATATCCGTTGTGTTAATGTAAATGATAGCATCTCTGCCCGCCATTTTTGTTCTTGACGAGCTGAAAATGATATACGATGGTGAAGATATTGATTACGAGGAGAGTGGGAGAGAGAGACTCTCGTTTGGCTCAAACACTTGTCAAGTACTTTGCGCCAAAGTCGAAAGTCTGTTCAATTGGTCAATACACAAATAGCAGAGCTTACCAAGGGATGGGGTAGAGCCTAAGATTCATGCCGGCTATTGTGGCACGGCAAGATCGATGTGCCATATTCACCGTGTGGACAGGGCGCTGGCGATGGCGTTGCTGGACTGCCGCTGTCCATGAAGGTCCTGGAAAGCATGTCTAGAGATGACTGGACAACAGTCAAATAGCATTTCTCTAGGTGATGTGTCGTGGCGCAACGGGTCGATTGTACCTACTGAAAGGGATTTAACGAGGTGTTTTGGGGTTCAGCTCCCACTGTAGCCTCATGCGTTTGCAGCCAGTGCTTGTCAGCCAAGTAAAAACGATTGGGCTAGACCATCAATGCCCAGGCGCGATAGCCTCTTCCCCATCATTCAAGCAGCACTAAAAATGGCTTGCCAGACATTTGCGGCACGTCCGAAGGGCCAGGTTCACATACCCAGCCTGCAAACTCGGAGAGCCATGCGGCATGGCTGACTACTTCGAGTTCTCTGCTTGTAACCGAGAATGAAAAGCTGTGTCTTGCAATTTGCAACGGCAACATCCCACCTTCCAAATTCCTGGCCCTTTGTGATGAGGTCAGATTGATTACAATCGGAGTGCCCAGTAGCGGTCTCTTGAGTGGTTGACAACTGGAGCAGAAGGCTGAGATGTTTCGAAGAGTGAACAGGTTTGAGCGACTATGATGCTATCTTATCTTTGGAGAGTTCAGTGTGCGCCAATCTGTAGGTCAAAGGGTTTTCTTGGGACCCCCGAGCGCCCGAGGCCCCTACATAACACGCTGTTGATGTACGAGTCATGATGCAACCATCTGCTTACCCAACGTTCATCCCTAGAGCTCTTTTTCTCATCATAATTGCCCTTTCATTCTAGACAGTCGATCTCGCAGCACCGCTGGCCTTCACCATTGTCTCAGTATGTCCTGCATAGCATTACAGTGGGAAAATTTCTGTCCTCAGGTAGCGTCAGTGATGGTAAAAGAGAATAGGGAACCCCCTTCCCACTCCTTGTCCGGGAGACATAGCAACCCTGTTGCTCTCAGAGTCGTCGCCATGTTCAGCAGCTGTTGAGTTGTCAACAGCCTTCGATTGAGATATATCAGGTTTAAAACTTATGGGTGTTGAGCCTTACATAGTCCTCATCGACGTTTTAAAAACCATCCATATACCAGTCCATTACACGGCCTGGTTGTGATGTGACTGGACGAGGCCAATGAAGGTATGTAAGCGACTAAGTTTTGGTAAGCCACACATCTGGAACTACATGACATGCAATCATGGTACTAGGGACGGTGCGCAATCACCGGATCGACTGGAACAGTGGGAATGATATTTCATATACGCATATTCCGTTCCTGAGGCAAATCCAGTGCCCTTTCAAACAAGCTACTTGTCAATAATTTCCCAGGCCTCAAACTCCTCCATCAACTCGCTTCTGAATGCCCTTCTGTGGGGGCTGCATGTCATCTGATCATATATGAGCTGAGCCATCCAGTTGGGAATGTCTGAATGTTTGTCCCCAAACTTTTACTGAGTAATCCATACGGAATACTTTACAGAACTCAGCACCCCGGAGTTCAATGAGTTATTGAGGCATCGTCGCACAGTCGGCTTCTTCAACGGGACTCTAACATAACTCAACAGCGAGGCCACAGGGGAGGATATGAACGCACAACAGCCTCAACCTCGAAAGGGATGAGTATCAGGACTCTTTATCAGCTTCTCCCATCTCGGAGGTTGCTGACCGATGATGGCGGCATGATTGATCCACCCTCAGTTTTGGGCTCGAAAACTGCTGGTGGCCTGGGCAGAGGGAATCATGCGCACTCTATGCAGCACTTTACACTTTTGCATTCTCTTATTGCGGCTCTATCCGTCTGTGACATCAAACGGAAGCCGATAGTTTTTCTCGATCTGTTCCTATGCATATCTTACTGCAGAGGATATCTGTCTATGATAAGCTCCCTGCAACCTTGAGGCACACGAACTGGGTCATCAAGATGAGTGCACATGCAAGATGTCTCGGCTAACAATGAGAACCAACCTCTGGTCACATACGTCAGCGAAGTGGCCCGGCGGCATTGCGACAAGATGTCAGATCATATATGCGCACCCGTTCATAGGGCTGGTCGGGATATTGACCACTCAGTTCCACTGTCAACTTCGCAGGAGTCAAACATGGCACGAAATGGCTAGGTCATATCAGGTTAAGATTGCGACATGGCAGCAGGGCGTGAATGTACCCCGTAGATGAACTAAGTATCCATAATTCTAGGCTCAGCCATTTCATACGAGTATCTCGTCTGGTTAGATTGGTTTTAGGGAGACTGTATTGTAGAGTCTTCCACACAATGGCCGCTTGCTCTTCTCAGGCTACTTGGATGATCAAGAATGGAGCATGCTCTGTAGACAGACATTGACAACAGTGCATGAAGAGGGGTGGCGATTTGAGGCATACGATTACTGTATGTGTTGTCCTCTGCAGTCATTGGCCTGCTCCTTGGGTACTCTGCTAGGGAAGTAACAACCAACATATTGGCCAAAACACCCGGCATGGGACGACTAAAACCGTTGTATCCATATTCCATAGTCAGTTGCGAGCGACACCGAGATATTGATGGGTCTAATTAGGGTTGCGGGTATAAGGCATTGATTTGCGGGTCAGGCCTCCCAAATCCGTGCTTCAGGCGTCCAGTCAAGGATGGCTGTTGAAGATCAACACAACTGCGTAGTTGTGTGATACGTTTTCCTGACGCATCCCCATTGGTCTGCTCGGACAATAAAACTCCGTGGCTTGAACTTCGCCCACCACAACAAGATCAACCACTACTCCATGTCTACCGATTTTGTTGATCACTTCGCACTGGTCCTAGCGAGAAATATTCAGGTGAGACTCGAAAGCCAAGTAAGTACCTTCTGGGGCTTCTTATGTTGTCACGGAGGTCAAGCATCACATTCGCATGTTTGCTTGTGTGAGAAATGACCCAGAAAGGCCTTAGATGCGAGATATCCCTCGACAACGCAGGGCCAAAACCAAGACTTTCGGCGCAGTTTGCTTAACACCCGCAATCTGCGAATGCGAAAGGGTGATCCATCACCACGCTTTACCGGGTTTCGAGCCAAATGGAGGTCAAGCTTGCGAGATCCACACTTCCTCAAGTAACCCTGTTCGATGACTTAACACCCCAGAGCATTCCCTGCTTGCGGCTCAAGGCAGCCCTATCAAGACGTCAACCACTCCGCTTCTCTTAGCTCATCCCTCCTGGATCGGTTCAAACCTGGGAGACCTTGCATATTTTACAATCTTGCATTGGCTATCATGGCAGAGCAGATCGCGTACGGCCTCCTGCCCAGGTACGGCCTCCCGGAGCCATATCATTTCTATGCTCGACAGTTTAACAATCAGCACTGATAACCAGGAAACCAAGCTCTGCGCATGTCAGGGTCTCGCATGCAGATGGCTGTGCTTTGTGAGAAGCTACCTTTGCGGGGGCGATGCTGGTCTTCAATGTTTCACACTAACCTACATGTGCACCGTTTCGACTTCCATATTGCCAGAAATAGTTCGAAGGACATACAATCTCCCATGACCTTGTACCCACAGGTCGTCTGCGGTATGTAGTACATAAACAGTTCTCGTTCCCTATCCTCACAATATCGCGTATCAGTCAACATTCCATCCACTTAGACGCCGCGACCTTTGACATCACTCAATCTTCAAGTTGCAATACTTCTGCAAGCATAACCTAAGGATCCGTCAACATGGCCGACGAGCTTCCTATGCCGGCAGATCAATGCCAGGCGGACCCAGCTTGTCTCAAGGAATATGGTTCCCTTCATTATATCCCGAACTCGGGGCTCAACTATGCCTCGGCCGGGTTTTTCGCCGCGATTCTCATAGCGCAGATATATCTTGGTGTTCGTCACAAGACATGGGGATTTGTGAGTCCACTTCTACCTCAGCAGGGTTTCTGTTCTGTCAACTCGTGTACTGACTTAAGGGATCTACTAGATGGCGGCCATGATTGGCGGCACAGTCCTTGAAGTTGTCGGCTATGTAGGCCGTATCATGATGATTAAGGATATCTTCGACCAAAACAACTTCATCATCTACCTTGTGGGTCTGACAATCGGTCCTGCTTTCTACGGAGCAGCCATATACCTTAGCTTGTCACGGATCATCACCATTTATGGTACCGGACTCTGTTGGTTGAAGCCAAAAACTGTTACGGTCTTGTGGATTGGATTCGATTCTGTATCGCTATTGTTGCAGTCGGCTGGTGGTGCCATCTCCTCGATGGCAGACACCAAAAGCCAAAGCGACATGGGCCTGAACATCATGATCGCAGGTCTGGCAGCTCAGGTTGCTGCTACTGTAGCATTCTGCGCTGTCTGCCTTCAGCTTTGGCTTGCAATTCGCCGACATCCTCAAAAATTGAGCGTCGAGTACGCAGTATTCCGCAATAGCCGCAGATTCAAGTTGTATTTGTGGGGTAAGTTCAACGGTGCTCAAAGTTGACGAGCGTTCCTAATCGGGTCACAGGTCTTGCTATCTCAGTACTGGTGATCTTGATTCGATGCATTTACCGTCTGCTCGAGTTGATGGGTGGTTACGACAGTGAGCTGGCTAACCACGAACTCACTTTCGTGATATTCGATTCCGTGATGATGGTCATCTTGTGTCTAGCATTGACGATCGGACACCCTGGAATAATGTTGGGAGATATCTGGCACCGCGCCACATTCTCCTTTCGCAAGAAGAAGGATACTGCCATGGAACCATTCAGGAAGAACTATGACGACAGTAGTCGAGCAAGCTCTCAGGTCAATCTCAGTCAACCAGAGGCCACACCACTCCAATCTTTCACTGCATATCACCCAGGCTACGAACGCGTGTCAAATGCATAAGCAGACCCCGCAAGCAGGCTGGTGCCATGGACTTTTGGAGATGGGGTTCGCACTCTCCGCTCTCCATCTGAAGTGGTACTGGTTAATGCATACAGTAGCACACGATAACTCTTCCGTGAGATGATATAACGACTAACAAGGCGTTTCGGAGGTTGCTTCTAAAGCTAGGTCTCCAGGATCACTGTCAAAGCAAGAGAAGAGCCTGCAGTTGGGATCGACTGTTCTATAGGTTAGTCGACTATGTCAGGAGAGTTTATCGGGAAGGAGGACCTCATCAGTGGCCCCGGTTTGTTAGACTAGCATGGAATTATAGGAAAATGATTTACTTCTCTCGGAATCGAATTGAGAGAGGTGGCGCCATGAGCTTGGAAAACACATATGAATTTGTACATGATATAGCAAACGCCTTCGGTCTTAAAAGCACCAAAGATTACTTCGGGGCTGCAAGGCTGTGACATGGGCTGCAATAACGATTACAAATCCCGCTTTGCACAAATTGCAAGCTCTCGGTCCTGCATCCTTCAATACATTTTGTAAAGCCTCGAAAGCTGTGTTGCACACAGACTAGCTCTAATGAACCCTAGAGATTGTCTTCAGCCATAAGTCTGTTGGTGGAGGGAGACACTTCAAAGCAGCCGGGAAGTTCGGACTCATGAGTCATGTGCAGGCAACCTTTTCTGGCGGCGAGTCATTCCACCTCTTTCGAATGTCCCTCACTTTCCAGAATGAACAAGGATCCATCTCAACAGTAGACACTCAGAATCCCAGACACTCTCTCTGCGAAGGACCACACAAGATGGCGGAATCGCCTTCTCTGGCGCTGGCGAAGCGGCCTGGGCACGATGTGTCTCTCATGCCGCCGCCTCCCTTTAAACGCATCAAGCGTCCCACCACGGTCCTCGACGAAGATGAATACACTGCCGCTCTTTCTAACATCATTGCTCGAGATTATTTCCCAGGACTCTATGAGGTCGAAGCACAGCATGAATATCTCGCTGCTCTCGACTCGAACGACGAACAATGGATTGCAGAAGCTAGCAGAAAATTAAGGGAAGCCGCAGCACCTCGTCCCTCAAAGAGAAGGCAAGCCAGAAATACACGATTCAGTAATGCAGAAGATGCAACACCTCAACGGCCGATGGGTGGGTGGGCAGCCGAGACGCCCATAGGAAACACCGGCGATGAGACTCCGATGCCAACAACGCCGTCCGTTGCGGAGCAGACCGCAGAGCGGCAGCAACATAAAGGTTCTGATACCTCGATGCTTTCATTAGGCGCTTTTCAAGCCAAGTATACGTCGGAGGACAACGAATCGTTCAATGCAGTTCTGGACAAACACAATGAGAAACGCCGGATCAAGAACGCCCATCTGTGGACACAAGACCAACGTATACCCTCTGCCAGACAGATTGCTCATCGAGCACGCGAAGCCAAGTTGATCAAACAAAAGGCAGAAGACGAGGCGGCTGGAAAATCTCTGGTCCCAATCACCAGTGGTGCGACGGACTCACGGCCAGCGAAACCCGACACATGGACCATCAAACGCCCAGACAACACCTTCATGTTCAACGCCAGTTCAGTCGACGAGGATGGCATACAAACCGTCCAGGAAGTCAAGGAACAGACGTCAAAGGCCGGTCCAAGACAAGTCGTCCACTCAAACACGAGATTCCCTCCACTGCAATATCTAGAAGACCTTGGCACGGTACCTCCCTCACCGTCGCTCAACACAGACATCATCGCACGACGAGATGCCGCAAAATCACGGCAAGGTCCACCCGAATTCGACGACTACGACGGGAGCGAAACACCACGAATCAACGGCTACGCCTTCGTCGACGAAGACGAGCCCGAGAACAGACCCGCACCGGAGGAAATCAAGCCGAGCTACCGCGACCTTTTGGCCGGGCAGGCCGGCGACGGAACACTGAATCCATTCAAAATCAACGACATCCGCAAACGCGAAGACCTGCACCTACGCATGGTGGAGAAGCAGGCGAAGAAGTATCGCGACAAAGAGCGCGACACGATGAAAACGCCGTCGTCGTCGTCGATTCTCGGGGCCGCGTCTACCCCGGGCTATCTGAAGACGCCGTCGGCAGGTGCAGCGGCGGGCAACATGACGCCGGCCGCGAGACGGCTGATGGAGAGGCTGGGCGGGAAAACGCCGTTGCGCAGCCACGGGACCGGGAGTGATCGTCTGGATGCTAGCGATATGTGGACTCCGGGCCGGACGCCGCGGAGGAGGCATGCTGCCAATTAGGTACGTACGTCTGCCAGTGGTGGGTGGGATATGGAAAGTGGCCACGCACGTACAACCATCAATAACCAACGAGCCGGCTCTGTGGTAATTAGAATGCCACATTGAGTTCAGCCTGCACTAGAGTATTAAAGTGCCGAAATCTCGGAAGACAGTCGGGCAGATCTATTACTTGTAGGACTCTATTCGCTCAACTGCATCAAACCAAGATATAACCATCCGTTCCGCTCTTCTCTTATAGCTATCTATACACCCCGTTGGCAGTTCCACCCTACTAATACCGGGACGCCATGCAATAAACCAAGAATATCAAATCCATCTCAACCATGTCTTTCTGGCACTTTCATCCGGATATTCGCAAAAGCCGGACTGATAAACATCTTTTGTACGCCTCCTTGTACAAAGAAGGCTTCTCAGCTTCTTGCTGCAGTGCCAAAGAGTTCTTTTTTGGACTTCCAAGTACGGGTAGGGGGGACCATCGTCATTTTCGGGGGTAATTTTACAGCATATTTAACACTGCAGTAGCGGCGGCAAGAAGTGCAATACCGCCGTATCTGCTATATCCAAAAGACCGCTCGGCGCCGCTGAGGTAATAGGCCGCACCGAGGTAACTGCACGTGAGTAGTCCAGAATCGTTACTCCTGGTACCGTAGCTGTCCTCGAATCCGGCGCCCTTGAGAGGGCATGCGAAGCCAAAGCTCGCCGGACAGCTCTGTATCAAATCATAGCAGAGATCTTCACAGGGTAGGACTTCCTTGTACGGGCCTGGTCGGATGGATTCGTCGATGAGAGGATTGCGAGAAGAGTTTGTGGCTACGTTGTTGAGGAGTGTTTGGTCGACGTTGAATCCTGGGGAGTTTGAAATTGTGGAGCCGTTGACGAAGGCTTGTCCCAGGTTGCGCGGCTTCAACCAGGCATCATTGTTGGAAAAATCGGCACAGCGGGGGATTGTGACTGCGCAGAGCCATTGTTTGTATGCACGGGCACAGTCATCACAGTTTCGAGCAAGTGAATACTGGGATGAGGGGGTAGTGTTGCAGGGTATTTGCTGCAATGAGTAGTTGAAATACTGATACATTTGAGAAGCGTAGGAGTCGTAGACAGCGGCTAGTTCTGGCAGACCGGTGGTCGGGGAAAATAGATCAGGGTTTGTGGGCACGGCATAGGCGACCTCGGAGCAGAATGAGAGATTGTACATCAAAGCACAATTATCCTCGGTTTTTGTGTCGAATTCGATGGCAGCCCAGACAGTACCGCCACCGCCAACAACGCCTTCACCTGAATCTGTGGAGTTGCCCTCCATGACCAGCATTCCCCAATACCGCGAACTAGCATTGAGGCCCGTGATATAAAACTGTTCTTTTGGCTTGCCACCAAGACCACGACTCGTCATCTGGGCGATGTTCTGAGTCTCAACGCCTTTTATATTTGCATTGAGGCGGACGTTATTCCTGAGGCCACAAAAGGAATTCTTTAGACCAAGGATGGACTTGTCTTTCTGATCAGCCGCGAACAATCCCCATGGTGCTGGACTTAGTCCCATCCAATCTTTAAAGACAGTTTCGTTAAGAGCGGCCTGGGTCAAATCATCGGTGATAAGAAGAGCTGCATGATTATCGCCATCCACAAAGAACAGATTCGGTTCAGTGTGGGCGTAATGGTATGGGCCATCAATGGATGCAGCGACCTCATAGTTCCAAATGCCACTGAATGCAGTTACATTCGGTGCTGTCACACCAACATATATGTCACTGCTGGCTTCCACCTCAAGATAGGCATAGCCTCCGTCGACTTGTATACTCCGCTGATTGGGATCCGTAACACCAGGACCAGGTTTGGGATTCGAATCGGACATGGAAATATACATCTGTAACTGAGGTGGTATGGCATCAGTCGAGTCTTTAGAACCATTGGAAGATGGCTGTAAACATGTATTCAGCGTCAAATAGATTTTGTTACTCTGCTGTCGCTTCTTTAATTCGTGACCTTCGGCATTAATCTCGATACCTCGCTCTTCCACGTCGTCACTAGGCAAGCCAGGGCCAGATTGTCCGTGAGGACCATCAATCTCTTCCTTGGTGAAGACCCAATTCTGCGTTTCACCAATATTTATATTTTTGTTTTGAGGGGCGTTGTTGGACAGTGATGAAACCCCTTCGACCGCTCTCGCTCGCAGGTTGTCGCCATGACTGGATTCGCTCGGGTTCTCGTCAACATCCTCCTCGATATGGTCTTCGAGTACTGCATAATCGTTACGTTCCCCGTTGTGTATTGTTGAGTCTACTTCCAGAGCGTATGCAAAGTGTGGCTTTGTAAGTGTGAGGTAAAGTAGGAGGAGGAAGAGTGAGGCACCAAGGGAGGCGGCGAACCTCGACTGTAGAGGGGACAACTTTGGTAATGGCATGTTGAAGTCCAGCTCCAATCCCCGCGCGATAGACGTAGATCTACGAATGCCTCAACAGCATCTTATTGAGGACATTGGCCTGACAAACGGGAGTGGTGAGAGTTGGGGAAGGCTGTGGCTGCGGTGCAGCTGCGCAAGAGCCTTGCGTGGCTGCGGGGCGGTGCTGATCTCACGTGACACCCATCCCCTTTTGAGTACTCCGTATAGCCCCATCGCTTTCAACCCAACTAACTAAAAAATATGTACTCGTAGGTGCTGACCGGCATCAAAGACTTCATCACACATGTCGTCGCTCATAACCAGCTCGAAATTCGATTGATTTGAAATTAGAATCGAATGCACCTGTGCAATTGCTAAGCATCGGAAGGCTTGCAGGGATTCGAGACGCGTTGTGATGACCCTACACGTCTCGCTCGCGTACCTTTTCACAACTTCCTCCTTGACTTATTCATCAGGCAGAATGGGTATGAGTCGGACAATCTTTTGGCCCTAGTCAGAACCGAGCGACACGCCATCCCTTCGTGTAGATCAATGATCATCCGAGGTAGCTGATGGGAAGCCCTTCTAGCGTTGTCCGCTTTCGCAATCTGACCGCACCTGATACCGGCGATTGCGAAGCGTCTTTCCAACAACAAGCAAAAACTAGGAATGACCCCGCGTTTCTTTTAACACTGTGGTCGAGCACTGAATTGTGCTTGCAAACACTAGATTTGATGTTATTGTCGATCTTGGCTGACTTTCAAGACAGAGGATGGGGTACCGTATGTTCCGTCGTCAGGCATGGCAGACTCCGTTTTCGCATCTTGGAGCTAGATCACCACAAATGAATCTTGCCCTATTCGTCTGTGTTACTACGGAACTATATTGCAGGTCAGAAATTGTTAGTTGGTGCTCGTCCATCCTCTGTCTACAAAAGCACAAGGCCAAAGTGCTCCGGTTACGCTGATATTTTCGGCCCAGAGGGACTATAAAGCCCTCCCATAAGTTAAATCTCATCGGAACTTACTCGTGCTTACAGAATATCATTGAATAGCCATACACTCACAATATCAAGTTTATAGCACATTCGGTCGTGCTGCTAACATGTCTCCTTCAAAGGTCAAAGATGAACTCAGAATAGTTTCGCCCATTGGTGCACTTGGTCGAGGTTTTACTGAAGAGTATGTCTGGAATGCTGTTGAGGCTGGAGTCGATGCGATTATCGTTGACGCTGGATCTACCGACAGTGGTCCTGGGCGGCTGGCACTTGGCAAAATGGGTGCACCTCAGGCTGGATATTGGAGAGAATTTGAGATTCTTGTGAGAGCTTGCCACCTTTACAACGTAAAGGTTTTGATAGGGTCTGCCGGTGGAAGTGGCTCAAACGCATTCGTTGATCACCATACCAACATAATCAAGTCGATCGTGAAAGACAAAGGCTACCGAACACTCAAGGTAATCAGTATCTATGCTGAAATTCCAAAGGATACTGTCCATCAGAAGCTCAAAGCTAAGCTTATCAGCCCTTGCGGAAGCGGTATCCCCGATCTACAGGAGCACGACATCGACTCGACAAATATTATTGTTGCACAGATGGGTCTTGAGCCTTATTTGCAAGCCATGAACGACAATCCAGATTTCGATATTATAGTGGGCGGTCGGGCTTACGACCCGGCTCCTTTTGCAGCATTCTGCCTCTACCATGGCTTTGATGATTTGGGTGAGCTTGTTGATTTCTCATCCCTTCACATACCACCTTTGATCGAGGGCTTGTTCCAATAAGCTATGTATCATATTGACTAATCATCATATACCCAACAGGACTGAATTACGCCATGGGCAAGATCATGGAGTGTGGGGCACAGTGTGCCATACCAAAATCCAAGGAGTGTCTTGCAATTGTCCGCCGCGACAATTTTGATTTGATTCCCCTGCAGCCAGGGGTGCGATGTACACCGACGTCGGTTGCAGCTCACCTCCTGTATGAGAAGAGCAGACCAGATGTTCTTCACGGGCCTGGGGGAGCACTTTACACAAGTGACTTGACTTATGAACAAATTGACGACCGAACAGTTCGAGTAAAGGGTGCCAAATTCATACCAGAACCCGAGGGCGAGTATACGGTAAAGCTTGAGGCTGCCCGTGTCAGTGGATACCAGACATCTTTCGTGGGAGCATTTAGAGACCCAATACTCATTTCTCAGCTCGATACCTGGATGCCTTTGATTGAAAAGGGGGTTCGTGATATGAACAAGGGCTTTGCATTCGACCTCAAAATCCATACATATGGACTAAATGGAGTGATGGGATCTTTGGAACCAGATACGAGCATTCCGAAGGAAGTTTGCCTTGTTGTGCATGTGAGAGCACCGACACAAGAGCAAGCGAATGATGTGGCAACAAGCACCAAGAATCGACTGACGCATGCGCCATACCCAGGTCAGCTTGCAACTGCTGGTAATTTTGCTTGGCCTCTGACTCCCTCTGAAACTCCCATGGGACCATGTCCAGAATTCTGCATTTACCATATCATGCATCAATCAGATCCGGTCTCACTATTCCCGGTTAAGGTTGAGGAATACTTGGGCGACAACTCCTTCATCAGCCCCACACGTAAGGCCTGAGCCCCATTCTCTTGTCATTGAATCAAGCTTACAGAATGTTCCGGATAGGGAACAAGACCACTTCGAACACTGACACTACAATCTCGGCCAAGAAACCTTCCTCCACTACAACTACCACGCCCAAGAAATACTATTTGCGTCCAGAGCCAACAGCTGGGACTTGTTACCTTGGGGATATTGCATCGGTCGTCCGCAGCAAGATCGCGGGACCTTATCATGTCACTTTCGATGTGATGTTTACAGATCGAGAGATCTACAACAAAGTCAAACAAGCCAATGTCTTGAGCAAAAGCACCATTGCCAAATTGTACAATATTCCTGAAGCTGATGTAGATGTGTCAATGTGGTGGGATCAAGCTATGGCTTACAAAGCCACTATTCCCAGACATCGGGCTTCGGGTGGTTTTGGTGAAACAGATACTCATGGATCACAGCAGCATGCACCTCTTCTGTACCTTAGTTTCCCTTGGGGAAGAGTCTAGTCTAGTCAAAGGAACAATGAGAAAGCGCAATTGTCTATAGTTAATTACTTCAGTTAGCCAACATTTCCCCGGTGGTGCAAGGCCGTGTGAGGCTTTACAATTCTATCCCTATCCTTGGGCACTGTTCTCTGTGCGCACACTCAGCAAGTTGATATCGACGATGCAAACTAAGATCATCACTCAGAAGCACAGACGAGTGTTGTGCGGTGGGCGCTGCCATTGCGATTTCGCAACACCACACTCCGATTCAATGACCCCAGATTCGCCCCGCAATCTCCGCAAAAGTGCTCCTCAAGGCTAATCGGCCAAACTTTTGAGCAGCAGGTCAGCAGGGCTACGCGGCCAGACCCAACAGGAGGGAGAATCACCTACCAAGCTATTGCATCGGACACAAAGATCTATCTTATATATAGCTGAGGATTTCCACTGCTTAGGGATCTCGAGCCGTACACAGCTCGCCTTTCCCCAAGCTGACACCTCAAATTTCTTTCGTAGGGCAGTTGCAAGCAACCCTTACCCCTAAAGTGACGACAGGATGTGGCTCCGAGACAATCGGATAGCGAGAAACTTCAATGGCCAGCTGCTCTTTGCAACTGGCCTCATGATGCTGTCTCAAGTCAATTTTGGCATGGATCTTGCGGCCTTCTCGAACACCCAGGCTATGGATGCTTTCACTCATCGATTCGGGACAATCAACCCAAAGACGGGCAAGTACCGCATTGACCCATACTTTTTGTCCCTCCTCAACAGCTTGACCTATGTCGGACAAGTCTTCGGTGTGGTGACAGGTGGCTTCATCAATCGCAAATATGGGCGACGTCCGGCTTTCTATGTCATGACCTTCTGGGCTGTCCTGAGCGCCATCCTGCTTGTCACTGCACAGCATAAAGAGCAGGTTCTCGCAGGGAGAATCATCAACTACATCTACTTGGGTCAGGAGCTCGTTACGATTCCTGTCATGCAATCTGAGATTGTCCCTCCGAAGATTCGAGGAATGGTTGTTGGCACCTATCAGCTTGGTGTTATGGTATGTATAGCGATATCGTCCTGTTGATGGTCTGAATTGACAGAGGATTCTTTAGATTGGCGCATTCATAATGGCTGCGATCACATATGGAACTGCTAAGATCGAGGGAGAGGCATCATTCCGGATTCCTTTTGGCCTGTTTTTCATCATCCCTTTCATCGTCGGATGCTGTGCATTCTTCTTGAGTGAGGTACGTTTTTCAAAATGTCGTCTCTATCAGGCTATCGATGGATGCAAGAATCAGATCACACCTACTTGAGCTAACCATTAATACTGCACACAGTCCCCACGCTGGCTTCTTATTCGCGATCGCCACGAGGAAGCCCTAGTATCCTTGCGCAAGTACCGCCGGGGAAAATTTACCGAGGAAGAGATCATGAACGAGTATCATGAACAGCTCGGGATGATCAAAGCCATGACACATGAGAAGGGCACGTTCAAGGAAATGTGGCAAGGAATTAACCTCAAGAGATCTCTCATCGTCCTTGGCTCAAACATCTGCATCCAAATCAGTGGCCAACAGCTCAGCAGCAAGTATGGCACTATTTTCATCAAGGACATCAATGGGCCCGACCCCTTCCAGATGTTCTTGATCAATACTGGAATACAGATTGCTGTCGTTTTGGTCGCTATGTATCTTCTGGATAAGACTGGCCGAAAGTATGTCCTCACTCCTGATGTTATCCTTCATGCGCTGACTGGCTTCACTTTTCTGCATAGGCCGCTTCTGCTCATAGGTTCTGCTGTGCAAACGATCACCATGTTCGCAATGGGTGGTCTAGGGACAATCAACACACCCAGCAAAGAAGTCAAGATCGCCATTACCGCCATGTTGAGTCTCAACTACTATGGCTTTGTGTTTGGTTGGGCACCAATCTATCATATCATCTCAGGGGAGATCCCTAATTCACGTAAGAAGCCATTTTACTGAGAGTCATAACCAACTTCTCACTTCAATCTCAGGTATGCGAGACATGACCTACACGGTATGCAGTATCGCCACAGTAGTGACACAATTCGTCGTGTCTTTCACCATCCCCTACCTCTTATACGCTCCCTACGCGAATCTTGGGGTCGAAATAGGTTTGATTTTTGGGCCGATTGCTCTTTGCACGTTTATTTTCGCAGCCCTCGTGGTTCCGGAATGTCGTTCGTTCTCTCTCGAAGAGATCGATCACTTGTTCCACCAGAAAGTTCCGCTGCTGAAATTCCAGAAATACAAGCATGGGCAAATCCTTCCGGAAGAAGTGGTGCATACAAGTATGCAGAAATTTGGTGAGGGGCCCACAATTGAAGAGCGTGAGAACGCTGCTCCATGAGAGATATTTTCACGAGAGTACCAGAGGCGAATTTGCGAGACCGGACGTCTGAGATGATGATTATGTCAATTAGAATGGCACAACCTCGTAGCTAGCCTCAAACACCGCGGCGCTTGCCGGTTCGTCTTGTGTTGAAACATCTCTTCTGGGCGCCGGTATCAGTGCTACTGCTGATCTAAACCACATATCACTTCCGAATAACGATTGTGTTCAGGAAGGGCACTCGGTCGTAGTCACGTAGTTCCTTTCCTTCGTAAAGATGGCCAGATCCAGATTGGCTGCTATGCGCGTGGGTGAAATTGCTGGATGGCTTACCCCTTACCCAGGACCCCAGAAAATCTGCTTGCTAGTCTCGGAGTCTAACCTCAATAGAATTGCGAGAATCGCTCTGGGCTTGAAGTAGCAGCGTACAAGGTCAGCAGTCGGCTTACACTCATCACCCAACCTCGGCTCCTCTCCCTAGCTAGCCAACAGGATTTGTTTGCATAAGGTACAAGTTTGTTCTCCACCATTGAATGGGAGCCTCTTGACCGACACATCGGCCTCAAGATCGCCCGTTGGGAGTTACTGTGTTGTTTTATTTTAGCTGCAGGGCGCTCCCATCGTGTTTGTTCATTGTTAGACATGGTGTTGGCATTTGCAGAGCTTGATTGATACCGGTGGAAATATTGGGGTCTTTGTCCATGGCGTAGCATTTGATATGTCACCATAATCAGAACACGGCGATGGTAACTTTCAAGTATGCTGAGTAGAGCGGCGCATGAAATTCAGAGGATAGTGAAGTCGACGCATGCCAAACGGGTGACAATTGAAAGCACTCGGTGACAACCCCCGTTCCCTTCAATAAAGCAGCGTCACTGATTCCAACTTGGGTAAAGCGTTTGTCACTCATATCGACATCCACCGTCGTCACCCCTCTTGAACTTTGTCTCTTGACGTGATCAGTGGACGAGGCAGTGGACAGCGTACTGGTAACATATATCACCAATTAAATCTCGCTCTGGACTGCTTTGCCACTAGGCAAAAGATTACAGACTACGCTGACGAGAATCATTTGATTCTTGTATGTCTGGCCTTTGGCAACGGACATGACGAGCGTGGTTGTTGGTCCGAGAAACCCCCTTGGCAACTTAGAGTCCTGATCTGTGAACATGGATCAAATCGACACTGCATCGCGTGCTGGCATGGTTGCAGTCTGCGATCACAAACCGACCACCGGGTGCGCTTTGGTCGCTCTGGAGGTCTGTTGCGCGTGCGCCGATAAACGCCCACTCGCTCCTTCTTATCCTGTCTACATTGATGGTCAAGGTTTAAGAATGCAGGGCAAGCGCTGGTCACTCTATTGTTGGCGATGCAGAGGTATGTCTTCACTTTTCTGACTCACCATAGTCTTCACCGATTTTGTTATATGCCATAGCTTTTCGTTTGTTCTCAAATGTTGGATGGAAGATCTTCTCACTCGCTCATCCTTGAGGCATATCATTAATTTGCTTTAGATTATTGGGATTTATCATCAGCCCCTAGCTCACTCACCATGAATCGCCCGCCTCTGCTTCGTGAATCGATGCCACCTGCAAATCAGGCTCGGTCTTTGACGCTTCGTGCGCTGCCACATGAACCACTCCAGAGGGAATGGTCCTTCAATGACATTCCTGCTCCAAGTCGACTCGATACTCATTCATCGATCATCACAGAGTCGATGCAAAGCACGGGCGCCTTGTCAGACACACCTCCTGTGCTACCAATACGACGAAGAGGCGAAGCTACCAGCGAGAGTCTCCCTTCACCCAGCTCCATCCATCAAAATCGCCCTAACAGATCTGCACAAAGTCGCAACTTAACAGCACCGTTACCTCGAGCTCGTAGATCTCCAATACCAAACCCCTTCGGTACACGCGAGGAGATTGAAGCCGACAATTACGAAAGTCCTCTGCAGGGAATGTTCACACGAGCATGGAGTCGCTATAGAGCAGCAGAAGAAATTCGTCGATCCAATCCAATAGCTCCAGATTCAGAAATTGGTCGCGACAGTAATCATGATGGACTTGAAACACACGCAAACGAACCTGAAGGTTCCATACGTCAGCAAAGTTTTGAAGCTATGATGATGCAACAAATGGCTACCCTCAACTTTGAACTGGATGCACACACTACTCTGCTCAGAGATCTACCTCAATCGGCTCTCCTTCGAGCTGGTATGACAGCAGCGCAGACCACCGAACTTGGAGCTCACGCACAATCGCTTGAACACGAAACACAGCGTACAAATCGAGGTCCCGTCAATCCGATCGATACTCAGACTTCAAGACCAGCGGCTAGGAACCCGGAAGAGTTGACTGTCAGCGTTGCATGTCAGATCTGCCGTGAGCAAGTGGTCGATACACTTCTGGAGCCTTGCATGCACATAGCCCTATGTCGGTGGTGCTCTGAGATCATTCAACAACAGTCCCGCCGGGTTCGACATGCTCACCAACAAAATGGGTGGAAATGTCCAATTTGCCGTCGTAGGGTAGTGAACGCAAGACGTGTCTACTTATCATAGGTCAAGGACCAACAAACAGCTCTAGGACTTGGTCTGTACAACTGGATTGATGGACTGCGATGCAGGGTACCAACATAGCATCATGTTCGGAGCACTTTGAACCATGACAAGTTTAGTAGCTGAGATTTACTGCAAGCTTCTGGATGGCGCGTCTTTGCCTTGAATTTCCCAATCTACTGGCAAGACGATCTTGAAAGGAACAACTGCAACGGGCGACATAGAGCAGAGCTACTTTGTGGGGGGCATGGAACCACGATTCACGCAGCGTATTAGAGCCAAATATGAAAGGATTTCGTTCACTCTTGTGCATTTCTTGCTCGTAATCAGGCGTGGGAAGTTATTAAAGTGTAATCATTATTTGATCATATCCTGGTTCTTGTGGTGATACAACGTCGTGCTCATCAGATTTCCATACGGATGTACGTAGGATAGCAAGGCTCTCTTGCACCAGTAGCCGGTAGATCAATATGCTGTTCACGAATCCTGGAGACCAAACATCCTAACAGGAGGCCTTCTGACACCCACATCATTCCAGTAAACTTACTCCTGGATATGACGACTGTCTCGTAGAATTTTGTTCTGCGAAGAGAAGCCAGAGTGAAGGCAGATGTATGAAAAGCTCTGGTGAGAAATATACCATCTATTCGCATAAGGTTAACAGACTCACCACGCATCAATCATCGTCGATCGTCATTGTCCAAGGCCTTTGCCTGATCACATTGGTGGTTTTGCGTGGTGCGACGGACGGGATGTTGACCTTGCCAGTTTTCAAGGACCGCGGATACAGTCTTTGTTCGAAGACCGGTTTCAATTCATCTGAATAGCTTTGCCTTGCCTTGCTGGAGGGTGGCCCAGACTTTGCTTGCCGTTCATCTGATCATCCGTGCCAGCCGTTCTTGCTTTTTTCTTGTTAGCGTGGAGCATCCAAGTCCTTGGAGGCGTCTTCGTGCTCTCTCCTACCAGACCCATTCGCTGGTAGGTTACCACACTCGAGCATTGTGAAAGTTGTCATGTGGACTGGAGAATACTTTCAGTTCGTGTCTCAAGATGTTTGTTTGGCTGGCAGACTTTGGAGCCATTGGCCCTCTCCTACCATTTGCCTTTCATTCTCAACCACGAACTCGTCTGCATGGCTGTCTGTTGCCTGGTCGATCTGCCTCAATATGCTTGATACCTACTGCATATTTGCGGACGTCGCTGAACGAAATGGGTGAGTTAGGTCGAGCTAGTATATGGTGCATGTCCGAAGGTTGCATGCTAACACGGGTGAAGGTTGGCCGCGATGGAAATGGTTTGCCCCGTTGCCTGCGTTGTTGTGGACAACATACTTGGCCATCAGGCTGAGAATTTCTCGGGTCGAGATAGGACATAGACAGGTGAGCATGTTTTACCACTGTGCTGTCGCAGACAATGCTACACGAGAGTTGCCTGGCGCAATTGCCTGTTTCTCGCAACAAAACTATATCGCGTTCAAAACAGAAAAGGAGCCAGCCATTCCGCGGGATCCCTACATCATGCGCTGCAAGATGTGTTTGTAATGGAGAAGTCGTGTTTCTGACTCGGGTCGTTGGAGAAGGTGCAAGCGAAAGCAGAATGTCGAGTGAGACTACTGCACGCAGTATTACTTCCCCCCGAGACCCTCCACTACAGTGGAACATGGCTGCGTCGCGGTGTCTGGAACACGAAGTGTTGAGTCTTGGACAATTCAGGTTGGCAGTTCCAGAATTAATTCTTGACGTATCTGTGTCAATTGCGCGACCAAGGTATGCACGTGGACTGCACTTAGGAGTTTGACCGGTTAGATTTTAAACATGTTCAGTTGAGGCACGCACAGTGTCGACACGAGCTACATGCTTTGCGCATTATCCATGACCCGTTCTGAGACTCATGTCGAGCACTAAATCATCTGGCTTACCACTTGGTGCAGGTGCCCGATTTTAGTTGACAGTCATGGAACTTAATCGTAGTCAAACCGCCAGAACAATGATGTTAATAAATACTTTGGAGTTAACGTAACACCGCCCGATTTAGCGAGGTAAGGGAGCTCTCTTGGACGTTCTCGTCTCCGCGCCATGTTGCCTTGGTTGCCTTGTGGCGTGCGTGATATTGGCATTTCCCCCCACGCATATGCGCTCGGCTCGAGGGTACAACCTGCCTCCTCACTTTCCGATCTGAAACCTTGACATTGGCTGCTTCTCAGCATGTTGAAGTAACGTAGAACAATTCAATGGCTATTTATGCTGACAACGATATTTCGCGTGTTTGGCCTTATAACTACATCGCCTATGGCAGGAGCTTGTGAGGGGCAGCAATTCTCCCAGCGCGGGGTTCAGCCTCATGGTAGACATGCTTCAACGTGGCTACGATCGGGCGCACCTAAGTCGCCATTCGGGTAGACGGCCCCTCCAACGATCTGCTGATGCGACATCATGACCGAGAGTAGAAGGCATCGAGAAATGCAGGAACAACTTCGCAATGAACCAATCGGCGTCCCTCGGGGAAAGTATCCCACGAAATACCACGTCAGCCAGACTCTGAGGTCACTGAAAGACTTTACTTAACCTCTCAGAGACTGGGAGGGTGGGCCGCAAGCTGACCTTGACCTCCCCAAGGGCATTTGCGTGCAGAAAGACATGCAGCACCCTGAATTGGGCTGCTCCGCTTTGGCCGTGAGGGAACGAGGAACACAACGAAAGCAACCGCACCACCGGTTATCGGTTCCGCCTAGTTGCGCTCGAAATCATGGGTTGGGAGACATCATCAGACATCCCCTCAAGGAAGATCGCTGTCACAAATTCGTTGTTGAATTGATATGACTGATCTTCGGAGTCGAAGTGCTCTCCCTTCCCAGCAGAGAATAGCGTTTCACGCGCAATTAGTTGCCGTCGCGGAGAGTTTCGGCAGCACGACATTTTGCAAGCGTAATATGCTGTGTAACATGACGAGTGACTATCCGCTCGATGAGCTAGAATATTCCTCGATCCCAAAACCGAGTAGAATGCACTTATTGTCTGCTGCATATTTGGGTCGTCTCCAATCATTCGCTGGCCTCATATTTGCTTGCCATTCTCTGTCGTCGCACGTCCTGTTTCTTGTTTCAGATCCAGCCTCGTAGATTTTTTGAACACCCTTTCATGACGATGTGTATCTTGTTGTAGAGTCTGTCTGAGTGCAGAGGTTGTCACTCGTTCCTAATTCGAAGATTTCACCAGGAAGCGAGAACAATCGTATTCGTTCGTAGATTGCGCGGTAGACTGGTCAGCAATAGCTAGCGAACACGTCAAAGCGTTATAATTGCGGAGTATCGAAAGTGTCCAACTGAGCGCGAGGGATAAGTTCAGCCCTTCGTTTGCTGTGGTAGCATCTGGGTTGCCTTGCTGTTGCCTGCGGTGGTGTGTGCTGAGGCTGGATAGGGGTTCGTTCCGAATACGCACCTCTCTGTAGGAAGCATCTTCCTCTCCGAAACATCTAATCCAAAAGTCGTCCATCGGGGACCGTCCGAGGTGACGCGACCCTATAGGTTGTATGTCCTGGTATTGAGTCCTCCGTGCAAGTCTGATGCCGTTGTCGAGTCTCACTCAGGCTTCCTGTACTACCAATAGAGGTGAGTTGGGATGGTGACACTGAACCCATGCGCGTGCTCCGAATCATCCGTTCTAGAATGCGTACACAAGCTGGGAAATCCAGCCCTGGGATAGATCCGAGACGCAATACTGCTCATGTGTGCCTCTGTCTCACTGGTTCATTGAGCAACCTATTCTGGTGTCATTACTCCGTTCGCTTACGCTGGTCATGACATGGCAAGGGTGAAACGGAGAGCTCCAAGGGGTTTAACGCTCTCGAAGAAACCTTTCTAAGATGTTTGACGGTATGATTGACCATGAGTATGAGCTGATGCTGATCAAGCCTGCAGTGAGCCGCAATCCAAGATCAGCTGTCCAGCTATCAGTTGCGTACATGTCTCGAAACTTGGTCTGTAATGGGAAGACGCAAATGTTACCTCGACATTGATAACGGTGCCAGTCTCTTCGAAACCAAATGAACCACCCAAAGCATGGATAAACAATGGCTATTCTAACCACTGTGAAAAGATGTGAGCTCCGGGATGAAAGCACTGTACACGATGCAAACTGGTCCATGAGTCTTTCTCCACAGGGTGGGTGATCGAATCTAACGCCCTGTTTTTCTCTCTGTAGGTCTTTCATCCACTCCTTGCAACACTATAGTTTGTCGATCCCAATACATCCAGATCCAGACACCCTTCAAGATTTGGAAATTCTCAATAACAAGTTATGTATGACGTGCATCAACCTATTTCAGGAGATTTTCGACAGGTAAAAACATGCCCCAAATTAATGGCAAGAACACGAAAACCAAATCCTTGATTTTGCCTGCGTATTACGCATTGCCTCGAGATCACCACCCGAATTAGAAGACAAATTCGACTTGTTACGAATCTAGCTTTGCTGAGCCACTTTGATACTCCAGTCGCCCTGAAGCAGATTTGGTGAGGCCCCACAGGAGTAGAACTATCATGCCCACAAGACCGTCATCGGCGTTGTTGTGCACGCGACACCCAGTGTACTCATCTTTGCTTCCTGGCCTCACAAGTGGTTTCCGACAAAACGAATTCGGTGCCCATCGATTTCAGGCGACCGCATTTTCCTTCTAATTTCGGGTGGCAAGTTGAGTTTCAGGTCCGAGCTGGGGGCGGTTGCCTTCGCACAGGACTTTTGTCGAGAGCTGAACCGTGTCTTACCCCCGACGGAGTCCGCCCGTGGAACATGATCACTCATACGATTCGACGGCAACTAGTGATCAAGATTGACCTACTGGAATGCAAGAATGGCATGAGATCCTGAGGAAACGGGAAAGATCAATGACTGGAGCAGCTGAAGTCAAGGTAGGTTTTCTGGGACTGGCACTAACTAGCACTCAAAACTTCTAAACGACGTCCTCTAAACATCAACATCTCAATTCGATGGCTCGTTCAGAGACAGTGTCTTTTTGTTCTTGTCTATTCTGAAAGAAAGGCGACCACTTTCCGAGCGCCAGTTGCCACCATGCTCTTGATCCTCCCACAGCTGGTAGAAATCGTATCAGACACATCACTTCAGCCTCTGTGCAAAAGGCAATCGAGATGAGCACAGCTTAACGCATGGTTGCATCACTGCCGCCGCCGGACGCAAAGGACGGGATTTCTGCCTCTGAGATACCTTGGTGGTTGTCTCATTCACATTAGCCCAGGAAAGGCGTTGATTTCTCGTCTACCTGTGCAAGTGTGAAGTCAGATTGCCATCATGCGGCTTTCATATTGCTCAAGGACGTTGCAGCGGACAATTTGTGTCTCCTGTGTGCTATCTCGAAGCCCCCTCCGCTGTATTGCTGCCCAAGATAATGCAGCCAATAGCTATGGGCAAAGTGGTGCATTTTCAGTGATTGGCCGTTCTGTCCGAAATATATCAAGGCGTGTCTCCTGGTTCGACAGTACGGTCTGCAACTCAGTGTTGAATCCGAATTTTCGAAAATTCGGGCTACAATGATGGACAATGCACTTTGCCCCGGATTGCATTACATAGCTGATATGGCCAAATGACGTCCGTGTTCACTCAGGTCAGCCGTCGGGGGAGATGCTTATCCCTGGTACGACACGATGCCATCACATCTTTTCAGCTTGGCAATCTTCGGTGCACAGACAATGTCTGAGACGACCTGAAAGCGCCGCTGACCCCTATACCGGTGCCAGGCTTCCGGTGGCATGCCTATTAGGGGGGCAGGCGCCTGGTCCAGCACCATCAAGGGAGAATACTTATGGCAGGTGATGTGACGGAATGGCACAGGATCTGTTGCTGTGGGTGCTGTAACAGTCACAAGCTCCATCTAAATAGGTCATCACAGATGCTTGGGAAGACCTCTTGCGTGTCATCATCAGGCTGAGAATTTTGGCCGTCACGGTGGCCACACGCAACCTCAATCAGGCCATGGCTTTATAAGGCTGGAGGGGGAATATTGCCTCTTGGCCAGGCACATGACCAACGCTACCCAAGCGGCTGAAGCATACCTGTATCGGCTAATGGAGCCATCAGAGGATAAGGGACTGGAACATATAAAATAGAACAGTCTAAATAGCCCTGGACATTATTGAGTGCATCAGTGTTGTGGCAGGATTTTCTATAAAAATTGGCAGTTCCCATCCTAACTTCGAGAGTGGCCACCAACTCTTCTTTCCTACTCAGCGTCTCATGTTGATCAGATGAAGGTCGGTAATCAGCCATGTATCCGTACGATTAAGACCGACGCGGAGGCGCCCTGTTGGTGGCACTGGCAGGCAACGATGGCTGGGCGATATTTTGAAGTGGAGGCGCTAGGGTGCCATGCAGTTCAATGCATGATGAGGCTCTGCCTGCTGTGGGCCGCGAACCCTCGACAGGTTCGCATCTAACCACTTTCGGCTAGTGTCGACTAGCGTGTTTGCCTGCTAGCCCCGCTTCGGCTTTGAGGTTGAATAGACTCCTAGGTGGTTCGCAGGCTTTTGGGGGACCTTGAGATTGCCTGTGTCTAATTGTTGTCAAGAAAGGGAGGTGGGTAGGGAATAAAGGCAGGATGCATGCCAGAAGGGACAGCCTTTGTAGAGTTCCAATGTCTTTTCCTCATTTCCAGCAGCCCCGTGTGCAAGAAGACCTGTCCCGACTGAGTCAGCAAGAGCAAGTGCAGCGACGCGCTCTTTAAAACATTTGTCGTCAAAATTTGATTTGGAAAGCATTCCCCGTACTCAGTCGGGCAGGTCTAGGTGCTCAGAAACCGTACTTTCCAGTATGTCCAAAAATTTCCTCAAAATCTTCCGTTTTCCACAGCCAGTGCCCATGGTGCCAAAAAGCACTCAAAAGTCCACATCAGCACATGCAAGGTTACGGTTGGGCTGTGCTGGGTGGTATCAACTGTTCTGCGCAGCAAAATGCCCGGTTCACACCACTTACCGAAACCCGGAAGCGGAATAACTCGGGCGGCCAGGGCGATCCCGCTAGACCCGGATAGGCTAGCGTCAATGAGTCCTTATTCATCGTGCTCGCCTCACCGACAATATCTGCTTTGGATGTGCCTCTAATTCGTTTTTCTGAGTAGAATCCGTCATGGCCTCATTCAAGCAACAAAATGAAGGCTCTTACTTTGGCCATGTTTCGGCAGAATCAAAGAAATGGTTCTTTGGCAAGCGGAAAAACAGCCCTCCAAAGCCTGAAGGTTCACCTGATCCTGGTGGCCCACTGACGGCGGATGATTCTTATTCAAATATCAAGGCTGAGCCTGGTTTTGAGGGTCAATTGAGCCAAAATTCCAGGTTTGATGCTTTCATTCTGATTGGGCCAACTCTTTCTAAAAATAATTCTCAGGCACTCCTTGGGACACATTCCACTACAGCCAAGTTCCAAGCAAGAAACCACCGAGTTTTTCAACAATTTGACGCTTGAAGACCAAAACAAGGCGCGCCACAGCCAGTCGTCGGATCCGCTACGTCCTACTACGAAACGGCCTCATCACGATGCAGAGCAGTTCTACCCGAGTAAGATTCGGACGACTCAGGATCCGAATGGCCACGGCTCGGCATCACCTTTCTCCTCTCGTCACAATCATGATCACTCAGAGTCAATCCGGACTGGTTCCCCCTCCGGATTTCGTTCAGCACAAAGAACGCCCCAGTCATCACCGAAACTAAACTCTTCGCACCCAGCCAATGTTCAAAGACAACAAGTACGTCATCCACCGCCACCGCCATCAAATCAGTTGAACTTTGCGGCTCTGCAAGATGCCGAAAGAAGATCACAAAGTCACATGACTTCAGCTCCACCCACCTATGACATACCTCCTGATCAAGAGGTTCGTATGCTTCGTCAGCCTGAGACAAGGCCAATCAGTCAAGAGCAACTTGTAAATGAAGTTAAAGGGATCTATGCTGGGTTGGTCATGGTGGAGAAGAAGTGTGTTGAGATATGTGCCTCTCAATCTCAGACGACGAATAAACTGTCCAATGAGCAGTGGCAGGCCCTCATTGCGTTGCATAGGACGTTACTGCATGAACACCATGACTTCTTCCTTGCATCCCAGCATCCCACTGCATCACCAGCACTACGGCGTCTGCCGACCAAGTATGCGATGCCGGCTCGAATGTGGCGTCATGGGATACACTCTTTCCTAGAACTACTTCGTCATCGTCTTCCTTATTCATTGGAGCACATGCTTAGCTTCGTCTACCTTGCCTACCAAATGATGGGTCTTTTGATGGAGTCTGTACCTGCTTTCTATGAAACATGGATTGAATGCCTTGGTGATCTAGCACGGTATCGCATGGCAATTGAAGAGGCTGATATGCGGGATCGCGAGAATTGGTCCAATGTTGCTCGTATGTGGTACAATCGTGCTGCTGACCGTTCTCCAAACACAGGTCGTATCCAACATCACCTTGCTGTCCTTGCGCGACCAAACATTGTCCGACAATTGTTTTACTACTCGAAAGCATTGATCAGCGTCAATCCCTTCATCAATGCTCGAGATTCAATCATGCTTCTGTTCAGTCCATTGCTCGACTCGGACACAAACAATCAAAAATATAACAAGGCAGAGAGATCACTCGTCACTGCAGCAGGTATCATGTTTACCAGGAAATCCATTCATACCTACGCCGTCAATATCTCCGAATACATTTCGGATTTGGACAGTCAAATTACCAGGTCAGGATCCAATTTCAAGGTCATGGGAGCAGAGATTGCGTCGTCTTTGATCGCACTCATGTATGACTTTGGCCACGATGAGAACTATCTGTGGAAATCCTTCCGTACCAACAACAACAAGATCAAAGGAATCCAAGATGACAAGCCCCCGGCATTGCTTTCTGAACCTGCTCCACTTGAGGACCCCATACTGAAGGAAAACATCCATGCCAAATTCTGGCGGAATGGCCCCATTAATCCCGAGGAGTTCCGACAGGTCCAACACCATGGCGGGGATAAACTTGAGGCAAACTTTGACTCTTCTGATGAGGTTACCGCGTACATTCTTCCTATTTGGTTTGCATCGATTTCTATTGTGGCGCAAAAAGTTGGGGATCGCAACATTCTTCCGTTCATGCATATTACGTTGGCATTCATCTGGAGTTCATCATACGTGCCAGGAGCCTTGATCTATCTAGAGACTTACGTTCCGTGGGCTAAGTTGGTCCTAGCATTAAATACGTTAAGCCGATCTGGGGTATCTGATAACCGGATAGAGGCTAAGGAATTTCCTCAACAGCAAAGTGGAACTGGACGACAGCTCCCTGAAGATTTCCTCATACGTGGACTTGTCTGGTCTTCATATTACTTCCCTGGAGACTTCTTCGACGGTCAAGTAGTAGACGAAGACGAGCGCACTCTTGAAATGCCTAGCCATGCTGCACCTCGGGCCGAGCGATGCTTGTGGCTAGGTCACAAGTTGGCATCGGTAAGCTTGATATCCCAGGAAGTCAGTCACTATACCCCCCCGCTAATCTTGGATCTTCTTAGTTGAATCGTTATATTACATACGATGACAAGACGAAGTTGTTCGCCGCAACAGACCTAGCTTCGTCCCTGGCTGCTCTAGCATCCACTCATACGTTACACAATACGGAATCTCAAATGACCGAAACTCAATGAACAAACTTGCTCGCACCAACGGTGGAACGGAATTCCAAAAATACCAAACAATCCTGGCACGAACTTGGTGTAGCTTCTCGATACTTGCCACGTGCTTTTCTATGATCGGATATTGTGGGTGTTTCTGACATCTATCAACACTCAAGTCGATCTACACTGCTTGAGCATTGATGCTCTCTATACGTTACGACATCACTTAGCTGTTGTCAAGAAAACATGATATTGCCATGACCAAGGTTGATGGATATAACACCCATTCTCAGTGTAATTCCATCAAGAAACCAAGGACCACAATGTCATTCACTACGTTATGTCTTGTCTGCTGCACGGTAGGGTATGGGTGGGGTGGTGAGGGAAACGCAGACAGGACGCTCTTCGTGTTTATAATATTTCTGTAACAAGGTATATAGCATGATTGACGACGACCATGATCTCTCAAACTCCAAAAAGACCACCTCCGAGCCCAAGCCTCTCCTACGAAACAGACTGTTCTAAGTGCACAAGAAGAACGAATCCTCACAGCACAGCAGGCCAGCCTGCACGGCGGAGCCTCTCTGGAAAGGGAAAGGGAAGTCGAAGCGGATCTGACTGACTGGCTGTGCTGAATGAATGTGTATCAAACAAACCGATGAACCTCCCCTGTACTGGACCACGACACCATTCATTCCAAAGATAGACTCTATCTATCTGTACTTTGCACAGGGCAGGATGCGAATGAATGCATACCAAAACGCATCAGGACCAGCGGGTCCTCTCATCCCTACGCTGTGCTGTGTCTCGGCCGCAAAAGCAAGAATAAAGACATGCCCCCCCGTTCCAATAATACCATGTGTGTTCGTTCTCATTTTCCACAAATGCTTCAAAGTGAGAGGTGAGGGGCATACCTTCCCCGTCCAACAAACCACGCCACGCCATATCTCTCCTCTCCCCACTTCCTCAAAATCCACGGGTCACCCACCGCAGCCAGCGAGAACGCACGCGGAAAGCATATAGAAACAAAAAAGTGAGAAACTCGAGGTTGCCAGCCATAAGGGGGGAGGGGATCGAAAAAGGCGATCAGATCAGATCAGGCTGAGTGCCCCTCACTCGCCGCGCGAGCTGAGGGAAAAACAGCAGCCAATGAGCATACCCCGCGGTCGGCGGGCGGGACAGTTTGTCACAGAACTGCGCGCATATTTGAGCACGAGGGATTGGTTTATTTGCACGGAAAGTGGGAATATTCGGGGGGCCGGCCTTGGGAACTTGTCATCCATCAATTAACTACCTACCTAAATTGCTTGTCCAGCTGATGTTTCCGGGACTTTATGTTCTCAAGGGTCGATCTTCTTCTTCGACGACGTCTTTTGCGAGATTTTCTTTTGGGATTTTTTCCCCTCCTCAAATCTCGTTTATGAGTTTGGTGAGTATTTGCCTAACTAGTGTTCTATGGATTTGGGAAAGTGTACATGCGCTAAGCTAACTGCGTCTACGTTTTCGAAACAGCATTTCTGCGCAAGCCAACCTTGAATAATGTCCACCAGTACTCCAACATGATATAGTTCAAACAGGGAAGCTGGGTCGTCATCGAGGCCGGAGCAGGCGGACCAGTAGGCTCTTGACGCAACGATGCATCATCGACAATACTTTGCGACGTCGTTTGTGTTCCTCGAGATTCTCGTTCGTGGTAGATCGCACCCCCAAATCGCCGATTGGACCTTCTTAGATGCGAGGTAAGCAGAGTGATAACATTTCAATGAGGTGCATCTTGTGCACGTCTCGTTGGTGTCTGGGAAGGCCACCTGAGTAGGTGAATCCAGGGTTCGACTTGCAGCCAGCCCTTTGACACCTGTAAGGACGTTCGTGTCGATCCATGTGGTTGTTCCACTCACAAACTCCTAGATTGAAACATAAAACGAGACCGCTGTTCATAAAGTCGTGAAGAAACGCCGGTGCAGTGATCAGTGCGGCAGATTTGGTCCAAAGTGGGAATTCAGGTAAGCAATCTCCCTCATCGTTGAGCAAATCGTGAGTTTTTGGCCCATTCGATCGTCCTCAGCACAGCAAGCGGACTTTGCGTGGCCGTAATGGCAGCCATAAACTTGTCCAGGTCAAGTTCCAGTAGATCCAGTTGTTCACAGATGAAAGTTTCCCTGGAGGTTCGCCGCCGCTTGCTCGGCGGCTCCTCCTGATGATTTACAAGACCACCCTGCACCAGCTCTGAGGCCAGATCGCCAAACGGTGACTGGCTCAGCATCAAGCTGATGTCTATGGTCTCTTTGGAAGCAAGGTATGTTGATAACATAGACCCTTCTGGGACTGTGAGCAGAGTGAAAGCCGTCAATGGAATATGACGCTTTCTGAATGCTGGTCAGTACATGTAGTAAGTCCAAGAAGACAGGAGAATGAGAAGGGATCACACCGATTCTCATTCATGATGGCATGTGTTGGCTTCTGAGTGCGGGTGGTCTTGGTGCTCATGCTGACCCTAGTGCGGCGAGCGTCTAGGGCGAATTTGATGGTGTATGTACACTCTAACCGTAAACACTTGATGGTCTGAGCAGGAAAGCTTGCCAGATCGATGAAAATCGATGGTGGGCATCAATTAGCAATATATAGACGATGAAGAGTGATGCTATGGGAAGGGAGGGGAAGAAGAGAAGAAGGGGGGATCGAAAATACCCTGAAGGTCAGGCAGATTGGTCGGGAAACTGTGCAGATGACGCTAGTGCTCGGGGCAGGATCTTTATTGGCCAGGGTCCTGCGCTCTAAAGACGTTGTCGAATCTGATTTGTGAGGAATGATGAGGGGCTAACCGCTTATAGTTAGGCGCCAGCTTTTCCTGACCTCGAGCGCAATTTGATCCATGGACTCGACCTCACCTCGCCATGCACATTGCTGGTGAATGAAATATATCCCGATGATACTTGCACACAGTGTGTCTCTTCCCAGAAGCCCACAGGTCATTGGGACAGTTCTCGTGGTGTTTCGTAGGCAAACCGGTTGTCCATTCGATGCCAAGAGTTTCCAGGATGCGCAGACTACCCGAAACGGATGCCGGTGCAGAAGCCAGGGTCTCCCTCAGACTAGGAACACTGTATGCCGTGATGCCACATTAGCCAACCATCAAGCTTTCTTGGATGGGTTGGAGTCTCTGGTCATGGTTGTTCGTTCTTGTCGTCGATATAGTGATTGTCGATGATCATCAACTGCTCGGGTGGCCTGGATGTTCAAGGGATGAAAAGTACGTGTGCGGTGCGGGCTGTCGTGATGCCTGAAAGATGACTGAGATGTGATAATCCAGAATCGAAGTCGAAGTTGGTGTTGTCACTCGCATAGACTCTGTACAGGACTGTTATGGCAATGTGCTTCGCAATTATCATCCGGTTCGCAGGAGCCTCTTTGATCTGGAGGAGGCGCGTGCCGATCGTGTGCTCCAAGCTCGCATCCCTGATGATCACCATGCAGTGACTGAGGTCCGCAATGTGGGGTTTGATCAAAGGAAAAGAGCAGGTAGGAAAGTGCATGGCAGGATAGAGGCTCATCATCACGTGTCTCAGCCCACGAAACAGTCATGAGTTTCTAGACTGATGCCAATGTCAAACTGCAACAAAGAGCTGTAGCAGGTGCCGAACATATGAGTCCAATGGCAGGCTCGCGTATAACCGTGCCGACAAACCAATAGTGAATCGGTTGTGTGATCACTCAACCATCGATGGCTCAGGGGAGCGAAGGACTGGTGGATCACGTGATTCGGTGGCCTAAGAAGTCCAGCCGACCAGACATTCCACGTAGATCTCGCTCAAGAGTCGATAAACAACAGGAATAAAAATTGAACTTACAGGTCGATGGAGAATAGAGCTCGGAGATCTTCTGAAGCCACCGCTGTTGACCATAGCATCTCTTCACGACGTGAAGAGTGGCATACCCGACCACCAACATTGGTGGCTCGTGAGATGGCTCGTGTGATCGCTCTACTACACAGCGATAGCTGATTTTTACCCATGAATTCAAGCGACCGCATATATCTTATGCTGATTTGGTGTGTTGCAACGCCTTTAGAAGTGAAAAATGCCAGAAGTGGGCAGTTGATTCTATGGTTGATTGTTGATGGCCGACTGCATTCCAGTGTCGCGAGACGATGTCCAAAATCAAAGAAAAGAGCATATCTCATTTTGACATAACTTTCGATGGTGATTGATTTGTATAGGTGATCATGAAAAGAAGGTGTCGTTGAAATTGTGCTCTCTGTCGCCTATCATGGATGACACGATGTTGAAATGAAGTTGAGGAAAGGGCAATGAACCTGGGCTGGGGCCGTCCACAGGAACCCCAGGCGCACTTAGTTGCACTTGGTTGCACTTGCTGCATTGGGTTCTAGCCTAAGGAGCCGCCCGAGGCGCCCGAGGGGAGCCCCGAAACGCCCCCACCAACCCACGTGGTGCGGTTCATCGGGGTGTCCTTTTGCGTGCTCGTACCGACTATGTTGGTAGCTGAAGAGCATTCAAAAGCAAACACTTCCCGTGGGCTCTGCTTCCGCATTGACAGAAAAACTTGACCCAATTGTCTGACATCCCCTCGACTTTTTTCTACGAGCGCGCTTTCTTCTGAAAATTTGAATTGATGCAGACCACTCGCAGCTGGGCTGTCAAGACGACCAGCAGAACATTCCCTCACTATTCTTTGCCACAACTTCAACATCGTATTGGTACCAGCCACACTTTCCCTCCCCTTGCTTGATTTCCAAGGTGTCTATGTTCGAGACAATCAACCAGGGATATGGCTATGCTGCAAGATTTGATCGACAGCGAAATCAGGGCTCTGAACTCTCTAGTTTCAGAAGATTTCTCATTCTTCAACACTGAGTGGTAGAAATGAGGCTGGCTGATGAGGCGAAGCAATTATCGCCTCTCCAATTCGCCACTTGCACTCTGAGGAAACGGTTCAGCTCACACTTTTCCATGCCATAGCCAACTTCCACCTCATTCCAGTATGCATGAGGGTACACGTTATCTCTGGGATAAACACGTTCGCTGGCAAGCAAAGGATCTTAGGCAATATCAGTACTCTCTGCAATGGACCCCTTCGGCCAGTCCGCTGCAGATCGGCGACACTCTCTTGCAGTTGATCCCAGATGCTGTAGGATCCTTGAGGTCCGGTCAGCTGACAGGCCCAACCAATTAATGCTTCTCCTACACCTGTCTTCAAGGGCTACGATGATTGCTTATTGTCCTCTTCCGAACATAACCTGTCATAGCGCAAATTGGTGCGTATTGACTGACTGGATTGCCACGAGTGACTCACCATATTGGCTGGTGCTACTGGACTTTTTGTTCCTGGGAGCACCCAAGCCACTCCAGTACAAGGTGGCAAGACAATCACGTCAGCAAATCCCGTTCTCCATGGACGGTACCATTCAAGTGCACTTCGTAGCCAGTACGAGGTCTAGCTTGCAAGTTGCCTTGCAGGCTCCAGGTGGCTGTCAGCCTGTCCTCCCTTCATAAGCGGAGGGTTTCAACAGGGAATGATGATTGAAAATAGCCAGTGATCTGGCTTCTACCCAAGAGTGCCCAAGACCTCGACCCATCTACGCACCTTGCAATCCCCTGATGGACTTACAAGAGGCATCCGCCCTTCCTTCGTGGCTTCCAATCACAGTCATCATCAACGTTGGTCGATGCCACTTCGTATCATATCTCCTGCTGGGTACCCAGGACGACAATGATGCACGAGTTTGCCTTGCACTAAGGATGAGTGGTGTCCACTCTTTTCTTCTAAAAGAGGAGATCACTAGTCAAGATATTTGATTGAGAAGGCGTCTTTTGCTTCACTTTCAGCCATATTGTCCAGTATTATTGGGGCAAATCCTTTCTCAAGCCGGAAGGCATCCTCCTACTACGTACCTACAGGTTACGGAGCGAGGAATTAGCACGAAGGAGATTGAGTCCGCCCATTTTGCTCCATCCGTTGGGCAAGCATGGTGGGCCTACTTGTTGGGAGGGTGCCTAATGAAGACTACCCCCGGGTGGAAGCCCCTCGGCCCCGGAGGTTTCAGGCCTGTCGTGTGCTCAAGAGTGATGCTTCCCTGCCTCGCGGCCTCTAACGCTATCAGGGGAATTTACACAGACCAGTTGTGAAAGGGCTTCAATTAGATGCAAAACTCAGTTGCCTAGTCGTTTCCACAACGTCAAGCAATGTACGTCTTACGCAACAACCTTCAATTGACGCCCGACTCGACTTCCTCGCCCGGTGTTTTGAGTTTTCGACAATTCCAAAAGTTCCAGTCTTGGGACACCGAGCTGCAAGGCGCAGTATTTGCAGCATGTACTTGATATTGCCTGAGACTCTCGAACCGGCCTCTGCTTGCATGAGGATTGCCGTCAAGACTGCCTGATCATCGAACTAGAACCACACATCTGCCTTTTCGCCTCCTGCGAGATCCTCTGCTACCACAGGGGAGGTTAACTACTAGCTTGGTCGACCTCCTTGGCTCACATCTAGGCTGCAGCGACGGCGGTGAGCCTTCTCAGATTGTCACATTCAGCTCCTGTTCACCGCCAGGTGTGGACGGGAATTGGCGCAGCGACTACGGACAATAGCCTCCAGAGCAACTGCTCTATCCACCCACGAATCCAACGCGGCTGAATCTATCCTCAAACGACACCGCAACAAATGACTCATGTCACACTATCAACGTTATATCAGACCATGGTGTCAAGATGCATATCACATTCATGAATCAGGCTGAGACCTGCAGGAAATCGGAGGCTAGCGAGTTCCCCTAAATCTGCGAGCCTCGTCTGATGTCTGACGCTACAGCCTGATGAGAAAAACTCAGGATGTTCGATGGCAAAAGTTATTTGGTGTTGAGTGACATCGTCGTCGCCGTTCGGATTGGAAGCTTCACATCATGCCACCGCACCAAATCTGTAATTCACGCCCGAAACAGCCCCGAACCACCAACGAATTCATCTGAAACGTTTCAAGTGAAATCTCAGCCCCTTCGACTGGATCAACTGTCGGCCATTCCAAATCCCAACTGATCATTCCCATGATCAGTAGACGGTAAATTGAAATTCTCCTCCAAAGAAGAAGAATGAGTTACCGAGGACTGCCCCTCCAAAAGAACCCCCGAGTCGGTGATCTCGGTCGGCAGGATTCGGTGCCCGAATGCCTAAACTTCAGGTGTCTTCCGAGGCAGCAAGTGCCGAAATCGACCCCCGAAAATCACTTCGCCTCTACTCGCAAGTGCCAGGTAGGTAGGTAAGCACGAGGTCAGTCAGTGAGAAAGAGGTCCTTAAAGTCACCTCACCTAATTTCTCGCTAACGCGTCTGGCCGCTCCTGAACTGTTCCCTCATATTCGATGATTGACCCCCCGACGAATGAATTGCGAACACGTGCACAGCTAAAGTACGTTCTGTTGGGAGCAGAGCCATGCCATCAACGAATAGTAGGCAGACAGTAGTCATCGTAATACTGTATGTTGTTCCATTCATGATGGACATCTCACTAAATACTTGGATGTGTAACATTTACTGAACTAAACGGGTTCCCGCACAAGACAAATACTCCACAACTTTCGTTTTCCTGATGTCCTGATAAAAGTAGATACGACTCCTGCTTTCATGACAAGGTAGCTCTACATGACTATTCTATGCAACCTAGCTTGCGCTTTGCTGTGGATTCATGATCGCAGTGCTGCAGGAACATACGTATTTCTCTGACATGCCCGAGGAATGATGCTCTTGGCCCTCTCTCTCTTCCGTGGTTGAAATATACTTCATACGAGACATTCCTGCTACTTGTGAACAACAGGCTTGGATTATCTTGGCCAGTAGCATTGTCTCGGGTGGCTATACATCCTTTCGGAGGGGAAGTCATCGTTGAGCCTCCCCTTAAAACATCGACCTAGGACTCCTCGTCACCCCTTTACTGCTTCTTCTTGATCTTAGAGGCCGGTTTCCCATCACCACTCACAGCAGGTCTCAGTTTCCATAGCACCCACAGAAAACCCAGTAGAATAGTCGTGATTGTGATATTCTCGATTGTCTTGGATGACGCTGCATCTGTGTCTAGCACAGGGATGTTGATCCTCTCGACGAGTTTCCCAGTCATATTGTTCGGCGATGGGTCCAGGTGGTAGAACATCGTGCGTGGGCCGAAGAGACCTTCGAAGCCAAGCTGCGTGCGGTCAAAAGGATTGACGGGGAATTTGGTGCCGTCTTCGGCGGTACAGGCCCAGAATACGATGGGCCAGGGAAGAGCGATCTCGGTAAGTCCACCGGGTTGCGGGCCCCGATAGCGCAAGTGTAATGGGATTGTGATGTCCCAGGAGAAAGAGGATATGGAGTGCTGGGAGATTGTATTGCTGGCCCTGTCAGTTGCGAGCTGGGCTTCGTATGGGGGTTGGATGTCAAGGAGCAGTGTTGAGCCCCATTTCTTTACAACGTAGTCGGGTGCTTCAAGGTCGGTCTCACCCGCCACTGAGTGTAGTTGACCGACGTGGTGGGAGTTCTGAAACAGAGGGTCATTGCTGAGGAAGGCGTACTTGTCGGCGAATATGTGTGACGGTAGTGTCAGGTATGTTTGCAAAGCGCAGGTACTTCCTGGTGGCTTTCTGCTTGGCTCTACCAGTGAGCCAGAAGAAGGAAACGAGATCCTCAGAATAGGATGTAAGCCCGTAGGTGAGTCAAATGAGACTTGATATCGCTGCTGCCTTGACTCTTCTTGACTGAGAGCATGATGACGAGATGGAAAGCTGAACATGGTCGCTTTCGGCCTGTCATCTTCTCCAACCACAGTCAAGAAGCCTGATAGAGACAGCTCTGAAGGATCTTGTGCAGGATCAGGGCTAAGGATACCGATTTCAACCTTGTCGGCAGCCTTTGGTTGGATGTCAATGTTCCATGCATCGAGGGTTGTGAATTCCCCGATGGGATCGTAGAAGATCTCGGGTTGCTTTGACCAGAAGACTGTGAATGTCAAGGCATGCGAGATACTGTCATAGTCCAGGTCAACAGAGTCGGCGATGTTGATGAGTGATGCCGTATGTAGGCAGCTAAGGTCTGATGGAGAGCATACATTGCGTTGAAGGTATGCAACCAGGCCTTGTATCGAGGGGAGTAAAGAGTAATATTGATGAGACGCTGTTTGTGCGAAACGCTCCGAGACCAACGGCGGGCTAATGAAAGTTGTCTGAGAAGACTCGCAGCGTAAGGTCTGTCCAAACACTTTGTGCACAAGGCTGCATAGCCGGTCATGCTGACCCTCCTTCAGAGGCGAATAGAATATATGCAGGCCTGGAGAAATCCTTGAGAGGAATGGTGTTATTGTAGTGAACAGATGTTCTGGAGCCCATCGAACATGAAGCTCATGAGATTCTTGCAGAACATCGGCCACCTCCTTGGGTAAGTCATTCAATCCCAGAGTTATTCTCTCCTCTCGAGCTGCCTTGATGGCCCCAAGGAGAAAGTGGTTCCCATCAACCTGTATATCTTTCGGGTTGACTGCCCGACTGGGATCTGTGATATATGTAGTCCGCCTTCTCATGACAGCGGCAGGATAAACAATAATCCTCTGGTAGTGTGGAAAGTCAGGTGGTTTGTTTGATCACGAGGCTTTTGGTGAATGTGGTTGAAATTGGCGGCAGGAACATCCTGCGTACCGAGTACCGTGTCGCTCTTGCCTTTATCGATAAGGGAAAGTTCCGTCCCCAACTGACGTCGCTCATATATATTGCTTTTTTGACATGTGTCCTTACTCACGTTCAAACTTTTCCTTCGTTTCACATCACTCCGCCCTTTATCGACATGCAAGAATCTTGACCTCGACGCGCCCCGCTTGCACTGTCCAACATGGCTCCCGAGCTCCCTCTGTCCCGGGTCAAATTGACCTATCCATTGAATGCGGCCGACTTTGACCCCTCCAACCAAGACTTTCTTCTTGTTGGTGGAGGAGGAGGATCCTCTTCGACCGGGGTTCCCAATAAGATCTCTCTAATCGATACATCTCCCCGAGAGCAGCTAAGAGAAATCGTTGATGTCGAATTAGCAAAGAATGAAGATTCTGTCACCACTTTGGCCGTCGCGACATCCTCCAACTCGGCTTTGACTGCTTTCGCAGGAATCAACAGTTCAGCCGCTGATCAAGCAGCTGGAAAGAACGAGCACTTGCGATCATTTCGTATCGGTCTACCCGCAAGAAAGAGAAAGGCAGATGGAACTACTGTCGAGGTCCAAGAAAAGACTCCCGCAGCTGGGAGCGGCACTTATGCCCTTGGTCGCAAAGCAGTCTTTACATCTGCCAAGGGAAGCAAAAATGACACATATCAGAGAGTCCTGCGGTTTTCTCCATATCGGAAAGGGTCTCCTGATCAGCGACTCGCGGCCATAGCCTCTGGATTGGCCCCAGAAAACGAGATCGTTGTTTTCCGACCTGTATCGAGTCCAGGTCCGAAGGATGAGATATCTCGCATCAGATTGGGTAAGCGTGAAGCTGCGGACCTCGATCTCACAAGCAGTAAGGCGTCGCCTGAAGACTACCTACTGGCGTATTGTACCGATGACGAGCTCTTCATTCAGCAATTACCTAGCAAGCTACCGTCCAAGGTGGCTGCACCACGCCTTCTCTACCAGACGATGGAATCTACCACCAGTCTACCTTCAAACAAGAGACCCAAATTTCGAGCTCTACGCTTTCTGACGCCCCATCATCTTCTCCTAGTCCAGAATGCGCCCAATAGGACAGGGGTCTTCCTCCTGATTCTCAAAATTAACAAGGACTATTCGCAAGCTCAGATCACTATTCGCAAGAGGCTCAGCAAATCCATCAAAGCAGCTGTGGGTCTGGACGTCTGCACCCTTACAGAGTCTGAACAAGGCGAGAAACAGTTCGTCATAGCTGTCGCAAGTCAGAGTAGTTTCATCGAACTTCTGACGATCGATTACTCTTCAGATTATGGTCTGGCGGCCTTTCGTCCTTACACCGTGCTCGAAGAAGTCCACAACGGTCCCTTGACAAGACTGGTACTCTCCAATTACAATGGTCCTTCATCACCCGTGGCCAAAGATGCTGGGCCACAATCCATTCGCCTGGCTTCGGTCGGAGTGGATCAATTTGTCACTGTACACTATCTTCCACTCCGTCCACTACCTGCAACAAAGAACAAAACTCCGCGATATGTCCTTATGCTACCTAGCAGATTTGATTCCATTCAAACCATATTCAGTGCCGTAGTTGCACTCATGAGTGTCGCAATTGTCGCACTACTCTTGCAGGCATTCTGCGAAATTCGGGGTGCTAGTCCACCCATACTTGGTGCGACAGACTGGCTGTCTCCTAGGGTTCAAAGTTATATCGCACGTCCATATTATTTTGCGGAAAGTATCCCACACGCACAAACACAGGTTTCTCTTGCAGCGGAAAGCGTGACCCAGAAGTTGAAGGACGTCCAAACACAAATTCCGGGTGTCGACGATGTCAAAACCACCGTCGAAGACGTCATCTCCGATGTGAATCAGAAGTTAGCGGACCTGGTGGAAACCAACTCGGAATTGGAAACCCCCAAGGCCATCGTCGTTCGAGACGCGGGTGTTGGTGAGATCTCGACCGAGTTGCACCACGATGCAGAGTTGATCAAGGAGGAAGCACTGAAGAAGTGGGAGGAGCTCAGTGATTCGCAAAAGAAAGGATGGAAGAGAAAACTCAAGGATGCAGGTCACTGGGCTGAAGGCCAAGGTGAGAGTATCCTCAAAGGCATTTTGTTCTCTGAGTTGGCTGGTGCTGTCGGTGAATTTGTGCGAGGTGCGTAGGAGCGATTGAAACTACCCGTTTGAATTGACTTCGGTTGAAATCTACGATCTTGTATAGTGCTGCATGCACAATTGTTATCCGCCTTCTGTCAATGTTGATACTCCATCTACACCAAGAACGTTCCGCTGTTTGAGTTGACGACTATTCCAGTGGCGTTTGCATCTCTCAAGCAATAAAGATACGCTTCAGCCAGATCTTCAGCTTGCCCAACTTGTCCTGTGGGATTTTTCTCCTCCAGGTCCTTGAAGAAAGCCTCTCGTACCTCATCCCCCATTCCCTGCCACAAGTCTGTCGCAATCACTCCTGGGGCAACTGTATTGACACGGATCGGAGCCAAGTCGAAAGCTAGCTGTCTCGCCAACCCGTTGATTCCAGCACCAATGAGTGCTAACATCGACCAGCCGCCAGCAATAGGTTTCTCCGAGATAGAGCCTCCAGTCAGGACAATGGACGAGTTTCGGTCTTTCTTCATGTATTTCGTGCCAACTTTCACGACGAGAATTGCTGCAATGGTTCGCACTTGATTGCACTTCTGCCACCCCTTCAGAGTGATCTCCTCCAGAGGCACTGTTGGCAGTCGATCGCCCGCCATGTACACAATATGGTCCACCTCACCCACTTTCTTAAACAGGTTTTCGATGTTCTCCTCGACATTAGGACTGGCTAGATCGCAACTGTGACCAGACACGCGGTCTCTGGCGTCAGGGTAGTCGTTGGTCAAGGAAGTGATGACTTGATTGACTTTGGTTTCTCGAGACGAGGAGAGGATCACACTGGCGCCAAACTCGATCAAGGCTTGTGCTACACTGATTCCGACACCGCCTGTGCCGCCGACGAGTAGGACGCGCTGTCCGGCAAGTTTGGAAGTGAAGCGTGCAAGAGACATGGTGGAATTATGGGCTTGGACTGTGAAGCAGTCCGATTGACAGAAGACTGATGCTGTTTTGTTTTAGATACTACTCTTACTTTTCGCGCTCGTTGCATCATGAACCAGGAAGGGGAGATGCCCTTTCGCTTTTATGTACTTGATCGTCACTCCTTCTTAAATCCATATCTCCGATACCTTTTGGCAAGCTCGAGTCGTTGCAATCTATCCAACTCCATTAAGTCCATTTGGAATCCAGTCTCCTGCACAGACTCCCTATGTTCTAAAGACATTACAATACCTTGGCTGGGATCCAGAGACAGTCTATTTAAAAGCCACCGATAGCCATGATAGCTCACTTTCTAACAGGGTTCTGACAAACAACAGCGATGATGCACTTTGCCCGACGCAACTTCCTGAATCGGTCGTGGCGTCCGGCGATCTTTAGCTAATGGGAAAGCTTAACCTAGCGACCCCGATTGATTACTTTCAACTTCCTTACCTTCCGACCACTTTACATCTAATCAATTCGGAACATCATTTCGGAGTTTACCTGCCTAATCATGCTTGGCCTTCACATCCCCCGTGGGATGGTTGAGCGTGGGCAGAGCATGGCTCCTTCGCCTTATGTCCGTTCTTGCTGCGAGGGAGTACCAAAGCTGGCTGCGATGCAGTGTTCAGTGGTTCAGTCATGCATCCAAGTTTCGAGTGTTACCCACAGATCCAAATGGCTTCACACGGAGGATGCGGACATCCCATTCGAACCTGAGGATTTGGAGACCACCAGCATTGAAAGCTGGAGTCCCGATGGAAAAGCGATGGATCTTCGAATCGCGACATCCATTTGCTGATTACCTGATTAGATTCAAGGTAGGTGAAGATCCTATTGAGTTCGTGCTACCACTTCTTATTTGTCTAGTAAAGCTGCCTTAAGTGCTTCCGGTGTACTGCTTTTTATGCCAAGCTGATAAATCGACGTCAAGTATTAATGATCATTAATGTTGACAAAATATGGAAAACCAGAATGCTATGAACCCACACTATCTATATAAAATGTATCGTCTCGATCATCTTAGATGGCCATATGCATAAAATTATCAGGTTTATTTCATTCAGCATTACACTTCTTGCAACTAGTATATCTACCCATTCAGCTACAAAACATTCTCATATCCACGGACAGTCGTCAGTATGTCAAAGCCACTTGTCTTGGTAACAGGTGCGACAGGGCATGTTGGCTTCGCCGTGCTGGCACTGCTCCTCAAAAGTGGCTATCAAGCACGGGTTGCCAGCCGAAAATTAGCAACTCTTGAGAAACTAAAGGAACTTCCCTCGATCAAGCCCTACGCTGACTCCGTGTCCTATATCGAGGTTGCCGACTTTGTGGCCGAGCATGCTTTCGATGAAGCAGTGAAAGGTGTCGACTATGTGATTCACCTTGCGTCACCAATCCCTGATCCATCCCAAGCTGGTGGGGCTGTCGATGTTCGGAAGGATTATATCGAACCAGCTGTGCAAGGTAACCTGGGTCTGCTCAGAGCTGCGGCAGCGTCACCTTCCATCAAACGCATTGTCATCACCTCTTCCGGGGTCATCTTAAACACCAGTCCAGTAGCACCTTCCTCCACAATTGGCCCAGATGAAGCTGCGCCAATCCTTGAAATATCCGAGTACGAGAACTCTGGCAACCCAGGCATTGCGTATGTCGAGTCAAAGAAACGAGCAATAGCAGCAGTCGATGAGTTCGTGGCTCAAAACAAGCCACACTACGAAATCGTTCACATCCTCCCGACATTGGTGATTGGGCGCAATGAAACGGTGTCAAGCGTCAAGGAACTTCGCGAGCGAGTCAGTTCCAACACCCCTCTGGTCAACTACGTCCTTGGCGCAAAGAGCGAACGCCCTGTCCCGGAAACCTGGGTGCTCCTAGACGATGTAGCAGCCGTTCACGTGAACGCACTGTCGGCCAAGAACGTGAGCAATGGCGAGCGATTCCTCGCCACATTTTTTGATGACGTCCAATTCAGCACACTTGATCCTGTTGTGAAGAAACTCTTCCCAAAAGAAGTTGAGAGTGGTTTGCTGCCCTTGGGAGGGTCTCAAGCTGGGTGGTATGCACCATTTGATGCATCCAAGACGACAGAGAAATTGGGTGTCAAATTCCATGGCGTGGAGGATATGGTGAACAGCCTCATCGGGCAATTGGTTGAACTGCAGCATGCGGAGGCGAAGAATTAAAGTCAAAGGCTGTCTCCCAGCTGATGAGAAGTCACATATGAGGACACATCCATAAGGGGACAGCGAGAAGGATAGAAAAATATAGAAATGCAAGTATTTTTCACTCTCAAGCCGCGCTCTGACAAGTAGAGATCTAAGAGGGCGAAATTTGCCAGGAGGCTGGCGATACGCGGCGTCCTCCTTTCCGGACTTCATGGACAAGTATGCGGTTGGCAAGTAGATGCGTGCCTATACTCTCTGCTTGCTACCCTGGACTCGCCTCAGTTGTGCACCTTCAACAATTCGAAGTGCGAAAGTAGATGATGCCACCACCTATCTTGCATTCTCTCGCTACCTCTATACATCTGTGAGAGAATTCAAAACGTGTTATCGGAACTTGTCTCCCTGAGAAAGGCAAGATACGATAGATAAAATATCTTCCGTGAAGTCACTGAACTCATGCATCATTCTTCATCAAATGTCTATTCTATGAACACTTCCGGTGCCCCTTTCCCCTACGAACGACCGCCTGCTCCTTTAATACGACTCATCAGCACTGATACCGTAAGTTCCCCCACCCGCAAACCACGCGGCATTGATGAGATCACAAAGATCCTTGGCCTCGACATCCGTCAGCGGCATATGATGGCCGCCCTCGAAATCCATGTGAAAACAAACATCACTCTCACACGCCTTCCTCAACACCTCACACCCAGGCTTAACATGATCACCCCGACCCCACGCATGCAGCGTCGGCACCTCCCTCAACAACTCATAGTCCTTCGGATCGACCTTATCCGCCAAGGCGATCGGCGGAAAAGGGCCACCGACCATGACCCCGAACGCAAACTTCCACTCGGAGCCCCCAAGGCGATCCCGCTCCTCGATCTTCTGCCGCAGTAACAATCCAGCAACCAGCCTGGCGCCCTGACTGAAGCCGATGACGCCCTTGAAACTCGCGACGCCGCCGTTGTCGTCCATGACCTTGCGGATGATGGCGTCGACGCGCGCGACCTCCTCGGGCGGCGTGGCTTCGACGTCGCTCTCGCCGGCGACGAAGCGGCGGTTGACCCAACGGTAGAAGGGGGCGCAGGACGCGAAGACGGGCAGCATGCCGAACCCGGGCGTGCCTTCGATCGGCGCCTGCGCGAACACGAACCGGAACTGCTTCGACAGGTTCCAGATCAGCCGCCGGCACTGGATCTTGAACACCGTCGCGTTCGACCCCCCGCCGTGCAGCATCAGGATCCCCGGCAGCAGTTGTCCCTGGTGGTCGTGTGTCGGTTGGCTGAAGTTCGACGGCGTTTGTGTCCGTGACACGGTCGCCCCTGTCGGGAGGTGTGTCGTCATGGTGGGATGTTGGAGGAGAGATGGGTCTGTCTATTTCTTGTTTTTTTTTTTTTGTTTTTTGGGCGTAGACTTGTTAAACCGCTGTAGTGGTCCTCCTCGTCTCTTCGCTTATTTAGCCACTGAGGATATGGAGATCCCACGATCAAGAAGATATGAAAGATCTCGGAAAAGTTGGCCTTCAGAGCTCCTTGTTGCGAAGTTCTCTGTAAGTGACGAATCTTCCTGAAGTGGTTGAAACCACCCTCTGTTTGAGGAAAATGCAGTGTAGAGGTAAATGACCTTGGACACCCTCAAGACTGTAACTTCTTCGTCTTCCCCACTACTGGCAAGGTGGGGGTTCGCCTTCTAATGTTCCTCAGGCTGTGCTTCTAGGCATACGCTTCCTCGTGGCGAGATTGTCAGAGGATAAATATCGGATGCCGGCATTCACATGCCTCGAGATACATAGATATCGAGATCTTGTGATTGTCAGCCCGCTGTTTGGGGGCGGGAATCCCGTTCCCTGAAGGAATCTTGCACGTGATCGTCATCAGGTTGGGCAACAGGCATTTCATAACTTCGAGGCATAATATGAGTCCGTGGGGGAGAAATGGCCAGATTCCCTTCTGATAGCGGTTATGTCTACTTATAGGTTGTTCAAGGGCCGATGAATGTAAGTTTCGCAGAAGTGCTGAGCACCACAACGGCGTTCTGTTGGAAAAGGTTGACGCTCTGAATTCGAGATTCTCTAATCAGTGAGACATGAATACCATCTAACTAAAGCCCCTAGGTACCGTGACGTGCTCCTGTCTACGTAGACACGCCCCTGTGGTCTAGGACATAGCTTGGAGAATATAGAATAGTCGAAGCAAGTTGGGCACGCGACTCAACTCCATCCTCCGTTTGGAGAGTGACACCAACTGGAGGTTAGTTATTAGGCTTGTGAAGATAGGGAAGAGAGACGAAAGACAAGGCCAGTCAACTATGAGGATTGCTTGACTTTCAAGCTGGCCATCAATGGCCAGTAATTCATATTGAGATACTTACCCGATTTCTGCAGGATCTTGTCTGATCCACCACCAGTATGACACTTTTCACGGTCTCTTCTCTTCCTCAATCCAGGGCAGATCGTTGTACTATGTGACGTGGCCGACATGTCCCTCATGACCAGAGTAGAACCTGGTTCGAACTCTCTGGGGGTTATGGAAAAGTGATGTTGAACAGGGCTAAATGATTTTTGACGCTATCATTTCCGAGCTCGCTTGCATCCTGAATCATCCGTTTCGCCATCAATCGTTATCATCGTTCCCACATTGACATGCATTTCTTTCTCTCATCCTCTCATCTCGGTGGCACTCAATCCTGCCGGTACTGCTCCAACATGGCTGCATGTGGCAATGGATCTTGCGAAGCCCCAGGTTGGCATTGGAGTGCATCGTGCATGCGTGTATTATTGTTTTCGTATAGAACCTCTTATCCCCGATGAGCTCGTACTGTCTCGTCTTGAATTTCCCCAGTCGCTGCGATGCCCAAGTCCTGCACCGGATGTATATTGCCCGGTATAGTGCCTGCCGCATAACCAAGCAAGCAAATGAATTATAGATTGGCCCAAAAGCTCTATTCATTCCACCATCAACTGGGTAGATTTCCTCCAAGAACACCAGCCTTCCCATGCCATGATTCATCATTGACGGCCTTTCTCTCGCCATTTGAGTAGTTCACTCAAGCTTGGAAGACTGCAGCCCATCCGCATAAAGTCATTGCGTAATAATTCGTCCGCACTGGCTCTGCTTCTAACATCAACACAGAGACAGACACTGAGGAAAGCTTTAAGTTCGCGAGAAAGCTTGTTGGGGTTCTTCAGGCGAGGAGTTCCGTTGGTTGCAATGAGAAAGAGAGCCTTCAAAGGTTCCTCGTTCAGGTATGGCGGTTCTGATTCTATCATCTCGATCGCCATAATTCCAAGAGACCAGATGTCGACTTTGGGTCCATATTCTTTCTGCTTGACAACTTCAGGTGCCATCCAGTAAGGTGTGCCTACCATGGTGGCACGTTTGTTCTTTGATTCGGTGAGCTTGGCACAGAAACCGAAATCAGCTAGACAAGGAAGTTAGTAATGAATATATGACAATGTCAGAAGTACTCACTAATCTTGACGTTTCCGACACGGTCAAGCAACACATTGTCGCTCTTGATGTCTCGGTGGATGATGTCTTGAGAGTGTAAATGAGCAAGACCCTTGCATGTCTCGAAGCAAATGGTAGAGATTTGATCCTCGGTGATTACTGGATTGTTGTCGATAACATCTGTGAGAGCACCACCTTCCATGAACTCCATCACCACCCACAACTCATTATTCTGCTCCTGCAAGAAGGAGTCGAGGAAATTCACGATATTGGGGTGCTTCGAATCCTTCATTACGATGATTTCGTTGACGATTAATTCCTTGCGGGGTTGATTGCGGAGATCCATCTGTTTGATAGCCACTTGACCTTTGGGCCCATGCGTACGGTAGATCTCTCTTGCAACTGGCGATGTACAACTCTCCTTTACCCTCGCAACATAAACGGAGCCGGAAGCTCCCTGACCAATCTTCTTCTGCTTGCTGTAGGACTCCAAGGGGTTGTCTTTGGAAACGACTTGCTTGAGTTTCGCCATGACTTCACTTTCGCTCATGCTTGACATGCGGACTTCCTTTGCTCGCTCTTCCACGGGTTTCTTGGCTGTCAAGGCAATCTCGGCCTCTTTGCGAGGATCAGTGGCAGGCTTCGCCTGAGGCTGCTTGGCCACATTTAGAGGTTTTGGCTGCTGTACAGAGCCCTGAGAACGACTCGTCGACTGACCATTCATGCCATTTGCTTGTTGCTTGGATGCGGAGTCCTTGTGGGGAGCTTCTCTTTCTGGCTGGTACCGTGCATTTGGTGATGGTTGTCTGTCGCGGTCTTGGCTGCCAGGAGACCGGAGGGAGCCTTGACCATTAGAGACCGACGTAGGAATGGATTTCTGAGAGCCGCTTGTTGGTGCAGAGGGAGCAATACGTTGAGCGATTGGCTGGGGCTGCTGTCGAAGGGATGTCGATGCAGCTTGTTGAGGGGCAGAAGGAGCGGCTCTTGCAGGATTGTATCGAGGGTCTTGTCGGCTTTGTTGGCGATCCGGGCTGCCGCCGTAGCCTCCAAGTTCTTGCTGAGCAAGAGGAGGTCGACTCTTGGGTAGAGACGCATTGTATGCATCTTGATCCCTTCGGAGCTGCTCATCTTCACGTTCCTTCTCCCGTTGTCTCTCGGCTGCCCGTTTATTCTCCATCTCCAATTGTCGGCGCTTCTGTTCTTGATTTGCGATCTCCTTGATTCGCGCGGCGTCAGCCTCCATATCGTAAGCGCTCTTATCGGTCTGAGATCTTTGCAACTGGGGCTTGGCCGGTGGAGTATTCGTTCGTGCCGGGCCATCTTGATATTTGTTCATGAATTGATTGGCGTTATAACGCTGGGCATCAGTGGGAGGCGTAGGTCGTGGAGGAGCAACACTATTGCCTCCTGAGGGAAATCCTAGTTGCTTGTTGGCCTGAGATTGTGCGGGGGGTGTAGTCATGCCAGGAGAATAGATCTCAGGGTTCTCCTCCCGCTTTTTTTGATCGGAGTAGAACTGGAGGACTTCGATGACAGCTTGGGGATTTTTCTTGTAATCATCTCTGGTAATGGCGGAATTGTTAAGCAGCTTTTCCCATTCTTGAGGCAAACCAACGAAACCACCTGTTTGGGGGTCGAATCCGACATGGATACGGTGGCTGAAATTGGTGGGGTTGCTGACACCGCCCATTCCAGGGCAGCGTTCATAAATCTTGTCAATCCAGTCGTAGATTTCATCATCGTTGCGGACTTCACAGGTCAGAACACGAGTGGGCAGATCGCGAGCCATGGTGACCTTTCCAGCAGCATCTTTGGGATTGGCAATGCGAGTGATTTCAAAGGCCATGCGGGTTTCCTCCGAGCGAGTCACTCCGGTCACAGTGTTGAGTTGGATAGAATTGATCAATTTCCCATTTTCACTCTTCATGAAGTCCAACCTGAATTCGCGGAGGATCAAATAGCGTTGGTTCCATTGAGCGAGGAATTTATCTTCTTTACAGCGGACATGGCCTTCCTTGATGATGGTTGTTGAGTTGGAGGACTTGACGGTAGCCGCCAACGACAAAGAGCTGCCATTGGAGAAGAACGGGGCACTTGGAGTATTGATGCCAGGAGAGGGTTGACCGCCTGCGAGTGACATTGATTCAAAGCTGGTGGCAGGGATGGAGGACTGAGAACGTTGAAGGTCGAGGGGGTTACGCCCGGGGGGCACAGGAGTGGCTCTCGGGCTCATAAATTGACCAGCGCTGTAGAAACTGCTAAACGACTAGAGTTAGAAGGAGGGAGATGGCATGATATTTGAAAATGCAAAAGAATACTTACCCATTTTGCTGGCCTGTCGCCATGATTGGAAGTGTCAATCAAGCGGCTTGAGGCTGCGGCGGGTCTGGAGGGAGTTGGGTTTGAGTTGCAGAGGGTCAAACAGGAGGCGGAGAAAGAGGGTTTATGTGCCAGTCTTTCAAGATCGTAGGACAAGGAAGAAAAGACTCAACGGAGAGAAGTAGGTGGCCGAGCAGTCACAATGGGTGACAGCATGGGGATGATTGCGATCAAGGGTGAGGGAAGTGAAAGGCCTGACTGAAGAATAATGGCGTTGAATGAATTCGAGTCAAACGAATTCCAATTGAGTTGAGTTGAAGGTTGATGTGGCAGAGACTCGCTTAGAGAACGAGAGGAGGATGAGGGAGACTGCGCCAGGTCAATTGGGAGGAGTGAGGAGTGAGGGAATGAATCGTCAAAGTGGTGTTCAGATACGGGCACACCACTTAGTATTCGCATTCACATTCACATCGACTCAATTCTCACTCACACGTGGGTTGGGTCTGGCAGAAACAATTACTCTGGTGAGGCAGATCAAGAGTGGTATGTAGAGTACGAAATGTCCAGTTGGAGTGCAGGCGTGAAGATTCAGTTGAATCCAACTGCGAGATTGGTCAACTGGGGGCTTCCAGTGGTACAAGATTCAGATGGGTATGGGGGCCTTCAGGCGTGGGCTAGAGCGTGGACGTTGAGCACAGGCTTTGGTTCCCGCCTAGAGCGAGGCTTGAGGGGGGCTTGACAGGCTCGGAGCTATCCAGGCTGCGACACGAGTGGGCGGCGGCTAACAAGAGCCTCTAACCACATTCATTCGACGCCTGGCCCTAGCCCGAGGGCCCCCCTGCACACTCCGAGTCGTGAATCGTGATCCCCTCTGGGCAGTCTTCGAGGTTCCGACTCGAGGGTGACTCCAGCCCAAAACACGTTGTCAGTCTAGTAACCTACTCGTAGCTATCTCGTACTGGGGTCCTGTTGTGCAGCTGACTCGCACGGATGGCTTCTCAAGTCTCAACAGAATGGATCACTGGCACAAGTTACGAGCTACAGGTCAACCTGCAAAAGCCCACCTGGGCACCCACAGATTTACGCTTGGCTTGGCTTTGTGCGAGGATGATAGCCGCCCCTATCGTCGACTTCCCAGTTTAGATGAAACACTCTCCTCTCCATGATAGGCGTTGGAACCTGGAAATTCGCCGACAATGTTCATTCCCCCTGTGACGCCACTGAGCCTTCAGGCCTGGCTCTTCCTTTCTGCTTTTGATTTGCTATCAATTGTGGCCACAGCAGTCAAGGTCTCGACGAGGCCTAGTCTCTCGGAGTGCTCTTCTAGAAGAAGAGGAGTGTCGTTCAGGTTTGTCGCACATGCTTCGGGCCCCCCAGGATCGTTTCAGATCCAGCGATGCGGTTGACCCCCAAACTACCTGAACTCAAAAATATGAGGGGCACACGAAGTAGGTCCTTTGGTCGGCTCCTCATCTGCGCGCAGACTTGTCCGATATTTGTTGGATAATGAATACACAACAGGATTGTCGTGTCTTCTCATGCTTGCTATCGCTCAGAACGCCCTCCAATCTGCCCAGACCCAGTTTTAGATTAATTGCTTGTAGAAATCTGTCGCTTGTGAAGTGGACAACATTGCCCACGGTCCGTGCCTTCCCTCAAAACCGACTCCGTGGATTATGTGGAAGTCTGTTTCCGAAATTGATTTAATGAATTTGACCGTGCTTAGGTTCGTTCACGATTCGGAGCAGAAATTCCCGCTGATGGTTCATTTGTCCATCAAGAACTGACACTGATGGCAGAATGTTAATTTTAAGGGCCCTTGCATGGTTCTCAGAATCACAAGTGAGAGACACAAGTCCTTTTTGCGTTAACACATTTTGCTGTGACGGTCACATGACAAGGCTGCGACAAGCCAGACTAGTACAAGGCTGAGATGCAAAGAATCTTGGCATTGATGACGCAGCAGAAATGCCATCGCCGCTGCCCCTCCACTCGCAATTTATTCTCAATTTATTCTCCGGCGAACTTCATTTCTAAGCAACCGCTTCACGTAGACTACCATAGATATTCTCTGGCACTCTTGGTTGCAACATAAAACTGAAATACCTCTCCTGGCCTGTCCCCCTTCTTCCTCACTCACAGAGCCCACCTGTCTCCTCTACCAACAATGTCGGCTTCCGACCCTCGTCGACCGACCAACGACCAAGAGGAGGAAGATGACCTTCTCGACGCTGATGAGGCTGACGAGGAGATATTAGAAGATCAGGATGGGGACCATCCAATGGACGATGATGATGACCTAGAAGAAGAGATTCAATTACAAAATGACTCCTCCGCGCACTTCGATTCTCATAACGACTCTATCTTCTGCATTGCTCAGCATCCTACAAATTCAAATCTTGTGATAACGGGCGGTGGTGACGATGTCGCATATATTTTTGACGCTTCAATACCCAATGGCCCAGTACTTCCGAGCTCCTACGAGTCAAACCCGCAGCCACAAGGAGAACGACAGAGTATTTCTCCGCTTCAAAAACTAGACGGACATACCGACTCCGTCAACGCTGTCACTTTTTCGTTACCAAAGGGAGACTATGCGGTCACCGCTGGTCTAGACGGCAAACTAAGAGCTTGGAAATCCGCAGATGCGGCCTTGAGTAAGTGGTCGTTCGTCGCTGAGGCTTCCGAGGTGCAAGAGATCAACTGGGTGATTCCCTCGCCCAACCCTGCTCATCCAAATACAATCGCCCTGGGAGCCTCGGACGGCTCAGTCTGGGTCTACCAGATCGATGCCTCAGACAACGCGAGCCCCTTGACCATCGTACAAGCCTTCTATTTACACACTGCATCGTGCACAGCAGGAGCGTGGACGCCTGACGGCAGTCTCCTGGCTACGGTATCCGAAGACAGCAGCTTGTATGTGTGGGACGTCTTTAACACCGGCAATGCAGTCATTACACACACGGCAGCCGACCAAAGATTCGAAGTCGAAGGTGGTCTCTATTCGGTCGCATGCAACTCCACGCTCGTCGCCGTTGGCGGTGCAGGCGGCAACATCAGAGTAATCGGGCTCCCCGCGCCAGCGGCACCTAGCCAACAATCCAAGAAATCAAAACAATCATCCTCATCCTCATCCTCTTCCGCCGCCGCAGGCCAGATCCTGGCTTCGCTGCAAGCTCAATCCGATGGCGTCGAGACCCTCTCCTTCTCTTCACCACCCCTCACACTCCTCGCGGCAGGCAGCGTCGATGGCTCCATCGCCCTCTTCGACACAGCTCACCGCTTCGCCGTGCGTCGCCACATCAAAGAAGCACACGAAGACTATGCCGTTGTCAAAGTCGACTTTGTGCGCAATCCACAGAAGGGCGGCTGGGTCCTAAGCAGCGCGGGCATGGACGGTGTCATCCGCCGCTGGGACGTCCGTGGCGGCACGACAGCTGCGGGCCAAGGATTCATCAAGGAGTGGAAGGGCCATAGAGGCGAGGGCGAGGGCGGTGGCATTCTTGGATTTGTTCAGGGTGGCGGTGGGAATAGAATTGTCACAGCCGGCGATGATGGCGTTTCGCTTGTGTTTAAAGCGGATCTTGCATAGATGGAAATCCAGCCGCAGTGTGTTCATTATGTGCTGCTCAGATGCCAAAAAAGCCGATTTTCCTCCCTTCCTCTCAAGCTCGTCTCCAATTGGTCTATTCTAATTGGGAATCATTCTATGCATCTGAGTGGCGGGCATGTTGCAGGCTTGGTGCATTTTCTTCTAGACTCTATTTTTACGAAAGACGTGAGAACGTCTGGCAACAGCAGATCGTGGAGTAGTAATAACTGCGCCGCAAGCGGGATAGAAGTCACGGAGCTGGAGGATTCCAGAGCGGTGGTCTCCCTCTTGAAGGGGTTTTAGATTGCTTGCTTTTCGAACCACTGCCAGATTCGATTCTAAAATAATAATAAAAGGCATGATCTGATATGACAAGAATAAATCTGTGTAATGAGCGTCTGACGCAGCCACATATTGTTCACAAGTCCCACCTCGATCGCGACACCATCGTCAGCAGCGATGGAACTAGTAGTCACGTCCTTCTGCATAGCCGTACGGCTCCTGCTGCCCAGCCGTGACTCTGTCCCTCATGGCGTCTTCCCAACGCTTCCACGCAGGGAAGATGTTTCCGTCTTTTGATGGGTTTGACCTCCTCCACTTCGTCGCGGCCAATTTCCTATATGTATATTCGAGCTCACCGTTACGGTGTCGCTTCCACGACCACTCCGTGCTCTCAAACCCCGAAATGCGCCGATTTTCCGTCACAAAGGCGTAGAGCGTCAACAGGCGAAAGTCGTGCGAAAATTCTAACGAGCGCATGGAGTCGATGATTGCCCATAGGGCCCTCATCGTGTCTTGAGCTCCTGATTCAAGTGCGAGGTGGACCCAGGCGCTAAAGATCTCTTCGTCAAAGGGAACCCCTTGCACACCTTTTGTATAGTCGCTCTCGTAAATCGTGCATATTAATCGTATGGCATCACCGCCTCGAAAGGATCGTCCAAGTTTCCAAACAACGAATTTTAGAAGAGCGTGATCCCGGAGCTCACCTGTCTGCCTTCTTGTTGCATAGTCGTTCAAAACCACGTCGACTACCTCGGAGTACAGCGGCAATCGTTCTTGCAGTATATTCTCGGGCATCGATTCGGAAAATTGAGTGGGTCCGTTGAAATTTCGCTGTGGCGGGCGGCGAAGCTCACTATAGCTTGGAGTTCTCCTCCTGAATTCATCCGATTCATAAAGGTCCGTTACTGACACGCCTCCTTCGAGAATAATTTTCAAATCTTCGACCGCTTCAATTTGCCAGCCGAGATCTCGGTGCAGCTTTGCTTCCGACGGCCGCATCCTAGTGAACCTTGGTGTGCTGTGCTCGATTTCACGGGCCAATGCGACCAATGCATCCGTGGACTTTGAGTCAAAATCATTTGGCATATCATGATTGATGTGGTGAATGGCCTGTAACCGATAGATCAGATCATCTCTCACTAGTCCAGATACACAGCCTCTAAAGTATCTGCTGAAAGGATCCTTGCGAGCCCGGTGTGCAAGTGCCCGGCAGGCACTAGCAATCTCAACACAACTGGCCCCAATGCCCCTGCACGTGTCTGAAAACTGCAGGGCAGCCTGGAGGGTTGAGAAAGGCGGATCTAGGCGAGAGTAGACCTTCTCAACCAGACTAGCCCATTCCAGAACAAGCTCATGACGTCCATCTCTTATTGATGCACATGAAATGGCTCTTGAGACTCGACCCCCCGGGATCAAGCCAGCATTTTTCATAGCATGGAGGGTAAAGCCCAAGCATCGTTCAGCCGTATTGTTCGTGGCAAAGAGTTCGATGAGTTTTGCGTAGAAGGACTGAAAGCGTTCTGGGTTCTTTCTGGAGTAGCCTTTGACGTGCATCAGTTCAATAACCGATGAGGCTTCTTTCCAATTGCCAGCAACCGCGTAGCCATTGCAGAGATCCTCCAGACTATCCTGCGTTATGGCAATATTGTATTGCTTCTCTAAATCATTCAGAGTCAGAAGGACTTTCTCCATCTTTCCCGCCTGACAAAGAGCCTTGATGATAGGAACTGAAAAGCTCTTCCCTAGTGAGATGCCAGATAGTCTTGCAAGGTGTAAGATCTTTCTCATTTCTGTGATCCATGACTCGAAATCATGATCGGTCTCAAGGCGGTGTATGAGATAGCTGACAGCCAGGAAATAATCATCCGTCTTAGGAGAGGCTTTTGACACAGCTATTTCCTGCCGTGGGAACAGCACATCGGAAGCTTGACCAAGACTGGAGTCATTGGAAAGATGATGCTTCACGATTTCCAGCACGGGAGAGAATGTGCACGCTTCGATGGGTAATACAGGTCTGAATATGGATACAATTGCTGTTGCAATCGTCATCCTGTCATCACTGGGCTGTGCAAGAAAATGTTGTAAAACTAAGTGCCAATGTGCCATTTTGAGACCCAAGTAGCGACGGTCTTGGAGAATAAATTCTAGTATCCTGTCATGGGTCTCAGTTCCGACTAGCATTTTGAGCTGTTGGGAGGCATTCTGAGATGAGGGTGGAAAGTCGTTCAGAGTGGTCGGGCCTGCCAGGGAAGGCGTTGTGTAATTCGGGAATTGATTACTGGGGATTCGATCAATTAAGAGACTGGCTTTCAGGCGAATTGGTTCGATTAGCCATGGGGGTCGATCAGCATCATGAAAGTCAACAGGAGATCTTCCTTTATCTGTGCTGGTTGGATACGTGCGGAGGTCGTTGCTAACAATAGCTGTGGAACTGTCAACACGTGCGAGGCCTGTGGCTTCATCTTGGAACTGGGATGATTTATTCGATAGGAGCGGCTGCGCTGTCCTCCTTTCGTGTATCGAAGTGCCGTCTCTGGACCCCAAATGGTACAATGCACAGTTCTTATCCCGATTCTTCTGGTTCTCTTTATGCGCTCCAAGTCCCAGGTCCTTTTCACGAAGATGCGGATGAGTGTTATCATTCAGTCGACGCAGAGGTGGCGATGTGGCCCAATTGCTGCCCTTCAGAGGTAGCGTCCATTCCTCCGATAGCTCTGTGTTGGTAAGGTGGCTCTGGGTATGGGAGTCTGCATTTCCACGATGTCCCTTCTTCTTGTCGATAGTTTTCTGGGGAAGAGGGTTCCTGCGGCGCGCATTGTGACTGAGCGCCGCAACCCCACGGTCGCTACCGCAGTGTGCAAAATTCGGCTTCGAAGGGAGATATGCTAGTTGTCGAAGGGCCCGGAGAGCAGCTTTTGAGGGCACGAGAGGTAGACCCAGGATGCAGGGCGTTCGTCCCATGGATAGTGGTAGTGAGAGAGCGCACACATTGGGGTGTAATAAGGGAAGACCACATCACGAATAAATCATGGACTTTGGGCTGTGAATAATATGCGCTGGTGAGATCGATCGACCATGTTGTCAAGAGCTTATTCCGAATACAATCTTCCATACAACTTGGAGTTGAACATGAAATCTGGAGATTGAGTCATGAAACACCAAAAGAGATTGGCGCTGACTCGCGGAGTCCAAGTCTGCGGCTGCACCGACTGCAAGGCTGACTGACAGGATACCACTTGAACTTGACTCTTTGACAACGTACGAAGTGCCACCATAGAGCTGTTCCTGCTATAAACTGCAAGCATGAAACTCCTGACTCATCAGAGTGATGATCAGAGGCAGGCACTGAGCTACTAGCTCTTCACGATACTCTTTTCTACTGTTGTAGGTGGTTTCCTCGCCTTTCCAGCGGGCTCGTTCTTCAACGCGACGTATGAAAACAAGGCACACCTGGTTAACCACTCGCTGACCGAGCTTCGCAGATAGAGGTTGCCCTGCCGTGGGCCAATCACACATGAAGCATGGCCTCGTGAGACGCCGACACTTTGTGGAGCACTTCTACTCCTGCTTCTGAGATCTCACTCTCCTTGTCACAATTCATAGCATCTTTCCTGGTTCATGACCACCTGAGCCTTCCCCATGGACGCCTCTACGGAGCTCAGACACCATGACTATTCTATCGGTTGGATTTGTGCTCTATCCGTCGAAGCTGCGGCGGCGAAGGCTATGCTTGACGAGAAACAACCCCCCCTGTATCAAGATATGAATGATCGTAACATATACACTTTGGCCGCATAGGACCACACAATGTTGTCATTACATGCCTCCCTGCCGGTGTGACGGGCACTAATGCTGCCGCTACCGTGGCGACGCAGATGTTCCGCACGTTCACACAGATCAGGATCTGCCTAATGGTAGGGATTGGAGGCGGTGTCCCAGGTGGCGACCGCGATGTCCGATTGGGAGACGTTGTCGTTGGTCAAGACGGGGTGGTTCAGTACGATCTGGGGAAAACTATACAAGGTGGGGCGTTCCAGCAAACCGGAGTATTGACAAAACCACCCGCCTCTCTCCTGTCCATCTTGTCGGAGCTGAAAACAAAATACATGATGGATGGCAGCCATTTCTCCAACTACATCCCGGATGCCTTCAAGAGCTTCCCAAACATGGCTGTCGACTTTGCTTTCCCTGGTGCCGGCGACGATGTGCTTTTCAAGTCTGGTTATGATCATCCACAAGGATTACCCAATTGTTCAAATTGTGACCCCCACCATATAGAAGACCGTGCCATGCGCACTCCGCAGTTGCCAAAAGTACACTATGGTCTCATTGCATCAGGTAATCAAGTCATGCGCCATGGGGCAACAAGAGAAAAGTTGCGGGCAGAGACGAAGGCTATCTGCTTCGAGATGGAAGCCGCCGGTTTGGTCGACATTGTTCCTTCTTTAGTCATCCGCGGAATCTGTGACTATTCGGACTCGCATAAAAACAAAGCATGGCAGCCTTATGCTGCGCTTACAGCGGCTTGCTATGCCAGGGCATACCTTTTGGAAGCTCCAACAGCCCGTGTCAATCAAGTACAATCAATAACTGGGACGGCCAGTGTCTTAGGTAAGGGTGAATCTCTACTGCAGTTCTGAAACTTGGAAAGTATATCATACCTTGCAAAAGAGTGCACGATGTAAGAGTGGTTCGAGTATTGGTTTTCTGAATTTGTCCTCTATCACGGGTGAAACCACCTTCTAATCGTACCTTTCCACTTGGGCAGATTCTATCGCCTCCATAACCAGAACGAACTCTCAGATTTTGTCGGCTCCAATCTTTGCGATTCCGAGCCAGTTTAATGCAAGCGATGACCTGTTGGTGAAGGACCAGAAGCTCCAAGAGTTAGCCCGCGCAGCCGAAAAATCATTGAAGGATGCCTTTACCCGCCTCAGGTCCGCACTCGCACACAATCAACATGCAACCTTTAAACCGTGCAGCCCACGAGATGTCCGATTTGTACTCTTCAAGATCCAGAAGCAGCAAGCCAGTGCCTCATGTTGCATGGACCTGACACGAATGAACAAGTTATTGGATGGCGTTCAAACCTTCGCTAAAGAACTTCGATTCGAGGAGAAGTCTGAATTGATTCCATTTCTTTGCGGCATGATTCACTTATCGTTACAAGTAGGTTGCCTCTCCGCCCACTTTCCTAGTCCTCCAGGTTGAGATAAAAGCCCGGTCCAGTGTAATGGCTTCACGTTTTGATCTGATTCACTGTCGTTGCGTTCGTGCTAACATTTTGACCCCAGAGAACGGCTAACACTCCGGTGGCCTTTGATCTACTGCTGAAAACATATAAAACAATTGGCAACTCAATTACATATGATGAAGAAGCAGTCTCTTGGATTTCGCAAATCCCTAACAACAAAGATCTGCTCATGGCAAGGATAGGTGAAAACATCTTGAAGCTTCAATGTCTGATATTACAGACACTCGAGATACCGGACCCATTAATGGGGAAAGCTTTCGCCAGCACATGGCACTCCCTCTCACCACAAAGGGAACAGTTACACCAAGATCTCCGAGGGTACAAGGGTCTTGTAGAGTCTCGCGCAAATGTAATTACAGTCGTCGACCATGAGCAGAGACGCGCCTTGCTTCTGGAAAGGGGAGGATCTGCACTAATTGACTCCAAAGAGCAGTGGTCCAAACTTCAGCAGTGGCTGGCGGGCGCCGATTGTATACAGAACCATGCTGATGTTCGCCAGATCAGGGAAAGTACTCCAAAAAGTGGTCATTGGCTCTCACAACATCAGAGATATGTTTCCTGGAGACGGGACGACATTCCCCAGACACCAATTCTCTGGCTGAGTGGAGCTTTAGGAGCCGGCAAGACGGTTCTCGCGTCTGGCATTATTGATGATTGCAATCTGGACGACAAGTCCAGAACAGCTTTTTTCTACTGCTACCATGATGACCCACAGCGAAAGAAATCTCTACCAATATTAGCTTCTATCCTTGCACAGCTCACGACTAGTGACCACATACTGATGCCATGGTGTTACGAGCAGTATACGACGAGCAATCAATTATCTCTGCGGGACGAGGCTCAATGCATAGATATGCTGAGGTCAATACTTCTCAGCAACAAGAAAACATTTGTAGTCTTGGACGGCATTGATGAATGCGAACGGAAAGATCGACAATTGCTACTCAGCTTTTTCACCCGTGCAGTCGCAGCCTGTGAATCGAATGATCCCGGCAGCCTCCGCATCGCTTTGCTGAGTAGGGATGAAGATGATATCAGAAGAGCCCTTGCCGGCGCCATCTCTGAGATCAAAATTACGCCGGCCGAGAATGAACGCGACATGAAGCGATACATTAAGTTACGGTGCAATGAAGTCAAGGACAAATTTGAGGAGCTCAGAGCTGACGCAATCAAGTACATCTCGGACTCTACATTTCTCCGAGCAGATGGTGAGTAAGCCCTTGAGATGGAAACCTTGGCCGGATTGCTCACCATGGGACATAGGGATGTTTCTGTTCGCTAAATTGGTTCTGACGAATCTACTTGAGCAAGTGTCGCTGGAGGCACTGCAGTCGGAGATTGAACCGAGCAATTTCCCAGCCGGGCTTGATGCAGCGTAAGAGATTCGCGAACATGCCTGAACAGAAACTAACTTGTGAAAGCTATGGGCGCATTATCCATCGGATCAAAAACGATTTCGATCCCAATAACATTGGGCACGCCAGAAAGATCCTCGGCTGGGTGACCTGTTCCGTACGACCTCTGAAGTGGCACGAAATCCAAGGAGCACTGTCTGTCAATACGACCGATAGAGATATCAACTTTGCAGGACGCCGGTCCCGAGTACATGTTCGGGAAATCTGTGGGTCGCTAATCAGCAACTTGTCCGGGGACCGGGTAGAATTGGTCCACATGAGCGCGAAAGAGTAAGTAAGACCTTCAACCATTTGTTCGAACACACAAGTTAAGCCATGCGCAGCTACTTGATTCGGTCCACGTTTGTGGATTTTGCCAGTGCCCAAATCAACTTAGCATCACTCTGTCTTGACTACCTGTCCTTCGACTGCTTTGAGTCCGGACATGAAGCGGAGCAAGTGAAACAGTCTTCATTGAAAGGTTGTTTCGCTTTTCAAGACTACGCTGCAGCTCATTGGCCCGACCATACTACTGCTGTGATAAACGCTGGATCGTCAGCCTTGTCCGGCCATGGACAAGCAGGCGACATGTTCAAGTCGGCCCTCCTCGACTTTCTAACACATTATGAGCTTGAGCCGGTCGAGGACTCTGCGGATCAGGGGCTAGATCTGAGTTGCCTTCCATTCCGCGACGAGAGTTACGCAGCGAACACGTCTCATATCGTTGGAATGATACGACAGCAGAAGGCGAAGGGCAACAAGGGACTTGATGAAATCATTCCAAATGAACTTGAACGCGTGGTCCTGGCCAACCGTGCGCAGATTGAGCAGCTGACTCTAGCAGACGTGGAAACTAGGGGGAATCTCGAAGACTTCTATGGCCGAAAATGGTACAAGTGCCCCAAAGCAGCTTGCTACTATTTCCATGAAGGCTTCCTCACTGAGAAGGAAAGGAACTATCACGTTATGCGGCACGAGTACCCTTTCCGCTGTACCGATGTCACCTGTGAGACTGGCTACCGAGTAGGCTTCACAACCGCCAAGCTGCTGGAGAAACATTTGACCGTTCATCATCCAGAATCCAAGCAAATCACAGCAATTTTCACAAGACTGAAGAAAGAACGGTCATCTGGCGCACATCTTCCGAAGCAAGGCACCAACATCTCCACCAATACCGGGAAATTTTCGTGCCATATATGCTTGAGAACATATACTAGAAAGGAGAAGCTCAATAACCATCTTCGGACTCACCGGGAAGACCAAACACTTTACAAGTGCTCGGTCGCTGAGTGTGAGAAGTCGTTCTTCAGGGACGATGAAAGAAAACGACATGAAAGAGAAGTCCACTCGGAAGAAAAGAGATTCTCGTGCACTGTAGAGCTGAAGTATGGGATTCCAGGCTCAAAGAGCTGTGGTTGTAACAAGGGATTTCCCCGGCTTGCGTCTCTTGTGAGCCATTGGCGCAGCAAAAACGGCCAAGCCTGCCTAAAACCACTTCGAGATGAAGAAGAGCTCGAAAGGCAATGGGAAAATCAGATTGTCAGGAGGAAAGCTGATGGGCTGGAACTTCCCCTACCTCGACAGCTCTACGAGCAGTTTCCGGATTTGCGCAAATCAAATTTTGCACTTCCAGCGGTAGGAACGATCGGCGATGGCCAACAGCAGGCCGGTTTAGAGAAGTGGCAGCCGTTCAAATCGAATACAACGCCTGAGGCGGCTATCTCTGAAGCAGAGATGCATACCTCTGACCGAACAGAGGGGGCTGCTGCGCCCCGGATGTTTGCTGAACCGTCTGAGTAAGAGGACATCGGAACCATGCACCACATTATCAGCTTGCACGTCTCCTTGAATTCCCAGAACCCCTTCGATTGGGTATCGGCTTAGCTGTGCAAATCTCACAATGATTTCCACATACCTAGGCGTCCGCCGCCAACTGGTGAAATTTCTTTGTCATTTTTGTGGAATCGAAGTTTGTCGAACAGCAATGCCGCTGGAAGATCAGACATGTGCGAATCAATCAAGCTTCAACTAAAGTTTCATCCGAGTCAGAAAATCCGATATATTGAATTCATGTGCCTAGGTAACCAACTCCCTGGTGTGACACTGCTTTGCTTGCCTCGCAGTTTGAAATCGGGTTTTACACGTGACCCGAGATGCGGAACGGCCGACTTTTGCCGCAGAGCCTGGTGCCTGAGCTGGCCCTCCAGTATGCATGGTGACGAGAAAGACGGGTGCCTGATTCGTTGCTCGACGAGCAGACCCTCCTACACCGCCGTGAATGAGAATTTTAGTGTCAGCTTCAAGGATGGATCTCACGCCTGGTACTTTCTCAACTTAGTCTAGATCGAAAGCTGGTAGTCACGTGCTGCGCCTTCGGGTGCCATGCAGATCAAAGAACTACTCTCACTGATACTACGGCGTTCCAGAAAGTCTATAGTGCAGATAAAGCAGACCATAAGGACCTTGGTAGCAACGGTGGAATGTCCGCCGAGCCTAAGCGTGTCACATGACAGTCATTCCCGTCAGTGACGCTAAATCTTTTACTCATGGCGGTGCAAGTGGGTCTGCTTGTCGGCGCCTGCCAACAGAAGCTGGGCACATGTGCTCACCGTCTGCCTATTGGCTCAAATGCCCAAAAGTTCCTCACATGGGGCCCAATGCACACAAGTGAAGTGGCCAATCACCCAAATCCTGCGCCCCAAACGCCCTGTTGCAGTGCCAAAATCCCCCTCTCTTGCGCTGCCAAAATCCCCCTCTCTTGCAGTGCCAAAATCCCCCTCTCTTGCACTGCCAAAATCCCTTCCTTGCACGTGACTGCTTCCTATCACGTGAGCCCTCCCATGAGATCGTTATGCGGTAAATCAGATAAGTGCACAAGCATAAGCACCTCGCGAGCTGGGTACTTTGTACGGCGATCCAGTAATACCGGACACCAATGCACATCACGTGAGTGGCACGGGTTAAGTGAACCTGCACGGCGAAGTAGAATAAATATTTGCCGTCAAGTCCAAAAACGTCCTAACGAATCTCAGCTGTAACACAAATAGTACAGAATCCTCACGCAGAAGTTTCAATGTAGCGAGAGCTCAAGCCTATCTTTCCCCGTTTGACTGGCCATTATCCTGGAATTTATCATGTTTTGGTACCATGTCTCGACACACAGACTATGTAGGTACCTTGGTAGGTAAACATCAGTCGCCTGCCTCACATACTCTTTTTATGAGCAAGTAGGTTTTTTTATGACACGACTGCAGTGGATGCTACGGCGGACAGTAGCTCCACTCTCTTCAGCTTACTCTGTTGTTGTCTCGAAACATCCTGACAGATCAGTTGGATCACAAAGTGCATGGGGACCGCGAGAGCCTACGTACCTCTTCCACAGTGCCACGGACAACATATCTAGTCACTATGACTGTCTGCTTCTGTAATAGCCTCTGCGCCCTCGCAATAGCCTGGAACTCCACCCCGGGATTCCACTGAGGTTCGAGGATGAATATCCGGTTGGCGATGGTTAGATTCAGCCTGTATGGAATGATTATTTCAGCGTGAGATCGTGATATCAACTAACTGTAAGCAACAAGCACATACCCATAAGCTCCAGTGCCAGTGGTCATCAGCAAAACGCGTATGCTTTCGTCGTCGTTGAATGCATCGAAAGTCGGCTGTCGATTGTTCGACTCGGTGTTCCCGTCCACCCGCAAATAGGCGATATTGAGTCGCTGCAAGTGTACTTGGACGAGATCAAGAGACCTAGTCCAACTGGAAAATATAATGCTGGACGCAGTCGTTAGCCGACCTGTCTTGTAAGTCTTCCCATTGTCTCACCTTTTAGTAGTGGCGAGGTCTTGATTCACATCGTCCACCAGCATTTGCATCTTGGCAGAGAACCCCTGAGGGCCGACATCATTTTCCCTGACAGCTAAGGGAAGGAGCTCAGCAGCTTCAGGGTAGGAGCGATCGCCAGTGCCTGCACTTGATGACTGATCAGCACTTTGGAAGCGTTCGGCAGTACATTCATCACATGTGAACTGTACACGTTGCTGCGGTGTGCGGCTTTCGTTGAACCTTGCAATCAACATAGGCGTCCGTCCATGGCAGAGTGAGCACATCACATCAGCGTCTTGTCCTAGCGAGTTGATAATATCTTCTCTTTGAGCTTTTGCGCTCAATGCACCTGATGACCACGGTTTCTGAAATGTGCCGTGATTGCACAATCGCCTGAGTTGAAGTTGAATTTGAAATCTTGCGAAAGGTGTACCAGACGCCTGCTCCCTCGAGCCATGACTCAATTCCCAAAACATCGAGTTCAGTGTCTTGTCATATTGCGTTCGCTCTGCTTGAGAGAGCTCAACATAGTGAACACGTTCTGTGACTGGAGGAAGTTTGAGCCGTTCAATCTTCCGGCGCATACAAACGGAGTTCATCAACAAAGAGAGATTCTGCCGGGCAACAACTGGGTCGCAAGAAAAGGTGGAAACCACGTATTTCCGGAATACGGAGATGTTGTTAAACGGACTTGCACGAATGAAAGCGAATAATGCTCCCAGGTCTTCCCACTTGTTTTGGACGGGCGTCCCAGTCAAACACCATCGATTGCAGGCCTCGAGCTCGTTAACCGCCGCGTACAAACCGGTGGACTGCCGACGGATGTAGTGTGCTTCATCAAGGATGATGCGGAACCAGTGGATGGATCTCAAAATATTCTTGTTTGCTTTCCGCTCCGTTGCCAGCGTGTGGTAAGTCGTGAACACAATGTCGGCTCTGGCTACCTTGTCCACTTGCTTTGGACGGTACCTGCCATGATACTTGAGGGCTTGCAGCGAAGTGTCCAAAAAATCTTTGACTTGGGTCAACCACACCTCCATCACCTGAAAGGATGGAACTACAACTAATGTGGCGTTTGAACGGACTTTTGTCAGCCTACTGACATTGCTCTCGGGTTGATCATCCTCATGATTGTCGGACCAAGTACGCGCATCTGCTAGCCTCCGCCCAATCAGACCCAGCATTGACAGAGTCTTGCCCATGCCAGGGTCATCAGCAAGTATGCCGCCACCAGTCTCCATGCGTGGCTCCTGCGTCCAGGACTTGGTAATTTGATGTTGAAAACCAGACTGTGCCTCGGTCTCTGTCCATTTCCATAGCTTGTGCTCAGCCGGAATAGGACCAGCTTCTCTTTCGATCATAAACGGGATTGCCTGCTTCTGATGGGGAAGGAGTGGCACCGTGACATGCATGTACTCTTGTTCCTCTGGATATTGGCGGTCTCTGGTTTCTTCAGAGCATATGTCCTTTATAGTTTGCTGAATATCTGGCGGTCTGGAGGTTTCGGGCTGCCAATCCATATTTTCGACATCCATTTCATCTCCATCATGCTCAACGTCCTCGAGGGCCAACATGTGAGGGTTCTCGTACTCAACGTCTTCCTCACAGTGTTTTGGGTTCTGAAGGTAAATCCCTTGGTCTGAGAGCAAATCGCCCACTGCCGTGCGGGCACTTACTGCACCATAGATATTCAAATCAACATTAGTTTCCGCATCTTTTGGCCTTTTGGCACGATCAATGATCCGCATCCAGCCGTCAATACGCACATATGCGAGAATGCGGATTGAGGGCATCTGATCAAGAGTCTGAAGAGGACTGAAGAGATGATGGTCCAGCTGAGCACATAAAGACCCGTCATCTAGCTTCAAGAACCCGGTAGTGGAATCTGCGATAAAGGTACAACGTGCCCATGACTTCTCCGAGCGGTTGATGGCCACGAGCTTCCGTCGCAGAACCTGCATGTCGCCGAATAGTCTGGCGCGGCGGTTGTGAATCATCCTAAAGCATTGCATGCGGTCAGATTGTGAGTTGTCTGTGCCATCGAACGAGTCCTGCCACATCTCGTCGAACTCTCTCTGCACTGTTTCATGCTGATTCCTCATCATGCTCGCCGCCCACGTGTCAATCCGTGTACCAACCTCTTCCAATGCGGCGCGATCGATCGACACCTTAGTACCATGCTCAGTCTGGGGGGCACTGGCAAGGCTGAGCACATCGTCCGAGTCTTCTGCCGAGTCCACGTCATCGCCAGCCTCCTCAACTCCTAAGATTGTCGTGAGCATTTCAGGCCAAGGCTGCGGATCGAGATCCGCGGTCCATGCAATGTCGACATCCTGAGCGACTCGTTTGGCAGGTGAGTCTTCGTCTGACTCACTCGAACCTTCTCCAACCTCTCGTACTCGCTTCATCCCGTCTATGCCGGAAGTTGACTCCTTCAGCCTCGTCGAGAATTGTTGTTTTCCCTCAACAACCAGTAGATACTTTGACTGCTAGAGATGTTGCTCATGCTCATAATGGTGCGAGTGCCACTCCTGAAGTATCACGAGCACCAGAGTATTGGAGGTGAATGGCGGTTGTGCTGAAAACTTCAGCTCAGCCGTGTTTCTAGACCTCGTCGTTCCAAAGTCCCAGGAGGTCCCGAAGTTATGTCAGCAGGGCTGACAGCGTGGCGCAGCCCATCCCTGCGCCACAGAATCTCATGAGCACGAGGAGTTGATCTTACTCGGACCATAGTATTGTAATGGCTATCATCGCCCTAGTCGTTCTGACAGGATTGTGTGCTATAACAATTATCTCTTCCAACGATTGCAATGCATTTGAAACTGAACATGTACCTGCGCACCATGATAAGCCGGTTGTCAAGTGCAGGGCGGGTGTTGGAAAAAGAGGAGGACTGTTCGATTGGTGGGAGCATGACAAATCCGTGGCGTTTCTCAATAACTACCTCAGATCGGTCTGATAGAGTTATGAAATTAGCTCCCTAGAAGTGAAGGGCTCCTGCATATATATAGCGAAGAAATCGATCTACAAGATATGCTCCCAACGATTCAAAATAATCCCATTTTCTTCGTTTGCTGGATCTGAGATCATGGAAGCACTCCTCCTCAACGCAGAGAACAGATCTGCCGAAGTCAAAACCATATCCAAGCCGATACCTCGGTGGAATGAGATTCTCATCCGCGTACACTCCATTGCCCTCAACCCTGTCGATTCTCTCTATGTGTACCATCCTCTTGGATCAACTGGGCGAGTGATCGGCAGCGATTTCGCCGGGACTGTGGAATCGCTTGGCCCAGACGTGCCTGCGACTGGCGGCTTGAAGCCCGGCCATCGGGTCGCTGGGTTCCTTCAGGGGGCCAGCAGTGTCAACGACCGGCCAGGCGCTTTTGCTGAGTATCTTGTCTGTCCGTATGATTTGGTGTGGAGAGTTCCCGCCGATCTGAGCCTGGAGGCTGCAGCGGCAGTCAGTCTCTGTGGCTTGACTGCTGCTCAGGCGTTGTTCTACCGCCTGGGTATGAAGGCACCGTTCAAGTGGGATGACCTCAGGGCGCAGGACGATGCGTGTAACTTCTCGGTCTTCATTTATGGCGCATCAACTTCCGTGGGTCTGTACGCGGCGCAGCTTGTGAGACGGGCAGCCGAGGCAAGTGGAGGCAAAGTTCGATTGGTTGGCGCTGCAAGTCGAAAGCACTTTGGGATGCTGAAGGCGGAACCTTATGGTTATGATCACCTTGTGGATTATCGAGACGATAACTGGCCTGAGCAAGTCCGGACCTTCACTGACGATAAAGGGGTGAAGTATGCATATGACTGCATATCTGAAGGCTCAACGATTGTCAACACCGCGAAGACCCTGGCTGTGGGTGCGGGGATGGCTGTCGTTCGCTCACGTCAAGGTGGTGCGTGGGACACTCCCAGGGAAGAGCTCCCGACTGAGCCAATCTATGGGGCTGTATGGGAAGGTTTGGGTGAAGACGTACAGTATGTTGGAATGTTCCTGCCGAAGTCAAAGGTGTCAAGAGACTTTGCAACGGCATTTTATAAGTGGCTCTCTGAAGATGGCAGGCTGCAACCCAACCCGATTCGGTTGATGCCAGGAGGCTTGAAGAAGGTCATGGGTGATGGCCTGAGATTGATGGGCTCTGGGACCATGGAAGACCGTGAGGCCAGCAGGACGGAAGAGTGGATGAAGCCAGTCAGTGCTGAGAAACTCGTCTATCAGTTGGAAAGGTCGAATTGAAAGCCCTTTGATGATGGCTTTTCGAAGGTCGTCAGTTGTTTACCAGGCTCCGGTAGCAAAGGGAGGCCCTAGCATCGGGCTAGTGAGCGCAAGGCTCTGATATTCACTTCACTGACCGGAGTCGCAGCCACTAACCTTGACTGTCACATAAATCTCACAAAGTCTGAATTCCTGTCACCAAATTACGCAAAAGTGACTGGTTCCCAAACACGTAACCCCGCTGCAATATATTGCAATGTCGGTAGTGACCATGTAATACCGCTGCGAACATCAGTGATGTCCGGTGTGCTCTAGCACACAATGGCGTTGCGATATAGCAATGTCGGTTGTGCAGACAAAAAAACCTCAAATGGGAGTTAAACAAAGATAAGAAGGTTTTCACTCGTTCCACCGCACCTTTGGCAATGCCTCAGAAGGAAGTGGTTCAAAGTGTTTTTTTGCCAATTTTGTCGGGTCTGGCGTTCAATTCTGGCTGTGGACGGTTTATCTTTTTTCGTCGCTCTTCGAGAAAGAGAGGTAGTATCTTGAGGTTGAGGCGGCCGCCGTTACATTGAAGTGCTGTCTTGCGATGGGGCGACCGCCATTGTGTCGAAATGACTTTGGCAGACTTCACCAGAGAACACCACCTGAAATTCATCGCCGGAGCAGAAATATGAACTTGTTATGTCTCAGGGATTCAGTTTCTCATGGCACATGGGTTCGTTTTATGTCTTTCCACTTTCAACTACCATAACCAATCCGTGGAAATATCCCACGAATCGATGGCTGTCATGGTAGACTGTATTTCCACAGTCTGCGACATATTTTCTGTCAGAGGCGCTTTGGCTCCAGCAATCACACCCAGTCCATCAGGACTCTCGATCTCAGAGCTCTCCGAGAGAGCCACTTCAAGAGACCGGAGTGTACTGACCGCATCACCAACCCACTGCGATCGAATGCCTCCAGGATCATAATGTATTGATGTTGGGTCTCCATAGCCTGGTACGTACAACGTGAGAAGTTCGATCGCTCGGGATATCACTTTGAGGGTCGTCACCTTGTCCGGACCCGCAACTCGCGTGGTCCTGATCGTGTTGCACGAGGCGTAGACATGCATCAAAGCACTTTGAAAGACCACATTTGGACCTGATGGGCGTATGCTCCGGAGCCAAATGCCGACCACATCATCTGCAAGTAGATCCAGAATGACGCTACTGGACTTGACGCATGCGTTGAGGCTAGCCGCAAACTCAGGGGTGTCCGGGGGGAACGTCAATGCAGGACGATGAATTAAGACCATTGCAATGTTGGCCAGAAGTTGAAGCCACATCGTGCTGAGCTCTTTCCAACTCTGCTGGCCCGCTCCACCAAGGTGGTGCGAAGGCTCCCCTATCTCAAAGGGAGTGATGTGAGGCAGCGTATTGAAAGTCTGGTTCCAAAGGCGCAATTTCCTGTCCAGGCGCGTGATCTTGTCCACACTATCTCGGCGCTGCGTCGTGGTATATAGTTGCTCGAGGATTATCGAAAGCTTCAGACTTAACAGGATGGACTGATTGAAGCATGCTAAAGGTGTAATATCGCCTGGAAGTGGGTAAGAGACTTCTTCTTTGTTGATGTCGTCCAAGATACAATCGACAGGCATGTCATTATCGACATCAGTGTCGTTTATCAGTCTTGGGAGGCCATGCACGGTTGAAGTGATCCTATCGATGTAAATAGGGAGACCCAACCACATCATTGGCGCACTTACTTATCAAACAGATATATCCACCACCAGATACGCCGCCTCAGTTCCACAAGACCACTTTTATACTTGAATCGTCGATCATGGCGGTGAAGTCCCAGAGATTGAGCGATACGAACCATGACGCTATTCAGTTGGAGTAACCATGTACTGTGCCCTATGATCTGAATGTAAAAAGCAAATAATGATATTGCTTGGAGTGCCCTGAGATCACCGCAGGCACTTACTGGTCCAAGGAGATGAGCAGCAAGGTCGAATTTCTCCTTGCGAAGCTCATCAGCTTCGACGTCACCACGCTGGTCGATCTCTTGGCCAAGTTCATTGAAGACCATGACCATGAGCATAGCCATAACGGTGGAATAGTCGATCATTGGGGCTACAGTTTCGTCGGACAGAGTTGTCAAAAGTGTCTGTACATCTCTCACCATCTCAGACTTGACCAGAACAGGGCAGAAGCTTTCCCATCGAGCTCTGAACATCTCGATTTGTTGGACATAGTAGAGTAAAGGCAAAGATAAACGTCGTCTGATACCACTTGCGAAGGTTGCATAATTCGACATTATTGTCCCATACTCACACTCAGGACTTTTGTCACCATTGATGGTTGGCTGGAGTAGATATAGGCTATAACAGCTTTGGGGGAATTGACCATCATAGTTGAGGTACTGCGCGCATGCTTCCTGTGTTATCAGCACAAAATGAACTCCGGTGGTCGAACCGGCAAAGCGACCGGTACCAGATTCATCGTAAACTAAACGACCCATATGTTTGATGCCATAAGCCGCTCTCTCAGCAACCACGGCTTCTATTTCATCCAGTGTGGGGAAGGTGGCTGATGCGTCCATCTGAGGATATTGATCCCATGACGATCCAGAGATTTTGTGAGGCTGAGCCTGGGTTTGACTCGTCAAACCATCCAGCTCCTGTCGCAGTGCTTCTGTCGTTTCACATTCCGCTCGAAGCTTTCGCTGCAGTTCGGCATTTTGTGCACGTAGACTTTCGATCAATCTGGCATCCTCGCTAGTCGGAAACCCCCGGATTCTGGTCTTCCTTTTCAATGTGGCGGATACTTCACAGAGGACATTTGCCGTAGTACATGCTGCACAGCTTGGCTTAGCTCCATTGCATTTGACTCGTTTGCTTCGACATCGGTCACAGACTTGGCCGATACGCGATGGATGCGGGCTTAAGCTTGACAGTTCATGGTCGTGGGACAACGACCCCCTCTCATCCTGCATGATGATCAGCAGGGTTAATGTCGGCCACGAACGGTGTTCCCCTCGAGCTCCACATGGCAGCAGTGTCTATGGTGCGTCGATGGCCGCGGCTTTGGAAGTTTGTGGCCTACCCAAGTATTACCACCAAGCCGCACAAGCTGCAGCTCAATGTACTCTGGTTGCAGAATTGATGTTGAATTTATGACTCGCGGTCAATGTATGCATTACTGTCAATGATGAGGCTATTCTGAAAAAGCCCCACATGCTTCATAATGAGACGCAATTGCTGTTCAATTACGAAAAAGGAGACCTGGGATGAAATATTTCATCAGCCGGAATAGGAGCTATTCCGGCGCTGAGAGTACTAACCCTAAAAGGTAGGGATCTACAAATGTAGACAAGACATCAAATGGAATTCCCTCCGGAAACAAATGTTGGAGACCAATCTTGAACCCCAAAGTCCCATCGGCATTATTGTATGCCGACATCCATCGAATTCACAACCACAAGATCGTGCGGAAGAGAGCGTATTCAAGAAATACTCTTGTGCGGGGACTAGAAGGTGGTCGGAGAAGGGCTTCTCTTGGGGAAAGGCGCTGGAGGTATTGTAGCCGTTCTTCTTGCAATCAATGATGCTGAAAACTGTTTGCATTGGTCGCCCTTAGTCCAAGTCGAGCCTTTCGCTCCGTTCTTATTCATTTCTTAATATGGCTGTCTCTGCTCTGGATTCTCGAGTCTTCAGAAATCTGTTCGGGACTGAGCAGATCCGTAACATATTCACTGATGAAGCCTACGTACGATACCTCATAGAGACGGAAGCCGCATTGGCTCGTGCAGAATGCTATGTTGGAGTGATACCAAGTGAAGCAGGTGAAGCAATCACAATAGCCTTGAAAAATGCACAGATAGAGTATGCTTGCGTACGAGAGTGCCTCTGACATGTTCTGCTAACTCACATCTCAGCTTCGACAGACTATCAAGGGAGACGGATATCGTTGGATATCCTATCCTGCCGCTAGTCCAACAGCTGGTGGAAGCCACACCAGCAGAAATGGCCAAGTACATCCACTGGGGTGCTACGACGCAGGATATCATGGACAATGCTTCGATACTACAAATCCGAGAGGGGCTTCAGATGGTAAGGCGTGAGTTGGATACCATGGTCGACATTCTGCAGAGATTATCCTCAGAACATCGCGATACGTGAGTGCTTTCACAACTCCTTATCGGAAGAGCCCTGTTTGACTTGACTGTAATAGACCAATGGCAGGACGGACACATTTACAACACGCGTTACCGTGTACATTCGGATATAAATGCGCCGTCTTCCTCTCCGGTATTCTTCGTCACCAACAGCGTCTCGACGAGATCGCGAACCGTTGTCTGCTGGTTCAATTTGGCGGTGCGGCAGGCACGCTTGCGTCGCTGGGAAGTCATGAAGGGATCCAAGTACGTGCACAGTTGGCGAAAGAACTGTCCTTACAAGACCCACCAATAACGTGGCATGTCGCGCGTGACAATATCGCCGAGATCCTCAACTTTCTGGGCCTGATAGGTGGCAGCCTAGGAAAGATCGCATACGATATCATCATCATGTCCTCCAACGAGCTAGGCGAAGTCTCTGAGCCATTTGTTCCCCATCGAGGGGCTTCTTCAACGATGCCCCAGAAACGGAACCCTATTTCGAGTGAGGTGGTCCTCGCCACGTCGAAATTACTCCGTGCAAATGCAGGACTTGGGCTGGACGCCATGGTGGCCGATTTCGAAAGAGCCTCTGGTCCGTGGCATCTGGAGTGGGTTGCCATCCCAGAAGCATTCGTCTTATGTGTCGGGGCGTTGCACCAAATGAATTTCGCACTCAGCGGTCTTGTCGTGAATGTCCAAAACATGCACAGAAATTTATACAGCACACGGGGACTGATCGTAGGAGAAGCGGTCATGATGGGCCTCGCTCCGGTCCTTGGTCGTCAAAAGGCCCATGATTTGGTGTATGAGGCGTGCAAGACGGCGATTGAGAATGATCGGTCGTTGCTGGACGTGTTGCACGACGACGCGAGCTTGGTCGAGAACCTGCCCAAGGAGAAATTGGCCAGTTTGTGCGACCCATTAAATTATCTGGGGGCGAGCCAGATTATGGTCGATCGCGTTCTGCAGGAGGCCAAGGAGCGCAAAACAAGTAGAGGGCCTGAGAGTAGCGGCCAGTAATGATGGGAAAATAGCATCTCTTGACCAGAACGTCAATATTATTGCACAGTGCAAGTGTTGTTAAGACAGTCGCCATAGAGTGTGCTTGAGTGAAAAGAAAGTGATAGAGGTTCAGAGAATATATATGTTGCCATTGCTATGTACGAATATCAGGCTCCTCAAATTGCAAGTCGCTTCAGAAAACGTGTGTTACTAAACACCAAGTATGTATATATGCCTGAATCAGTGAGCCGCTCAATCACAGTTGGATACAAAACGATAAAAAGGAGGTCTAGGTGAAACAGTGGTGCGGTGAAGAAAGGCCTGACGGAGGCCATAGAACTGGATAAATCAGTAATCCATAATACAGAAACATGGCGAAGTATGGTGAGTTGCTCGTCTAACTAGTCCGAGCGTCCACCCAGGTGAGGGGAGACCTCGGCATCACTATCGTCATCGCTGAGTTCCAAGGCAATGGCATCAGGAAGATAGACTGTAAAGAAGTCAGCTGCACGGCGAGAAAGAACGGTCCACGAAAAGAAGGGAACGCCGAGTCAAAACTTACTGCCAGTCTTCAAGAACAAACTAAGCGCGAAAATGATGAGAAACATGCTGGCGAGACAGATAAAGACGATGCCGGCGTACGTGCCGACGGTTTTCATGTAGATGAGATTGAATACCGTTGGCGCGACGACTCTTGCTAGCGCGTGCAGTAGACCGGAAGCACCCAAGATCTGGCCCGTTTTGTCTGCGGGAATGGCCTTGGTGAGAGAAGACTGAAGAGTCGGTGAGCCGATGCCACCGAGCGAAGCGACCATTCCAGAGATGAACATGACTGCCCCGGAAGGCGTGAAGGCGTATCCAAGGTAACCCAAGAACTCGAAGATGACGGAACCACGGATGATGTTGATGTCGAGCATGTCGGAGCCTTTGTGTCCGCCGGATTGTTGGGACATGGGTCCCCGGAAAATGCGTGTCAAAGTTGGGAGAAGGAGGACTAGTCCTAACACTCGGCAGACGTTCACCGCGGAGAGATACATGCTCGCCGTGACGGCATTCCAGCCGAAGCGATACTCGGCATAGATCAGGACGATTTGCATCGTGCCCATCGCCACGCCAAACATCATGGTGTCGATGGCGGCGAGGACGAATAGGTTGCGGCGGAGGGGCTTGGTCGCTCCTGGTCCGCGTGGGCGCAACACCCATAGGGGTTCGAAGACATTGTAGTTCTTCAACTTGGTGGTTAGATCTTTGTGAGGAGATGCTTCTTTCGCTTCACGGCGTTTCTGACGGGCTAGGAGCTGGCGTTCTTTCGATAGCGACTCCGGCACGGCGAGTGAGATGAAGAGAATGTAGAAAACATGACAAGCTAGTGCCAGGTAGAAGGCTGACATGACTGTCCCTGTCTTTTTGATCAGTTGACCAGACAACATCGGGCCCAGCGCGATGCCGGTGAAAAGAGTGCCATGGAAATAGCCAAAGGCGACGTTTCGGCGCTCCGGGGGTGAGCAGTCTGAAGCGTACGCAAAGGCCAGAGCCATGCCGGTAGTGAAGGAGCCCGAGATACCATCCAAGAAAGCACCTAGCAGCATCCAGTAGACAGACACTTCCGTGGGGTTTAGCCCGATAATGATGGTGATGATTTCCATTGTGAAGCCTCCAATAGACGCACACACGAGGACTTTGACTCGACCATATCTGTCTGACAGAGCGCCGAGCTGCGGCGCCACGATGGCGGAGAAAATTCCTGACAACAGATTCATATAGAGATTGAAATTGGCTACAAGAGCCTGGACATGGTCGTCGCGACATTGTTCATTCTCCTCGCCAAAGATCACAGGCAGGTATGTGAAGTTGGGGTCTTTGGCCGCTCGATCAGAAAGGTATTTGTGGCAGATGAGGTCGAGAATGAGATATGTCTTTGGCACGATGATGCCGCCAAATGCGAGACAGAATGGAAAGAACGCTGGAAGAAGCCAGTAGATCTATATTCGGGTACCAAATTAGTTCCGGCGTCCGGTCTCTTCTTAGTAGGAAGTGGAAGTCATACGGAAGGTGTCTTCCACCATGGCTGTTCCCCAGCGCGATGTGAGCCAGTCCAAGGCTCGTGAATAGCCCTCTCATAGCTCGTCCTGGCTCTTGAATATGTCTCCCTCTGTGGGCGTTTGCGCTGACGCGGGCTCACCAAGGGGCTCGTCTCATTGTCGCGGTACTCGTCCTCCGCATCGTCAACATCGTAGTGTGTGTCGATCTGTGGACGCCTGCGGGTGTTCTCTGCGATGAGCGCCTCCTCTTGCGCCTCCTCGGCGAAAGCCTGTTCGTGGTCCATTGTGAATGCTTATCTGCGACCGACAAATATATGGATATAGATATTGGGTGGGGGGCTTCTCCGTTCCTGCTTGCGCCGATGGAGGTAAAGGAGTGTCCAAGTCAACGACGCATATGTGCTGCCAACACTTGAGAGGATGAGTCGAAGACGTGTCGCCCACAACCGGTATTGTTAACTCAACGATTCTGCGCCATTGGGATAGAAGATGTCTTGACGTAATCTCATAGGACACTTATTGCGAGATGTGTGTTGGTTTTCGGAACGATTACAGACCGAACGAATAAATCCCACGGAGTGCGTGAACCGGAAACGTGTTGCAGGACGATTTCCAGAGAACCTTGTGAACAGGGGGGCCGAGGGGCGCGAGACTGGCTCCGAATTGGCTGTTATTCCATCTGCCTGGCATGTCCCCCCCATGTGCCGGGTGCCGGGCTGCCGTCTTCGGTAGATCCGAGCTTTGATAACCTGCCTAAGAGCCCTCCGAAGGCCCCTATAAAGGCCCCCCCACCAATTTTAAGGTGCTGGCTTGGTAAGCCGAGCCTTTGGAGACATTCAATGTTCAACAGCAATGCGCTCCGATTTCAGCATTTGAGAGGCACCGACGGGAAAGGACTGTGGAGGTTTCAGCGAAATACTTCTTAGCCATATCTAGTAGTCAATCCTCTTTAGGATAACTGGTACTTTGCATGGACAATTGATGATACTCGCACTCAGCTCACTCATATAGGTGGGCAGAGACAATATGTTCGCAGCGACTATGGTGGATATCTTTTTGAAACAGAGTCATGATACTGTACAACACTGGTGTTTATGATCCTGTATTTGAGAAGACACATACTATACATTTTCCCCTACCGAACCGTAGGCAGGATCTTCGCTTGCTCTCCTGCAAAGAACTTCTTCTGCTCCAAACATCGCTCACTCTTGCATCCCTGGCATCGCAAGCCCATCTGTCGAGAGCAGCTCACACCACTTTGTAGATGTTCTTTTGCAATGTCGGCAAGTGCCTCGATAAAGACCGGGCTACCGTTCAAACTCTCTGCTCGTTTCACACCTGGGTTATTATGTGCATCTTCCTCCATCACTTCTTGATCTATCTCGTACAGTGTCTCAATATGGTCACTTGTGAAAGCGATAGGGACCAGGACCAAGTCGGTCTGACCCCGAGCAACGTACTCCTTTACTGTATCACTTGTCTGTGCTCCCAGCCACGCAGACGGTCCAACCTGCGATTGCCAGGTGAGTCGGTAGGGGTTGGAAAACTTCAGTCGGTTCATGACAGCATACACAGTTGCTGCAACTTCGGCGGGATAGGTATCTCCTCGATTTACCACACTCATGGGCAAGCTATGTGCCGAGAACAGGAGGACGACATCTTTTCGGCGGTCTTCTGGGTATTCTGCCAGTTTCGCTTCGATATTTTGCGCAAATGCTTCCACCAATCCAGAGTGTGTAGGCCATCGATCAATCACACTCCAGGTAATGGCTCCGGTGGGAGCCGCCTCGCCTGTCCCTCTGGGACCCTCAAGTCGGTTTCGCCATTTCCATAACTCGTTCAAAGAGCTTCCAGTGGTTGAACAACTATACTGGGGGTATTGTGTAAATGCCACTGCTCTTCCTCCCTTGCCACCACCGAATCCATCTGCCAGGAGTTGAGCATACATATGTTCCGTCAACGGATTGGCGTATCTGAAGGCAACATAGGGTTTATGAGGGGCCGTCTCAGGTGAGATTTTGTCTAATATCTTGCACATCTCAGTGCATTGATACTCGGACCACTTGCGAATTGGGGAACCTCCACCAATGGCTGCGTATTGTTTCTGAATCTTCGGCGTCCTCCTGCGCGATATCAATGGCCCCAGGTATGACTGTAATCTTCCCAGAGGAATCAAATCGGCATCTGCGAATAAACGACTCAGAAAATCGCCCACTTCATCCGTCGTCGATGGGCCGCCCATGTTCATAAAAACCATAGCTGTAGGACCTTTGGCCCCCTGCGAGTTTTGCGTTACCGGCGGGGCCGCGGTGGCCATGGATGACTTCTGCTGGCCATTGTAGGCGCAGAAGACTTTCGACGACCGGAGGACATTCTGCCGTGGAATTTGCCGACAAAGGCTCGAGAGTGAGCTATGTACCGACATCGTAGATCAGTATTACGTGGAATGTGTAGTGGGTGTTACCGAGACATGAATGAAGAGAAGAGTAGAAAATTATAACATACAAGCTGAACAGATTGTAAGAGAAATAAGGTAGTGAGACAAGGGAATTTTGCCCGTCGAATGCTCACTCGGGATTTGGCTCTGTTTTCGATCCACGAGATGATGATGTATGTAAGGACCCTCTAGTGAGATCGAGCACATTAAAATTCAATGGCCCTTCCATTGGTGCCGCCCTAGTCAGGTGACTACGCGTTACAAACGGACGCGTCCTGCCGCGTTCGTTCCGCGCTTGACTTCACGCTGCCTGGGGAGGCGGACTTAGTGACGTCTCGGCCTCCTGGTAAAAGTCAACATTTTGCTTTCCAATCCTCACCGCAACTTTGTCCACCGTAATCTATGCACAATGGGTGATAACATACCCTACCGGAGCAAAGCAGAAGGGGATGATCCGACTCGCAGTGATGAAAATGACGATGATGAGGAAGAAGTCGACGAAACTGGCTACAAGACAGTCAAGGATGCTGTTTTGTTTGCCATTGAAGTCAGTGCTTCCATGTTGAAGGTTCCATCATCTTCTGGATCGAAAAACGACGACAAGAATTCTCCACTTCTGGCTGCCTTGAAATGTGCATACCACCTAATGCAGCAGCGCATTATATCCAACCCAAAAGATTTGATAGGGATCGTCCTGTACGATACTGAAGCCACAAAGTTCTACGACGAGGATGAAAACTCTCGCGGTGGTTGGTCATTCCCCCACTGTTACCTTCTCACTGAACTCGATGTTCCTGAAGCAGAGGCTGTGAAAGAGCTGAAACGCTTGACCGAGGCTGAATCTCCTGAAGCTGAAGCTATCTTCAAGCCTTCCAAGGAACCAGTATCGATGCATAGCGTTCTCTTCTGTGCCAATCAAATCTTCCAACAAAACGCTGCAAACTTCACCTCGCGGCGACTCTTCATAGTGACAGACAACGATAATCCACATTCTAAGAACGAAAAATCCCGATCTCAAGCCACCGTAAGGGCCAAAGATCTCTATGACTTGGGCGTCTTGATTGAGTTGTTTCCGATTTCCACCCCCGACCACAAGTTCGACACCTCGATCTTCTACGATGACATTGTTTATAAATCCTCCCCGACGGACCCCGAAGCAATTGCGTACAACCCAGCATCTGCCGTCGGTGGTGACGGTTCGAAGCTCATCTCTGGATCAGCAGATGGCATCACACTCCTACAATCTCTTCTCACCACCATCGCATCGAAAGTGACTCCCAAGCGTGCCTTGTTCTCCTCCGTACCACTTGAGCTTAGCCCGACTCTCAAAATCTCGGTCAAGGGTTATTTGCTATACAAACATCAGAAGCCGGCACGGAGTACCTACATCTATGTTGGAGGTTCCGTCCCAGAGATCGTGAAAGGACATACGCAACAGTTTGATGAGGGTGGCAAGGGAGTTCAGAAGGTCGACATTCGAAGAGCCTACAAATTTGGTGGGGAACAGATCACATTCTCTGATGAAGAGACAAAAGAACTTCGAAATTTTGGAGATCCCGTTATTCGCGTATTGGGTTTCAAACCACTTGCAAAGCTGCCATTTTGGGCAAACATCAAGAACTCGACATTCCTTTATCCTTCAGAAGAAGATTATGTCGGAAGTACTCGAACTTACAGTGCACTCCACCGCAAGCTTGAGAAAGACAAATTGTTTGGATTGACCTGGTTTGTTCCACGAAAAAATGCCACTCCTGTATTGGCGGCACTTTTGCCGACAGTGGCCTCGATGGGAAAGGATGACCAGACAAACCCTGCGGCTATCTCTGCATCAGGGGCTCCGCAGGGGCTGCATCTGATTCCGCTACCATTCGCAGACGACATCCGACAAAATCCTCCATCCACTAACAAGACCCCTTTGCAAGCTCCAGACATGCTCGTGGATGCTATGCGGCCGATCATTCGTAAGTCTTTCCCACCTCTATCAAATGAAATGTCCCCTACTTGTGATGAGAATTTTCTGACAATACGCAACAGAACAATTAAACCTCCCCAAAGCAATCTATGACCCATCGAAATACCCCAATCCGAGTCTACAATGGCATTACCGCATCCTCCAGGCCTTGGCACTAGATGAGGAAGTGCCAGACAAGCCAGAAGACAAGACAGTGCCAAAACACAAACAAATCGACAAGAGGGTGGGAAATGAGGCAATTAAATGGGGTTCTATCTTGGAAAGAGTGTTCAAGGAGCATCAAGCGGAAAACCCAGACACGGTCCCTACAGGCTCGAAGCGGCCGACACCCAACCCTAAATCAGCAGACCCTGCCACAGGGAGTAAAAAGGTCAAGGCTGAGGGAGGAGACGGGAACAGCGAAGCTCTCATCAGACAACGCTGGGAGCAGGGCAAATTAGGAAGCTTGACTGTAGCCCAACTTAAGGACTTTGCTTCGGCCAAGGGGATTTCCGTTGCAGGAAAGAAAGCAGAAATTGTGGACCAGATTGAGGGTTGGTTGGAGAGGAAGTAGTGAGCCGAGGGTTCATCATGATGTATGAGTTTCTAGTGACCAGAGATACCCAAGTTGTAATATTACAATGGCCTTTCGCGGCTTGAGCAATGATGATAGTGAAGAAGAAGATGTGCGGCTAATCATTGCAATCCCAATCAAATTCCCCGGAAGGGAAGACTGACACTGCACCCAAGATCGGCTGCGTTTATAATTGATCTCCATTCCATTAGACGATTTCCGTACTTCATGGGATCACAGTAGTAACCTCGTAGGAACGCTTTTACAGGAACGTTGGTTTTTTGCGTTGTTCAATATGGAAAAAAGAAGAAGAAGAAGAAGAGAGGAAGAAGGCTGCGAACAGACGAGGTTGAAAAAGAGCGAAAAAAAGCCACTAGCGTATCACGTGAAACTTCCGGCTGAATTTCCGGATTCGATCAAAGCAAAGGCACATGCTCCTTCCCTATCGCAATCTGAACGCCCCAAAAGCGGCAACTACGACCAAATGACGTGCATAGACCAGGACCCTCCCTAAGGTTTCATCGTCAATTAATTGGTGTACCAGCACCATACGTTCAATCCGCCATTTCAACCATGCTTTATCTCATGCGTTTTCGCTCAACGACTTTCTCTGGCCACACAAGGCCCTTTTCATGGCTCTTGATGTTCATCTAGCTTCATCGCTTTCTTGTTCACCCTCATCTCTTGCCAGTCTTGGATTTCCAGGCTGTTGTGTATCATGGCGAGAGTCCCTTTTATTGGAAGACTGTTTTGGTGAGTGCCAGTAAATGGGAGGGCAGAAGACTACAAACTCTTGGATATACTGACAGCCCGGTTAGGCGCGAGTATCTTGCCTTGGTTGGATCCCTAATTCTCGTTTCACTCGAAGTCTTTGTTCGCATTATTACCCTTGGACTACGTACGAATCTATTCCCACATCAACACATTCTACCACAGAGACTAACGAATTCTCAGCTCAACCTGTTATTCGTTTTTGCTATAATACGTCCAAGAAACTCTTCAATCGCTTGTCCTCCCAGAAATCGAAACAGGCTAGGTCAGAAAGAAAATCCATATACAGTTCAATCGCAACCTGTTCAGATTTTACAGAACTCTGTGGGTTGTTCGGATACTATGCCGAGGAACATATTGTACAAACAGGAGATGGTTATTTGTTAGGTGTACACAGGCTGCCTTTTCGCAAGGGTGAAGAACAGAATGGTACCAGGGTCAACGCCGGCCCTGACTCGATACGCAAACCGGTGGTCTATCTCCATCATGGCCTTCTCATGAATAGCGAGGTTTGGGTATGCCTCACAGAGGAAGAACGATGTCTTCCATTCACGCTTGCGAAGCAGGGGTATGATGTGTGGTTGGGCAACAACCGTGGTAACAAATACAGCAAGAAGTCAACTAATTATTCTCCTACCTCTGCTCGGTTCTGGAACTTTTCCATGGACGAGTTCGCCTTTCACGATATTCCAGACACTATCGATTATATCCTTAACACAACAGCACAGCCCTCTCTTTCCTACATTGGTTTCAGTCAAGGAACAGCACAAGCATTTGCGACACTTTCGATCCATCCAGGTCTCAATGATAAAGTTAATCTCTTCATCGCTTTGGCACCTGCCATGTCACCAGCCGGTCTCAGCAACGGTATTGTCGATTCACTAGTCAAAGCCAGCCCAGATGTACTTTTCCTGGCCTTCGGACGAAAATCGATTCTCTCTTCAGCTACCATGTGGCAGTCTATACTTTACCCACCTATATTTGTCCGTCTCATCGATATGTCGCTTTCTTTCCTTTTTGCTTGGTATGGACGGAACATCACTGTACAACAGAAACTCGCCGCATATCCCCATCTGTACAGCTTCACAAGTACCAAGATGGTTGTCCACTGGTTCCAGATCATCCGCAATAAGTCTTTCCAAATGTATGATGACGACGGATCCAACAAGTTCTCTATCGGCGCCAGTAATCGCTATTACAAGGTTGCGAAATTCCCCACTAGGAATATCAAGACTCCTATTGTTCTAGTCTATGGTGGAAGTGATTCTCTGGTCGATATTCGTGTCATGCTTAAGGAGCTTCCTCGACACACAATTGCAACAGAGGTGCCACATTTTGAGCATCTGGATTTCTTGTGGGCACAGGACGTTGACAAACTGGTTTTCCCTCATGTTCTGGAAGCATTGCGCTATTACTCCCTCGGGCAAAGCAATAATGGCATTCCAAAAGGTTTGGCATTGTCAATAGCTGACACAGCTCACCTGCACCGCCGTCAGAATAGTGGTAGTACAACTCCATGGTCCGAAGATGATGGCGCGTATTCTGACTATGACGGTGCCAATGATACACCACGAACACCTAAGTTGAAATCCTTTGCCCAGCAGCAACGGGAAAGACAGTACCAATATCAGAACAACAGCCGTCCGATAACAGCAAGCCCCAGTCAATCTGGCCATCCCGCCAATAGTAGTAATAGCTCCATGACTTGGGCTGAACAATTCCAAAGTATGTCAAGCCGGCACAGCCAAACCCCTGTCATGGGAGATGGGACAGACGATCGCCGTAAGGAGTCCGCGACATCAACTTCCCCAGACGAAGCGGAACAGACAGGCGATGGCTCTCAGGCGCAACCCGTCGAGAACAGGGAAGGTGACTTTGGTGCCGCCATAACAACAGCACGTGCAGTCGAAGCAGCAGGAACATCCCCTACCGTTGCACAACAGGTGCAACATCGTAGTCACCATGCTCCAGCAAGGGACACGGACACGGAGAGTGTTGGGTCAGGGCGGTCCAGCCCGAGCACCAATTCGATTCTTCCGGCAGCATTCACTTCTCGAGGCATCAAAGTGGGGAGCTCGAAGCCTAGTGTTGGTCTTGGCTGATGTATAGAAATCATAAGGATAATAACCAAGGGTACAGATATTGATACATAACATATTGACTAAGGCTCCGGTCTCAATACTCAGTTTCGAGACCGAGCCCGTTCTTTCCCCTACACTGTCTCCATTTATTCCCATACCTATGACTTGTTGTAGAGCCACCGATTCGCATCATTAGAGCAAGCTATTTTTATATTCCCTTTTCACACGGATCACGCAGAAGTAAGAAGGAACCATGATCTTTTTGTGGATATTCTTTGGGATTATCTATATATGTCTCTCAACTCTTACATCGACTCTGTCGGTCGATCGTAAAGCCATCCGTAGGGCCCTCAGCCATCCCCACACGCCACGCCCACACGCCACGCCGTGAGATATGTACTCGGACGTATATACATGTAATATGCAGCACCGCTAAAACCAAATCCTTGTAGTAGTAGTAATAGGTAAACACAACACCGGGTCGCTATGCAATGGCTCAGAAACAGAAACAAAAAACAAGTTCAAGTCGTGGGTCGCGTGGGTACAGTTGGAGAAACAGAAGAAAAAGACGGTTTGCCGGTATGTATGTACATTCGTGGGCTCAACGCCGGGGATAATCACAAGGCTGATAGGGCCGCGAGTGCTGCGGCGACGAACAAGCCGAGCAGCGGCACGGATTTGTCCATGGAAGCGGCATTACCGCTTGCGCCCGTTGGGCTGTTGATGCCGCCGGTGGCGGTGCCCGTGGCTCCGCCGAGACGCGCGCCGCCACTCTCAGCGACGACGGATGTGACGGGGCTGGCGACTGGAGTGGCGTTGGGGACGGAGTTGGTGCCGGTGCCGATCTCCTGGATGTCGTTGGCGGTCGCATTGAAGACGGTTTGCGCAAGAGAGATTTCGTTGTTGGCCAGATCGTACACCACGTAGGCGCTGCGGAGGAATGTGTCGCCGAGGACGGAGATGCCGCCTTGCGCGGGCGCGATGCCGAACAGGCATGCCTGCTCGCCGTTGGTGAAGGTCAGGGGGTTGCCACGGCTGTCGGTGCCGGCGTCGAGGAAGAGCTCGTTATACGGAACGCGGATGGTCTGGCCGGAGAATTCGAAGTCGAGAGTCGCCGAGGACGAGGCGAGAGTGCACTCGGCGTACGCGGCACCGACACTATCTTGGTAGACGGCTTGAACTTCGTTGTAGATCAGGGAGGTGATGTCGTTGGGGAGATAGGTGAGGGTAGCACCAGAGTCCAGGAGCACACCAGCTGGGAGTGCATTGGAGTTGGATAGATCTTGACCGTTGATTTTCAAACCGGTCAGCGCGACGACGAGTTCGTAATATCCGCCATAAGTCTGAATCACGGGTACCGTTGCCAGTGACCCTTGGTACTTTGCGGTGTTGACGCCGCCGAACAAGATTTCGCCGGTTGAAGCGTCGAGGTCGTTGAGCCATAGACTGTAGGCATTTGATCGTATGTGACCAGCCTCAAGCAGGGCTGCGGGTAGGTTGGGGTAGGGTTGTAATCCTGCTCGACCAACTTGGACTTCATTGGAAGTATATCCGATTCCCAGAACACCCTCCTCGGAAGAGGACGTCTCGCCGATACCGAACTGAAAGTTCTCGAGGGTCACTCCGCCGAAGTGTAGTGTGTCACTGACGTAGTCGCCAAGCGCCGCGGAGCCGTCAACGTATGAGATATTAAACTCATTGTTCACAAGCTTGTAGGTCGAAGAGGCGCTGGAGGAATATGTACCACCGTTACACTGATTTTGGGACGAAGAGCAGAAGGTGGAATCGGCAGTATTGACCCAAAGGTCGGAGCTACCGGTGTCAATGTGCAGACGGAGGGCTTGTTGGGGAGTGCCTATCGACAGGTTGGCATAGTATAGGGCCTGGTCGTTGTCGAGGATCTGTTCCACCACGTTTTGGCGTTTACCTAAGCGGCGGCGTTCGTGGGCTAGAATGTCTGGGACATGCCTTCGTTCTATGGGTAATGAAATGACTCGGGCATTATCTGAGCGAGGGAGTAGTGGGATGGCGGATGCCAGAGGCGCCACGAGGGCTGCGACAGCCATAACGGCTGTTGACTTCATGATGAGAGGGATGTCGAAGCAAGCAGGAATAAGGTGGTCTGCTTATGTGTAGTGTCAAGAGGTGAAAAGCAGGAATATAAAAATGAGAGCACAACCAGTATCAACAGAAGTGAAGCCAAGGATGGAAAACGAGCGAGCCACCAATATGGATGGAGGTGAAAGCAAGGAATATGAACAGAGAAGTACTCGTAAGATGTGAGGACGAAATCGCATTGTGATGATAATGATTTAATCAGCCACGGGCGTCACTCGGTAGCCGGCGGCGATGATGGAAGGCGCAGCATGGCACCCGCCAAAGTCTGGCTTCGTTAAAGCCAAACGGGGAATTAGAAGACCCATGGTAGCCTGGAATAGGCATGGTGATCGTTTGGCAACATGCAGTCAACCGAACAATTGCAGAGAGTGGTTGGCTGGAGGGTGTGGCGGAGATGGGCAGTTCAGGGCTTTGCCTTGCTCGCCAACGGTGATGGGGGAGATGACGCGGAGCTGCGTGGCCGATGGTCCCTACGAGTCCTCCATATGTAAGCCAGCCTCAGTGTTGAGGAATTGAGGTCGTCATTGATGGTGAATCGGTCCTCCTTGGCACATCATCAACTGCGTGGCCTTCGGTTGGGACGGATGTATCATGATCAAGGAACATGAATGACAATTATCTCTATGTCAATTCATCTTTCTTCTTCAACTGTTCAACAAGGACAAGCTGACCAGGCTGAAACTACGAGGTATGTACCACTGCAGTGGCAGATGCGAGGGGAGCACAAATCTAAAAATATGCCCCTTCAGGCTTCGTTCGTTAAATTTCAGCCTGGGGCATGTGGCGATTGGCCCTGGGTGATAACTTATAAGCCACAGCCCCCTTGAAAGTTGAGAGCTGGAAGCCGGGAACGACCATGATTGGGACGCCTGGGGGCCTGGTCTTGCCTGGGGTTTCCGACACCGATCTGGTCTTGGCACGGCCTTCCATCTCAGCTTTCTTGATTCATCCACTCCATAAAACACATTCCGAGATTGCCGATGCGACGAGTCATGCTTCCATACCACGACCTAGAATGTAATCGAAACGCCGATTGATCCTGTCACGAGTATTCGTAATTTATTCTATCTCAATGACCACTACCTAGGCACTTGAGTATGTAGCGCTTTAATCAGCACCTCCTCAAAGCACATAACCACCTCCAATGTTGGTCCAATGCCGGATTGGTCGTGTATCCTCCAACTCGACACACCACCATAGAATTTCTTTTGCCTTGTCAACTTCTCCTCCCAATTCGTTGGCTCTGGCCAATGCAAGCCATGCCTCTGAGCTATCCCATCCAGTCCCCAATTTGGTCAGTGTCGTGAGGAGTCCATACGCCCGATCTCGAGCGGCGAGACGATTGAGATTTTCCGGTGTCTTCTTAAGCTCATCGTCCTTGACCGTCTGTGAGTGGCTGCTCGAGCCGATCATGTTCTCCAGATTACCGTTGGCACCGGTTTCATCGACCGAAAGTCGGGATATGTCTTGTCGATGTCTTCTGGGTCGAGCTTCAACATGCTCTTCCCCATTTGCAGGACTCCCCTTGCCCCATTGTGAGGTGGCTCCGTCAACTCTCTTTGCAAGGTCGACCTTTCGTTCGTAGTAGTCCAGCAGAACGTTGCTGAGACCCACAATTCCTCCTGCGTGATCATGAAAATACATCAAACACTGCTCATACTGCTCCACTGCTTCTCGAACCCCTGGAGAAACATCGCCTCCCTCCTTTTCCTCGCGCTCATGAGCAATTGCCAGAAGCAGCTCCCCACGTTCGTAGTAGACATCGGCCCACAGTTCGTCCGAGCTCTTGCCCCCACTTCCCCAGCCCGACTGACGAAAAGCTCGCGCTGAACTCTCGACACCTGCAATCAAAGTTTCGACTCGAAGTGCTACTTTGGCCGCCTCGTCACACGCTTCTCGAGAATCCTCAAACATTTTTGCCCTCCGGTAGAGCGTGGCAATCACCAACCAGATTTTGATCAAAACAGTCCACGCCTGTTTTTGTGCTACTTCTCGCGGGAATCGAGTTGCCAACTCTCCTGCAGAGTACTTTGATCGCCCGACTGGCAATCTGACATCCTGCTCGGGTGGCTGTCCATCGTGCTTGACAGGGAGTGGCACTTCTTCATGTGACCCCAAGTTATGTGGTACGGCTTTCAATGGCTGTTTGGCTTCATCACTCGTATCATGACCTGTTTCAGGGGATACTCCAGGAACTTCCTTCGATGAAAGCTTGTCTAGCTCTGATAGGGGAGGTCCCGCAGGGGCTGTTGACGTCGGATCCTTCTCTTTGTTCGTTGGACGAGATCCATGACCTGTCCGTTCTTCATTCCTGCTGCCGCTCCTCGACCGTGATAGACGGTGTCGACTCCGATGTGTTTGCGATTTGCCACTCGAGTCATGCTTCCCATCTCTATTGTGCTCATGTGATGCCCTGAACAAGTGGTGCTTGTGCGGGGATGGCACGTCATCCTCATCAGTGACATGAATAGTTGGCGCATCGGTCGCCTGCGTAGCTCGTGTGTTTGGACGAGTCGCCTCTTCTGGGATGGATGAATCTTTGGTCGTCCTCGGGGCAGTATGCACATCATTTGTTTGCGGTACCTTCCTCCTTGAGAAAAGGCTAGCACGTGAACTTTTCACAGTTCCCGCAGAGCTTTTTGGGGGTTGCGCCAACTTTGTTCTTGAAGTGTTATCAGGACTCGTGAGACCGCCCAATCGCCCGAACAAGCGCGAGTATAGCCCTAATAAGTCGTTACAGCTATTCACCGCGTGCTCGTGGCCTTCATTCAACTCCGTCAATGCGAGTTCGGTGATTCGGATTTCGATGATCCTTCTCAACTCATCGCCTTCCATGTTGTCAACAAGCCCGCTCTTTCGGGCCTCAAACACTTTCTTCTCGGCGACAAACGACCCGTCCGAAGGAGTTCCAAATATGATACTGGATGGGACGAATTGCTCAAATGCCGCTGCACAGCTCTGTCCCGCTGTTCTAAAATCTTGTCTTGACGTAAGCAACAAAGAAAGCAAATGCCAGAACGGTATGAGATCTCTCTGTATTCGATATGAGTCATCCACGTCATTCTCCGGTAATCGAGACGCGAGTGCTCTCTTCACAATCGCTATTGACTGGTCAATTTCTCGAGTCTCCGCAAGCAGGCGAGCCAGTGCAAAAAGTGTTTTCAAATGCTGAGAGGGGGATAGATGAAGTGAGGCTGCACGATGAAGAGCCTCGATAGCCTCGGATTGCAAAGAGCTTCGATTCTCGCTGAAAGGAGTCCACCGTGCCCATTGAGACTTTCCCACACCAATAGCACGATAGACACTATCAGCCACGACAGGCGGCAAGGACGTTTGCGAATGTTGTTCTCCATTCACTCGTCCATTCACACCCGGCACTCCATTTGCTGTTATGTCAGATACCGGCAATGCAAGCTCATCGAGAATGTCCTCAACTTTGAGGCACAAACCATATGCTTTTTCAGCCTCTGCATGCGCCCCTTGAGAACAAAGCCCTTCAATGCCCTCAGCAATCGTTTGCAGAAACAGCTCGTTGGTGTCTTGTCCTAGATCGAGTTCATTGGACTTGGCAGCCCTTGCTCTTCCCCTGTCCATCAGTTCAATATAGGTGTCGAGAGCTTTATAAGCAAGGTCAAAATCGGCAAGAGATTTGTGAAGTTGGAACAGTCTCCGGAGAATGAGTGTCGAGTGGAACGTTTTGGTAGCTGCACGATATAAAATGTCCACCACATTTCTGCCAAAGGAATTGCGGCCGCCTTGACCAAGATCAGATTCCGTCCAGTCCGGGCCACACAATATCTGCCAATTTGAGACAACCTCCTCGACCCAGTCTTCCACTGGCTTGTTTGATTCAGTCGCCTTTGGGAACTGCACATGCCGAAGGAGCTCGCTTTCGTAAGACGTCTCCACCCGACGAATCTCCACAGCCAGATCGGACGGAGTGATTGTAACATACTCAGCAGCTCCTGGCTGACCATGTAAGACCCCTGATACAAATCTGTAATATGCCCTCCACATCGCGAGATTGGACAAGTGGCCGCGAGTATTGCCATAACTAGAGCTTGCAACGGGCTTGTTCTTCACGGTCAGAACTGCCCAATGGCGAAAAGCTTGTAGTCTGAAATCCGAAATATCGTTAAACTCCGCACTAGAAGCCGAGTCTGGTGGGTTGGTGCCCAATGCCACCCTCCCAAGTAGTTGTTGCGCCCAGTAAAGCAGCTGTGGTGTGGAGACCACGAGGCTACGATTGGAGTCCAGCCATGGCAAGATTGTTTGGAATAGATCGTTACTCTGTTTTGCCCGCCCATCGTGGCTTAGAAGCATCCCCTGAATATAGACAGCCTTCACCACACATATCTTTGTCCAAGTGGAACTCGCGTCAGCAGCTGCTCGCGAGGGCTCAAAGCCCAGTCCTGGAGTGATGGAGCCTTTCTGCTGTGTTCCTATCCATCTCGCCCAAAGCAAGCATGATTTTCCTTGGAGTCCCTCTTCGTCCGAATGCTCCGCAGTCTTGATGTCTGCTTCCAGCGAGGAAAGAGATTGGAGAGAAGGTTGTGCGGAGTCGGAAGTATTGGGTCTGCGAGTCGAGGAGGATATAGAGTTGGCAACATCGAGTTCAGCCCTTGCGACCTGTAGTAAGCCTGTGTTCCACAGAAAGGTTAGTGTCAGAAAAATGGGCAGCGTGACCTATGTACACACGTTTGCGATCAGAAGCGTGCTTTGCGACCTTTCGTATTAACTCAGGCACATCTTTCCAAGCCGCAGCAGTCCGCGCAGCATCGAGCTGTTCCATATATCGTTGGCCTTTTTCATTGTGGTGGACCTACGAAGTCAGTCTTTCAGCATGTGGAAGGTTGGGATCTCAGAGGATCATACACTCATTGTTCCCGTGGTGTGTAGTGCGTTGGGGAAAGAGGTTCAGCACTGAAGAGAGCGTTACACATAGTTGTGAAGCATGGCGACAGCTCAATCAGCGCGTTGACAGTCACTGGAATCCGAGAGGGGTCTAAAAGGCACTGCGTTGACAGGTCGATCATTATATTGTTGATCTATCCACTCCAAGTCTCGATGCGCTCATCAGCCACCACGGACTCGGCCTGACCCTCGTTGCCAAGCCTTATTCTTCCACGTGACGATGCTCTCAACCGACAGGTGTGCCGATTTACTAATGAAGTTCACTAGCATCATTAGCCCACTACTGGCTTGAAGCTACAACTGGCCTTCACAAATACTATGCACCACGAGTAAACGAAACTCCTCCTGCTGCGGCGTCAAAATCCATACACTCCTTCAGACCTAAAAGCATGAAGTGTTCGCGGACCCCTCTGTTGCCTGGAGGCTTCTGTATCGCACCGCTCTTTAAGTTCTTCATTGCTTGGGCCACATGTTCAAAGACAGGTCCGAGTGCTGCAGCTGGAAAAATGATGATTCTGAAGCCCAGGTCATTGGCTTCTTTGGCTGACAGGTAAGGAGTTATTCCCCCAACAACCATGTTGAGCAGCACTGGGGTCGGAGCAAGATCTCGACACACATTACGGCACTGGTCCCTTGTGGTCATACCTTCGAGAAACGCAACGTCGGCGCCGATGTCAATCGCTTTTTGGAGTCGCGCAATAGCTGCCTCGTATCCCAGAGATTCAAGGGAGTCAGTTCGTGCGATGATGACAATGTCTTGCACACCTTCAGACAACGCCCGCAGCTCCTCACGAGCCATGACCGCCGCTCGAATACGGCTCAGGAAGACTGTCTCATCCACTAATTCCTTATTGGCAAGATGGCCACATCTTTTGGTCACCACTTGATCCTCAATATGTAGGCCGGCGATCCCTGCCCTGATATACCCTCGCACAGTTCTAGCCACCATCAAGGGCCCTCCGTAGCCAGTATCGGCGTCAGCAATGAGCGGAATTCGTGGATCAAGAGAGGCGATCATGCTAGCATTAGCTAACATGTCGTCCATAGTCGCGCAACCTAGATCTGGCATTCCAAGCCTACTTGCTGCTGTGCCGGCGCCTGTCATGTAGAGGCAGTTGAAATCTTCGTTCAATGCAAGTCGCGCACTAAGACCATCATATACACCAGGGGCCATGACTATCTTTCCTGTCTGTCTGAGCTGTTGTCGTAGCGTTGCGGCAGCAGTTTGACCCGCAGCCTTAGGAGTCTCTTGGGAACTAGGTATCGGATTGGACGCCATATGGCCGGAGTAACTCTACAGATTGTCGTTCAAACGAGGCGCAGATATCTTCAGCGGTCTAATGAATCCGCGAAGACGGTTTCCTGTACTGAAGAGAAATCAAATAACTGCCCGAGGTCGACTCGTACAGAATGGTTAGCACCAGGATGGCGCTGCCTTCAGCCTTCTTCTTTAATATGTGTAATCTTTCAGAGTTCTGAACAGGCAAACGTACGGACCGGAGCAGGAGGTTAAGCAAGCTACCATTTGCCTATGCCAACATGCTTCTGTCTCAATTTGAATTCATGGGTAAGCGAACCTGAGGCGCAGACAGCTCAATCAGCAACTGTCCCATGGAGAGGCACCACCACCTCCGAGGAGGAAGCCCGACAATTCGGCTACAGTGCCAGCTAAAGGTTGAATTCAAATCTTGGCTCCCTTGCTATCAGCAGCAACAGAGTGAGGAGACTTCATGGCGAGGGCCGAAGAATATCTAACATCAAGTGTCTAGTCATTAGGTAAGTCTAGTTGCCGTGCTAGCTAAAAGCCTGTGCGGCTTGTTCTAGACTCTACATTTCAGTTGAATAGGAAGCATATGGTAAGCCAATACGTCTCCTATTTGGTGCCTTGAACATGCTATGATGGAGGTCATTGTCAAACCAAGCTAACAAGTCACTTTGATGGAAACCTAGCATCACAATCCCCTAGAAATGATTCTGGGCTAAGTCCTAGTCACTTAAGCCTGGAATCTTGGTGACTGTGAGATGTTCGCCAGTGCTACCAATCTCAACCTTCTCTGACGGAATTACGACTGTCATGAAGCGGCAGTATTCAGATGTCGCATTTTTCCATGCATGCAACGTGCCTCTAACAGAATTTGTTGAATGTCAGCACACTTTTCTCATCAGAATACCACAGATAAGAAGCCAATTAAGGCGACGTGCCTCTTCCTTACTTTTGGACATAAACATCCCCCTCTCGCAGAGTCCTTTCAACATCGTCATCGAGAATCAATTGCAAGGAACCCTTCAACACGACGCCATAGTCCAAGCTCTGATTTCTGTGTAGGTAGGGAAGCTTGCCGACTGGTGTTGGAGGCAAGTCGACGACCTGGCAGATAATTCCTGACTCTCCTTGACCCCTTCGGACGTTGTCTGGTGTCAATTCCTCGATTGAGCCTTGTATAGCGACTGGATATCCCCTTGTCCGGTGAATGAGGGTAACACCCAATGGAAGTGATCCTGCGTCTGAAGAAGTGGAAGAACTTGTTGAGAATGGATCGATAGGCTTGAGGCATGCATCATGTTCGAAGACCGCTTTTCCTTTGGCGTCGTGGCCTGTAACCAGTCTTCTCACAGAAGGCAAGTGGTGTTGCTCTAGCTCCATTGGACCTGATTACTATGATGGACCTTTGTGGTGGGGAAAAGCGCAGACTAGTCTTGTCATATGCTTGCCCGCTGATCATCAATCCGACTAAGAGGTCAATTGTCAGAAACTCAAACCTTCCTAGTTCCCCGGGAACGCAAAGCTCACCAGTTATGAGACTCTCTGGTACATCCAAATGCAGATCACAAACGAGGCACGAAGTTTTCGTGCATGTGGCTCCCAGGCGAATTGTACAACGGCTCGCACTGGATTTTGCAGATTAGAGGTTTCGCATTTTAAAGTTGTTGAGGGACGCAATTGGGTAAGAGTTGTGAGCAAATCCGACTTCTCGCATCTACTCCGAAAAAGCTAGCAGGTGGTGCGGCTTGCTGCAATACCTTCTCCTGCCGACAACCCGGAGAGTGACCAGATCTCTGATCCATCTTACCTTCGGACCATATGTACGAGTGCGGTTTTTCGCTCATGCCGTACTAGAAACACTGCATGGCATTCAGTGACAAGGTTCCTCATAAACAACAAATCTTACGGTGGTTGAATTGGCCTGGAATGTTGGAGCCCAGGAGTGTTACACCACCACGACAGTATCTCTATGCACAAGAGGCGCAGGAAACTACCCAGGTCCTCCAGAGTTATTGTCTAACAGATCGCAACATTCATCCAAGGCACATTCACTCAGCAAGCCAACGTGATCCAAGAATGATCTCCAAGGCCCTTCCACAGGTGGACCATTTCGTGCCTGTGCCTGAAACCAAAGAACAACTGGAGTTTGCCGATCTTGAAATTCTGGATTTCTCTCAATATGATGAAGGCAGTTTGCCCGCTAAGCAGGCCTTGGCGGATCAGGTGCAAAAAGCAATGACTACGCATGGATTTTTCGTGATTGTGAATCACGGAATTAGCGAAGCAGACGTAACCCGCATGGTGGATATTGGGCATACAATTCTTCGACGAACATCAGCGCAAGAGAAGCATCGACTTCAGGCTGACATGCTAGGGAAGGGCTCATATCCTGGTTTTAAACCTCGTGGTCACTGGAAATCAGGGGGGAAGCAAGGTGATAGAATCGAAAACTTCAATATCAACCGCAATCTGGATCAAAATGAGCAGCCTCAGACGTTCGAGCCTTATCGTTCGGAAGTTCAGGGGTTTGTGGATATCGTGCATAAGGACATCCTATATAAAATCCTACGCCTCCTAGCCAGAGCACTGGAGATCGAGGCCGAGGATTTCTTTGTGAAACTCCACGATTATGCTAAGCATGACGAATCATGGTTTCGCTGGATGGAATATTATGCTGACAAAGAAGAGAATGATTGTGGGGAGAACTCCCCCTGGTTAGGTGGTCATCAAGACCTGAGTGGTCTATCCTTACTATTCAGTCAACCTATGACAACCTTGCAGGTACGGAACTATCAAGACGATGCACAGTGGAAATATGTACCTCATATTCCGGGAGCCATCATCGTCAACGCCGGCGAACCGTTAATGTGGTGGACCGGAAACTATTTCAAAGCAGCAGTGCACCGTGTGATTGGACCGCCATCGGATCAGCGGGGTCATGATCGAAGCAGTGTATTTTATTTTGTCGTGCCCAATGACGATGTGGTTATCAACACATTACTCGACGAGAGTCCGGTTTTGCGCCGTGCGAACATTACTGCGAAGTGGTTTGAAGAGGGCCAAGCTCCCACCAGCAAAGACTGGGTCAACAACCGCATCAGGGTTACTGGTCAAAAGGTTCTAGACTTTAACGAAGGAGGTCAAGAGCAAGCTAAGAACAGTGTTGAACAAAAGATCGGGAATGTCACTACCACTTGGTTCAAATGAACAGTCAAATGCGCGAGATCCTCAGAAGGGTTTTGCTTTTAGTGTTGCAGAACTTGGTGCCCACCCAATGGAGGCTGACGGCGAATTGTCATGATGGAAGCCCTTTGATAGCCTAGATGCCAATCTATCCCAGCCCGATGTGAATTTCGTTAGGTAACAACTGCGGCCAGCTCAGATACTGCTCAGTGTTCAGCTCCGAGAACTCGGAATTTCAATATCCGTAGAGTTCTTTTTCATAATGCCTTAGCAAATTCTCCTTGGCATTCAACCTCGGGCGCGGGTCTCTGTCATTGATGAGTGACAGAAGCGGGCTAGCAATCTCTCCACAGACTGAAGTCCTGGTACTATCGTTTCCACTCTCTCCGCTCAACTCATTTCAGTGGCATTGTGTGCCCTATACGTTATTTAGCCTCGGGGCAATTATACCTGAGATCTCCTGAAGGCCAAAGCAGAGGCGTATGCTGAATCGTATATATCACTCAACGTTGGTGCACACTGCATCCAAGAGTATTGGCACAGAGTGTCGGCACAATTAAAGAAACAGAGTCCTTTACGCAGACAATGGCTAATAATGGCAATGGCAAGTCAAATGGAGAGAGCAGCTACTTCGGAGAGGCCTTCACGGCACCTGGACTGCCCCGCTTCACAAGGACCATCACTGGCCACGACGAACAGGATGGGAGCACTCGTTTCCTCGTTCGTGATGAAGGGGACCACCAGGTCGTCAGGAAGGCTAAAGGTTTCGACTTCGAAGCAGCGCAAACGGTTCTCTACGCTACATTTGGAGTACCGGTCGATCTAAAAGATAACGATGATATCCGGGCCGTCCGTGAGGGCTACAAGGTATGAGATGACCCAATGCTCCCAATTGCACAGAAAGTTCCCCAGCTGCTGTTTATTTTGAGACTACCGGCTGACGCTGTCAAACATAGGGAGGCCACCACATAAAGAACGGCACATTCGTATCAATGCTCGACTTCAGCCCGGGTGCGGAGACGCCGATGCACCGTGGAGAGTCCATCGACTACAACGTCGTGATTGAGGGAGAGTTTGACCTAGTGCTAGACTCCGGAGAAGTAACGCGGATGCGTAGAGGTGATGTGAACGTCCAACGCGCCACCAACCACAAATGGGTCAACGTTTCTGGCGACAGGAAGGAACCGGGTCGCCTGTTCAATGTCCTGATAGATATACAATTGCCGTTATCTGTAAATGGCCAAGATCTCAAAGGCTTCTCAGAAGGTTACCCTGCAGAGTTGGGCTATGGATATGGTGTCGAAAGGCATGAACATGCCGGTAAAGCTGTGGATGAGTCAGTAGCCACCAGTTAATACTTGGGGTCGACCGCCACATTGGTAGGCGATACACTTCTTAAGCCTTAACAATTCAGAGCTCTCAATCATTTGAATTCGAATTCGGCCAGGTTCATTGCCTTATTTGTATCTTTTTGGCTGTTCGTTCCGGCTTTGCGAACAATAACGTTCTTTAGATAACTTAAGAGTGGGCCCCATTGTCTTCGGGTTTATGCACGCGCATACTTTGGAACAGCTATATTGATCGTTAAGGTGTACTGACACAGAGTTTCGCCCTTTTGGGTATGCAAGTAGGTGAAAAATTCCAGAACCATTCCAGTGCCACTCGATTGAACCAGCGAACTTCGATTGTGCTATTGATATGTATCCTGTGGCTTGCTTCTCCTCAATTGTTCTTCTTGAGGTACTCGACTCCCCTAAGTGCAGACACAACGGCTTTGATGCCTACAAGTGGCCATCCGCTCCAAGCGGCATCCCACAGATTCGGAAGGGAGATCTTGCCTGTCAGCACACCAGTAACGCTGATTGGGACAACTTGAGCCTGGTTATTGCCTGAATCTCCCACAGCTGTTCTGACCTTTTGATAAACGTTGGGTAGTCCATCTGCTCCATACTTTGTCCGCAACTTCTGATACCATTCACGATCGTAGATGGCCCAGAATTCTTCCTCGGTATAAAAGGTATCAGCATAGAGCCACTTCATCCCACGCAGCGACCACAACTTTGTTTCCACCCGTCGGTTGCAGGCGACTCGGTCTTCTGACGGGCAGCGCGTCCACACACCTATGTTTAGGAGAGATTCGCCGGTTGTTCTACCGGGTTCGGTTGGTGAGGGGGTATGTGGATTCATAGAAATCCGCTCATTCTGTTTGATCGGGCACAACCACAAAGGGTATATTGCATACTCATCGTGCATCCAGTCCATAAATTCCGCTGCTGTCGATTGAGGGAGACAGAGATCTTGTATCATGTACCCAGCACCCAGTTTGCTGGCGTGCAGACCATGATATAATATCCGAGTCGACATGAGCCAATCTAGAGCAAATCTTGTGACGCGGTTGAATGGGACACCGAACCATTCGAAGACAAAAGTACCGGTCCAGAATGCGCCACGGTCGTAACGAAAAAAATACTCTGTCGTCAAAGCCAATTCTCGGTAAGGTCTTTCTTGGAATTTGTTTCGTGCCAGCGTATCTTGGGCATGTAAGTAGAACCACTGATCCCAGCGTCCCGAGAAGGAAATGATCGGAGGAGCCTTTCCCTTCTCATACAGATCGAGATCCATCAGAGAGCCAGACACAATGACGCCGCTGTCTTTTGAGAACATGATACCATCCACGAAATCAACAGCAGGAGACGACTCCAGATCTTTCATCTTTTTCTGTGCGTCCGAGAATGTGTCGACTGGGTGGTATGACAACTCAACAAATTCACGCGCGGGAATAAGTCGAACTTCGAAAAGTGTTGTCACACCAATCGTGCCGAAAGTCGCAGCAGATCCATAAAAGAGATCTGGATTCTCGACAGGCGAAGCGGTGACGACTTCACCATTGGCAAGAATGACCTCGACCCAGTTAATACACTGATCAAAGAAGCCATATCGAAACGAACTCGACTCGCCGCCAGTCCCTGCAAAGGCACCACCAACTGTGATACCAGGAAACTCGGGAACGACAGGTGGTATAAGACGAAAGGGTAGAGTAGCAGCTACCAATGCGTCCATAGGGACATTGGATTCCACAAGACATGTTTGTGCCTGTGGATCGACTGAAAGAACATTTTTGAGCCCTGACGTGTCGATGGATGTTGCATCCGAGAAGAGATAGGATCTTGTGCTATTTGTTCCACCATGGTATATTCGGAATGGGGTTTTTTCTGCGTGGAAACGAGCGATGCGATGTGCGAGTCTCGACACCGCTAAATGGTGTATGTCCATTTTAATGCGCTTTCAAGGTGTAAAGATCAGTAAAGCTGGTGGCATATTAGGAGACAAGCTTGGGGCGGGTGACAGTCCAAGTGAGGCCGTGGGGTAGAATGGCGACCGCCATTGCTTTCTATGACTGACAGGATACATGGCAAGGTGCAATTTACAACAGGGAAAGGAAACTGAGGTTCCACGACTGCTCTGGCCCAATTCCCAACTTGCTTAAGGTTGGCAATAGCCCACTTTGTGGCACTCCTTCAGACTTCAGTCGAAGGCGCCACATCAACCTGAGGAAAGAGCTAAAAAGCACTCCACAACAAATATCAACAATTCGCACGCAGGCAATGAGTTGTCGTCCATTTGCGAGAACAAATACCTATCTGTGAAACGGTGAGAGAAGCGAAATCACCAGCGCATTTCCGAGACACGACCAGTGCTCGTCCAGAAGGTGGTTGGAGGAGTTGCCAGAGCGCAGGCTTGACATAATGCCTGGTTTGCAGTGGCGCATCCGTGTCTGAGAGCGCTTTTGTGAACCGAACCACTTTGCTTGCGAGTTGGCAATGTTGTTGTTCATATCTCAAGTGAGAAATGACTAGTCATGCTTCTAAGCGGCAGGCCGTTTTTATTCACTGGCTGGACGCCGATACGGAGGACAAGACATGTTGGGGACGGCTGGCATCCAATGTGATGGATTTGTTTTGGTGACTTTGACTTGCTTCGTGTTAGAACTTAAAGTCAGGAGGCGGGCTGAAATAGGCGGCTGAGCACGGCTGGAACCCCCCTTTTTAGGAATGACATCGCATGGTTAGGGAATCCCGTCCGCGTCCCCATTTCTCCGGCTTGTGAAGTGCCACAGCTGGTTGACTGGTTTGGGAAGGAGTTCTACAAAGATTGTCTGAGATACTTAGTACTTAGCTAGTACGAACACGAAATGCTTGGAATCTTAACCTCCACATCTGAAGGCTCAAAATCTCGGAAACGTGCACTTACAGTTCTGAACATGGCCTATCCGTACGAGTCAATTCATCCCGAATCGGCCTTACCGCAGGCTTGTATCCTTCAGCTCAGCCACTGCAGGTGTCCCGGGTAAGCCATGGCCACGATTCAAGCACTCTCTCTTGAATGACTCTCCTTTAAGAGGGCATTCAATTGCCACCTTTCATACTCATACCAGGCGAAAGGATATCACGACAACCTCAGAAATAATGACGCTAGTCCCGGGCTCTCAGTTCACGCACTTCACCTACAACCCTAGCTTGGTTGGCAATGGGCTTTACATTGCCATACTGTCGGTCTGTTTACTCGCCCAGGTCGTTCAAGGTGTACGCTATCGAACATGGGACTTCACAGCGCCAATGCTGGCAGGGATCTTACTCGAGCTGATGGGTTATACGGCACGAATCTTCATGAACAAGGATCGCAGCAGTAGAGAGGCTTTTCTCTTGTTAGCATACTACTCAACATCACTTCGTGCTCAGGGACTGATATGATGACACAGGGACAACATCACCCTCATCCTCGGACCGGCATTCCTGGCTGCTTCAATCTATCTGTGCATGGGTCACCTCGTCAAGGTCTATGGTGAACATCTCTCTGCTCTCAAGGTGGGTTTAGAAAAAGAAATTCGCTGCTGCATCCTTGTGTTGACGGCCAATCAGTCTCGGACATATCTTCTGATCTTCGTGGCGTGCGATCTTCTGAACTTGATCCTCCAAGGAATGGGAGGAGGCATTTGCTCGACCCAACAGCAGCCCAAAGGAATTCAAGCAGGCATAAATATTGTTATCGCTGGCCTCGCCACCCAGGTGGCTTCTTTATTCATCTTTATTCTTTGTTGCCTCCATTTCGCCAACAACGTTCGTCGTCAGTCGTCGAAGAAGCTATCTGACTGCGAGCACGTGAGACAATCTCGGTCTTTCCGTGCATTTCTTTTTGGTATGTCCTCCCTTTGAATGCAATATTTGTTGTACAACTGGCTTACAGGAGGGTTTCTTCATAGGCATTGGTTTGGCGACATTATGCATCTTCATACGATCGGTGTTCCGTATCGTAGAGTTACGGCAAGGCTTCACTGGGCCACTTGCAAATAGTGAAGTGCATTTCATGGTATGAAATGCTATGTTATCCACTTACTGCCAATGACTGACTTGGAAAGGTTCTGGAAGGTGCCATGATCCTGATTGCCACCGGTGCACTTACCGTTTTCCATCCTGGTCGCTGCTTTCAGGGACATTGGAAAATCCTAGCGATCGAGAAAGATGAAGAGCCTGGTTATGATTCAGATGGCTCGCGTGTGTCAGATCAGCCAAGAACATCAGGGGCGGCAGTAAAAGAGTGCTCAACCATCTCGGCACAGGAAATCAAAGCACAAACACAGCATTCGGTCGCCGAGGTAGTCCTAACTCCAATGGCAAGTCCAAAATAACGGTTGCGAATCTCGGTCGAGTTGGTTAGCGTGCCCTTTGTTATTAGCGAAGACTGGTTGAACTCTGCTTAGAATACTTACTTACGATTAATGTAGCGCTCTTTGACAAATTATGATCTTGTCTGACTGATGAGGCTCACGAGCGCAAAGGCCACAATGAGCGTTGCATCGCCTGAGCTACCTCATCCACATTATCTGTCAGTTACCAGACTATTTACATATTTTACGGTAGGAGAATCTCACCAGCTTAATGTCTCGATAGTCGTGAGAGAGGTGTGCAAATGCTTGTCAAGTCAGAAGAACCTCTGGCGTGACCTCACAAGCCACTACACGCTTGACGAAGATCACGCCCTCGTCACCCGTTGCACACCTCGCATACAAATATTAGTCATACATATCTCTACCTATTTCACTAGAGGTCATTGTCATAAGAACGGTACGACGTTCTTCCACCTCCCGCAGGGAGCGGGACGACTGTCGCTCCGAATGACCTGACTGGACGTGAGTATTATGTGTGTCCGAAATTCTCGGACATGCCAGAAAAGGCTTGAGAGCCTACTGACTAACTCGGACCGCGATGAGGAGTTGATATCGATCTTGACACCATCCACACACGCAAATCTGTAATATCAAAACAAGAGCAACCGAGCTCTACCAGAGTGGACCATAGATTTTCATATTCCTATTTAATGTGTTTATCGAGCCTGACATCTCGGACCCATTAGTGGGAAGCACATCAGCACTGGTTACCACGACCCATGACTTCCAAATTAATAGTCGTTGTCGGCGCCACTGGTACACAGGTGAGTCATTCCATTTCAAGTGTCAAGGTGAATGGAGATTCCTCGTTGGGACGATTGTTGAGACGATGTTGGCCTTACCCCGGATCAAGACTAATACTGGTTGTGCTCTACAGGGCGGCTCTGTGGTACGCACATTTTCGAAAATCCCTGGCTGGGAGGTTCGAGCCATAACACGCAAACCTGATTCAGAGGCAGCTCGAAGGTTGAAAAACTCGACGCCGAACATCACAATCTACAAGGCGGATTTGGATGATGTCGAGTCCCTGAAAGCAGCATTCGAGGGAGCCGATGCAATCTTCGGCGTGACGGATTTCTGGCAATTTGTTCCACAATACCGAGGTAACACACAAGAGGTATGGGATCAGGCTAAGGCCCAATACAGTCACGGAGTGCCTTTGGATACCAGCAACGCCAAAGCAACTTGGAATGAGGTATGCTACCTTCGAGAGTTCCAACAAGGAAAGAACATAATCGACGCTGCTGCACATGCAGTTCCAGGACTTGAGACACTTGTCCTCAGCTCATTAAGTGATGCACAAAAGGCCAGTAATGGCAAATATACTTGGGTGTACCACTTCGACAGCAAGGCTCACTACGTCAAATACTTGAAATCGAAAGCGGAGAGTGGAGAGTCAAGTTACCAGTTACTGCTGAAGAAAACGAGCTACCTGCAGATGGGTTATTACCTAGATAACTGGAAGATGAACCCTTTTTTCACTCCTAAGAAGGTTCGCATCTCCTTGGGCTTTAATGTCCTAGCCTAGTTCACCTCGCTGGAGAACGCCTTACCGCTCTATGGGGCACAGGTGACTAACAAATCTTTAGGGGGAGGATGGCACAGTTCTCTTTAGGTCCTTCGACCCAATTGACACAGGAAAGGCCGAACATCCGACGCCTTTTGTCCATCCACCGACAGACACTGGCCCTTTCGTCGAAGCGCTGGTCCTCAAGGCAGCTCCAGGCACCGTATTACTTGGGACTTCCGGTCCAATGCCCTTCAACGATTACATCAAGTTATGGGGCCAGATCCAGGGTTTCGAGACTAACGTCCAGTATGTGAGCAGCGATCAAGTGGTCGAACTATGGCCAGATGGGTTTGGACTTGAGCTCGCCCAAACCGCTAGTTATGTTCGGGATTACGGCTGGGATGGGGGTGAGAGAGCCATCTTGCCAGAGCAAGCCGGTGTGGATTTGAGTGCGTTAACAGACGTTACATCGTACATCAAAAGCACTGACTGGAGCTCTGTCCTAAATAACTGAACCCTTAGTACGTGCCGTTCTGTAAGGGTTGTTCCGTGCATAGTAAGGATAAATTCGGGTTGAAAAGCTGGTGAACTACTGTGTCAGTCTTCGCATTCTGGTATTACCCACGTTTCCTATATTTAATTGCCAGGCACAGAGCCGTTGTTTGCATCATTGCTTTGGAACTGCGGTGGCAGACATATGGCCTGGTCTCCTGACCGGCCCTAGGCACTTGATGGCTTACTCTTGCCAAACTTTCATGGGAGAACTCAATCTTTCGCCGAGCACGTGCTCACATCATCTCCAGAAGTGCAAATCCTAATAAAGGAAGGCGAGATTGCGCAAAAACTGTTACTTGACGCAAAATATCCCAACTTAAGTTCGGTTCCGCATGACCGCGTTTCAAGATGCACATCTCAAGCCCAAAATGAATTATCTTGAGGCCAGGAAAAGCTGCTTTGTAGAAAATTGAAGGCTGAGATGTCGCCCTCCAGAGGGGGAAAGTAGTCCTCTGCGATATAAGGCACAGGGACCTCAGGTATGATATGATCCACAACACTGGAGGGTACACTCTGCATTGCAGATGGTATCTCATCTCGGAGATCCTGATGTTCGTGTTCCTGTACTTGATACTGTCGGAACTGGTTAACTTTTCGCCCGGCTGGTGGTATGCAATCGTAGACGATATCCATCACCTTGTCAAAGTTAGCAAGAGGATGACAGAGCATGGAATAATCTAGTCTTACTCCTTGTCCACGTGTTCTCACGTTGAGGCTATTCTGTGTCCCATCAGGGAGTCGGAAGCAGTAGTCATCATTCCAAAGCGCTGATAAACTGGCTGCCGTCTGCGCATTCACATCCCCGATTTGTAAACTCCGGCGTTTTAACAATTTGACAATCGTAAAGTAAGCAAGTTCGCCCTTGGCAACATCGACTTTCACCTTGAGTTCCTGGCTGTGAGATATTCGTAGGATCACCACTGCGACAAGAACCATGTGTCGAAAGTAGGATTCCGACGAATATAAAGCCCAGTCATTGTCGTTATCCATTTTGCATGCTTGCTGAGTCCATTGACATGCAAGTTGATGCAATTCGATGAGGTAGGAGAGATGCAAACATATGTCTGTTCCGAAGAAATGATATGCGTTGAGGTGAATTCGAGACATTCCAACGATGAGAGGGTTCGGGTACATCTGAGCTCTACTGCCGGCAGAAGCTGCTCGGTCCCCGGAACTCGTTCGCTCTGGTTGCATCTCCTTCAGAGCTTTCCGGCTCATTTCAAGGATCTGCTCATCAAACACCTGGATAAGCCCGTTCAACACCAGGTCCGATTGACATTTGACTCCGTCATTCGTGGCACACACGAGCTCCGTCAAGGTTATTGTTAAACGAGTGGAAAGTTTCTCAAATCTCTGCATCCAATATATACTGGACGGTACTGTTCTAGCAAGACTCCCGTCATAACTCGCGAGGTCGAACGCATCAGAAAGTAGATGCGGTGGTGAGCCAATAGTCCAGCTTGTACTTCAAGGAAACCAACGTGAGAATTTGAACGTGGAGAAGCCATAGAAATCTTACCAGTGGCAGACAAATTCCAAGTACGACCAGACTCGTGCTATATTCGCGTCTTGAACGATACTCATGATGCTTGTCGGTTGTATAGATGTTTGTTTCTGGGTGAAAAGATGCAACCGATGCTGTAGTGCGAGTTGCATAGTCGCACCACAGTACATGGGTGAAGGGTCTTCTGCTGCAGTCTGCATAGGTAAAGGCCAAACACAGAGTACTAAAAGCCCACAGATGGTAGGGAAATATCCTTTGACATGCAATAGTGCTTCCAATGCCAGGCGATTCACACCAGGGATAAGTCGTTCCAAGACCGTGGGATCTGTATCATATCTTCTTGAGCCCGTGATAACAATACACCAGAAAATGAAGGGCGATAATCGATAGTATGAGTCGGGCCGCGGTGAAGGGTTGAATATCGGGAGGATCGGATGATAATGCTTGAAGAAGCTAGGTATCTCTTAGTCGCCGGTTGAGGACTTCACTCTTGATTGGAGGGTTAATTTCTTGAAAACTTACAGTGCGAAGCATTCATCTATCTTTACAGACTGAATCGATATATCGTTGATCGAGCGTGCTTTCGTATTCGACGATGCTGGAACGGCCGATGACATGGAAGGGTTTATTGTGGTAAAGGGAGAGTCGACCGACAGATCACTTGTTGCTTCAGCAGCGATCGGGCTATCTTGGTGCCTTCGACCAGCGGACATGGTCGTCATCGAACTCCCACCAACATGACATTCCTCATCTTGATGATGAGACAGCCCTACTGGTTCTCGGGCGGATGGTGAATGCGGGTTTTTTCGCAGCATATCAATCTCGCGTTGCATCTCTGCTTTGCTGGTACATGAATTAGCTGAGATTTATGTTTACACAAGGTAAGACGCAAGGTAACGACGCAAGGTACATACGTTCGCGCCCTTTTTCTCTGAAATGTGGCTGAGAAATAACAAGGAATACCATTCGATGTACACCTACTGCATGATATGCTGCCCTTCTGTGAAGCATCGCATCTCAACTAACGGGCAGTAAGTTTATTGGAAGACGCCATTTTCACTGGCTTCTGTGGTGTCATACCTTTTGTTGTCGGCAAGGTGTACACGCCTTAACCTTTTTCGAATGCTGCAAGGAGCTCCTTTCCGGATGCCTGGCAGCTCCAGCACTCTGCGTGTCTCTTTCTATGTCCATTGCAGAAAATACTTCAGTAGCCGATCCGTTGGAGAGCGAGTTCCTTCTCGAACAGTATGTGAAAGAGGATAGGTCAAAAATTACCCTGAAACAAATTCGAGAACAAATGTTCCCCACTGTTCCGGCTTTGGGGGTCGAGGGGGCATGTCTGGGGAGTTTTCGATCTCTTGACGGTTCGGCTATCAGTTCTGAAGTCTGGGGTCTCGGGCCCCTCATCAGCTAACTAGTACGCACATTGACTGTTGGTTGCAAACGGGGTATTCAGCATACCCGTCGGACCAATTATTGTCCCCTCGCTGGGACGACTTTTGTGAGAAAAACATGTCCGAGAACTCGGAGACACGAAATATGAGCCGAGGCAAAGCCTCGTAGCCTGAGTGCTTTGTCCAATCATTTGTGGCATCTACTCCCATTCGAGCAACCAATACACAGCTTTACTTCTGCTTTACTTAGCACTCGCACGTGCCTTGATCTGATCGCAGTATGCCGAGAATAAACCCCAGGACAGAAAAGAAACGCGACATGTAGAGAGAGCGAAATCCGACAAGTCGCAGCAAGGACCACTTCAGGGCATCGCGAAATGGATGTTAAAATCGCAAGCGTCAAGCAGCAGGTGTGACTTGTTTCAAGCTACGCTTTGCTAAAACCATCGACAGTGTTGTGAATCTTGTTGACCAAGCTTACACGTCTTGACTGTAAAGAAGATGTCTACCACTACAGTGACTTATACAGAGGACAAAGATGGGAACCAGTTTCCTCTACCTCTCACGAAGACCGCACTATTGTCTCCTCGAGGGTTTACGTTCTTCAACAACCGAACGGGACACTTTCCCGGACAGTTGGAACCTATCCGAAAAGTTAGATATCCAAGGTATGAGGTGTAAGCCCTGCTTTTAGGAGAATTTTGTCTAACTTGGCTACACTTCGTCCAGATTCGAAACATTCGAGAAAGAACGAGCGTTTCGTAAATTACACCATGCAGCGGCCTTGAGATGGCTTGGTTCTCAGGGATATGGCAATGAAGGTGCTGGTGGCCACATGACAGTTCGCGATCCAGAGCTGGAGGATCACTTCTGGATCAATCCCTTCGCTAGGAGTTTTCATCATCTGACACCTGATGATCTTGTCCTGGTCAATGATAAGGGTATTGTAGTTGGTGGCAACATGCATTGTGTCAATCCAGCAGGCTACTTTATCCATTCCGCAATTCACAGAGCTCGCCCAGACGTCCATGCAGTTGTGCATATGCATACCATCGCAGGTAAAGCCTTTTCGGCCTTTGGGAAAGAACTTCCCATGTGGAATCAGGATTGCTGCCAGTAAGCTTTTTAAACCCCGTTATAAATGTCGAAAAACCAGAAACGTTGAGGCCATTTTACTAACTGCTGAATGGTACACAGATTTTTTGAAGCACAAACAGTCTTTCCTGCTTTTGATGGATTTGTTCTGGCTGCAGATGAAGGGGATGCAATCGCAAAGGCTTTGGGGCCTACAAATAAGGCAATCATCTTGCAAAATCATGGCTTGTTAGTCGTGGGTAGATCACCTGATGGTGCTGCCTTCACTTTCGGTGCTTTGGAACGCTGCATCGAAGCTCAATTCAAGACTGAGAGCTTGTCTCAACTGACCGGCTTCAACCCAACCCTAGTCACTCCCGATATGGCTAGAGGAGTGAAGAAATACTACGTGGATGAGTTCCAGTATCTCACATTTCAGCCTGCGTAAGTCTACCCACCTATCAGTGCTAAATGCCGGCTAACAGTACGCCAAATCAGCTTCGAAGACATGGTGCGTGCTTCAAACGGAGTTTTGCCCATGGAGACTGATGGAGAGATTTATCCTGATTGGGATGCTCCCTGATTCTCGCGGTGTAGTTAGGTAGTCAGTTGCAACGCCAGATCTCAAAGTAATGTGGCTCTGGTATTGACTGCTACCACACGAATCTGAGCTTCGAGTTTCTTGAGGGTTATGAGCCAGACTTGGAGTTTCAGCAGACCGTATATGACGATCAGACACTGGCTATTGCTGGCGAAAATGATTATTTAACTTTATCTGTCACTATCCCATCAGAATCTAGAATTAGCCAGAAACGGTCCCAGTAGATCTTATTCCGACTAGCGCTCTCCTGAAGTGAATGCAGAGAAAGATTTAGTGGCACAACCCCCAGACAGCCTGAGGCACGATGGCAGTGATGAGCCTCAAGGAGGCCCTAAGTCATGCTGGCGAAGAGTCTCGAATACTCTCCCCGGAATCTAAACTTCTGGAGACGCCCATCCATGCAGATCGGCAAACTCTTCGGATTTCCTCTTAAGGAATCACTCGGTGGTTCTAATGTCCGATTAATCATGCTGAAGGTGTTCAAAGTACATCCCTGTCAAGCAAACCATCCATCCAGCGCCAGGAGCCATTGGTCTGAAGAACGTGGAGACCCCTCAATTCCGAATTCTCGGAGTGCAAGCATGTGGGGTCGATTGGGACTGCGATAGAGCACAGGAGTGTCGGGCTTTATGGCCATGAAATTAGACCTTGCCAATGCTGGACCTGCTACGTTAAATCTGGGTTTCGTGTTGTTATTTAAGTCATCATCTAGGAGGAATCATGCGGTGCCAACCACATCTATCACTCGTCTACGGAAGGACTGGAAAGGCAGATTTCAAGACCACTTCACGGATTGGTGGACCAGAATGGCTGTGAATGTATCTACGGTGCCCTCCAATAGCCGCGATGAAGCCGCGCAGGACAAATTCGAACTCTTTCAGGAGGTAGAGAAGGCAACAGGCGCGATTTCCGAGCGTGAAGCTCGGATTGACACCCGGTTCACACCTGAAGAACAAAAACAAATCATCCGTCGGGTTGACAAACGACTTATTGTCACCTGTGGGATCATGTTTTGCTTCAGTCTCATGGATCGCAACAACCTTGGAGCGGCTTCAATCGCGGGCATGACAAAAGAACTGAAACTCATTCAATATCGATATGTGAGTACATCTTGCCTCCAACTCGTTTCGACTTTCTGTCGAAAGTTTGGCTGGATATTAATAAAGATCGTCCAGTCGACAATAGCTCTAGTCTTCTTTATCACCTACGTACTTATCCAACCATTGGCGAATGTCCTCTGTAGGAGATTTGGGCCACGGGTATATCTGGCTTTTATTACCACTACATGGGGGATTACTATGGTGAGTGACCAAATCTCCTAAGCTGCCTACACTTTTGGCTTGCCCACTCATTCTGCGGTGGGTTGTGACAGACGTGCTTCGGATTTCCCAAGTCATGGGAGGCTTTGGTCGCCCTACGTCTTGTTCTTGGTGCGCTTGAGGGTGGTTTCTTCCCTGGTAAGTCAAAAGAACTTTGAGTACCGCTCATATAAGAGGCGACGCTAATTGCCTCGTCTCCATGCTCGTTCAGCCTGCTTGTACCTCATCTCAACCTGGTACACACGTTACGAAGTCCAGAAACGATTTGCAGTCTTCTATCTTCTAGGTTGTCTTGCCTCGGCTCTTGGAGGTATCCTAGCTTATGGATTGATGCAAATGGTGAGACTAATGATAAACCAATATGGTATACTCGTGGAAAATCGACCGCTGATTTTGTTGGTAGGACGGCGTGGGACACTATGCAGGATGGAGATGGATTTTTATAGTAAGTACAGCGGCTATCACTCTGTCAACATGTTGGACTCAGCTCCAAAAATGCTACACGTCCGATGTATAGATTTAGTCTGTGAGTACTAATCGATGGATCTAGATTGAAGGGATTTTGACAATACTGATCGGCATCGTGGGATATTTCTTCCTGGTCGATTTTCCAGATCGCGCAGCAAAAACAGCATGGCGTTTCCTCAACGAGGAAGAGTGCCAGTTCATCACACGACGCATAGCGCAAGATCGAGACGATGCTGAATTGGATCCTTTCAGCCTGAAAAAGTGGACTCGTGCCGGTCTCGATCTGAAGATCTGGGGGTTTGCACTCCTTTTCTTCTTCAATGGCACGATCGCATATGCCATTGCTTTCTTCCTTCCTATCATCCTCAGATACAACATCGGGTTCTCAATAGCAGCGTCGCAATGTCTGGTAGCACCGCCTTACGCGCTTGCGGCACTTCTAATGTACGCAACGGCTTGGGCTAGTGATAAGATGCGACTTCGAGCGCCATTCATCGTGTTCAATGCTCTCCTGGCGATGATTGGATTGCCCATGCTTGTAAGTGTCGTGTGTCCAGCCGAGCAGGCGATTTTATGCAGTGGAATGAAAGTGAAGCCATTGATTAACGTTATTAGGGATTTGCTAGAAACAATGCCGCTAGATATGTCGGAGTATTTCTCGCTACAGCAGGGGTGACAGCAAACTTTCCGGCGATCATGGCATACCAGGTGAGGGAGGTCTCCGTAGAGGAGAATAGTATCCTGGCTGACATCTCCTGGAATAGGCCAACAATGTTCGTGGGCAATGGAAACGGGCATTCAGCAGCGCATCGCTCGTCGGAATGGGTAGCGTTGGGGGAATTGCCGGCGCTCTCGTCTTTCGGACTCAGGACGCACCGACGTATAAACCTGGAATCTACGCCGTCCTGGCTTGCAACACTTTGCTGATTCTGGTCACGGGCGTGATGAGTGTCTACTTTCATCGGTGTAACAAAAAGGCTGACCAAGGTAAAGAGGTGATCGAAGGCCTCGAAGGGTTCAGGTTTACGCTGTGATAGTCTGGTTGGGCTAAGACAATATATGAGAGATGGCTCTAAATCTAATATTTGTTGTGTCGATCAGTTGTCTATTGAGGAGATGTCAGGGTCGAAGCACTCACTCAGCACTGATGCCACGAAATGTCGATCACTGGAGCGAGCGTTGGAAGCGCGAAAACGGCAAGATTCAGGAACGATCTGCACTCTTGGATTGCATTAATCAATACCAAGTACTTTCTCGGTACCTGAGCACCTGGGCAAAGATCATAAGTATAAGTCAGGATCCTTCTCGAGAGGTAGTAGTCGACAAGTCGTTGATTATTGCTGTCTCTGACTGCTATTTAGTGGCTACTCAATTTTAGATCCACTTAACTGCCCGGTCAGTCGTCCTCTTCCGCATCTTCCTCATCTTCCTCATCTTCCTCATCTGTGTCTAAGCCAGTGTCAATCTTGGGAATCTCGAAATCACTACTATCGCTGTCGTACGTGGCCTCCTTGTGAAGGTTATTGGAAACCCCAACTACACCTGGATTTGGAAATGATAAGTCTTGGTGCTTTTCGCTGGAAGGACCATTTCCTGGCGCGAAGTTCTGATCTCGCAAGGTAGAAACTGTAGCCGTGCCTCCCACTTCGTATTCCATTGCAGCTGGGATAGTATTGACCGAGTCGTCTGGATGATGTCTTTTAGGCGACCTGATTTCATCTTCAAGTAGTCCGGTGGTTTTGACAGAAGTCTCATTCTCTTCCAGCTGCTCAAAGTAGCGCTTCTTGGGTGATAGCAGAGGCTCACTGGTCGTCGCGGTTTCATGTTCCAATCCACTTGCAACCTCAAGAGCAATATCAACCTCTACTGAAGCCCTGCTTATGTCATTGAGGGAGTTTTCTAGCTGAGACAAAATATCACGATCGCCATTCTTCTCTGACGGCGAAGTAGCAACTGAGGCATCGAGATCGTGACTGCTCGTTTGGCCCGATTCTTGTCGTATGAACGGGAAACGGGGTCGTAGCAAAGCCTCCACTGCTGGCATATCGGTTGAAGTCCTTGTGAGAAACGGAAGAATGCTGGCGGCTGCAACATTTCCATTAGTTGAGCTAATGGGGTTTAGAACACTCGCCAACATTGCTTCCTGGTGATTCAGAAGTATCGCAAGCCTGTCCAATTCCGTCCTGGATTGCCGTGGGACTATCGAGACCGTTCCGCGACCCAATAGCACAGGAAGAAGCCTCCAAGCGGAGGCAAAAGCGCCTGAGGGATTTCCCATGAGCAGCGGAATGAGATTTTTATTCGTATTGCGGTTTGTGTTAAGAGCTAGATTGAGAGCCTTCGAACTGTCTTGAGATTTGTCAAAATCAGAGGTTGACAACGCAGTTTTGAGATCATCACAGGATTCGGTCATCAACGCTGCAAATGAAGTTCGGTTGATGTCCAACTCCGACAAACTGACCATGTTCATAACGTGACCAATGATTTCATAACAGAGCGCTCTCGCTCCTTGATGCCACGACGATGCTTGAAAGCAAAGTAATGCTTGATTGAATATTGTTCGATATAGGGGGAGAATGCTCTGTTCGTAGGTACGACACAGAGACAATAGGAGGGCCAGGCATGAGAGCTGTAGTTTGGGTAAATTCGACAGCAGTTCTTCCTTTTCCTCCTTGCCCGCCTCGTTGTGGAATCTCAAGTTATGTCCGTGACGGCCTTGCCTCTCCGATGGATTTACTGACAAAATTCGAGCTGTCAAATCCAAAATATCACCACATGGCACAGGGATCTGTTGGATAGTCGCTAGAGAAACGAGATGCTCGAGCCAGGAGATGAGTGTCTCAACTCGGGAGCTGCCTTCAGATATACCTGTCCATGGTGATAGTCCGAGCTGGTCCTTGCCAGAGATCCCTGGCGGCTTGGAGAAATTATGCTTGCTAGTATTAAGCACGAGGGACGAGTTGTTGGTATTGTATTCTTCCAGAACGGTACGAAAAACATGATTTGTGGTTTTGTGAGCAGCTTCAGCAATACTTGTTGCCATTTGCGTCCATTCTTGGCCAGCGGTGTTCTTGGGAGCACATGAGATCAATGCACATAGAAGCTGAATGCTGAGTTTAGTGGTAGGTTGAGGGCTACTATGGTCCTCAACCAGGCTCAAGCAGATGGGTTTGATACGGTTCAGAAAAGGACGAAATATCGAGGCATGCTGAGGGAGAAGTTGGAGCCAACACTGGAGTACTGTATCAAGTAGCGGACTTGAGACTGAGACTGCTTTGTCGCCAGACTTGATAGTCGATGGCCGAATCAAACTGAGGCAAGCTGTAAGGAACGAAGGCAGCAGTGGTGTCGTAATTTCCCTAAGCAACGCTGGTTGGTGTTGAGTCAGGAGGAAAATTCTCATGACGGTGGTGAGATATAATCGTTTGATTTCTGGTGCTTCAGACTTGCTCAGACAGCTTACAAGACCGCGGGCCCAAGGTTCTGAAGCGCTTAGCAAATTCGAGCCAGCAGTGTCGATGATGGCTTTGATGAAGATGGCAGCGGACAACCTCCCGGCCGCAGACCTATCTTGTAACAGCGCGCTAATGCGAGTCTTTAGCTTGTGTGTAGTTACTGAAGCCGTATTGGTCTTTGCATCGGAAAAGTAAACCTCCAGAGGGCAAGCCGCAAGTGAAGATGCGAGAAAGGCGGCGACTCGAGGCAAATCCTCCACTGGAGTGACATTGAAGCGATTGACGATAGCTTTGAAAGAGCCATCTTGCTGCATGATTCCCCAGAGTAGAATGGGTACCCAAGGACCGATCTCCGTTGGAGTCTTCAGAATTCTCACCAGTAAAGAACGTAGTCTAAATTTATTGATTGTCGAAAAATATATTGAGAAACCATCATACTACGCTCGATCGGGAACTCATACTTGCCGCCGTAACATCCCTCACAAATATATTAGCACTATCGTTCAGCGACATCATTAGCCACGACAGTACAGGAGTCAATCTTTCTATCGATACTTAGAGATGATAATCGACCATCTCAAGTCTACATTTCCCTAAGACTGATTCAGAAGATTTGCTCTGGTGGAATAAATCGAGCCATGTTGTACATGAGGCTCTGTCTGCACTAGTACCGATGACATCGTTAACGCGCTTTTAGTGCGCACTAACTGTTTAGCAATCAAGCTCCCCTTTGTCTCGAACGACAACGCTGAAACTCACGCGTTATCAAACAATTCCTACATACTTTACTTTCATTATTGCCAACTGGGACGTGTCATTCATTACAACGAACACTGAGAAACGCGTAGACTTCATTGTGTGAGGCTCCTTATCGCAGATTCTGTTGATATATCTTGTGGCCTGTTCTCTAGACATATCCGATGGGTCCCAACCCCAGCAACTTGCAACCATGAGCGAACCCAACTCGAAAAGGAAGATAGATATTGTCGATCTCACCGGGGATGATGATGTAAGTACGGCGAGCGCTCCTGCTGCTAAGGCACCCAGACGATATCCACCATCATTTTCTCCCTCGCCACAATCCCAATATTCTTCTTCACTAGGTTGGAAGAAGAGTACGTATCAGAAATCTCGGCAATATCCAACAGCATCTTCTGTCTCACAAAATAAGACGAAACCACCAGCCCAGTCTTTGGCAAGTGCATCTCAAGGATCACGGCAGTATCCACCATCATTTTCTACTCCATCTTACCGACACCCAAATGAACTACCAACACCACCATCATCAAGCCAGACGTATTCATCCAACCAGGGTCGAAATGCGTCTTTTGGGTCCAGTCAAATCTACCGAAGTAGCCCTGCGAGCCCTTACAACAGCAGGACACACAGCAAGAGCGATCGCGATGGTTGGCTGGCGTCTACCCAAGAACAAGAAGCCGACATTGCACGCGAGATCGACCTCACTGAAGATTTTGATGATGATGTGTACGAGAATTATCAACTCTACGGAATATTGAACACAAAAATTGTGGGTTGTAGATTTTATAATGGTCAGGCGACCGTTGGAGAGTATGTGAAGGTCCGCCGTGAGCCGTCCAACCCTTACGATACCAATGCAATTCGCATTGACAACGTACGCCGTGATCAAATTGGCCACATTGGCAGAGTGGTTGCTGGCAAGCTCGCACCTTTCATGGATTCCGGATCTTTGCTTGTCGAGGGTGCCCTCACCGGTCCCAAAGACTACTATGAATGTCCTATTGGACTGAAACTGTTTGGCACAAGTGACCCAGTCGCAGGAGCAGCCCTTCGTCAACAGATGCAGGATCTGAGGCTACCCATCAACGAGTTCACCAGGAATGAAAAAGAGCGAAAAAAGCGCGCACAGGACATGGAGAAGCAGAAGAAAGCTCGAGAAAAAGCTGCTGTTGCCATGATGAAGAACGGGGGCACTGTATTTGAAAACAATGGATCCGGGAAATACATAAATCGAGGTCAAGGTACGGTGGTGGGCTTACAACACGGACATCCGTCAGACATGAACCAGCTCTTGGAGGGTACTGCAACATTCAATCCGCGCGAAGTGGAGAACGTGGTCAAGCAGCTGGGTGTTGGCGAAGACGTCTTAGCCAAGTTACCCATGGCTGATCAGCCAAAAACACTTTCGACAAAGCTCTTGCCGTATCAGAGACAGGGACTGCAATGGATGCTTGACCATGAGTCCCCGAAGCTACCACAATCGAACGGTGTGGTTCAACTCTGGAAGAAATCAGGGAGCAATTGGTCCAATATCGCCACGAATTTTTCGATCACAACGCAACCAGAGCTTGCATCTGGTGGACTCCTAGCAGATGATATGGGACTGGGAAAAACTATCCAAATCATTTCGCTCATCATGGCAGATCCACACAAGAATGGTTCACCCACATTGATCATTTCTCCACTTTCAGTCATGAGTAACTGGAAACATCAAACAGAGCATCATGTAAAGACGAAATATGCCCCCCGCGTTCTGGTCTACCATGGACAAGCAAACAAGTACCTCAAACCTGCGAAATTGAAAGAGCACGATATCGTGATCACCACTTACCAGACAATGACCCAAGAGCTTTACCCTTACGGTCAATTGACAGCTGAGCCAACACCCACCAAGGACGGACTGTTCTCCATCAAATGGCGACGGCTCGTCCTCGATGAAGGGCACCAGATACGCAACCCGAAGGCCAAAATGTCACAGGCAGCATGTGCACTTGAGGCAGAATCGCGATGGATTCTCACGGGTACACCGATCGTTAATAATCTCAAGGATCTTTTCTCGCATGTCAAGTTCTTGCGTCTATCTGGTGGCTTGGCTGAATTTGATGTCTTCAACTCTGCACTTATCCGACCTTTGAAGTACAACGATCAGCACGCCAGGACGCTGTTGCAAGCTCTGATGTCGACCATGTGTTTGCGACGAATGAAGGATATGAAATTTGTGGACATCAAGCTTCCTGAAATCTCCTTCCACAAGTACGTGGTGAAATTCCTACCCCACGAACAGGAGCGCTATGATGCGTTCAAGAACGAGGCGCTTGGGATGGTGGAGGCGGTCAAGGCACAGAGCGGGGACAACACCATGACCCACCTGTTGGAAGTGCTTCTACGACTGCGACAAACCTGCAACCACTGGAAGATGTGTGACGAAGAGAGAGTCAAGAAGCTGCTCTCTCTTGTGGATGAGAACAAGATAGTGGATGTGATGAACCCTGCCAATCGAAAGGCGCTACAGGATCTTCTTCAAGTGCGCATCGACTCACAAGATGAGTGTCCAGTCTGTTTGGATAGCCTGCAGGATTCCGTGGTTACGGCCTGTGCGCATAGCTTCTGTCGCGATTGCATCAGCCGGGTCATTGAAACTCAACGTAAATGTCCACTGTGCCGGGCAGATCTTAGTGCTGATTCTCTTGTTGAGCCGTCGGCTGGAATGGGTGAGGATGAAGAGGCTGATGTCGATATTGACCCCGACACTACCAGCAGCAAGATCGAGGCACTTGTGCAGGTCTTGAAGGCCGCTGAGGGTGACGCGACGGTCAAAACAGTTGTGTTCTCGCAATGGACATCGTTCCTCGACCTCGTCCAAGTTCAGCTTACGAAACACGGATTGAACTTTACACGACTGGATGGGAAGATGACATCGACGGCTCGCGACGTCGCGATCGAATCACTCAACACCGACGATTCATGCAAAATCATGTTGGCATCTCTATCCGTGTGTTCAGTCGGCTTAAATCTTGTTGCTGCGAACCAAGTGATTCTGGCAGACTCCTGGTGGGCGCCAGCCATTGAAGATCAAGCTGTAGACCGGGTTCACCGTTTGGGTCAAACGAGGAAATGCAAAGTGGTTCGACTGGTGGTGGAGGGGACGATTGAGGATGAGGTGCTTGAGATTCAAGCTAAAAAGAGACAGTTGGCAAGCGAAGCCTTTGGCGAGAAAGATGGCGCAAGGAAGAGAAAGGAGCAACGGGCGGGTACTTTGAGGGACATTGAGAGAATGTTGGCTGGCAGGGAGGCGCCGGCGACAACTTACTCGTAGACTGAGGATTTCGATACCATGTGCAATTACCACCAACCGGATTTGGGTTTGTTGAGGGGACTTGGGGAGGTTGAGAAATTCGTTATTTGGGACGGAGTACGAGGAGTCCATGGGTAGATCCTAAAGGACAGGGGCAACCTGGTGCAACCAGGGGCTTTTTAGAAGAGCGAGTTCGTATGTAAAACAGGGCACAATGGACACACAACACCCGAGCAGATATCAGAAGAAGAAAAATGGCTGAGAAGACGCGTCGTGCGCGTCTTGGACGTGCCAACGGCTGTGGCTTGAAATGACATGACACCGGTCAACGCACGGAGAGCTGTCAGATATGAGCTTTCTGAGCTTCTTTCTGACCCTGGGATAAGCAAGGGTTGTGTTTGCATACTCGTAGTTTGTAGTCAGCAAACCAATTCATTTCATGGTCTGATATGTTGCAAATCGAGTAGTTGTAAAAAGTAAACGGAGGTTGATGCCACAGCAACGGCCGGCAAAATAAAACCGTTTTGTTGCATAAGCGAACCTAAGAAAAGCCGTGAAATTGGACCAGGGAGTCCTTATCAGCCACACGATCGCTCAGTGGCAGGGCATCCATTTCCGATGCCAGGTGGATGACAGCCGAGGGGCCTTCGGGGGCGTTATCCCTGGCGAAGGAAGCGGATCCTGGTTACGGAAAGATGTTGCACATGCTTTTTCTACAATCTTTGCTGTATTGAACAAGATTACTATCCTGTGGCCTTTTCTTGGAGTTGAAGTTGAAGTTGAAGGAGACAAAATGAACATCGAGAGGAATATAGGACCGGACTCAACATCGCTCTGTTTACCGCCGAGGTCAGGGTAGGTAATTAAGATGACTCCGTCCTTAAGATATTTAGCTGCATGTGACCACCCGCAGTCAATACGTCACATGGACAGCCAACGGGAATTTCTTTGGCCTCTCAGTTGTAGAAACCGGCATCCTGCATCATCGCGCATAAGCTCTAGGCAAGAAGTTAGCTAAACCCTGCCTAAACCATCGGCTTGCTAGGTGCTTGTGGTACTTTTTTTTCTGGTTGAGGTTTAAGGTGCGGGGGAGCTCTGAAGCTACAGCTTCCAGACCACGCATTCCGTCGCTGTTCGTTGCTGCACCTGCAACGGCACCTGCACCTGCACTTGCACTTGATCACTCGACTTGTCCCATACTGCCTCTGCCGCCGACACTTCCTCCATCCTTACAAACCCGTCGATATTAATCACCTCAATCCTCCTCCTCCCTCACCTTCACCATCAGGCGACTGCTTCTTGTGTCACTCGTCTTCCTCCTTCTCCTCCTCCCCCGCCGTAATGGCGCCCATCGGAGCAAGCGTCTTCGCGACGGTAAGACCTGCCCTCAAGAGCGTTTCTGCACAATTTCCCCGCATCACAATTTCCATGGTCAACTGACCGTGTCACAGCTGCTCATGAACGATGCCTACCTCCCAGGTACGTCCAATATACTTCCAGGAGACTTCCAGGTACATGAGAGGGTACTGACCATGTCCCAGGTGCTATGGTCTTGGGTCACTCCCTCAAAGACCGAGGTGCAAAAGCTCCCTTGGTGGCCTTCATCGTGGTCGACAAGCTATCTGCCGACACAATAAAAGAACTCAGAACAGTCTATGACGATGTCATACCTATTCAACAGATCATCAATAATCAGCCTGCAAACCTCTATCTCATGGGTCGACCTGACCTGGTTTCCACATTCACAAAGATCGAACTTTGGAGGCAAACGCAGTTCAAGAGGATAGTCTACTTGGATGCAGATATGGTCGCTCTTAGAGCTCCTAATGAATTGCTCAACCTAGACACAGAGTTCGCCGCAGTCCCGGATATCGGCTGGCCAGACTGTTTCAACAGCGGTCTACTCGTCCTCAACCCCAATATGGGAGACTACTATTCCCTCTATGCTCTGGCGCAGAGGGGAATCAGCTTTGATGGAGCTGACCAAGGCTTGTTGAACATGCATTTTCGCGAGTGGGAAAGGCTAAGTTTCATCTACAACTGCACCCCCAGCGGTAACTACCAATACGTCCCAGCCTACCGACACTTCCAGAGCAGTATTGCTGTGGTTCACTTTATTGGAAAAGACAAGCCTTGGACACTCGGTCGCGAGAACAAGTACAATACAGGTGTCTATGGTGAGCTGCTAGGCCGGTGGTGGTCTGTCTATGACAAGCACTATCGCTCAAAGGTACGTCCACTATATCAGAGAAATGCCTGATTCGTGCACCTAACACCACGCTAGGAGGTGTCATACTACAACCCTCAAACCTATGAGTCTCGGACAAAGGTGCAGGATTTTGTGAGAGGCGAAGAACCTTTGTATGTCTCGAGTCTCCCGTCACAACCTGCTCCACCAGATCAGAGGGTGCCTTCCCCACCCCAGCAGGGTCAAATCCCCCTCCCACCGGAGATTGTCATTACAGATCCTTCTCAAGGCCATCTCCAACCAGCCCAGACCGTAGAGCTGCCTTTGGGCGATGCTCCGACTCCAGTTGTGCGACAAGACTTTACACCAGTCCCAACAGTTCAACAGAGGCGATTCAGTGCTCCACATGTCGATTGGGAACCAGCCCGGTTAGTATCCTCAAATCCGGATGCAAAATGGATAAATGTTGATGATCAATAGTGCACCTCCTCCGACAGACTCTAAACCCGAGGCTGCAAATTTTCCAACAACAATCTATGACTTCAACAGCAATACCGATCTCTTCCAACCTCCCGCTAGTTATCCTGAAGCCCCGAAGGATATGTGGTACGAAGTGCCCAAACAGGAGCCTCAACCTCAGAAGTTGAAGCAAATTTTCCCATGGGAGTCAAGAGCTCCTAAACCTACCCGTGTTTTCCCTCAATCGAAGGCTCCGAGCCCCCCTCCTACGATCGAACCCGAACCCGAACCCCAAGCCCCGACAGCCACTGAAGAAGAGGTGGACACGACAGGCCCTCCATCGACCACGACCGCTTCAGACATAACGGAAGCTAGTACTCCAACCCCGATTGCACCTCCCATCGATCCATGGGCAGCCTTCGAGTCCAGAACAAATGCTTGGGACGATATGCCCGAAATCGAAAGATACGTCCAAGCATTTAGTCAAGCTCGTAAAGGGAAGTTACAAGTGCTACATCATACCCCTTCTCCTCGCAATGCCCCGGGCGTACCCTCCGTAGATAACGAGCAACGACGACCAAGCATGAAATTGACTGATTTTCCTACCGAGATCGAGCGACCGAGCTTACCTGTAACTCCAGCACCGATCCGAAGACCAAGCTTTTGGGGAGAAGAGAGAGACCAACTTGGGAACTTACCACCCGCTCAAGGTGTGCCAAAACAAGAAGATTGGGTGCGTCGCTTCTCCTCCTACTCCCAGCCTGTGTTTCCTGATTTACCACCCCCGTTGCACAATCTTTTGCATGGCATTTTCTATTGGAGATGCCAATATTGTGGTAAACAGAACCCGGTCTCCAAACTTGAAGAATTACAAAGACGGCAAAGTGAAGTCTTAATATCACCTACGGAAACATTGAAATTGGAGGACGGTCAAGAATTGCCGCAAAGAAAAATGCCTGAAAGTCAGAGTAAAGAAGCTGTGATCCAGGCGGCCGACCTTGCCACATCACCCACCAAATCGCCAAAGGTGCCCAAGCCGATATTGAAGGAACCAAGATTTGAGCTAGGAAAAGAGGAGGGCGAACCGGACTATCCAGAGATATCACCGGATGATCTTAAACAGGAAAGTGTTAAAGGGGCACCTGAGGTCGCAGCGGTTGGGTCATAAAAGATAATGAAGCCGTGATGTGTGATGTTGGGTGGTTTCTCTGTTGGTAGGACACATGGCTGATGGATCTGGGTCCAAGCAACAGCAGTCGCAGGGCTCCTGGTGTTTTCAAGTGACCATCCCAGGGCCTGCGAATTCATTGCCAGACATGATGGGTGCGGAAGTCGTGAAATCCAAGAATCTTTGATTTATGAGCCTATGCATTTTGGTTATTTATGACGTTGTCCAGTACATGCATCTCTGCGGCGCATTGAGAGTGCGAAGAAAGTGTTAATATTTGCATTGCATTTTGAGAGCTGTTTGCTTATTTGCATTGTTGAGGCATTTGACAGGAGTTACTTGAATTGAGGGACAGCCGCGGTCTTATCAGTACGCCTTGCTTGATCTAAGTTCTATTGTCTATCGATGGATATATTAGTATCGTGTATCAGTGTGAGTGAGCCACCAGCTGCTCAAGAATCGAAATATCAGTGTCTATCATGGGGAACTTAGCAGAACCTTGGTGGAGTCTCGAGTAGTGAAATCAATCCCCCAAGTATTCATACCAAAGTACCAAAAGCACATTGAAATCGAGCCATCATATATATCCGCTCAATGTCCACGTCCTCCCCCGTTGTTTTCTGAAACTGTATAACTGCTCGTTCCTTCACTCTGCAACGGCGCTCCCCCCGGGCTGTCTGTGACATCGAACCGTACGTACGGTCCGCAGCACGTGTTTGACCTCTCTGGTCACCTAAATCAAGACCCACCGAAGCCAAACTGCTCCTCGAAAAACTCAACGTCACGCCCATACAGCGCGACGTGCCGACCGACTTCGCGCCTGAGATCACGCACCAACGCCGGCGGCCCACATGAGAGAACCGTTAGTTTGCCGTTGCCGTCGTGAGAGCGTGGCATGTGGCGTTCGCCGCGTTCGACTGTTCGCGAGGCAGTGGGATCAGGACCGGGCGACGAAGACGAGGAGAGGACAGGGCCGACGATAGACGAGATGGTGGGACGGGAGCCCTCTTGGGGGGAGAAATGCAGCGTGACGCCGGGCTTGTTGAACAAGGGGCGAGAGAAGGTCTCGTGGCGGCGCGCCTCGTCGTCTCTGCTGCGGGTGCGTCTCGTCACGTAGATGTCGATGTCGACGGGGTCAACGAGAGTCTCTAGGATCGGGTGCGCCCATTGTGTGTCGTCGAGGCTGCGCACCAGCCAGATGAACTTCACGCCGCCGGTCCCCTTTCCCGTCCCCGCGCGCAGTAGAGCCTGGTAGATGGGTAGTGTGTATGTGGCGCCGACGCCGCCCGCGACAAGGACGATCTGGTGGTTACTTGTACTTGTGTCTTCAGACCCAGACGTGGAAAGCAGCCGCTGGAGGTACTGCCCCGACTCGCCGTATGGGCCTTCGATGGAGATCTCGTGCCCGCCGCTCCGCTTATCCGTCGCCAGGGCGGCGAGGAAGCCTGTCTGTGGACCCTTGAGATTTCTCACCACGAGCGTGATGTTCCCGGTGGATTTCTCGCTGTTGGGAGAATGGCTGGCGTCGACGATTGAGAATGGGTTCTTTGGTCCAAAGGTCTTGTGCTGGATGTACACGTGCTGACCGGGTGTCGCGCGGAGGAGAGGGCTAGCTTTGTCGTCGATGGCGACGCTAACCTCGATCAGATCGGTCCCTTGAACCTGTCGACATGTCACGCGTGCCTTGGTGCTCGCTCTGCCTCGCATCGCCCCGCCCACGACCCAGATGACGCCCGCCTGCAGCATGTATTTCTGCGTGTACGAGACATGGAAGAACAACAGTGGGACGACAAAGGCACTCAGCGCGACGTGACTCCTGTAGAACAGCTTATAGTACACGCGCTTCCGAATTGGCGGCACGGCGAGGAGCCCGAGGATGTTGAAGGCCCAGAAAGCAGCCAGTCCGAGTCTCACGTCACGGTGCTGGATGCGCTTGCTCAGCACGTCCAAGATGATGAAGAACCGCATGTACATGACGGCGTGGGCGGCGAGGAGGCCGTGGATGATTCGGCCCAGGAGGCGGTGGTACGCGTTCAGCTTCTCGTGCGTCAGCCCCGTCGCGAATGTGATGGGGGAGTACGCCGTCTTCACGCTCAGGAGATATTGGATCGGGAGTTGCGAGATGGCGACGTGCCCGAATGCTTTCGTCAGGTGCATGTAGTCTTCTCCCGTGTTGCGGAAGACGAGATATAGAAGCCATAGGACGTAGACCACGCCTGTGAGTTGGACCTTGAGAGGTCCGAATTCGGGGATGTAGGTCGTGTTGAGAGTCCAGGAGACCCGTCGCTTGAGGGTTTGGAGTGGTGTGAGTGCTTGCATAGCTGGAGGGTTCTGGGCATTTTCCGAGCTGATGACTTTCTGGTAGGCATAGACGGCCAGTAGAATGATGATGGGTGTTAGCCAGGCGTAGAAGCCCGTTTGGTCTAATTGCTTCCTCCGTTGTTCGATTTGTGCTGTTGTAAGTGATAGAAACAGATACGCCATCTTTGCTGAGTCAAAAGGCGTGCTTGACTTCCCTTTAAGCAGCCAACTCAGAGAATGGCACCGAGGCTCCCAGGCTCCCAAATTCGCGTTTTCCTTGGACTACTCTATTGAGTCGATCAGCATGCTTGAAAGGGGCACCGAAGACCACAAAGTGAAATGCTCAACCCCCAAGAAGATTCATATGCAGTGCTGGTAGTCGGTGATGTTCAAGTCTGTGAGACGGAATATCGAAAAGGAGACGTTGCAAAAGCTGTTGGTGTGGTTGGCTGGTTGGGTGTCGGCCCCCAAAAGTCTTCTAAAACAGACGCCATCCCCGTTATTTCCGGTGCATTATTAATAGAGAGCAATCTGTAATGCGACACCATGCCAGATTTGCCAATTGCAAAGTTTCAGGTCCGATTGCCTTGTTCAATTATTTCTCGATGGCATCCTGACGTCCTTGTATAGAACCCATTTGATGTACTACTAACAATTACTTGGAAATCGGTGATACGTAGTTATTTTCTTGGAAGGTGCTGAAGACACAGACAGCCCAGTCAACATGATGGACGGGGTGACCATGGAGAGTGGAACTGCTGCAAGGCTGCGAGCCCCTTGCATCTCCCGGCCTTGGAGACTGTCAGCCGGTGAGGCTATCTACGATGTCAACCTTGTAACTTACCACAAAATCAATTATTTTCACCAAATGATGCTGTGCATTAGAAATCCTACTTCCGTTTTCATCTTTCAACGCCATCAACCTTCACTACGTACGGAGCTCGCCACGCCGGTAAAAGCATGTGCAAACAGTAACAACAATCACCTCCAGCCTTGATTGCTGGTGGTGAAATGGAGACTCATCTGTGACAAATCCTTGATACGTATTGTGGCCATGTGGCTCTCTGGTTGACAAACCTGGTATTCGTTCTCCATATTCTCCAGTGACACTTCCCACCAAGTGACTCCCTGGCGTTGGCCCATAAGTGCGCGACAGATCCGAGCAATCGTGTATAAACAGCTGTCTCTCCCAGGCTTGGTTCCACTTCACCGCTTTTCGACTCACATCTCGTCCTTCAAAGTCTCAACCACAAAGAACCAAGGAAAGAACACGCACTCACCTCGGTATTCAGTGTCATTATTCAAACTATCCATGACCCATATATGACCTTATTTCGCCTACATCTTTACTGCTGTGACTGTGTCATTCCTTGCGACCAAGAAATCTCCCGAGGCCTCAATGCTCCTAATCTTGATAGTGTTGCTGTTGGCCTCAATATCAGCTCTACCATGGAAAGCCGAATGGGAAGCCCACCATGATTATTCTCAACACATTGGCGTTGATGAACTCCCTCCTACTGGGAAAACCCGGCTTCCTATTCGATCTAAGCCATCTGGATCCGAGTCTCTCGAAAACGGGGATATGAACTGTAACTTGGTCCAAGTCAATGAAGCAAGCGGCGGTAACATAGTGCATATGCGAGCTGGTGATAGCACGCAGACAATCACACTGACAATCGCCACAGCGACTGCAAATCCGTACCTATCGACAGATTTGGATTTGGCCGAACTGGAATATACTCGGAATGAGGACCAACTTATCGATATTATCCAGCTACCACGTGGAAGGAAGGGTAACGACGAGGACAAGGCGGAAATGCCAAGCCACAACGTGAGATCTGCTCTTCTTCGTCGTGCAAACAATGTCGTTGGAAGGCAGTATGGTATTTCTGACGGAGTTATCTGGTTCTTCCTTGCCTCTTTTGGAGTGTTCATGACTGGCATAGTTTGGAACGTCTATGTCCATATCGGAATGGAGCGGGAGGAGTGGGTTGGTGCAGGAAGGGACCCATGCCAGATCAAGAACTCGGGAGGGAAAGAGTGATCATTGATGGCGCTATCAATGATGCACAATCGGCGATGGCGCCCCCGGTCCAATCTCCTGTCTAAACTTCACGTGAGCTTCAAATGAAACGTATTGCTGGTAGGTTTGAAACTGTTTGCCCGACTTTTACCAATTCTCAGAATGACATGTTCATGGTTGAATGACAGCAATGGTGGCTTTAACGGACCAGGAGAGGAAGGTCCGTACGTCTGTCTGCTGTGTTGAGTCATTGAGAAGTTGGCTAAGTGTGAGCATGTTAGGGAAGGAGCTTGCAGTGTGAACTACGCGTGCCTGCCGCAAAGGGTCGACGTACAGTTTCGTTCTGGCAAGGACACAACGGAAGGCACAACCTGCCTTCGCATTGTAAGACGTGAACTTGAACCAACACATCCTCCCACCTGTAGGCAACTCATATCACACTCTAGCGGAGTTGTCAGTCTGACAAAACAGACACATCCCTTGGTCAAGCAATACGTCCACAAGCACAGTGAAAATCAGTCCCGCAATTCAAAGGCAAGGAGAACAAGCTGCAAAATTCAATCTCATGTTCCCATCAGCTTGTTGAGCAGATTCCAACAGAGTAACAGCAAGCGGCAAGAAAACATGCAGCTTCTACCTGTGGCTCTTCTAGAGACCGACTCAACAATTAAGCACACGATGATGACCAGATGGGATTTATCAACCTCCACCATCAATGGTCTCTATCATCTCAAGATTCTCCTCGCTACCGGAAGCTTCATCGTCTCGGCCATTGCATTGTTGGTCCTCGGCAGATACTTGATCAACAAAAGAAGCGAGAGAAGAGAGTTGAGGGAGGAGCAAAGGGAAGGAAGAGAGCGAGCTAGAGCTCATGAAATGCAGTCAGTGGCTTGAGCACGGTGTTCATTCTCGACCGGAAGACATAGGGGACCATTTGCAAAGCGGCCATGAGATATACGATGACAGACCAAGACACAGGTGCGGGAGCTGGAGCTGGAACATGGTGGTGGGACAGGACTAATGAAGAACTGATCGACCGTTTCGGAGTAAGGAGAGGAGATATTTCGCTGGGACCGAGGGGCCGACGGGCTCTTTGATGCCCAAGCCTAAGAGAGTCCGAGGGGCCCCCCTGACTTTCCCAGCTCTCGGTAAGCACGAACAACGCCAGATGTAAATGGCGGCCACCCATCAAGTCCAACGCGGCTTTGTTCATCAGTGCTTCTTCAAGGCCAGAATTCGATTATCATTCCTCAAATCCTATCATGTGGTTGCCCGCTTTGCTGGCTTGTCACCCATGGACCTCTTTTGTATGCATCTAATCCTAGAGAATTTTTATCCGTGTCCCAATACGAATACAAAGATGCACATCTTCCAACTGGCATTCTAGACACCTGCCATACTAGTTGAAGAGGGTGAAGATCTCACTGGTCCTGCATCATGTCGCGTGTCTCGTCCCTCCTGCCACTGTCACTGCTGTGCTCCTCTGCTCTGAATCTGCCCCTCCAGTGACCGACCCATCCAACACCTTGACCTAACCTCTTCAAGTTTCATACCGAAGACTAAACAAACTAAACCCTCTCTCAAGCCAAGGCACTGAGTGATTATTGCAAACAATCTCTTGAGCCATCTCATCCACGTCTCCATTTCATGTGCTACCACGGTCGGGGTGTCGTTGTCCAACTCAATCATCTTTGCACAACCCCACAAACCATCACTTCTACCGCTCTTCAGGTAAATCAACAAAATGGCTAAAGGGCCCTTCAGAAGTCTAGCAGAACGAGTGGCCTTCTACTGGTTTGCATTCTTCAATTTCTTCTTGTTCTTGTTCCTCTTCCTCAAGAATGGAGCCTATACCAAAGGAGAGTCGAGGCAGGACGAGGCGCAGTACGCAATTGGTTCGTCATCACCCCTCCATGGAAATGTTTCCCGATACTCGACTAATACTGGCATCTTCACCCTACAGAGAAAGACCGCTTCTGGAACCTTTCCAAACCACCTCTGCCCGGCTTCAAACATTATTTCCACACCCTACGCAGTCACCTCAAACTTCACTACATAAGCAACCGCGATGGACCTGCCCGCGGAAATCTGGTGGTCTTCTTTCATGGCTTCCCTGACAGTTCAATGATGTGGAGACATCTTTTTCAAGAGAAGGAATTGCCCTTGCAGGATGCCTCCATTGTTGCTGTTGACTTACCCGGCATGGGAGGCAGCGATAGCTTTCCAAAATACGATACCGAAGTCCTGGAGGCTCTCACTGAGTTTGTGATTGCCATGAGAGACAAATACATACCTCTGGATGAGACCGAGACTACAAACACTATCATTGTAGGTCACGACTGGGGATGTGTTCTCGGCTTTCGTCTTGCTTCTGAAGCACCCGCCCTCGCGGATCGATTTATCTTGACCAATGCCCCGCATGTGAGTGCCACTGCGTAGTAACAATGCGAGACCAGTCCCATACTGATACTCCATTCACAGGTTGAACTTGCCTTTGCGAATAGGGATAGAGTCCTGCAATCGTCTTCCAAGATATTCAAGCAATTTCGCCAGTCACCTGTGCAAAATTGGGCGTGTCTCTCCAAATCGATCAAGACTCTGAATCCTTTAATCCAACAGACATTGAGGATGGGTTATATCTTCATGTTCAATCTCCCAGCAATCTTTGTCGGTCACATGGGAACCGCTGCAAAATGCGCTTTTATTCGAGGCGCCAACAACCTTGGATATAGCCGCAAGTCAGGAGAATACCGGGCTCAAGAATGCAAGGCTTCCTCATTTGGCCCTGGTCCGGAAGAGTGTACTACATCCATTAATTCTTCCTCGAAACCTGAAGACATGTATGGATCAACTGTCCTTGATCGAGCCAAGTCTCATGGGACCGCATTCTACCAAATGACAGGTCTCTACAGAGACGGGGCGGGCACCCTGCCATGGACCAAGTCATTGGAAACTATCGCTGATCTCTATGCGTTGGAAACTTCGGCATCGGAGTCTCCTAGTCCTAGCCGTCGACGATCATCAATCTCAAATGGTGCCCTGTTCACGGATCCACGCAAAGGTTGTCTCAAGGCACCAACATATGTTCTGTGGGGAGAAAAGGACACCGCTTGTGGCAAGCCCATTTGTCTAGACGGACTTGGTGATTATCTTGCCAAGGACAGCGAGATCATCCTTCTTCCTCGAGCTGGACATTGGACCCCAGTTCAACAAGAATCCAGGGCAGTATTGGCAAAAATGATCAACTTGTGTGCTGGCAAGAATGCGAAGCCAGTCCCCAAAATGGCCGACAAGATCAAGGAGGTGTATGAAGGTGCTGTTCTCTTGGCACAGAAGTGAATCAGCGATATCCACGATCACGCGTTTTATTACCTTGGGTGGAGACGCATGACGCATCGTAAAAGCCTCCTTTGATCACTCACTGGTTGGCCAGGAACTGGCGTCGGTGTGTGCATGGAAGATGGTGAGGAGAGGAACGATGGGCCTCTGTGACCTGTCCGAATGACCGACTTATATGAAATACCCCATGAAGTTGAAATTAGCACTAGTCAAGTCACAGCATGGCTTCTATGATAACGACCAAAAGTAGGATGTATTGCCTTTAGCTCAAAATACATGCATTCAGCCAGACTACTCTTCATAGCAACTCCTTAAATCGACTCTTCCGTCCTTGCTGCCGTTCACCAGACCTACTACCCCTTGATGTCAGCATACTCAATCTCGAGTTCAATCTCGACCACGGCCACCGCCAATAATCCCTCCAGCCCCGTGTGCCACCAGCACCGTTACAATCATGTGTAGGATCCTCCACGTCAGTGATCCTCCGTCTCCATCTCCGTCTGCTGCGATACAGAGTGAAAACCCCCCAGCACCACAGCTCAACGCCCAGCACGCTTAGGAGCACACCCAGCACGATCAACGGTAGCTCGCGCCGCCATGTCGTGCATGTCGGTATTGATTCTGCTGCTGTTGTTGCTGCTGTGATACATGTGTTGTTTGCGTTGGCGCTTGTGGCTGTGGCTGTGGCTGTGGTTGTCGTCGTTGCCGTGGCACTGGCGCTGGCACTGGCATTGGCATTGGAAGGCGCGGGCGTGATGCTGTACGGGTAGAACTCGAGGTTGAGATCTGTGGCGGTCGTAGGTTTAGGGTGGACTAGGAGGAGAAGGAGGGACAGGATTGTCCAACTCCACCATGACCACGGCTTCCGCCACCACAGGAGGACATGCTTGTTGGTGGTGGTGGTGGTGCGACGGAGATGACATTCTTGTTGAGGTTGGGTCTGGGTAGCAAGTGGGGTGCGGGCATGCCCTGACATGGTTGTTGTTTGGTCCTGTTCTTGATGTTGATGTTGATGTTGATGTTGATGTTGATGTTGATGTTGATGTTGATGTTGATGTTGATGTTGATGT